GTCTCTACATGGCCTTTGCTCCGCGGGTCCCCTGAGACCCTCGCCGAATTCTCAGGCCTCATTATTGTGTCTTCTTTTTCCTGCACATCAACCTTTTCCTGACAATATTTATTCATCTTTGTCATCTTAAGTCACAGCGTGGGACCTTTAGCGTTTCCAATTATAGTTTACTGTATGTGAGGGATAACCTACTTCATACAAATGGCTTTGGCAGAATTTATTCCAACCAAACATGAATGACTCTGGTGTGACTCTACAGCCTTACTTTGGTCAGTCTTCCCCGAGGCACATGTTCTATAGTAGTTTATCACTACAGCACCAAACAAGTTATTTGGTTAATCTTTATTACTTTTGTTTACTTGCATTTGTTGATAATGTTTTTTTATTAATTGTATCTTTCTTACATTATTTATTTGTATGCTATGGAACAAGTCCACGAGAGCGACATTATGGATTGCGTAGTGACATTTTCAGGACTATCCAATTATGTTCTTCCCTTATTTGATTCATCCAAATATTTTCACGCCCTTAATCAGGAGACAGGGGGTTGTAGTCTGAGCTGCCACCCCCCTATAAAGTATATATATATGAGATAATGATTACTGAATATATGCTTTTAAAAATGTTCCAAATAGACATTTTCTTTTTATTTGATCAGCATATTGTATCATGAAATAACAATATTCAAATATTTACATTTGTTTACAACATTATAACATGTTTATGTATTGGTTTTACGTCTTCCGATCTTTATTTCAATTTTTGAGTGAAGCACAGACAGAAAACAGTGCAGAAGTGTCTCACATGTTAATTTTATAAACAAACTCGTCCACTTCCGTTATATTCATTTAGATCTGGCAAGTTGCTAAAAAGGATGAAATGTGATCTTAAGCCCTCTCCTTCATTGAGATTCTATTTATTTATTTATTTAACCAGGAAAGTCCCACTAAGATTTCAGAATCTCTTTTTCGGGGGAGTCCTAGCCCTGAGAGAGGGCGCTTTATAAATATAATTTGATTGATTGATTGATTGAGTGGGGTCGTGATAGGGGAAACCAGAGCACCTGGAGGAAACCTACGCCGACACAGGGATTACATGCAAACTCCGCACAGAAAGGTCTGGAAGTGGAGTCAAACCCCGGAACTTCTTGCTAACCACTGCGCCACCGTGTCTAGAAATCCAAACCACATCCCTAATGATGAAAGGTGGTGTCATAGAATTGTCAATGTCACACTGTGCAGATAAATATGAAACATACAGTCTACCCTGGAGTGTGGTGGGTTAGGCCTCCAGTGCTGGTCTTGTGCAGTGGTGCCTTTCCTGAGATTTGATTGCGGCACGGCCCAAGTCTCAGCTGAACCAATACTCACACTCACTAATGATTCCTCCTGGTCCAGCTCTATAAATAGCTCATCTGAAATGGGTAAATAAAGACCACATCCATTTGTGTGGTTACCTTTCACAGTAGCTTACAGACCTTTAGAGATGAGGTGATTTGTATATTTAAAAGTCCCTCTTCAGATTTGGCAGATAAATGTGGTTTTTATCCACTTTTCAGTTTGGAGATTGCATGTTGTCCTTGTAAGAGCAAAATGAAAAATGACGCTAGGCAGTCCGGGATGGTGTCTCAGAAGTCGTGACGTCGTACATGGTCAGTCGATTTACGGGTAAAAATGCTACGTTATCTATTACATCAATGACACAGCTTGTTGTCGGTGTCTCTTTCATCCTGTCCTTGGAGTATCTCGTGGTGTGGAATGTTGACCATTTGAAGCAGACCGGTACTAAAATCTCTTCGTTCGAGAGGCATAAAAAGGCTTATACAGATCCAAACAGTGCAATGTGAATTAGGGCGGCAAGATTAATCACAATAAAGTCATTTTTGCACTAGAACGTGACAACAATGAGTCAATAAGTGCTTGAATATAGTATTTATCTTTAAGTTTGGTCAGTTTTCACATATTTTTAGGCTTCTGTCTCATCTTCAGATCAGAAAAGTAAAACAAGTGAGGACCACCAATCAGCTCTCTGCCAGCAGTATCAAATAATGACTCACATGGTTCTTTCTTACATATATGCAACATAGAAAATATCATTTGGTCACAAAAAAGGCTCTTACAAGTCTATTTTTGTTGGGACAGATTTTGGTAACCAGTTTTTAAGTATTTCATTTGCAAAATCTAATGTTTGAAAAGGGCTATTGTTTAAAACTTGCTTCAACCACTTTTTAATCGGTAAATAATTTCTTTATTACAATCTGTTTGTCATGATTTTGTGGTGAATGATTACACACTGCAGACAAAACCTGAGTGACGGGATCAGGGGGAGGCTGGTCCACTGAGGGAACAGCCTGTCTGGACCTGTGCAGAGGAGCGTCTGCAAAAATACATCCTGGACTCTTCATGGATGGGTGGAGGTCGTGGGGGAAGGGGATAGGTGGGAAAGCCCGAAAACACTGACTCTGTGGTGGTGCTGTTGTGCAGACTCATCCATTGTTTTGTTTGATTACCTTGTGTTACATTTCCAGGTGTGTTGCTGGTCAATACAATTCCAGTATTATTAATCCCAATTTTAAAGTATGAATGCATTTTTAATTGTAAGGCTACATTAATCCCCAATTTGGTTCATATAGTTACCTACGCATAAAGCTGTTATAACAGCTTTGGGCAAATTGATTCCTCTCAATTAATCGTTTTTTTGGAGTAAAATACAGTATCAGCTGTAATTAATTGTTTTCCTAATCAATTTGGGAGATTATTTTTTCAATGGCTCATCTTGTTCTTTAGATCATGAAGTAGACAGATGTAGGATTTGTTTGGAAATAAGATGTACCTAGGCTCAGCTCATGTCCTCAACTCCATAGACCACATTCCCACCTTTTTTTGTCTCGTAAACCCCCACCCCACCTCAAAACGTTATTTTAATTGACGTTGTCATGATCTTGTAATGTCTGGGACAAAATTTCAAATTGTATTAAAATATATTATATTATATTTTCATCAGACTCTTGTCCAAACACAATTTAACAAGTATTGAATCAAATCAATTGCAACAAAAATATTTAAGGGCTATACAAAGTTCCACTTTTTAAAAATGTTTTATGGAAATCATCCCGCGACCCCCACTTTGGGAACCCATGTAGACTACTTCTCAAATATGGAGTTGCAATTGGCATAAAAACAAGTAAACATTGTATAGATCACTTTATTGACTGCTGTAGTGCCTCTTAATCTCTTGCACTTTTCCTTCTGTTACTCTCATAGTAAGATAATGCATATAAAGCATTAAGATCTTTGAAATCACATGGTTTGGATGTGAGAGATGTTATTGTCTGAGTGGTTAAAGCAGGATGCAAATGATTCTATCCTTTGGGGTAAAGTCTACTCTTGGTAATGGATCTGACTTACAGAAATTGTATACGCATACGTTTATATCTACTGTCAAGTAGTTGATTCAAAATGTAGCATTCAACAGCAGGCTTGATTCACTCCTTTTCACACAATCCAGACTTAGGTTTTTGCTGTTAGCTATTTTAGACTTGGCCAATCGCACAGAGCACTGAGTATTTACAAAGCTGTTAGTTTTTCCCATTTTTCCTAACCCTCTTGTTCCTGCATGGGGAATGTTGCTGAATAGTGAAGAATCCTCCTCACTTGAATAAATAATCTTTTGTTATATTGTTATAACACTATTTGAGCAGAATTAACCTTTTAAACACAATAACACGTTTTTTTTACAGTTTAATCATTTATCATATGTGTCATTTATTATGTATGGTGTTTGCACAATGAGTCCAATAATACCGGAGGCAAAAAATAATTTTTGCCTCAGGTGTAATTTCCATGCCAAGTTGTAACTCGCTGGAGATTTTGGCCAAGCTTTGTACATCTTCATCAAACAGTAGCTTTTTTCCTTTTTTCCTTACATATGGCCCTTTGCGTTTTGGGATGTTGCAGGTCAAAGATCACTGACTTTGAGAATTAAGTCTTTGTGAGTTTGGAAAGGCCTTTGGAGAGTACATTTCCTCTGTAGATGCTGCAGAGGCCTTCACTGATGGACAGCACAGATGTTACACATGTTACAGTAAAGTGACTTATCAATAATTGAGAATGAGTCGGGAACTATATCGCAATATCTCTCAACAAATACATCCAAATTAGTATTAGTATTACTGCTGTTAAATCCTTTAATTAGTAATTATCTACGCACTTACTTGCTAAAGTGTGCATACTGTGAGATCGCATTAACAATTTTACGTATGCAGCCCCACGTTGAAATGGCATCTCCATCTAGAACAGGTGTGGGAAAGGTTGGCCTGTTGTTTGGATCCATGTCAGCTTTTCACCATGGGAACAGACAGAAATGCATGTCCGACTTCAAAAATATATCTTTTGAAGTCACAGAGCAGTGTACTCAGGACAATAAGGCAATCTCAATCGAAAACAAACAAATAGTACAAGGAAAACTTTTAGGTTGAAATACCCATGTCATTGCGCAGTGCTGCTTATTTTGTCATAACCTTTTCTACACAAAATAACGGTATACACAGCATGCTGTTGCTGATTATTACTATTTTTAACTTTTTAGAATGATCAATTAAATTATTTTATTTTTTTGCTGCTACTGGACACCTGAATTTCTCCTACGGGGATCAATAAAGTATCTATCTATCTATCTATCAGTATGTTATTGGCGCAATTTCTAAACTCAGTGAAACTTTGTGCAGATATGCTACGTCATGGGTTGATTTTTGGTTGTGTTTTTACTGCTCAAATGAATAAAAGTTGTATGAATAAAACTGAACACTGCTTCAATTTCACAAAGGAAGGTGCTACTGTAGCCTATTACTTCAAGTCTTAAAAACATTACTTCAGAACTAGTTGAAATGTATGGTATCTTGATTATGATTTGCATGTCTTTTGTTGAAAAGAGATCAACATTTTAATCTTTTGATGGTGCTAATGTTATAAACAATTTCACATTTGCTTTCTTGTGTGCAGGGAGCCCGTGTGTGGGTGAAAGAGAAGGAGCAACTGGTTCCAGCTACAGTCAACTCCTGTGGGGATGGGACCCTGGTGCTCACCACAGACTATGGAGAGGTAACAATCAAGCTTCTAGTTTACTATAAAGAAAAGTCCTTTCTGACGGAATGAAACAGAACATTTCAGCTACTTGTTCCTACTTGTTAGGAAGGAAGGAGATTTTTTTTAATACATTTCATACATGAATTGCAGCTAATACCAATGCAATCTCCCACTTCAATCTATATAGTACTAATGATTGTAACTTCAGGCCTATGGACACGCTTCGACTGAAGCGTGTCCATAGCTCGAGGGTAGAAGTTGTACTTCCCTGGTAGTACAGCTTCACTAGCTCATCACACTTAGCCTGTTTGTGAGTGTGATGAAGGTCTGCAGTCTTGTCGACGGGACCCTGGGGGAAAGGCAGTTCCTTATGTGTGTGGAGTGTTAGAGGTGTGTATGTGTAGAAGAACACCAGATGGACAGTGTCAGAACCTCCTCTGTATAGGCAGCTTTAGTCCCGTTCATGCTACAATGGTCGTGTCATCAGCAAATGTGATGAGTTGAAGTTACACCATTGGAGTTGTGGTGTGCAACACAGTCTTGAAGAGGGAGTAAAGGGCTGGGCTCAGGACACAGCCCTGGGGCTGACCGTGATGCTGGAGGTGTCTATCAAGAAATCCCTCACAAGAATCTGTGGAAGAGAAAGGGTGAGGAGCTGGTTGACCCATTTTATTAGGCTAATTTGTAAATTTCTCCACTGTGAGATCAATAAAGTTTATCTTAATTGTAGTAAAATTCTGAAATAGCATCTTGACATAGCTATCAGGAGTTGCGTCTCACCAGACAAAAACTATATGCAAGAAGACCTATTTAGTCTTCCATTCATGTTCTGCCCCTTAATCCATTTCTGGGTCGGGGAGGTGGCAGTCAGAGCTGCACTCAATTCACAAAGCACCAGCCCCTCACTGATCCTCCTGCAGGTGATCAGTTCAGTTCAGATACATAAATAACATATTTTCATGTTGGGCAAGTTCTTTATGTGTGGTCTACAGGTTTTCAGTCTCAAGGTTATTCTCCAATCAGAAAGCAGGATGAGCTTCTGTTACAGTATCTGAGCAAATCTTTATTTATCTCTAGTTACTGGAGTAACTTCTCACATACTCCATGGTGAACATTATTAGAACGTGTTGAACTCAAACGTAGGCAACACACTTAAATAATTCCCCTACATTGGCGCTTGTACGTGCCATTTCCAACAGCCCATCGTCCTCCCTCTCCTTATTCATATTCTATATTCATCTCATCTGTGACACACTTTTATAATCCAGAGGGAAGCCTGAGGAGATGTTCGCTTGTTTGAGCATTACTTTAACACCTAACCATTACTACATGTCCTGAATTCAACCCTCACACACCACAACCTGCAACAATATTGAACATTTATATCTTTTATAGCAACTGTACCATCAAAGCTAATAGATTTGCATTTAGCTCTGAATGTTGGCTTCTAAATGTTGCAAGCCATCTTTGCCTCTTGAAGAAAATCTGCACTCTTAAAGGCTTCACAAATGGTTTCTGTTTTAGAATGTTTGGAAGCAACGAGGAGGGATAGCACCAAAAAATGGTGCTCTGAATCCACTTGCATTGATTTGTGGAATATAGCCGTTCGGTTTTAGCGATAGTGGGGCCCATCCCCCACTTAACCGCTGCTCTGCCCGCCTCAGCGTTGGGTGTTTAAATGTTAGCGCAGTAAGAGCTAGTGAATATTTGATGGTGATTCAGCAGGAGGCAAGCATAACACTGTGAGGACAGGAAATGGCCCACACCGCTGTCCCTCAGTCAAATGTGGACCTGGTTGTAGTTCCTAATCATTTAGGAAGTGGGCGGTGTGGGCATGCTGAGGGGTTCATTTTTGATCGCCCATGTACTGTACTTTCAAAGGTGAACTTCTCATAGAGCGTTCATCAAAATATTGCTTCTTCTTCTACCCAGTATCTATTTGTGATAACTTGGCGGCACAGTGGGTAGCGCTCATGTTTCCCCGTGTCTGGGTTAGTTTACTCCGGGGGCTCCAGTTTGCCCCATCACCCAAAACTTTCCATAGATAAAATCCATTGGAAGGATTGGTTAAATGCAGAGACAAGAAAGTATACGCTTATAACTGAATAGAACCGTGGTCTTTAACTTGATTTATTAACATTTGCTCTGAAATTTTAGTTCATACGATTGGTTGGTTGTATGGTTGTTGATTATAGATAATTACATTAACCCAGAATTTTTTTACTTTTACTCATACACCATTGTTCTGTAGATACTAGAAGAATAAAGTTAAATTGAAAAAACATGATTGGACAAAATGTTTAATATGTTATCTGTGATTCCAAGAGGAATTAATAACTACTTCCCTTCACTAGTATCTGTGCATATTGGATATCAGAAGACATGGATTGGTGGATTGGAGATTTTCTAAGAATAGTACTGTTAAATGTGAAATGACATCCAGCACAGCAAATGGAAGTGCTTTGATGATTTAAATATTGCAAAAGATGGCTTTAAAGTTTTATTGCATATGAACTATCACATATCAAAGTATGACAAATAGTATTAAGATGACTCCTACTCTTATGTGACTGTGCATTTAGCATATGGAGAGTCTGACCCATGACGAAAAAATAAAAAAACAAAGCTTTGTGTCAAATCAGCAGAAGGCTCCACTCTGCATCATTCATAAGCCATTTAATTCTACACTAGAGAGCAGTATACTCTAACAGCTCTGCATGGAACCTTACTTAGCGGAGGTAGCGCTGTAAGCAACCATTACTTAGCATCTATTAGCCTTCTGTGTAATCAAAATGCACTAACTGTCTGCCATAGTGGGTCTACTAATAGCATTCGTTAAACACTGTTAGCAGACACATGTTTTGCCTGGATTCAAATGTTTGGGTCTAATCTACATCATAAACGATTTGAAACAAACATTCAAGAAGCTTACCCCCACTAGAAAAGATGGAGATAGAAAACATTAGTTTATGGAGACAATTCAAGTCATCAGCTGTAAATGAACCAGGAGTAGAAGCCACCAGCATTGGACCAGTACTGCATCAAACCCTGGAGACATAACATGTAATCTGCTGTCAGTCTATAAACGATGGATGAAGTGGTTTTGCTGTGAGGGAATTATTTTGAATGGTCCGTGGGCTTATGATACAATCAGATTGAACAGGATACATTTGATGAATCAGAAGTGGGTCAGTGACACTTTCTATTATGTCAAATGCAGAGAAATCAGTGGCTTTGAGGGAAGTTATTTTGATTATGGATAAAACTGTTTCTGAGATGCATTTAAAGAGACTTTGTCTTGTCGGCTGACTCCATTTAGATCAATATAATAAAGCAACAAAACATAACTTGTTGGAGTGTTGGAAAAATTAAGTAATTTTTGCATAATTTAATGGCAATAAAAAGTGAATGCCATTCTCTTTGATCTGAATCATTAGACAATAAACAAAGGAGTTTTTGAAAAGTTTTTTGCAAGTACTCCATTTATCACGTTGACAAAAACACGATACAATACTATCTTGAGCTGACAGATGTAACCAAAGATGGCTCACCTCCTTTACATCAGAAGCTATTTATCTATTGCCATTACTTGCTGTAAAATGAATAGGAACTTTAATTGATTCATTGATATTTGCTGAGGTTTTGCTACTAGATCTCGATGCTACTGTCTGTGACCTAAATTTGAGAGCCGAAAGGGAAAGCGAGCGTGAGATGGACTAACACAAATGAGCTCCTACTACAGAACACAAATCACTGCAGTGCAACATCAACCAGCCAGACTCATCCTCTCATACTCTGGCCTATATTTGACCATTCGGAAGTGTGCAGTCTTCTAATTAACCATTTATTTCTTGCAACATTAATAATAGTAGTAATACTTTTTATTTATAAAGCACTTTACATATGCGAACACATCTCAAGGTGCTACAGCAATTTAAATTACGTTATATCAAGCACTCTTCTCACATGAAAAATGGCTGTTTCATGGTTTTAGAATTCAGTGTATGTGTGTATGTGTATTTACAGCTTTCTCAGCCAGCTAATGGGCTAAATGTATTGTATCCTTATTCTTTCTTTCTGTTTTATTCATGAAGAAACTGTTGCAAATTATAATAATATTCTTTTAGGAATTTGAATGCAGCTTGTGTTTTCACATATAGGTCAGTGGTGTCTCTTTTCTGCTGCGGATTTTCCTAATTCCAATTGCTGTGTGGGAGTGTGTTCAAAAGATGGTGGTGAACAAGGCAGCAGAGATGTGGGGCAAGGAAGTAATCAAAGCAGAGATGTGGGGCAGAGATGCCTGTTTGATTGTGCTGGAAACATTGTGAGGCAAAAGTATTCTTCACATTTTGCTGCATCTGACAACAAAACATTGAATTTGAGATAATTTTACAGCATTTGTCCATGGTCAAAATCAGACCTGAGGTTGTTTATAGCTCCATCCACGCCAATATTGATATTCAGGTGTTTTCTATATCAATTATACATGTTTATTTTTCTGTTATTATTCAAGATTATGTTTCAGGACTGTTTGCTTGATATGGCTTCTAGAGAGCCCTGTGAAGAGGCCTCAATGAAGTACATTCAAGATTTCTACAAAAATAACAAATGACACAGTCACAAACGTGACCTTCCCTTTAACAAGTCATCAGCAGCATATCAGCAGCAGCGGCATCCCTGACAAATATGGGATGTCTAATGCATGCCATCAGTTAATTAAGTGTGTCAATAAACCAGAGCGAGACCATAAACACATGCTGAACTGGTGCATGGAGGTCACACTTGTTATTTGTGAGAAGCATCATCAAGAATCTCCACTTGCCCTAACATCTGGAACCGCTGTTCAATTAACACTTGTGCAGTTACAGGTCACTACTCTCATCATATCTGAATTACTGAATATATTCAGTGATGGGATAATCCCAGTCTCAAGTTTAAGAAAGTTTGCTTCAACAATACAGGTAAATTAATTGGGACTGATACAATTTTTAGTGCAAAAACACACATGCAACAACACTATTACTCCATGAAGAGAAGCAATTAGCTTTGGGCCTATAAAATGACTAGAATCTGTGTTGTATTTGTGCTGGTGTGAAGTGGTATAAGAAGTTATTTATGTCTTCCTCTAAGTATTTACAGTGTTCCTAGGCCTGTAGTGGTTGTCAAACAGTGCTATTTGTTGTATACATGGAGCTTGTCTTCAAATATACATGGAGCATGTCTTCAAATTTGCATAATATATATTTGTGAACTATATTATGCAAAGTTTTATTCAATTTGGCATAGAATTTTATATAATTATATAGTGAAAGAATATTAGTTATCAACATTTATGGACATTGCCCCTTATGGATCAATAGTAATGTGTTTTGCATTTCTTGTGTTTGAACTGTTTGATTCTCTGATCTACATTGTTTTTATTTTAGTTGTAGGCTAAGGCCTTTGGCCACAGCAGATACTAAAGTGTTGAGACAGGGGATACTTATGAAGATGCTTAGGCAAACCCTGGGCCGATGGGGGTGGGCCCTTAATAAGAATGTATATAGCAAAAAAACAGCTTTACAAGATGGTCCAAAAGTCAGCTCTTGGCCAAAAGCTATGTCCAACGTGTGTGTCAATGCTGAGGGGAGTGTATTTATTTGGACCAGTCTAGTTTAGTCGCTGTTGAATTTTGAAGGCACTCGTTAAATGAATGGGGCTCATGCAGACTGACGCATGCGCAGATGCGTTTTTTGCCCATAGACGGCGAAAGTGGTGGCACATTAGTTTCAATGACGGAAATAGCCGTGACTAAGTTCCTTAATATTTACATTCTATGGTTGGACCCCAAAGCAGAGACAGAGACGTGTTTGGAATAACCACCCACCATTTACTTACAAGCAAGCAGTGGACACAGAAAGCTGGCTGGCAGGCAGAATGTTTGGACCTAAACACAAGACAAAAACGTGATGCAAAAAACTGGCAGAGAAGTGGACCAGTGTTTTAAGAACAGGATGATGTGGATGACTCTCCAGCCACGCCCCCTGCATTATTCATCTAGAAGTAGTAGTCTGTTGGTAAATCTAATGGACAAACCATATAGAATCCCCAGAGCCCAATGGAAAGTCCAAATCAGGCCTGCTATGAACCAGGAATGAGGAATAATTAGGTCATATCACTGGTCTCTCTCTTATTTGAGAGAGACCAGTTATTCTCTCTCTTATTTGAGAGAGACCAGTGATTCAGCCTAATCTGCATTAGCTACTGTCCAGAAAAAGTCCCCAGATATTTTCAAGCTAGTATTTCGGTGTGTGTTTGTAGGTCACATGTAGCATTAGGGTTATGCACAGTCGGATGGATGCCATGGCCGGGAGTTCTGTTTGCGCTCGGCGTGCCACAGCCCTGCACATTGCTAGCATAGCCTCTGTGGCACTTAGCTGAAGAGATTTATTCAAAAGCAAGATGTCTTAACGCCTCCAGCACTTCTCTGCAGACACACACACACACAGCATCTGCTGCTAATGTGGTTGTACCAATGCACTTTAAGGTAGCACTGCTAACAAGCTAGAATGGTTCATTTTGGCTCAAAGCTGTTAAGTTTTATGTCAATGTGCATTTCATTCCGGGTCAAGACTACAGCTCAACAGTAGTCAATGTATACAGGCAAGAGTAAAAGTCGGTAAGGTTTGTTAGCGATAATACAAAGCTGAAAATGGGCAGAGTAGAATTCCCTGTTGAAACTCCCCACAGGAGTTTTGAAAAATCCAAATTGAAGAAAGAATGAGGGCTAACTACCAAACCATCTGGTAAAAAGCTTGACACTATTTACTTGAAACTTGAACAACTAAAAGTATATTCTTGTAATTTAATTGGTCAAATACATTTTCTGTTCATTGGAATAGTTCCTCGGAATTGTGAAATATAAGTGTAAAAATGTACTAGTACAAGAAATATAGCAAAACCTGCATAACTCTTGAATATGTTTGTTGTATGTGTAAGTTGCATTATGTGTGAATTAGTCTTTTTCCATTGTCCTGTAAAATGTTGTTATAGTATAAAATCTTAAAGACTCATAATTGTATAAAGGAAAATGATTCTCTTAACTCTTAACATAGGCTTGTGCATTGTGCTGTTGGATGTGAGCAAGTCCCGTGAGCCTGAGGACATACCTGTATTTAGGTGAGAGGCGTCACATTAGATCTGCTACTATTGCCACTACTCTCTGTTCTGTGACCCAATTCTTGTCTATTTTGGAGCCTCTCTGGTTGTCAAGTGCAGTTATATCAAGTGTACAGTATGTCAGAGTGAATCCAGTTTGCAGTAATTCGTGGGTGGGTCATAATTATTTTAAATGGAAAGTGAACGTTCCAAAGAAAAAAAAGATGTTTAGCAGGTTATCTCTTTTATCCTCTGTTGTAATCTTGCACATTATTATACGATGTCAGCTCTTTTGGTAAGAGTAGTAAAAAAAAAACCTGCATTTATCTTTAGTTGAGCTGACAGTTCTGCATGACACATGTTGTTAATGTAAGAATGGATATGGCCTCTGCCCCTTTATTTTGTAATTGAGGAGACTAATTGTAGTATGCATGATTCTCTAGTCTGCTTCTGCTGTCTTAAAAAAACGGTGTCTTTGTGTTGTAATCATGGTTAATTCATGACAAATGTAAAATCCTCCATGCCTGATTCACATATCAATCACTATCTCAATGTGGACCACCCAAGTTTCTCACCTTTTCCCACTGGGTTGTTCAGGGTCTGTTGGACACTTGTGAGGGTCTAACAAAAATGACTGTGGTGATGATTCAGGACACATTTATGGACATTGGTCATCTGCCCCTTATGGACCAATGGCTCTATGTATTTGTATTTTGTATTTTGTATTTATTTGTTGGTTTCAAACATGCATATACAGACAAAATGTTTAAGTTCACATGAATTCCGGAGGAATTGTTTGAAAAGGAGTGGGTGAAAGTAAAAAACTTATTTAGTCCCACCCCTTATCCAAAAAAGTGTTTTACTTTAGTTATGTGTTCCACATTCCTTTTGCTTTTACAGAATATACAAGTAATATATATACATACACTTACACACATATATGTATATTCAGACATACAACATACATACACATACACTTTTATACATACACATACACTTTTATATACACATATACGCATACCTACACACACACTTATAGAAACATATAGTTTCAATTCCTTCCTAAGGTTTTTGTTTCTCATAACACTTGAAGAATGTATTTTTTAAGCTATTTTTAAATACCTTTATGTTATCACTATTTTTTAATTCCACAGACAATCTATTCCATAATCTTATTCCACTTACTGATGCACAGAATCTTTTTCTGGTTGTCCTCACATTTATGAATCTAAAATTACTTTTGTGTCTCAGATTATAAGACTCTTCCCTTTTAATAAACAGTTTCTGAATATTTCCAGGTAAACATTTTTTGTTTGCTTTGAATACCAATTGTAAAGTCTGATACTCTACTAAGTCCAGCAATTTTAGGCATTGCTGGAGGCATATGTGTTTTTAGTTGTTGGCGAATTCAACGGTTTTGTTAAGTCCTTTGAGATATAACTGTTTTAGGGCTATACAAGAATAAATTGAATTGAATGGGCTTGAATATTCAAAGCCTGACTGTACATAATAATGAAACGTGTGTGTTTTGTGCACAGGTGCTGTATCTGCAGACGGCGGAGGTCACCAGGGAGAAGGTGTACGCCATGCACCCGTCCAGTATTAGCGGGGTGGAAGACATGTCGGCCCTGGCAGAGCTCCACGAGGCGGCCATCATGCACAACCTGCACCAGCGCTACCAGAAGGACAACATCTACGTGAGTGCAGCTCTTATCAATGTGGTTGTTATAGACACGTTGAGCATTTTCAATAAATAAAAAGAAAGAAAATCAAGTTTTATATTATCGCTATATGCAAACAACGATAGTATCTTGTGCAGCCGGGCTGGGCCGGAAGTTTACAAAAACTGTAAAAATACATATCATCACTTCACTAATCAGATGTTTAAGAAAGCTCGTCAGTGGCTCTTCTTTTTATGGAAACTTATGGAATTTTTAAATAACTCTAAGATTCTGTTTAGCTTTTATCGATGCACCATTGAAAGTTTGCTTGTTGGTTCTGTGACTATGTGGAAATATCACAGCCAAAGACCGGAGAGCTCTAAACAAGGTGCTCCGGTCTGCAAAGTGGACTGTAGGCTGTGAGCTGCATGTTCCAGACTTTTAAACCGAGCTCTTAAAATAATCATTGCCTCTTCTGGCCACCCTGGTAAAGCCATGTTCCAGCTTCTTCCCTCGGGCAGAAGATATCGGTCGCTGAGATGCAAGACATCGCACTATGCTAACAGCTTCTTTCCACTAGCTGTTAGGTGTCTGAACAAAGCACTTTAACTGTTCTTTTCACACCTTGTATCGTTTTTTTGTCGTTCGGTGTCACATTGTCAGCTGTTTCTATTTATGTTCAGTGTATGTGTATTTTATTTTATATTACATTGAGTACCTTTTTCTGAAAATGTATTCCAATGTGGTTTTTTATACTGCACATGGCAAATAAAATTAATCTGAATCTGATAAATGAAATGATTCATCTTTAAAAAACTATAATCACATTAACATACAGTAAGTACCCACTACAGATAAGTACACTGTGCATTTATGGTGTTTCAAACTAATATTTACAATGATAGTTCAATTCTTGGAACAGATCTGTGACTTTCTGAGGACTGGTCTGAGTTCACTTGACCAATTATTAAAGTATTGCACATTTGTTTTACTACAGGTGAATGGTATACTGTATGTACAGAAAGATGCACACAATATTAACTGGGGTGGGGAAGGTGTATTACATGGGGAGAACTTTTGGATTTATTTTCTATGCATTGAATGAACCTGGGAGCGTTTTAACTTTTTATTAACACTATTGACATGACTGGAGCCTGTATAGTGACTTTTCAGACAATTTGAAATCCTGCCTTCCTGAAGGATTAGTATGTTCTGTCAGTCCGTCTCTCTGTGTGATCTAATCTAGATGATGAAATATTATCCAAACAAGGATTTCCCATAAGCTGATCATAAAAATTCACCCGTGGGTCATCTTTCTGTCTTATGGCTTTTAGAGGGTTTTTTTAACTATTTTTTTCCAAAGTGCAAACACAGGAGAATGTGACACCGCAGAAGGCTGCTGACCTAACATTTAGCGATTTCTAAAAACACACGATGGCCCAGACTGCTCTTTGATATTTAGTGTAACATGGAAACTGAAAGCGACATTTGACGTTTGACTCATTCTATGTAGACGCTTTTGATATCAATATGAGAGACATTTTCCATATCCTATCCCGTTATTAAAATTGATGGATCGAGTTAATTTCTCTCATTAATAGAATTGCCAAATACAAAAATAATGACAGGCATTGGGATTTTATAAACTGTTTTCCACACATAAAACATTTGTTTGTCCTAAGATAAAGAGTCTTGGGAATTTTGTGAACAAATCAAACCACAACATGCTGTCTCCATGGCGATGAACGGATGGCCCTCTCTTTTTCACTTTTCTGTCTGTAAAAGCTTAGATGAGATGTGACCGAGGCCGTGTGAAAAGAAGATAAAGAAGTCAATATGTGTTCTGTAAGTGCCCTTGGGCTGACTGATATAAGTATGTCAGCTAATTTATTCTAACAATTACTTGATAGAAAAGTGAAAAAGGTCCCTAGAAATTTTACTATGAATTGTCCCAGAGAAATAACAGGAATAAACAAAATCATGAGGGGTTTGAATGTGAATTCGTGATTGTTCTTCATTAATAAAGTCAAAAACTGCAGATTTTTATGCAACTGCCTGTAAAAACATTTCTATGATGCCTTTAACAGGAAAACACGTATCAAATAAATCTAATTTATAGATTTCAATAGATTCTCAAAGACATTAATAAGACACACAAACTCCATCTTTAGTGAACATGTTTATATTTTGCAATGTCTGGAGCGGGTTGTAGGAGGTTAGTGTCTTATTGACGGCGCCTGGACACTCCCCTCTGGTCTCTTACTCCTGCTGGTCTCTGTGGCCTGAGCTCCTGCCTCAGAGTGACCTTGTCACACACAGCAGAGTTGTAGAGGATACGCATCTCTCCAAAGTCTTTGGCCTCCTGCAGTAACTTTAGTTGTGTGGCTCTGAGCTGCTGCTTCAGCTGCTGCAGCTCTGAGACAAAGTCCTCAGGAGATGTTTGGCTGGACATGTCCCGCTGAGAGAGTCCCTCTGTGTCCATGGCCCTGGATTCAGATCAAGACATCCTTTATTCATCCCACAGTGGAGGCATTTCAGTATTGTATCATGGGTTAGAGAACAGTAGGAATGAGGAGCACACAGCAAAAGATAAACAATAACTCTATACTAAGGTTAAAATCTCTAGCTTTAGCATAAAAAATAAGTAAGTACAGATTCTCTAGCATAATAAGGAAAGAAATGTAAAATCTCCAACTTAAGCATAATGAAGAAGCAAGAATAAAGTACCTGGAGCTGGCAGAGCTCAGTTGCAGCTCCTGTATGGCTTTGGCCTGGTCTTGGATGCTCTTCTTTTGACTTGCAATAAGACGCTTTGCAGAGACGAGCTCTTGGCCTTGGTTCGTCTTGTCAGACACCGCCTGGTTGTACAGGTAGCGGATATCCCCAAAGTCTTTGGTCAGCTCCCTAAAGCTGCTCTCTGTGGTTTGGAGCTTCCTCTTTGCCTCCATCAGCTCAGAGGTGAGCTCCTGCCTCAGGGTGGCCTTGTCACACACAGCAGAGTTGTAGAGGATCCGCATCTCTCCAAAGTCTTTAGCCTCCTGCTGTAACTTTAGTTCTGTGGCTCTGAGCTGCTGCTTCAGCTGCTGCAGCTCTGAGACAGAGTCCTCAGGAGATGTTTGGATGGACACGTCCTGCTGAGAGAGGCCCTCTGTGTCCATGGCCCTGGATTCAGATCAAGACAACAGTTATTCATCCCACAGTGGAGACATTACAGAACAGTAGGAATGACGAGCTCGCAGCAAAAGATAAACAAACAATAACACTATACTGAGGATAAGTTTGTGTAAGCCCTCAGTCGTACAGGGATTAGTCAAAGCAAAGGAAGGTTTCTCACCCATCATCTGTACTTCTTAGCAAGTTTTCCCGACGTTTCGTCCTCAACCTGGGGACTTCTTCAGGGAATGAATTCTCGGACCGCGCGTTGGAGATTTATAACCTATGGGTGTGGTAAGCCACACCCTAACCCTGATACTAACTCGTAAACAATCTCAGGTCTGCTTGATGTAGAAGGGAGCAGGTCTAACGACCCTGCTGAGGCTAACGACCCTAACTCCTTAGCATGTCACAGACCTATTGTCTGCTGGGATCATCAAGTGGAGTGCAGGTTTCACCCCTCCTAACTCATTAGCATGTCACTGACCTTGTCCCAAGTTAGGGCGTTGTTTTTAGGATGTCGTCATAGATGCGAGGCAAAACAAATCTTAACCCTCCTCCTCTGTTAAGAGAAGGTTTCTGTTTCCTCACAAAAATGGCTTCTTTCACCCCTCTCTCAAACCAATTTTTCTCCCGAGCCAGAATTTTAACCTCTGTGTCATCCACCGTGTGGTTGGAGGCCTTGAGGTGGAGATGAACAGCCGACTGTGGCCCACTAGAGTTTTCTCTACGATGTTGGTAAAGTCGTTTCTGTAGAGTTTGTTTGGTTTCTCCAATATAGTGGTCAGTGCACTCCTCTTCACTACATTTAATTGAATACACCACATTGCTCTGTTTGTGTCTGGGTGTTTTGTCTTTGGGATGCACTAATTTCTGTCTTAACGTGTTGAAAGGTTTGAAATACACAGGGATTTTGTGTTGCCTAAAGATTCTTTGTAGTTTCTCTGAAACTCCCGCCACATACGGTAAGGACACCCCTCTCCTCCTACTTTCTTCTGTCTGCTGGACTGTGTCTCTGGCCTTTCTCGTCCTTTGGGCTTTAGTAAAAGACCACTTGGGGTAGCCACATCTGGAAAGTGCTCTCTGAACATGTTTGGTTTCTCTGTTCTTTCCCTCCGAGCTCGTGGGGACCTGGTGGGCTCTGTGTTGAAGCGTTCTAATGACCCCGAGTTTGTGTTGTAGCGGATGATTTGAATCAAAAGCCAAGTACTGGTCAGTGTGAGTGGACTTTCTGGTTATAAATCTCCAACGCGCGGTCCAAGAATTCATTCCCTGAAGAAGTCCCCAGGTTGAGGACGAAACGTCGGGAAAACTTGCTAAGAAGTACAGATGATGGGTGAGAAACCTTCCTTTGCTATACTGAGGATAAAATCTCTAATGTAAGCATAAAGGAGAAAGTATAGATTATCTTGCATAATAAGGAAACAAATGTAAAATCTCCAACTTAAACATGAAGAAGCAAGAATGAAGTACCTGGAGACGTGTTTCTCTCTGGCAGAGTTCAGCTGCAGCTCCTGTATGGCTTTGGCCTGGTCTTGGATGCTTTTCTTTAGATTTGCAATAAGGTGCTTTGCAAAAACGAGCTCTTGGCCTTGGTTGGCTTTGTCAGACACTGCCTTGTTGTACAGGTAGCGGATATCCCCAAAGTCTTTGGTCAGCTCCCTAAAGCTGCTCTCTGTGGTTTGGAGCTTCCTCTTTGCCTCCAGCAGCTCAGCGGCAGAGTCGTCAGCCCGTTGTTGCTAAGTTTGGAGCTTCAACTCTTGGGCCTTGTTCACCTCAGCCTGAGAGCTGATTTCAGCCCATGCTTCTCGGAGCTGTTCGCGGAGAGCCCGCACCACCGCACTCTCCTCCAGAGGAGAAGGCGGCTGGATGATGGACTCCACCAGGATGTCCTGGTGCTCAGGCTCTTGAACTCCCCCTGGTGGTGTTGGGGCGAGCAGAGCCTCCAGGTCAAAGGCCTCAGTGTAGAGGCGTTCGTCGTCCTCAGACGTGTACAGGTTCCAGTCCTTCATGGTGTCTGCTGTAGCAGGCTCTTGGACGACCCCTGGTGGTGTTGGGGCGAGCAGAGCCTCCAGGTCAAAGGCCTCAGTGTAAAGGCGTTCGTCGTCCTCAGACGTGTACAGGTTCCAGTCTTTCATGGTCATTTCTGCTGTAGCTCTGGTTTGCATCTGTGCGTGTCAAGTGTCAGTGTCTGAATGAGGCAGATTGGTCTCTTAGCACTAAAATGATCTTGAATGATCTAGAATGTGTGTCATAGCGATTACATCGTTGCATTACATCGCTATGGCAGTATTTGTATTGTTGCTATGGTAATTTTTTATCAACCTGAAATAATATTTTTCAAAAAAGGCACAAAAGTCCAGCTTTAATGGACAAAAGGAGAAGTTGAAGTAGGCTTCCCTGGGCCTAAAGCTGAGGCACAATTGTTCTTATTTTCGTACTGGACACAGAACGTAATGTGAATCTAAATTTGTATAAATAGATAGATAGATACTTTATTGATCCCCGTAAGAGAAATTCATGTGTCCATTAGCAACAAAAATAACAAATAAAATTGATCACTCTAAAAAGCTATCCATAGTAATAATCAGCAAAAGCCCTTCAGGTCACAGCAGCAGAGGTGGAGTAGCCGCTGGATGGAGCTGGACAGGTCACAAGGTGGATCAGCAGCTTGGTTCTGACCATTTTCTCTGCTCTGGTCTAAAGTAAAATGTCAAACGCTGCATTAGCATTTTTCAAAAAGTTCTCCATTGGATTTTTGCCTGATCCGCCTGGTTTGGACCATGAATCCTCTCTGCTCCGGTCTGGACCAGTGCAAAACCATGAACACTGTACTGCAGGTATAAAAAAGCAAGAAAAATAAAACATTTAAAGCACAAAACAACAACTGTTTCAGAGCTACAGGGTATTTGAAATAAATAATTTCCAATTTGTTAATGTGTGTATATTTTTTTTTTATATGGACTCCAGTATGAATAATATCCAGAAAAAAAAAAACATTACCAATGAAGAATCAAAAGCAAAAACAAAGAACAAAAACAGTATAAACTGTATCACTACTTGTATCCAATGTAACTTTATGTGTATTTGATCCTTTGCAGTCACTTCAGCTCAGATCTCAGCACAGACTCATAGTGTGAGAAACTGATGAATACAACATAACTGTTTGAAGCATGTTTCTTTCTCAAACTCACTAAAGACTTTAATGTATCAACCCATGTGTAAAATAGCAGATTCAAAGTAAAATAGAGTGTGTAATTTCCATGGGTTTGTTCTATAAGGAATGTGCATGATAAATAAGCTAGCTCCAAGGCTACCCTTAAAACTTGCAACTAAAAGCACTTTAGGTATATAGGAGAATCTTCTTCTCCAGGTGGATCGTAGTCTTCCTAGTTGTTAATCATTCTGGCGATATGTGACATAAGGCTGTCGTATGTGCTCGTCAAACACGACTGGAGTGTTTTTGGGAGATTCTTTCACACAATGGTGTGCGCTATAAGCCCTGGGGTTGACTTCCCACTTATGGCCCGTACTCATCAAGAGCAGCGAGTGACCCACACCTCTCCTCGGCAGAGTAGGCTCGCGTGTCGTGGCTGTACACTCACCAGCAGAGCACGCACTCTACTTCCACGTTTCTCTATACTTATGAATCATAGAATAATACATTTCATCAATATATTACCATTGTCTGCAGTATTTGTGTAATTGATCTGAGAATGTTTGCTTCCTTAACACAGTCATACATTGTTGTTGGTTGTCCATCTTTCCCGAAGACTTCCATTAGCTGACACATTAAGTGGTATTTGGAACCAATATATTTTATAGCTTCATTGATTCCATTAAACTCATTGTTAATAAGATTGCCTTTGCACCGGGGGTTCTATCCACCTTTAAAATCTAAAATGTCATTAGACACGATGTAATATGTAAAGCATTTTTGGGTAGTATCATAGTAATTTGTGTTTTATTTGCGTAATATTTAAAACTAGTCTACTTTTTTTCTCTGTATTTGTTTTTGTTTTCTAAAGCTTGGGTATTTATTAGGGCTGTCAAAATGATTGCATTAACGCACGTTGTTAAATTTTTTCATTAATCGCGTTTAAAAAATTAATGCATTTGACGCATGTGCCGAATGAGCCGCCCATACATCCCATAATAACACTCAGAGTATTAATAAACAAATACAGTACATATGTACACTATGTTGTTATTTATCTTTCCATTCAAACAACTATTTACTGAAAAATATGGCACAATTTTGCGAAATGCGATTTACTCATTGACTACCAGCCGTTTTGGATGATTTCACTGATTCTCAAGAACCACGGAAAAGTGTGTGCTATGACTTATACTTAAACCAGATTCTGAAAGACTGGATTGTCTACTTTCAGCAGCAAAAATATGTTGGTTTCTCGCTAGTTTTGTTGTCCTGTAATCCCCAGTTGAACAGAGAAAAGTTTGACAGAAAACACCAGTCTCACACAAATAAGTCAATGGCAGTCAATGAGTTAATTACAATTAATACATTTTTAAGCTGTATTTAACTTGATAAAAAATAATTGTTTAACAGCCCTAATCAGGAGTTTTTTATCCAAATCCCTGCTTACAGTACTTACATACTTGTCACAATCTTTCACGTCTCTCATCCCAAAACGGACTCACGGGGATCTTTGTTACACGTTTGCAGTTTGCAAAGGAGGATCTTGGAGTGACGTTGTTGTTTATAGTTTTTTTCGCGCCGGTCACGTGACTGGGTGGCAAAACAGCAGCTACCTGGATGCCAGAGAGTTAGCTAGTTTTAGACATTTGGAGAAAGGTTTTACTAACTCAAATGGTCCATTCTTGTTGTGTGGTTGGTTGTACCTTGATCTAAACTTGATCTGGCTGGGGCCAGATCAAGTTTTTTTCTTTCTTCTAATTCCTTTGGAAAAGAACAACAAAAAACGGCCGCAGTAAAGTGGTCTGCACATTAAAACCGGGTTGCCTCTTTATGCTGTTACCTACGGTAAATGTAGAAAGGGAAGCCGGGGGGGATGAGGGGATAAAAATTCATTAAACATTGCATTTTGGTTGCTCATCCCCGCGGGCTCCTTTTCCACATTTACTTTCATTAACAGCGTAAAGGAGCAACCCGCTTTTAATGTGCGGACCACTTTACTGCGACGGCAAAAAGCCGGGCCACTTTACCGCGGTGAAAAACGTGAGAAATGGTTGTTCACCACGGACCCTTCTTGCGTAAAGGGTCCCGGGTTTTCTATGAATTAAAGTGATAGTATGTAACTCTTAAATTAATTACAAATTTTAAGAATTGTAGTAAATTGACCTCCTGGCCTTAAATGTTTATATAAAATAAGTCATTTTATTAATTCTAATATTACAGTTAAGTCCCGCCTTCACTTCTCTTAGCTATAGCTCAGAATCCACGATGCCGTCCACGTTAACCAATCGAGTCATACCAAGGGCTGTCAATCATCAGCGCTGATGCTCGAAGCTGCACGCATGCTCAGTTGTTTGTTTTCGTGGAGCCTCCGAATCAAACCTCTATTAGGCTCTGGAACTACATGAAAACTGAACAAAGAATTCTGAACATCCGAGCTGAGGTACTTAATCTATATACTGAACCTGTATCCATAATCAGATCCTCTGCAGATGTGCAATTCATGATAATAGCTTCCTCCAGGTTTGCCGCAATCGTTTTTTTGTGCATTAAAACATTATTTTTTTCATGAAAACGTTAACAAGTAATTCTGAAAACCTCCGTGCATGTGTATTAATAATGTATATGTATAATGTGTTCTCTGATTAACATTTAAATGTGTTACGGAAACGTAGGCGTACACCAATCAGAAAGGAAGGGGGAGGGAGCTTGCGTCGTTTTTTTCAAATCAAGTACCTCTCTCTCTCTCTTTCTGACAAACTGCAGACAATCACTTTAACAATAAATGTCTCGCAGCAGATCTGTGCCATGAAAGAGGCGAGTCTGACCAACGTTTTTACTCGTCATCCCAGGTCTTATATGGGGTTTGGATTTGTTCAGTTCGGTCTTATATACTTATTATTAGCTTGTCTTTATATTTCCTCTGATTTTCTTGCGTTAAAGTGCTTATATAAAGTGCTATTTGCCCACTGAGTCGTTTAAAAGTACTCGTTGTATCCATACTTCAGTATGTGCCCCTCTGTCTTCTTGCCACTCAGCGTGTGGCGTATGCGCACGTGGACGTAAACAAAGATCCTCCTATAGTGATATTATTAGATTTGAGTGTTCAGTATTTCTAGAACGATATTATTTCGTTATTTTTTACCTAAAATTGCAATCTGCATTGAAACGCAAGAGACAAACAACAAATGCACGCACCAATATCGTGATAAAGGTATTTTTTTGATATATTGTGCAGCCCTACTATCTGGGATGTCGGCCCCTGGACACTGCATTAGATGAAGAGTCAGCATCCTCAAGAATTTGCCAAAAATTTACAATATGCAATGATTATGTAGGTTAAATGCCAGGTATGGGCAGTAGCTCAATTGAATCAGAATCAGAATCATTTTTATTGCCACGTAAGTAACAGGAGGTCACAGACTTGGAAATTGCTTTGGCTCAGTGCAACAGTCAGAAAGAGATAATAAAAATAAGAATAAAAAACACTTCTAAAGAATAAATTTAAATTTAAAATAGAGTTACAGTTACTATTTACAATATACAAGTGCACATGATGCACACAATGTAAGGTGACAGCAGTACAGTGAAGTAAAGTGACGTATGATGGGCAGTAAAGTGACTTTATAAAGGGCGGGGGGACAGGTTAAGAAGTGTTCAAGAGTCCAACAGCAAAGGGGAAGAAACTGTTCTTGTGGCGGGAGGTTCTAGTCCTGATGGACCGCAGTCTCCTGCCTGAGGGGTGTGGTTGGAATAGTCCATGTGCAGGGTGAGAGGGGTCGGCTGTGATACGACCAGCTCGGCCTCGAGCTCGGGCGACGTACAGGTCCTGCAGCGATGGAAGGCCGATCACTTCCTCTGCAGAGCGCACAATGCGCTGTAGTCTCTGTTTGTCCCTGACTGTGGCTCCAGCGAACCACACGGTGATGGAGGAGGTGAGGATGGACTCGATGATGGCCGTGTAGAACTGCACCAACATCTGTGCAGGCAGCTTGGCTTTCCTGAGCTGCCGCAGGAAGTACATCCTCTGCTGGGCCTTCTTGATGAGGGAGCTGATGGTCGGCTCCCACTTGAGGTCCTGGGTGATGGTGGTGCCCAGGAAACGGAAGGACTCCACAGAGGTGATGGGGGAGTCCATCAGGGAGGGCGGGGCGGGGGGACAGTGCTCTTCCTGAAGTCCACAATCATCTCCACTGTCTTCTGGGCGTTCAGCTCCAGGTTGTTACCACTGCACCAGGACACCAGCCGGTCCACCTCCCTCCTGTAGGCGGACTCATCGTTGTTGGAGATGAGTCCAATGAGGGTGGTGTCGTCCGCGAACTTGATCAGCTTCACAGAGTCGTGGCTGGAGATGCAGTGGTTGGTGTACAGGGAGAAGAGCAGGGGAGAAAGAACACAGCCCTGTGGGGCTCCTGTATTTATAATCCGAGAGTCCGAGACATTCTTCCCCAGACGCACTCGCTGCTTCCTATCTGTCAGGAAGTCAGTGATCCACCTGCAGGTGGAATCGGGCACGTTGAGCTGGGAGAGCTTGTCCTGGAGCAGGGATGGCAAGATTGTGTTGAAGGCAGAGCTGAAGTCCACGAACAGGACCCTGGCGTAGGTCCCCGGGGAATGTCAAGGTGCTGTAGGATGTGGTGGAGGGCCAGGTTAATGGCGTCGTCTACAGATCTGTTGGCTCTGTAGGCGAACTGCAGGGGGTCCAGGAGGGGGGAGGTGAAGGACTTGAGATGGGAGAGAACCAGGCGTTCAAATGACTTCATGACGACAGACGTAAGTGCTACAGGTCTGTAGTCGTTGAGTCCTGTGATCCTGGGCTTCTTCGGGACGGGGACAATGATGGAGGATTTGAAGCAGGCCGGGACATGGCAGGACTGCAGAGAGGTGTTGAAAATGTCAGTGAACACAGGAGTAAGCTCACTGGCGCAGTGTCTCAGAGTGGCCGGAGACACGTGGTCAGGGCCAGGAGCTTTGCGGGGGTTCAGCCTCAAGAAGAGTTGTTTAATCTCTTTAGAGGCTATTGTTAGGCTGGGGCCAGGGTTGATGGGTGGGTCGTTAGAGTAATGGGGGGTGGGGGAGGGAGAGGTGTCAGGGGCAGCATCAAAGCGACTGAAAAATAAGTTCAGTTTGTCAGCTAGCTTGTGGTCGTCAGCACGGGGGGGGCTTTGGGTTTGTAGTTGGTGATCTCCCGTAGGCCCCTCCAGACAGAAGCAGTATCGTTGTTACCAAACTGCTCCTGTAGTCGTTCTCTGTGCCGGGACTTGGCTGCTTTCAGTTCTTTCCTGAACTGATATTTAGCTGCTTTGTAGCCGCTGCGATCCCCCTCCCTGAAAGCAGACTCCTTTGCTTTCCTGAGCTGCCGGAGTTTAGCAGTGAACCAGGGTTTGTCATTGTTATAGATGACCCTGGTCCTTGTTGGAATGATGCATTGTTTTGCCTGTGTTTCCACAGACCAACATCGGCAGCATCCTGGCCGCCGTAAACCCGTACAAGCAGATCTCCGGCATGTACGACCTGGAGCGGGTGCACCAGTACTCTAAGCACCAGTTTGGAGAGCTCCCCCCTCACATCTTCGCAGTGGCCAACGAATGCTACCGCTGCATCTGGAAGCGCCACGACAGCCAGTGTGTCCTCATCAGGTGAGACTTTACACAGGACCCCTTTTTTTACGCTCTTCCCCACAGTGGTCTCACGCCAGCAATACAAAGAAGATAATTAATATGCCTAATGGATCGTGCTTATTGCCCACACAGAGCTGATAAAGTCCAAGGTTATGGAGAGGGAGCTGTTCAGACATATCGATTTTGGTCGACAAGAAAGACATAGTAGCGTGCCTGAAAAAATTAACTTGATAGATACCAATATTGCATTTGAAAATTCTATAAAATGGAAAATTTCTGATAACCCTGCTATAGATATCAAGTGATATACTGGCCACAGCAGCAACTACAGCAAAAGAATTATCAATCTAATAATAAATATGTCTGATTTTACTGTTTCTAAGACTTTTGAAATATACCTTAAAACTTGTCATGGTTATGAAGATGCTGATACTAACTTTCATAGAGAATTTGAATGTTACAAATGAAGGATAGCAAGGTTTTTATTTTGGAAGTTTTAATTGTATTTATTGTGAATAGGCTTGTTGACCCGGGACAATAGTGGCAAAGATTTGCCGTGTTGTTTTGATCCAGATATATGCCATCGGGAAGACAGGATCTTCTCAAGTCCCTTGAGATAAAATCTCTAGTTTGAGGAACAAGATTTTTTCCATGGACATATTTATATGGTATAACATCTTGTTGCTTGTTACGCCTTCAGTATGAAAAGTATTCTGAGGTTTTTTGGCAAAAAATCTGCATCAGTGGTAATGAGCCTCTATCTGTGTTTTGCCATCTTGTTTTGTCTGTTTGTTACCAATTGTTTCTGTTTAACCGCCTCCATAGAGTAACAGGCTAGCTCCTGCGTTTTCTCCATATTTTGCATTCTTAGTACAATCTTTGCTTAGTCACTGTCTGTTCCGGACAAAAGCAAAGTTTATCCAGACTATTTATTATACCTCAACATCAATTAATCAGACAACGAGATATGGGAATGTCACAGAAGGTCAGACCCTGTCTCATAAGATTAACAATCTATCTCTTGTGCCTGTCTGTCCGTCTGTCTGTGTCTTAGTGGAGAGTCAGGTGCAGGGAAGACTGAGAGCACCAAACTGCTGCTCCAATTCCTGTCCGTCATGAGCCAGAACTCAGCCGGGACCCCAGGCTCAGAGAAGACCACGCGGGTGGAACAGGCCATTGTACAGAGCAGGTGACATACAGTATAATTCAGCCCTACATATGCATATACTCAAATATTTCCCCTTTTTTTTATATTGATGACTTTGAAATTTCCCCACTGTGAGACAAGTAATGGTCTATCTTATCTTATCTTATAAAGCCAAATTTCAGGACAGAAGCTAGCTGATTGGTCAGTTGTTTGAGGTCATATTTAGATTTACAATAAACCCCAATTTTTTAAGACCAAAAATTGTGAGTGTAACGGTTACAAAGAAAAAGGTGTTTACTTTTCATTAAAAGTGAATGGGAGAAAAGCTTGAGTACATTTTCCTCCATGAGCACCTCCCTAGAGCTAGCGTTAGCATTGGCCATTCCTATATAAAGTCTATGATCCTATGTAACAAAACTTCATCATCCACACTCTCCTCAGCCCCATAATGGAGGCCTTTGGAAACGCCAAGACTGTTTACAACAACAACTCCAGTCGATTTGGGAAGTTCATCCAGCTCCACTTCTCGGAGTGCGGCAACATCCAGGGAGGCTGTATCATCGACTGTATCCTTCACCCAAACGCACTGATCATATTGCACAAGTCGCACAGTAAATACAATCACTGAAATTGACGTTATGTCCTTGACCCTGCCTTACAGATTTATTGGAAAAGGTAAAGGACTTCTGGACGAGTGCACGGTTCCAGTCCAATGTTATTAAGAGATATGCCTGGTCTTCTGTGTAAATCTGAATGAATTGTTAAGTGTTTTGTTGTTTCGATTTTCCTTTAGAACCGAGTTGTAAGGCAAAACCCAGGCGAACGCAACTACCACATCTTCTACGCGTTATTGGCAGGAGCTACAAAGGAGGACAGAGGTAATCCAGCCAATATTTGTTTTACTATTTCCTATTAGACATCTCACTGATTTTCGATGCTGTGTAAGTGACCAGGAAGCTTTCTGATCTTATTGACATTAGTTTTAAATCTGCTCTTCTGTCGTGTTTCCAGGGCAGTACTTTCTGGAAGACGGAGCAGAGTCTTTCCACTACCTCAGCCGAGCGGGATGTTGCAAGGACAAAAGCCTGAACGACAAGGAGGTCTACAACAGCGTCATGGTGAGAGCATTAAAGATTATAGGTTTGTTTGTATGTTCCGTATTGTTTATATGAATGTTGTGTTTGTGTGAGTAGGAAGCGCTGAAGGTGCTGCAGTTTGGAGAGGAGGAGATCAGAGACATGTTCAAACTACTGTCTGGAGTCCTGCAGCTGGGCAACATCGAGTTCATGACGGCAGGAGGGGCTCAGATCACCACCAAGCAAGGTAAAGATATATTTACAGTTTATGGCAGTGTCTCCCAAAGTGGGGTCCGCGGCCCCCTGGTGGGCCGCGAGGGTACTGCAGGGGGGCCGCGGGAGGTCATAAAAAAAATAAAAAAATAATATAATTATTTAATGTTAAATTTATAATGTTTTGTTTGTAATATTAAAATATTTGTGTTCATTATTTGACTTGAATGATCCACTGTAATCATTTTTGTATTACAATGTTTGTAGCAGAGGCTATTTCCCCAAAATAAAATAACCAGAAGAGCCTATTCTTAATGTTGTCTTCTTGGTTATTATTTTGGGGGGCCACGCAGACCCGTCAGATTTTTAAGGGGGCCTCGGTGTTACTGAGTTTGGGAATGGCTGGTTTATGGTAAAGGTAAATGTTATTATGGCGGCTATTGGAAATCTATTCTGGGTGAGGTTGGCCGGTTAGTCAGATTATTCTTTGTTTATTTCAGTCATTGCAGCTTAGTTTACTTTGTTATACGGCTCCTCACAACAGCAGAACGCGTTTACGTTTTCATGACAAAAATGCTGTTTTTAAGCGATCACGGTAAACTCATAAGTAACATTAACATGAATAAAAACATTTAAGACGCATTTGCAGAGGATCTGATTATGGATTTAGGTTAAGTATATGTATGGGACACTCACCGCTTATGTTCATAATTCTTTATTTCGTTTTCATATTGTTCAATGGAGCCCTGTTGGTACTTATTTTCAACCTCTAACTATTTTCATGTAATTACATATTTTATACTAATACTAAAACATTCTAATTGACTATTTTTGACTTTTCAAGTTCCTTGTAACTTGGTGTGTACAAACAAGTAAAGTATCCTAGGTCATTAATTCAGATATATCAACAATTGGAGGAGGAGGCCCCGGGGAAGACCCAGGACACGCTGGAGGGACTATGTCTCTCAGTTGGCCTGGGAACGTCTTGGGGTCCCCCCAGACGAGCTGGAGGAAGTGTGTGTGGATAGGGAAGTCTGGGCGTCTCTGCTTAGACTGCTGCCCCCGCAACCCGGCAACGGATGAAGCGGAAGAAAATGGATGGATGGATGGATATCAACAATTGTCAAAAAAACAGCATTGTTGAATAATGACCTGAATTCAAGTATTATTTTGTGTCACAATTGTAGTTTATTCACTGTAGAAAGTTGAACAATTACAACCTTCGCTCTAACAATTACCTGTTTAAAACAAGTAAAAACCAATTTAATTTAATTTCTTGATTGTACAAGAACCTGAAACTCATAATATTGTGTTTGATGAACTTCAGATAAAGGCTTAAAATCCATTGTTCACTGAATTTCCAAATAATATTCTGGTATTAACAGCAAAAGTAATGAATGAATGAATGAATGAGATTCGGGGAGTGTTCCTATAATCATACATAAAGCAGCACTGTCAATGAACAAGTCCTAACAGTCTGTTCTGTGTGTATCTTACAGTGGTCACAAATGTCAGCGAGCTTTTGGGGCTGGACACTTTCCAACTGTCGGAAGTCCTGACACAGCGTTCCATCATCCTCAGGGGAGAAGAGATCTGCTCCCCCCTCACCATCGAGCAGGTTAGCCCTCATCCCCTCTCATCCCCTCTCATCCACTCTCATCCACTCTCCTCCACTCTCATCCACTCTCCTCCACTCTCCTCCACTCTCCCCTGCACTGCTCAGGAGCTCCCACTAGGGTCCATCTCTTCAAACTTACATAGATCGTAAGGTTAAGAAATTAACCCCGGTTCTCTGATAACATGAGTGAGGTATCTCACATATGGGAACGCTCTCTGGCTGTTTCCCCAGAAGCCCTATTTCACCATGCCAGTCTCCTGATTGGCAGTCAGACGTGACGTCACCTCCAAAGGGAGGCGGGGCTACCGCCTTCTATATAGAGCGTGACAGCACGTCTAGACATCAGTCAAAGCAAGCACACCTCTTCTCGCTCCAGGCAAGAAGGGCGGTCTGGTGAGATACCTCACTCATGTTATCAAAGAACCGGGGTTAATTTCTTAACCTTACGTTCTCTTTCAACATTTCGTGAGGTATCTCACATATGGGATATAGAGACTCCCGTATTGTCAGACAGGCTTACTCGAAGACCAAAAAATGTGAACCTACAGAGGCACTCAAGGTGGAGCCTTCACGCTCAGGACCTTCTGAGACAGTGAGGGGCCCGTGACATCCAGTCTATAAAACCTGACAAAGGTGTGAGGCGTAGCCCAACTGGCCGCCGCACAAATTTCCTCCACCGAGGTACCCTGGAAGAGTGCCCATGAGGCAGCCATGCCACAAGTGGAATGAGCGCGCAGTCCCCCAGGAGGCTGCCGTCCGCTGCTATTGTAGGATGCTACAATAGCTTCCACTAACCAATGAGACAGGCGCTGTTTGGAAAGAGGCTTACCCCTGTGGGGTTTAGCCCAAGATACAAACAGCTGCTCAGATTTCCGAAATGAAGCAGTCCTGTCCACGTACGCGCGCAATGCACGCACAGGGCAAAGTGCATGTAGCCGCTGATCCTCTTCCGATAAAGACGAAGGAGTGGAAAAAGCAGACAGCTCAATCGGAAGGCATGACAAAGTCGGATTAAAGACCTTTGGCATAAAGGAAGGGTTAGGTTTCAGTAAAACCTTAGAATCTCCCCTTATAAACTGCATACATGACGCGTTCACAGACAGCGCGTGAATGTCACTCACGCGCTTTGCTGATGCCAACGCCAGCAGCAGAACCGTCTTAAAAGAGAGAAATTTCAACTCTACTTCATGCAACGGTTCAAATGGTGGTCGAGACAGGGCGTCTAGCACTGTCGTCAGATCCCACGGAGCAACCAGGCTCCTCGAAACCGGCCTCAGGCGCCGTGCGCCTTTCATAAACCGGCATATAAGAGGATGCTGACCAGCAGTCTTGTCTCCAAAGCCAACGTGGCAGGCCGAAATAGCCGCCAGGTAAACTTTAATGGTAGAGAAAGCAAGCCCTTTATCCAACAAACTCTGAAGGAAAGTCAGGACAACCGGCACGGGACTTTGAAACGCGATGTGGCCCAAGTTTACGCACCACTCGTCGAAAGCCCTCCATTTCCCATCATATGCACTACGAGTAGACGCTGCCCTAGCGCTCTGCATAGTAACAATGACATTATCCGGGAGACCAGTAGAGGATAAGTTCATCCTCTCACGGGCCAAACCCATAAAGCCAGGCGCTCTGGGTAAGGATGGAATATCTCCCCGTGCGCTTGAGTCACCAGATCTCTGCGCAGGGGCAGAGTCCACGGGTGATCGCACAGAAGTTGAAATATCTCCGTCATCCACATCATCGCTGGCCAATATGGGGCCACGAGAATTAGGGAGTGTTTCTCCTCTCGAACACGAGAGAGAATCGGAGCAATCAGTTCCAACGGGGGAAACGCATACAGGAGTGTGCGTGGCCATGCATGTGACATAGCGTCCACTCCGAGTGGCGCGCACTGATCTCTCAGGGAAAAATACAGGTGGCACTGAGCGTCTTCCTGAGATGCAAACAGGTCCACCTCGGCTCTGCCGTATTTTCCCCAAATCTGTGCCACAACCCCGCTGTGCAGCTTCCAATCCCTGTAGCGAGGGTTGCCCCGCGAGAGCAGGTCCACACCTCTGTTTAGGACACCAGGGACGTGCGTGGCTCTCAGTGACAGGAGATGAGAGCTGGCCCATACAATCAGTCTGTGTGCTAACACATGCAGCTGATGTGACCTTAGCCCCCCCTGCTTGTTGACATACGCCACCACAGTGGTGTTGTCTGTGGCAACCAACACGTGTTGTCCCCTGATAAGAGGAAGAAAATGTCTCAATGCCAGCCACACAGCCTGGAGTTCCAGGAAGTTTATGTGGCACATCTGCATCTGTGAGCTCCATTTCCCGTTCACAATTCTGCCCTCTAGAGTGGCGCCCCACCCTCGCAGAGAGGCATCCGTTGTAATAAATTTCCTCGCTGTGATTGTGCCTGTAGTCACACCAGCGGTCAGGAAAGTCTCGCACTTCCATGGGTGCAGCGCTCGGACACATTCCGCTGACACCAAAACGGAGCGGTGGCCGTGGCACGACGGATTTAGGCGCAGCGCTGCCACCCACTTTTGAAAGGGCCGCATGTACAGGCGGCCCAATCGTATGGTGACCAGGGCTGATGCCATCAGACCCAGAAGCCTGAGGCACGTCCTGAAGCGCAGCAGAGTGCCTCTGCGGAAGGAGGCCAGACAAGCTCTGAAGGCTTTTATCCTCTCCGCTGATAGGTGTGCTTTGGAAGTGACAGAGTCTAGATGAAGACCAATGAAGTCTATGCTCTGACACGGGACGAGGACACTCTTGTCCCAGTTTACCGTGAACCCTAGGGAGGATAGGTGTGATAAGATCACCCTGGTATCGACCCGGATTTGGTGTGGGGAATGAGCAGCCAGTAGCCAGTCGTCTAGGTACGTGGCTAAGCGCAATCCCCTTGCCCGTAGAGGCGTAATTGCAGCCTCTGTGCATTTCACGAACACCCGTGGGCTCAGAGAGAGTCCGAACGGGAGTACGGTGTACTCGTAGACTACCCCTTGGAAAGCAAATCTTAGATACTTTCGGTGAGGAGGGTAGATAGGGATGTGAAAGTATGCGTCTTTCAGATCTATGGACACAAACCAATCGTTCTGTCGTACCAATTGTACCAGAGCGGTGTGTGTCAGCATCCTGAACGTGTAAGTTCTCATGTACTTGTTCAGGGCGCGCAGATCCAGAATAGGACGTAGCCCTCCGCCCTTTTTCGGCACAAGAAAGTACTTCGAATAGAAACCTGTCTGGGATTGATCTGGCGGTACAATTCGAACAGCATTCTTGTTTAAGAGAGTGTTTATTTCCTCCCGTAGGATCAAAGCCTCTTTTCCTCGCGGTTCTGAGGGCAATATGCCTCTGAACCGGGGGGGCATAGTTGCGAATTGGAGTCTGTATCCTCTTGTGATAGTTTTCATCACCCAATTCGACGCTCCACACTCTCGCCACTGAGGCGCACAAGGCGCTAGTGGGCCCATGAGCCACCTCCCTGGGGCTGTCTGGCTGAGGGGAGGTTGCGATACAAGTGGTATGATGACGCCCTCTAGTGGGTCTGGAGGGTGTCGCAGAAATGACTCTGCGCTGCTCAATGTCTTTCTGTCTACCCCGTTTATGTCTTGCAACATGTGTGGTGGGTGAACAAAAGGGCAAACGTTTATTTCTTTGCAAAAACACGTTTTTATTGAACATTTGTGAGAGAAAGAAGGAGAAAGGCACTGGTGTGTGTCTTCGGACAGCTGCCGTGGCTCCATTGAGCTCTGTGCAGGCACGGTCCTCCTCTTTATGTCGTGAGTGACGAGCGCTGATAGAACAGTCTCTGCGCGTCGTTTCACCGCTCCCACTCGAACCACTTGGACACCGGACCGCGGAGAGGGGGTGGGTGTCTGGCCTGACCCGGTCCTCTCCTGCAGTGGAAGTACGCTAGGAGTCCCGCTTCTTCTTCTTTGCCCCGTGGGAGGCGGGCTGGCCCTGTTGGGGTCCAGTCTTCGCTCTCGGGGCAAAAGGTCTCCTGGTCCACGCACCCTTGAGCTCAGGAGGCGCGCTGCTCTGAGGCTGGGGCTGCGTCGGGCGTTTGGAGTTGAGCTACGCGGCCTGTCCGTTTGGTACCGGCCGCGGAGGAAACTGAGAGGGGACTTTTGAGACGGGCACTTTTCTGGGGAGACAAAGTTGCAGCGCCTCACCCTCACGCTTCTTCTCCTCGCACCTCTTTTGCATAGTGGCAACAGCAGAACCGAACAATCCTTTGGGGTCCACAGGAACATCCAGGATTTCCGTTTTGTCCCGATGAGAGAGGCTGGAGAGGCTGAGCCAGCGGGCCCTCTCCTGCGTAACCATTACTCCCATGGCACGGCCACATGCTTGTACAGCGCATTTGTGGAGGCGTAGGCAGAGGTCAGTGACCACGCATAGCTCTTCCCACATCTCAGCGCTTGGTGAGGCCGTTATGTCATCCTGTATTTCAGCCTGATAAGCTAGAAGCAGGGAGGACGCATTCAGGGCTCTCACTGACGTGGCAACGGCTTTGTAGCTCCTCTCGTTAAGCGTTGTCTGGAGGCAATCCGCTTTCGAGGGGAGCGCCGTGCCACCAGCGGTCATTGCGGACCGCTGTGAGGGATGGAGGTGAGAGGCCACCAGGGGTTCGACGGGGGGAAGTCGGCTGAAGCCCTTTTCTTCCATACCGTACCAGTCCAGCGCGGCCCCTCCCTGGGCGGGGGCTCTTGCGGTGAAAGGTTTTCCCCATGATCGAGTGGCTTCCTCCACACACTCTGGGAAGGCGGGAAAGAGCTGTTTCTCCGAGGTTTTAATTTTCGGAAGCCTTCGGCCCTCGTATCGAGACTTTGCGGCCTCGGCGGGGGCCTCCGGCCACTCGACGCCCAGCTTTGCAGCTGCTCTGCGGCAAACCTCATGCAGGCTCTGTGCAGCAGGTGGAGTCGGTGATCCACTGCTGGCTGTCGCGCTTCCCGGCCTTGTGGCTTGAGTCAGGGTAAATTGCTCCATAATCAAGTCCTCGTCCTCCTCGGACGGGAGACTTATGGGCTCATCCCCAGAGTCGGGAAACTCGACGAGGTTGTCTCCGGAGGCCCCGAGGCCCAGGTCCAACTCGTCCGGGTCTGAGAGAGGGTGCTCAGCGTCCATTTGCATAGACCAGCTGAGCTCCGTGGAGGTGACTCCACGCGGCCTGTCCTCCGACTCTTTCTGTGGCACGGGAATGGTTACCCCCATCACAGGATTTTCCCCCGCTAGACTCGCTTGGCGTGCGAGCCTCCTGCGGCGGGTTTTCTCCGATAGGCGTGCACAGTGGTCACAGGTCACTGTGTCGGCTACGGCATCTCGGGCGTGTTGCAGTCCGAGACATGCAGCACAGACAGAGTGGGAATCTGCTCCGGAGATTTTGTTCCCACATGTGCACAACCTTGGCTGTAGCATAGCGTTCTCCATGGTGGGGAGGAAGGTGTGCTACAGCGTCTCGCCAGGCTAGTATTGCTACTGGCCCCAGCAGCACCTGTTTGAGGACAGACGTGCTGTTAGCTTTGCAGCTAGTGAGTGTAAGTATTGCTACTTATCGCGGTAGCACCTGTTTGGAGACAGACGTGCTACTAGCTTTTCAGCTAGCAAGCCCGTAGTACCTGTTTGGTGACAGACGTGCTACGAGCTTCTCAGACAACAAGCGGTAATGGGTAGCGTTCGGCGTCGGAGTGATTAGCCCCTTCTATGAACAGTTTTAGCTAGCCCGTTAACCACTAGACTGAGAGTAAGCTTCTGGGAGCGAGAAGAGGTGTTAGACTGATGTCTAGACGTGCTGTCACGCTCTATATAGAAGGCGGTAGCCCCGCCTCCCTTTGGAGGTGACGTCACGTCTGACTGCCAATCAGGAGACTGGCATGGTGAAATAGGGCTTCTGGGGAAACAGCCAGAGAGCGTTCCCATATGTGAGATACCTCACGAAATGTTGAAAGAGAACTACAGTTTTGCTCATTCTTGGGTAAATTTTCTCTCAAATTCAAATGTTATGAATTAATCGGATTAGAAAACACTCTCAGTATTTGATGCTTTGGTTTTCCTTTTTTTCCCTTTCATACCTGAAAAAGCTCATATAAAAACGTGAGGCCAATAAATACATACATGTGGAATCTGGTGATTGAACTAAACTGTTGTGAGAGCAAGGACTTCTTCCTTGCTCTCATAACGGGATGTTATGGATTTTATTACTAAGTCATTTTTTTGTATTTAGAAAGTTAGGTACCCCAGCTTTCATCATCTTCAAAGAAAATGTATCTAACCTGTATTCAAAGTCTATAAAGTGAGAAATTTATGATTTGTGTTTGTTTTGTATGGTGATAATGAACAATGCAGTGGGAAACATTAAGAAATAATGCCATAATATCATAAATAACATATACATTTCCAAACGAGAACCTGTTTTCTTCCCACACTGGGGAATCAAATGGTATCTAATTAGCATTTAAACTTCATATGGAAGGCTAACGTATAGGACCTTAGCAACATAAACACGTTTGCTTATCACTGACAAAAAATACTTTTTCGGAAAGCTTGAAAGTACATTTTGCCAGTAATTATTGATCAATCTAATTTCAATATAGATTTCACTGCAAATCAATCATATGTCTTAATCTCTTTTGTGCTTTCCTCCAGGCTGTTGATTCCAGAGATTCGGTCGCCATGGCCTTGTATTCCCAGTGCTTTTCGTGGATCATTCTTAAGATCAACCAAAAAATCAAAGGAAAGGAGAATTTCAAGTCTATTGGGATTTTGGACATTTTTGGGTTTGAGAACTTTGAGGTATTTTCTTACGCTTTTCCCAACCATATTCATGCTTACTGGTGAATCTAAAACTTGTATTTAATATGTCTTTGTGGCGTCAGGTAAATCGCTTCGAACAGTTTAACATCAACTACGCCAACGAGAAGCTGCAGGAGTATTTCAACAAGCATATCTTCTCCCTGGAGCAGCTGGAATACAACAGGTCGGACATTATTCGCTGAAAAAGGCAGTAATAGTGTTGTATTTGAAATGATGTATTAAATAACATTACTGTGTGTAGAGAGGGGGTCCAGTGGGATGCCATTGACTGGATGGACAATGCTGAGTGCCTGGATCTAATCGAAAAAGTAAGATTTTTGCAATTGCATTGCAGTTTTATTCAAATTTGATGGTCTTGCTTGTTTTTAATAGTTTTAGTGGATAACAATTTATGTCATGTTAATACACAACGTAAACAGCTTGATTTTTCCAATATTAGTTTGATGGAATAAAAATCATAATGTGATATCATGATAATGTAAATGACAGTATTAAATCGTTTTTAAAATTATTTCTATTACCATTACCTATGTGTTATTCAATGTGCAACTAGAAGACAGGCCTATCGCATTTGCCGGGAATCACTAGTCAATATTTCAATATTTATTTCAATATTCTATTTTTGTATATAAATGATGTGGTTCCATCTGTCATATTTTTTTCAATTAAGTTTTTGTGAGGGAGTTCTCAGTCGGAATATTGACAAATCTCTGCCACAGAAACTTGGCTTGCTGTCGCTGGTGAATGAAGAGAGTCGTTTTCCCAAAGGCACAGACTTCACTCTGCTGGAGAAACTGCACAGCCGACATTCAGTCAGTCACACGACACACAGCTGGTTTTATTATCCATTAGATAAGTCTTTTTCATAGCTCACTTTTGCCATTTGCTGATCACAGACCAACCCGTACTATGTGAAACCCAGGCTGGCAGACCATCAGTTTGGAATCAAGCACTATGCTGGAGAGGTGAGGGCTGATTAACATGCAACACGTGTCAAATGTACATTTCTGAAAGCGTCTTGTGTCCGCAAGGTGCTCTATGACGTCAAGGGAGTTCTGGAGAAGAACAGGGACACCTTCAGGGATGACATTTTGAACATGCTCAAAGAAAGCAGGTATATATTACAGCAACACAAACCACAGACAATTATTAAGAGGGACTGCTGCTGTTTAGTAAGAACTATCCATTTTCTAGCTGTTCTGAATTCTGCACTGGAATTTTTTTTACGAAGTGATACATGTTGCATTCTGCTCCAGCTATCTCCATTTTCACTGTCCCATAGAACAGAAGCAATTGTCTTTGCTTATTTGGTTAATCTCGATTCTTTATATGTGATACATAGAAAATTTGGCAGCGTCACCAGGCTTTTGGTCATAGAGAAGTGGAGAAAAAACTTGATCACATTTACGCTGGCCTACTAAGTGGCTGTCACAAAGTATGACAAAAGACAGTGGGCCTCGTTTCTTTTATTCAAAGATCAATATTGAGATCAAATGATAATGATCTACAGTTGTCATATATTGTTATGTTATAGAGTTTTCTACCAACTGCTCAAAACATTCTGTGACTAAATATTCCAGACAGGACTTCATCTACGACCTGTTTGAGAAAGTTGGCAGCAGGAACAACGAGGAGAAGATGGGCACAGCCAGGCGCAAGCCCACCGTGAGCTCCCAGTTCAGGGTGAGTGCTTCAGACTTTATTCAGAAAGGTAGACCACTAGCTACCTGCCAAGATTCCGGTGCAATTCCAGCCCACTCAGGTGAACAGTGATGTAAAAATTACCCACTGTTCGATAAAAGTGTTTGGATGTGGGTAAATGGGTTCTTTTTGCATGATTCTGAACTCATAGAGACATTTCAATCAGATGTCGATCAAATTAACTTATTATTATTATTAATTATTATTATCAATAACTGAACAATTTATCTTTATTCACATTTTGTTGGAAGTAAATAAATACTTAAATTGTTAAACAGGTAGTGGCGCAAACTACATTTTTTCATAGAAGACTTGGTGCATGGTCTTGTGGTTGGTCTGCTCCTGGTTTCATGCAAGACCACCGTGTTGCTCAAATTGTAAATGTCATGACCACTGTGCTGATGCTCATATGATTTGGTGAAATGTTTTTCTGGAAATGTTTATGTTTGTGTACTTTGGCCATTTATGGACACTTTGAACAGCTTCATTGTTGATCTATATCAGCTGTGCTCAAACGCCAGGGATGAAAAGGCTCTTACTTATGTGTGGCGGGCGAGTGGGACAGACAGTGTAGCACTCATTACTATATCACCACTATAGTACTCATTTCTCTTGAACTTTTAAACTATTTATTTATTCATTTGAGTGTCAACACTTCCCATCCGATCACGATATTAGGCACCTTGATCTATAAAGACGGACTGCTGACCCTTCTTTTTCATTCCCAGGACTCTCTCCACGCCCTGATGGCCACTCTCAGCGTATCCAACCCTTTCTTCATTCGCTGCATCAAACCCAACATGGAAAAGGTCAGGCTCTGTTACCATTTGTCTATTTAAACTTAAAACTGATATAATAACTTTCTCTCATGTGTAGAATCCGAGCAAATTCAACCCGGAGGTGGTTCTGAACCAGCTCCGCTACTCTGGCATGTTGGAGACGGTGAAGATCCGCCGTGCTGGGTTTCCTGTCCGCAGAACTTTCAAAGACTTTTTCATTCGGTATTAAGAAATGGGATTTTCTGAAATGCATTTTTTTTAAGTTAAAAGATTTGTTCACATGTCTTATTTTTTTCATTTCACAGGTATAAAATTATTCTTAAAGACAAAGCACCAAAAAACGGGGATGATAAGAAGAACAGTACGGATCTTCTATACAAATATGACAAGACCAAAAAAGAATGGCAGCTGGGCAAAACAAAAGTATTACCCTCTTCAAACCGTTAACATCTTTTTACCATAATGTTTTCAATCAATTTGTTTTCTCTCTTTAGGTTTTTATGAAGGAATCTTTGGAGCAGCGTTTGGAAAAAGACCGTGATGAAATTAGACGCAAAGCTGCCATGATAATCCGTGCTCACCTCCTCGCCTTTTCTGCCAAGTATGTCTCTTAACCTTTTTGTAGCCACGTCTGGTTTTCAGACAAATCTTTAGAAAAGAAAAAGTACAAGTGAAGTAGATCAAAATCGAAGGGATTTTGGGCTCTATCTTGTATCAATTGGTAAATCCTTTATGCAATTTAAGGTTACACCAAAAAATACATTCGGTCCAATAAAATAATAAAAACACAATATAATTCAAGAACCAATAAACTGTAGAAAATAAACTGCAACTTTTTTTTCTGAGTATTGAAAGGCAGTCTTAATTTAATCTGTTTTAAGCCTGGACTTGAAAGCCCACAGTCTGTGATGGTGTGCAGATCAGGGGGTAGCGACAGTGTGTCATCCCAGTGTGTAAGTCCAGCTTTGGGGACTTCCATCAGAAGCTGATTTGTTGATCTTAAATCCCTGCTTGAGTTTTGGGTGCATAAGAGCTTGGACATATCAGAAGGCGCAGAGCTGTGAAGAATTTTAGAATGGGTCCTAATCTGGAAGCCAACGGACTGAATCTTACGTGAATACTGTATGTGAAACTTTATCCTTTATGTTTGTCAAGTACAGGATTTCATTACCACCAGATCAACCTGAAATATACGTTAGCACATAAAGCGCCCTAAATATACATTTAAAATGAAATGTACAAATACAGCTGTGTTACCTAACTATCTTAAAGTAGATAACACATGTTGTTTATCCCAACAGTCTTGTAAACCAAAACAGTTGTGAACAAAGTTCAAAACATGTTATCTTTTGCATACTTGTCAGAAAGAGAGTCACAATTTGACTCTTTGACTCAGAAAGCTGAATGGCTTAGTGAGGATGGCTCTCTCTTTTTCACTTTCTGTCTGAATAGGAAAACTAGTGAGTTTTAGCCTTAGGAACTAGTTTTTATTATTATACGATTATTTTTCTGGCACCCCAGCTTCCTACTAGAATATTCTGGCCATATGCATCGCTCTAGTCTAGAGTGATAAGCAATTATGTTCAATGGGCTATAGTCTTTTGGTATGCAATTTGTAAAATGGCCAACATCAAGTGACTTAAAGTGGAATAGGGGAGATTGGCACACACTTAAAAGCACGTTTATATACAGTATATATATTATATATTATTCTGTTTCTATTCTGTATTTCTGTATCAAGTACTTTTACATATTAGCCTGGAGATCTGTTAAAAAGGTTCCGCTGTCTCTCTTGTGCAGAAAGTTCTTCAAGCTCGCTCGTGCCAGCGTCATCACCCTGCAGAAGCATTTGAGGAGGCACATTTTGAGAAAGAGATTCGTGAAGCAGCGAAAGGCAGTGCTGGTGCTGCAGAGACACCGCAGGGGGCAAGTGGCCAGAACCAGGGTCCGGAAACTGAGAGAAGAGAAGAGAAGGAAGGAAGAGGAGCAGAGGAAGAAAGAGAAGCAGGAGAAGAAAGAGGAGGGAGCCGAGGACGAGGACACTGATGATTCTGATGACAAGAAGGCAAGAGAAAATCCATGTTGTGTTACTTGCTTGAATAGATGTAATCCTAAAACCTGGTACACTAATAAGTCATTATAACTGAGACATCTAAACATGCTGTCTGCATGTGAAAGTCAGATTCCGTCAGACCTCTAAAGATAAGCAGGGCCTTGTTAGTACTGTGATGGGAGACAGTGTGGCGGCAGTAAAGTACCAAACTGTTGTTGTGTCCTTAGACAAGACACTTCACCCACATGGCTGAGAATGAGTCTGATGTGTGCGTGAATGGCTGGTGGTGGTCGAAGGCGCACAGGTTGCCTCGCTTCTGTCAGTGTGCCCCAGGGCAGCTATGGCTACAGTTGTAGTTTATCAACACTGAGAGTGAATGAATAATGACATGTGAAGCGTCTTTGAGTGTCCAAAAATGCGCTATATACAACCAATGTATTATTATTATTATTATTATATTACATTTGTAATATACATACATACATTTACATTTGTCAATATTATTATGCTGTTTTCTCGACTTAACAACTGACGTCATATTCCTTAGCCAAAATATGTTCTTATCACACGTGTCGTTGTCCAGGATGAGACCAAGCAGATGGAGGAGATCCTTCAGCTGGAGCGAGAGATCGAGCGGCTGCAGAAGAAGCGTGAGGACGAGGTGTCTCAGCTGTGCGAGGAGTCCAAACAGGAGCTGCAGCTGCGGCGGGACGCTGAGCTCAAACGCATGAACAAAGTGGCGTCTCGTAAGGCTACCAGTCTGGTTGATGTGCTCAACTTCACCGGAGTGGACCCAGGTCTGTCTGTGGCCGCTGCCATACCTACAGAGGAGGCCAAAGCGAAGACTCCCAAAAGATCCACTGGTGTACCTACTGGTAAGTTTGTGCTGAAAACACTGTCGCATATGCATTATTTAATATTAGCAATAATAGAAAAAAATATTTACTGATGTACTCAATCAAAAGGCTTCTCGCAACAGAAATGAAAGAGAAAAAGCATGACATTAGGATATGTAAGACTACCAACTACCAGAAAATGAGCTGAAGAGTACAATGTGTGAAATGTTTAGGAAAGGGTTTAGCTCCATTTGTTAATATTCATCATTTGTGTTCTGCTTTTGGACCCCTGATTATAAACTAATGCATTTTCCTGGGACATCCCTTTTTATAAAGTACTTAGAAGCCATACAGTAGTAATATTATCATAAAGAGAACATTGGATAATAGTGTAGCTCTGTTATTTCTATTTTAGACTCATAGAAAGTGATATTGTGAGGTATATATAGTAAATGGCAAGGCTCTCTTCCCAATATCTAATTAGTTTTAATATCAACTATTGGCTAATTTATCTTCTTTACTGAGCGGGTTGATGCAGGCTCCAAACAGTTATACCAACTATACCTAGTGCCCTAGTGGCAGTATAGGATGGATCAAATGCAGAGGACACATTTTCCTTCGGGGACAATAAAGTATACCTTGACCTTAACCCTAGCCAGCCTATTGTGTGCCTGCCGTCCTCCTTGTGATATGGACTTTTGGTCAGAATGATGGTGATTCTGTGATCTACTGCAATGAAGTTTTTTTTTTTTTTTCTTTGAAACTCTTTTAGGACATAATATTTCCCCTATGAGCACAATGATGAAGCACAGGGGTCATAGAGTAGATCTAAATACCAGACAAGACTTCAAAGTGATGTCCGTCCCTCTGCAGGTGCCTCAAAAGACGAAGAGGTGGATGAGGGCTTCCATGCGGAGGAGGAGTGCATCCCTCTGCCAGACTTCCCCCCTCCTGCAGAGAGCGACGCCCCGGTGGACCAGGACATCTTGGGCCAACTACCCCCTCCTCCACCTGCCTTTGCCGAGGGCACCGTGCCTCCAGTAAACGGTGGTCCGCCTCCTCCGCCCCCTCTTCCACCAGCGGACCTGTCTGGAGCCCCCCAGCCCCCGCCTCCCCCACCTCTCCCCCCAGCAGAGCCCGCAGCAGTAGAGAACAAGTCTGCTCCGGATAGGAAGGTTTGTACTCACTGTCTACTCTTTACCACTTCACACAGACCTGCAGAAACTTCTCCTTTCAAGGTTCAAGGAAACAATTTCGGTAAAGAAGAAAACTGTAGCTTAAAAACAGACCAGATTGTTCCTTCATAGCCTAATCTAGTCTGTTCTATGCAGCCAGAGCCTTTTGTTTTCACCTCTGAAGTGTGAATATGATCTTAAAGTTTTAATTTTGAGTTTCTGAAGTTTCCTCTTGCATCACCTCATTTCAGGTCAGCCTGGTGGAGAGCCTGCCCGACGAGCCCATTTACTCCCTTCCCGCCGACACGGAATCAGACTACGACCAGGAGGACGAAGATGGCTCGGTCACCGCGGGCGACGACAGCAGTTCCGTATCAGGCAGCAACCGGGGCAGCACCGCGGTGGGAGACGACGAGCACCCGCGCAAGTCCACCTGCACCAACGCCAGCATAGAGTCCTACAGAGGCAGCTCGGACTCTGTGAGGACACACACTTACACGCATCCTTCTTTCACGCGAGCACGCAAACATGTATGAGCCGCTACACCCACTCATTCTTTCATCTCGCATAATCTAGATGATGTAAGCAGGGAACAGTTTCACAAAGGGAATTTAGACTGGATCGGATTTTTAAACTATAATTTGACATTCTAGCTACCTTCTCATTAGCTTGTTCATTTGACCACTTATAATTGCATTGTCCCTTTAATCATTCCCCAAAGTTTAAGACCGTAGGTGAGGGTGGGAATATAGATTAACCGGTGAATTCAGAGCTTTCGACCCAGCTCCCTATTCACCACAACAGTCCAATACAGCAACCGCATTGCTGTCTGTCAATCTCCTTCACTTGGACCTCTCTACCACTTGGAGAGGGGATGGCACTGTCTCTGGTCCTGAAGAATAGCCTCTGATTTGAAGGTGGAGATTTTTATTCCACCAGCTAGAGAAAAAATATATCTTGACCACTCTAAGTATTTCTTTGTGAAACTGATTGGGCTTACGCTAAAATATAGTTAAATCTGACCCAATATGAAAAATTGACCAGGAGGTTTTGTTTTTTCCTAGTATGCTGACAGTGACGATGAGCACGACGGCTTGATGGACACAGAAGAAGAGCTGAACACTGGCAGGGTCACTATCCTGAACGGAAATGGACCTCCCTATTTCCACGGATACCTCTACATGAAAGGTAAACTGGACCATGGCTAAAATGTGAAGCTCTGTCTCAGTACAAAATGTGCAATAACATAAATGTGTCTAAGTATGCTGAAATTTTGCGTCACTATTTGACACTTTGGGTTAACATTTTGGGCTGAGAGCTGATTGAGTGGCTCTCTCTATTTTTCACTGTCTGAAAAAAACCTTGCTCATGCACTAGTCAGAGTTTGAGAGCAGATTGACACGGAGATAGATTTTACGGTTCCCCAGCTTTAACATGATACTGTATTGAAATTGAGCCACATAGATTGTCTTTCTGTATGTACAACAATAACACTCACATCTCCAACATGTAAAATAGGGAATGCGCCTGTACTTTGCAGCTGGTCTCATGATCCCCTGGAGGAGGCGCTGGTGTGTGCTGAAGGACGAGACCTTCATGTGGTTCCGCTCCAAACAGGACTCCCTGAAGTCTGGCTGGCTCTACAAGAAAGGAGGAGGCCTGTCCACCCTCTCCCGGAGGTTGTTGTAGATGTTACAGTTTATACAATTGTCTCTGTGTGCCTCCTAAATGAACATCTGCTGGAGTCTGCTCGCCAATTGAGTTACATAGAGATTTTGCTCGTTTGCCCGAAAAAACTCATTAATCAAATTTTTTTCTCAGCCAGTTACATAAATCAATGCAATAATATTATGTTTACCTCACATTCTTACTCAGTTGATCTCTCCTTTCCACAGAGCTTACTTGTAACTTGGCCTAGTGGCAATTTCTATTTAACGACATAGATTTAGATAGCGCCCTGGTATCCCTTGGTAAAATTTGATTACTTTTCTGGCCTCTTAAGTTGCAACAATTACCACGGACTTGTGCATTTGCTGAACATTTTGCTACATGATATAATCTTTACAATTCCAAAATGAAAGTTTTATAATGCGCGCATTTTGCTTTGATAAGCGTTCATAAAGATATATAATCTGTTCTAAATTCAACTATTTGAAGTTATAGCTTTATAGAAGGCTTTTCTTATGTTCCTGTGTAGTTAATAGCATTTTGGTAAACATTATATATTAACTTATTAATTTGAGACTTTTAGCTTTGCCAGAGAAACACCTGAACTGTAAAAGAGTTGTTTCCTGAACTTAGAAGCATAGCTAACCACTTCAAACATTGGACACACTTTCTCTTGCAACCTTGTGGTTTTTATGTCATGTCATCATTTGCAGAGTAACTCCTTTTAGAATTTAAGGAGTACATAATGCATACATTTTTCTTGGTTTAAAAGTAAGGAGTAAAAGTAAAAGATTGTTTGAAAATAAGTAATCTAGTAAAGTATAAATGTCAGGAACACTACTGAAGTACAGTGCCTGAGTAAGAATACAGTGTATGTTCACAGATTTCATTCATTTATAGTCCATTTGTAGAATGTATACGGTAGGGTATAATTGTGAGACATGTAGAGAGATGGCCATTAGAACAGAGCATATCCAAAGTTGCCATAACCCCTCATATGGCTTTAATTATAAAAACTAGTAACACTGTCATTGAATGTGACTTATAATGGATTTTTTTTTTTTGCAGAAACTGGAAGATGCGCTGGTTTGTGCTGAGGGATGGTAAGCTGATGTATTATGAGAACGACAGCGAGGAGAAACTGAAGGGAACCATAGACATCCGGGCGGCAAAGTATGACTCCCCCAAACCTATCGCAAACATTGTCATTGTTCCAAACCGTTTTTTTTTTAACAATATTTCTCCGTGGATTACAGGGAGATTGTGGATAATCATGAGAAAGAGAACGCACTCAACATTGTGACCGATGAGAGGACGTACCAGGTGTTCGCAGAATCTCCAGAAGATGCCAGGTCTGGACAAGAGATTTCATATTTGCTGAACTAAACCAGCAGATACAAAATAAAAAAAACTAAGTAAGCAGATGACCTAAAAGTGTATTTGTTTTTACAATGCAGGTAATGTGATTCTGCTGCACAATGAGCTCTTAATTATTCCTTAATTAATACATACTACAGCAAGATTTCAAATACATATGAAGAAGATGACATAGTCTGGGATCGCGTCTTTCATTCAGACAGAAGACATGTTTTATTGTCAATGGTAGAGACAGCACGAACAACAGATACAACAGAATGCAAGTGTATTATACAGAGCGGAGGCATGGAGACCTCCAATCAGCAGCTGCCACGGTGTGCTTGTAGCTTGGCCTTCAGATAGACAAAACAAGGGAAAAGTACAGGCTTCTGCACATTGATAGATTGATGAGTTTAACTTTAACAAAAGTTGCTTAAAAGTGTTATGAAATCTCACATTCCCCCCTCTGGTCATACATTCACGTGTGACCATCAGGATTGATAAACAGCAACATAACATCATAACTCAATACTTAAACTCGGTACTTCACTCGGTACTTCAAAAAACTCAGAACTCGGAATACTTCAAAAACTCATAAAACATGTTCAGATCTTTCATAAAACTTGTCAACAATCTTCAGTAAAATACCAAACTTCATCAGTCGATGGTGGTTCCAGACATTGCTTTGAAAACAGTCTCTCCCACTTCTCCGAGTTGATTTCTTCAGGCTGCATTTGTGTCGAGCCATGAATTCTTCTGTGACGTGTCTTTCAATCACACGTTTCAGCTTCAGTGTCCAGATTCAGAAATCCAATTCAGTCCAAATTATGTCCAAATTCAGCAATCCAGGTTGTTCCAAATTATGTCCAAATTGTGTAATCCAATTTTTCCAAATGATGTCCATGCAAAAGAGGACGCTGGTGTTGTCCATGTCTCAGCAGCTCACAGCCTGACTGGAATCAGGGGCTGTGCAGATTGTCCATGTGTGCTGGTCCAGATGCATGGTTTCTCTTGAGGTTTCTCAGTTTTGGCTTGAAAAAAAAAACAAATTTTTGTGTAAAAAAAAAAGTAGTCTTCTGTTCACTAGATACAGACAAGGCCCGCATCCTTCCACCACCTGAAGAAGATGTGCCAAGTCTGGGATCGCGTCTTTCATTCAGACAGAAGACATGTTTTATTGTCAATGGTAGAGACAGCACGATCAACAGATACAACAGAATGCAAGTGTATTATACAGAGCGGAGGCATGGAGACCTTCAATCAGCAGCTGCCGGTGTGCTTGTAGCTTGGCCTTCAGATAGACAAAACAAGGGAAAAGTACTGGCTTCTGCACATTGATAGATTGATGAGTTTAACAAAAGTTGCTTAAAAGTGTTATGAAATCTCACACATATATTAGCTGCTAAGGCTGTAGGAGTAGCGCTTGTGAAATCAGGATAAGTTAGGCACAAATTAGAATTAGGTTTGTAGTCGATAGTGTAAACACCCTGCAAAACCAAAAGTTGTTTTCAAATTGTGTACACATTCAACATAAAATCAAACGATACAACATAAACACAAATACACAGTTTGAAAAAGAGTTGGACAAAGCAGACGCTTATTTGGCTTCAACCCCTCTCACTCATTCAACACAACACCAAATACACACTACACACCTCTCTCTGACCCTACACTTTTCTACCATCTTTCCCTCTGTGCTGAGGACTTCACTCACCCTTTTGTTTTCTTTTGAAATAGTAACAACTTCACTATGTATAAGGAGCTGTCACTACTGCTCTCTTCTCGCCGTGGTGGATACAAGCATTTTCCTTGGTTTCCATGATTGAAACCAAGGAAAGCTATAGTGGTTCTTTTGGCACCTCCTCTGCTGTTTCCAGGCCGCTCCTCTTTGTTAGAATCTCTAATATTTTTCTTTGTGTGCCTCATAATTGCTTTAAACATGTTCAATTGTAGTCTGAGATAGTAGCGCTCCATTCCCAGCGATGTCACTCGTGCTAATGAAACCAATGGTTCATTCAAATAACGAGATTTCTCATTTAAACAGACACAGATCCTGTCTGAGAAGGGACGTAAAAATCTATTTCCAGAACGGTGCTACTGTGCTATTGCCAATTTTTGAAAAACATCTGTGTTCATGTGATTGTGTTTCTGCAGTGGCTGGTTCAATGTCCTGACCAAGGTGCGTGTGTGCTCGCCTGATCAGCTGCTGGACATGGGACACGAACAGGCCAACCCCAAGAATGCTGTGGTCAGTTTAGAAGCACAACTGTCATGGCCATACAGCTCACGTCTTGCATAATGATTTATAATCTTTTGTTGTTTGCACAGGGAACTCTGGATGTGGGATTGATCGACTCAGTGTGTGCTTCAGACAATCCTGATCGGTAAGACATAATCTCTAAAATCAAAATGTGATTCCAAAATGTTGAAAGTATGTGCAAGCTAGTTACATGATGCTGTTAGTGCCTCATGTGGACACTGTATTAGCTGAAGAATTTGCGTTTAGTTACACTTTAATTGCAATTTCTATAAAATGGAAAAATTCTGCCAGTAAGCCTCAAATTATCATTACATTATGACAGATGATCCATAAAAACAAAGAGGTTATCATCAACTATTTCAACTGATTTCTTGATTCAGATCCATTATTTAGATGCCCCTAGTGGATCCTCGATTGTCAGTACATAGAGGGCCTCATTTATAAAACGTTTACTTAGGAAGTAAGTAGTCTTTATTTATATAGTTACACAAAGCGCTTCACAATGATGTTTTAGCATTAATTCCCACTCACTCCCAGTCCACATCGAGGCCTCTGACCCTCACCATTCATTCACTCACTCATTACATTCATAACTATTGTACATGTTTTTATGTGTATGGAAACGTAGCTGGTGACTATGCAGACTTTTGACCGTTTGACCCTTCTTTACGTCTTCCAGGCCCAACTCGTTTGTGATCATCACAGCCAACCGTGTGATTCACTGTAACAGCGACACCCCTGAGGAGATGCACCACTGGATCAGCCTGCTGCAGAAGCCCAAGGGGGACGCACGCTCGGACGGACAGGACTTTCTCATCAGAGGTAAAACTCTCACGCATTTGGAATATCCCTAGTGCAGTGGCTCTTCCTACTATCACCATCAGCAGCTTGTCTCGCTAGTAGACACTAAAGGCTGTTGTTATTATTGTAGGCTGGCTGCAGAAAGAGATGAAGACCAACTCCAAGAGCACCTCTCTAAAGCTGAAGAAGCGCTGGTTCATCCTGACCCCAGGATCCCTGGATTACTACAAAAGCTCAGAGAAGAACTCCTCCAAGATGGGAACATTAGCCCTCAACTCACTGTGCTCTGTCATTCAGCCGGACGAACGGGTGCACCGGGAAACAGGTGAGAGGGAGTATGTATATAAACATACCATAGACTTAAGATCCAACCAGGGATGTCCAAAATATTTCAAAGGCTTTAAAGGAAGCCTTGCAAGCCTCTTGAACAGCTCATATTTAATTACAAAATGCACTTTTAATTTACGAACTGGATGTAGTTGTATCTTTCTGTAAAAAATAACTATTTATTTTTGCGCACTCAACCTTGATAGGGTTATTTTGATCACTAGTGTTGGGATAACTTCTATTCAGTGTTCACTATTTCAGCGTTTTGTGTTGCTTTACCTATGCTGCTTTTTCAATATTTTAACCTCCGTCAGTCCCCACTGTCCCCAGCAGAGGGAGTCAGATTGGATTGTCGACTGCAGGTTTTTAAATGGCCATAATTCTGCTTTTCTTTTTTCTTTGAATAGGCTACTGGAACATCATTGTGTACGGCAGGAAGCATTCATATCGTCTCTACACCAAGATGTTGAATGACGCCATGAGGTGGGCAGCAGCCATCCAGTCGGTCATCGACAGCAAGACCCCCATCGAGACGCCCACGCTGCAGCTCATCAGGGACATCAAGGTGCGCACAGATCGTCGCATAGCAGATCTTAGTCAAGTAAAACACATGCCTGATTATGGTCCTGTTTTGTTCTTGCAGGAGAACAGTGTGAACGCAGATATTGTGGAACAGATGTACAAGAGGAACCCCATCCTCAGATACACCCAGCACCCTCTGCACTCGCCCCTCCTGCCGCTGCCGTACGGAGAGGTCATCCCCAGCTGTGAGTCAAGATGCAAGATACAAGTGTATACGGCCATTGTAAATATATAAACATATAAAGCCTCAGATATTATTTCACTATTACTTATTCTTGCTCTGCCAGTGTTATTTCCAGTTTCTGAAAGAATTAGATTTGTGTTCTTAAACCAACTAATGAGAAAGATGAGGCAATGAGCAATAAGGCAAAAACAAAAGTCTGGATCACAAGAGAAAACAACCAATAAAACATACACCAGCATCAGTATACATTATGATCATAGTTTTGTGCGTGGGTTGTTCTCTGATGGATTTAATGCCTTTGGGATTGTGAAAGGTGCTTTCATGGGTCTCAAATATGGTCCGGTCATATTGATAATGAAAGGTTTTTTCTTTTCAGTACATATGGAGTGAAATTACATTATTTCTGTTGTTGCAGTGCACCGGCAGCAGGGCTACGCCAGTCTGCAGGACGAGGCTGTGCGAGTGTTCAACTCTCTGCAGGAGATGGAGACGCTGCCCGACACTGTGCCCATTATCCAGGGCATCCTGCAGACGTGCCAGGACCTGCGCCCTCTCAGGGACGAGGTGCTCACAATACTGAATATGCATACACACACACTATACAGTACTTTACTTAGTTTGTGTAGTGTTCTGTTGAGTTACTTTGACTCCCTGGAATGAGAAGTTAAAACAGTGATTGTACACAAATATTTACAACTACATACAGTACAAGCCCACCCACGTTCACACATATATGCCAGACAACAATCTAGCAGCTCATTCAAAATTATGTGGCTCACCTTTTTACTCGGACAAGAGGAAGATCTAACCATAATGCCTGCATTGAAAAATATCGATTGGCTCATTCAGTGCTTGTTTATAGCCCTCTCCACTATGCCTTCTCTTCATATACTTTATTTCTGATTTCATTATGCTTCAGATCCTCCTTCTCCTTCTTGCCTTTCCCCATGTAAAACTGAAAGTAGGAGAAGCAGCTTATCCCACTACGCTCCTTGTAAATGGAGCACTCTGCCTAATGACATCACTTGTGCTTCTACTCTACCAGTCTCCAGCCGTAAAATAATTTTGCGTATTTAACAGCAACGTCTCCCCTGGTCTTTAGCACACCGGGCAACAATTCTTGTATGAAATGTGCTATTCTAATCTTCTTCAGTTTGTTAAACGTTTACTAAAATACTAAATAATTTACTTACCATTTTGGTTAGTAAAAAAAAAAGTCAAAGACATGCAATTTAACTTTTTGCGCAATTATTCCAAATTGCAAATAAACTGAACTTGACCGATAAGTCTCCACTGTTGCCAGCAGGGGGCATAAACAAGTAAAAGTTGTTGTATTCATTGTACAATACAATAAAATAAAAATAATACTTATATAATTTGAAAAGCAGTCGGTAGATGCAAAACTTATAAAATGGCCAAGTAACAGCTGCATCTCCTTTGGCTTGACTGAGTTCCTTCTGTCGTTGGCAGGTGTATTGTCAGGTGATCAAGCAGACCAATCACGTGCCTCAGCCTAACAGCACAGCCAACAAGGCCCACTGGCACCTGCTCACCTGCATGAGCTGCACCTTCTTACCCAGCCGAGCTATCCTGCGCTACCTCCGCTTCCACCTCAAGAGGCAAGTTATTAGTTACTATTATTAGTTTTAGCAACCCCATGGACTGTCCACCTAACCCCTCTGCACTCCAGGGTGCGAGAGCGCTATCCCAACACGGACATCGAGCGCTACGCCACCTTCATCGCAGAGTCTCTGAAGAAAACAAAGGCCCGAGAGTTTGTTCCGTCACAAGAGGAGATTGCCGCCCTGCTGGTGAGACAGGAGATGAGCACCACGGTCTACTGTCACGGAGGAGGCTCCTGCAAGATCTCCATCAACTCGCACACCACTGCTGGAGAGGTGAGCTGTCCACCACTCGAATGACAGACAATATTAACATAAGAACGGGGCAAAGTATTTGTGCTGGTGTTTTCAGACAGATATTATGAATAGTATGATTACAACTGTCTAAGTCTAGTTACATGTTTAGATTCAATCAGACATTATATGTATTTATATAAAAAGATGGGTTACATGATTTTCGTTTTTGTTTTCTTATCCATCTATAATTTTTCAGTCATTCAATCCACAGATTTTCACGCACAAAAGTGAACCTACCCAAAGATGCATATAGTGACTTCTTAGTATGCAATAGTTCTAATAACCTGCTTTTAGGACTATGTGAACCTGATTATTTGTGTTGCACTACATACAAATGTGTTTACCGCATTGTAAAAAGAAGAACCTAAAATAGGTTGTCGATTCGCCAACAACTGATCAATAGGGAGGGGGACGACCAGCAGAAATGTCCATAACCACTTTGGCAGAAAGGGATTGAACCATTTAAACCACATATTTCCATAGACCTTTATGGAGGTACGGAACGACTCAAAAAGATAATCTCTGTGGGAATTTTTTTTAGAAACCTCTGGAAGGTCTATATTGAGAGAGGCAGAAAGGGGATACAGCCCACGAGTCCAGACCGGGGCACACCATTGAATCCGTTTGACTCTAATATAGGAGGTGACTATTGCATAACATTTTGCTTTTTCACCTTAGGTTGTGGAGAAACTGATCCGAGGTTTGGCCATGGAGGAAAGTAAAAACCTGTTCTCTCTGTTCGAACACAACTCGATCACTGACAGAGCTCTGGAGAGCAGGGTCATCGTGGCTGACGTTCTGGCCAAGTTCGAGAGGTGACATCATCTGACCAATACTACTGCTGCTGAACATGGTGAGAATGGTGAAATAGATATCCTCAATGAGCTGTGGCTGATGTGGTTGCAGACTGGCAGGCAGCGAGGAAGAGGAGGAGGAAGGAGAATGGAAGCTCTACTTCAAACTCTACTGTTTCCTGGACGTGGAGAGCATGCCCAAGGAGGGAGTGGAGTTTGCTTTCATGTTTGAGCAGGTCACAACTATTCTACATCCATTCAATAGTGTTGCTTTGATGGTTAGGTCAAACTTTTCACATAATACATTTTTGGTCAAATACATTAAGGTTCAAGGTATTTATTTTTATGAATGAAATTTGATACTGAAGTTATCGAGCTTAGATCAATATAGAAGAGGAGTCACATATAGAGACAAAATATACAAACGTTTTTATGTTGTTTTAAAATGTCTAATTTAATTTGGGTCAATAAAAGCATGTGGACCAATCAAACTATTCAAAGAACATTCTTTCTGTCATAATTAAGACAGAAAGTGCATGTATTAAACAACTCCAGGACTGATTTTTCTTTGAGAAAACAATATTTTAGCGAGATAAAAGCTAAAATATTTCTCCATGAATGTCCAGTATACTGATATTATTATAAGTAAGGAAGAAACAAAATTGATTGCAATTGTTGTAATTGCAACAGTATGTTATTGTATAGTATATAATAATGTATGTTGTGGCAAGCAGTTTATTTCTGTAGACAATAGACATTGATACTGATTGTGGTGTTGAACACTTGCCGCAGGCGCACGAGTCCCTGATCAGTGGACACTTCCCGGGCTCCGAGGAGACCCTCCAGCACCTGGCCTCCCTCCGGCTGCAGTACATCCACGGAGACGGAGCGGGCCGGGCCGGCTGGAGCTTGGGGACTGTCTATCCCATCGGCCGCCTCCGCAACCGCATCCTCCACTCCACCCCAGGAGCAGGCGGGGTGGCCGGGGGGGCAGGAGAGGGGAAAGGCACTACGGGCCAGGGAGGGGTCACCGCTGGGGCAGAGAAGAGGAAGACCCCCAGCTTCTTAGACGGGACCCTGAGGAGGAGCTTCAAAACGGGATCGCTGAAGAAGCAGAAGGTCAGTGGGACTTATTATGGCTCCGTAATGTGATTTTCAACTTAAAGAACTGACAGAAAAGCTTTAGAGCTCTCATTATGATGTCACAGAGTACGTTCTAGAACACAAGGGGAGACAAGCGACAATTACTAAAGCTAAACCTTGAGTTTGCATAGTGTTTACAAAGCACTAGTGAAAACCAGATCCCTCGCCATGTCCTACTCATGCATATATAATTTAGGTGTGAAAAAATATTGCTGGCATGTACCACCTAAACCTGCCAACGGCATGTTTTATTAGAAATATACATTTGGACAGTACTCCAGGCTACTCCATCATTTTGTTCATTGTAATGGACTACAGTCTCCGGTGCACATTCAGAAGATATTGGGTGTTTACATTAGTGTGTGCGTGTACATACTCACAGGTGGAGGAGGAGCAGATGTTGGAGATGTGGGTGAAGGAGGAGACGTCGGCCACTCGCACCAGCGTCCTGGAGAAGTGGACGCGGCTGTCAGGGATGCCGCAGCACGAGGCCATGCTCAAGTACATGAGCATCATCAAGGAGTGGCCTGGATACGGCTCCACGCTGTTCGACGTAGAGGTGGGGTCATCACGCTGTCACAATGATGAGAAAGAAAACAAAAGCCTCTATATTTTAGATGGGGACACTGTCAGCTTGAACAGAATCTACAAACATACAGTATTGCATAACTTAGGTTTGGGTAACAGAGAAATTAGTCTGTGATGCTTTTTACAAATTGATTTTGGTTAATATATTTTAAATTCTTAAAGCTGGGGCACCTAACCTTTTTTCTTTCATAAATACATGTTGTTTGTCCCAACAGAAAGAATATTATTTAAGTAATATTTTGTGAACAAATTACACCACAACTGCTGTCTTTATACTTGTGAGGAGTAAGTGGCTTGTTCTCTCTTTTTTTTACTGAGAAAAGCTTATTTAAATTTTGAGAAGGAGAAACTAGTTACATGTGTTTTATTAGATTGTATTTTTTTGTGGTTTCAAAGTTTTAAGTGAGTAAGCAAAGTTTATTTTTATTTCGTCTTAAACAGACCAGGATCACAAAGCGCTTCACATTCAAAAACATACAATACAATAATACACAGACAAGTCAATTCTAAAAACAAAATAAATGCCAGTATTATCAATTGTGCGTGTTTGCAGTGTCCTCATGCATGCGCTGAGTGTCCCCTGCTTGACCGTGCGTGTGATTGTGTGTCCAGTGCAAAGAAGGCGGCTTCCCTCACGACCTGTGGCTGGGCGTGAGTGCAGATAATGTGTCTGTCTACAAGCGAGGGGAGCCCAAACCCCTGGAGACCTTCAAGTATGAGCAGATCACGTTCTTCGGGGCCTCGCAACTTTGCACCTATAAGCTCATTGTGGACGAGCGGGAGATGTACTTCGAGACGCAAATGGTGAGAGGACTGGCTTAGGACAGGTCCCATGTGACTTGTCCTTTTATTAGACAAAGGTTTTATCCAACTAAAGAGGTTTATGACACATGTTCTCACTTGACAACCATATTAGCCGTGAACATTTATTTTGCTCACAGTGCTTTTGACAGTTTTGGTTTCATGTGAATTGGTCCACGGAAAGACTAGCCTCAATTTGTTTATCAAATCATCTTCCCTTCATCACATTTTTGAACTAGAGGCTTTTTTATGGCGGGATGTTAAAGGCAACCTATTACTTGTTGCTGCTGCACATGGGCGTCGGACTGGGGGGGTAAAGGGTACCGAGTACCCAGGGCCCAAGGCGGGGAGGGGCCCTCTAAAGTGTGTCTTTATATTTATATGTATTAGGCATTGTGGTATATTCATATTATTACAATTTGAATGAAAGGGGCCCTGTCTAAAAATAACCAACGTTTTAACCTCAGTTTTCCTCTAAAAACAAATTTGTATGCTATATCAGGGCCCTGCCACCCCCTTACAAAAGATCAAATGGTACGACCCACATGTGCGCTTGTTGATGTGTTGCTGCCACGAGTTGACTTGTTTGACAAGCAGCGGCAGAAGCGGGAAAAATAGAAATGTCTTTTCCAAAGAAAGGAAAATCAGGATTTCAGAAAAGAAAAGAAAGACAGGACAGGGAGAAAAAGTGTAATGAGGGCAAGCAATTGCTTACTCAGTTCTTCCACATGAGAGGTGAGTAAATAGAGACGTGTTAAGGCCACATCAGGAGAAAACCCAGAGACATTTGTTTCTGTATTCTAAACTCACGGAGAGCTAACAGTGTGCCGTGTACGTGGTAAAAAAAAAAAAACGTTATCCAGAGTGACACACACAGACGCGCAGCTGTAAAGGGAGCTCACACACTGTCCACTTCTCCTTCAAAGGCAGGCAGCAAAGAGTTATTTTCATGTACAACCCTGTACCCTATATTCCCACTATTGTCATAATCTGTCCGTCCGTGAGTCTTGCAGTCATAAGTCACGGGTCACTCACTGGCCTCTGCATTGGATCATCTGGTTATAACCATACAAATCACACGCCCCCGCACCGATTTTGAGTTTTCTGGTGACATCTAGTGGTCAAAATAATGTAAATAAGTCTAATGGTCTAAAGGTTTCTAGCTCTACAATTATCTTAGTGTGTAAACAAGGGTGAAATGAGACTTTCTGGTGTGTAAACTATTGCTTTTAAGCCAGAAATGACAACTGACAATCACAGCCCAGACCATGCCCAACTGTAAGCCCCCCTTCTTCTCCACTGGTGCCATTTTTACAGAAAAATTTCAAATGTTCATGTGGGCGGAGTAAGGCTAGGCACAGGTGTTTAGTTGAAAATGGAATAGGCTTATTTCACATTTCCAAACATTCAGTCACCTTTGGAGCTGCTCAATGCAATACACAAAATGCAGCTAGAAAGTATTTTTGGGGAAATTTGTATTGGCTTGAGAATCTTTTGTACACTTCCAGTGACTGTTGCAGGAGGGGAACGTTCTTTCAGTAAGCTTAAACTTGTAAAGAACTATTTAAGATCCACAATGTCCCCAGAGAGACTGAACAGCCTTGCAATACTCTCCATAGAAAGTCAGTTGGCCAAAAACCTAGACTTTAAAGACCTGATCAGAAACTTTGCAAATGCAAAGACCCGTCAGTGGGCTTTTGATAAACATTGACCATACATTTATCTTTGTACTACATTGATGGTTCTCAAACAGTGTAGTTCTAGTTTTTGTTAAATGTTTACCTTTTTTTGGGCTTGTCCCTGTTAATAAATAAAATGGACATGGTACTACTGTTATCAACCTGGTGAAGCCGTTGTTTGAAAATAAAGCAATGTTTATTGTATATACAGGCTACTCAATTAATTTTTTACATGAGGGTAATAAAAAATATTGTAAACAATATTGATGATAATAAAACCAAAGGACATGAAATACTTTTGTGAAGTAACCTGGCCTGTTTTGCATTTCAGGTGGGAGAGATCTACAAGATCATGAGGGCTTACATCAACATGATGGTGAAGAAGCGCTGCAGCCTCATATCAGTGACCAGCATGGTCAGTCCCTGGGTCAGGTGATCAACACCATCCAAACAGGAGCATGATCCAGTGCCACCAGCTGCCTCTAGCACAGGGAGCAGTCAGCTGGTTTTATTGGAGCAGTGACCAGCAAACCCTGGAGCAAAACTGAGGCCAAGTATCAACGCAAGACGGAGGTGAAACAGAAGCCAACGCACACTCCTGGGGCCGGGATTTCACTGGGGATAGGGCTCCATCTACGGCACAGACTAACCTCAAACTGAGACGCTGCTGCAAATGCCTCTCTGTTCTTTCCATGACTTTTCCGGCTGGTTGTTGTCCTGCATGTCAATGTTCTCACCTCAGTCTTCACCACCAGGAGCCAAGCACAAAGCCCCTCTGGCCCAGTGTCCCAGGTGCCCTCCCAGTGCACTGCCAGAGCCAGCCCTTTCACCTTCAACACCTTCACTTTGGAGATGTTGACCTTCTCTCTCTCTTTCTCTTTGTTCTCAAGTTGCATCAGGTTTAATTCAACTCAAACATTATTGTTGTTCTGTTCAGTATTACCTTTGCTGTCAATAAGAGAAAGGACTCTTAGATATGTTTTTCTATGGGGCTAAAAGCTGCTTCAATCTCTATGTGAACCATTTGTCACATCAGTGCCACCATGTGGCCACAATAACTAACTCAGCCAAAATATATTCTAAAGAATTATTAAGAAGAATTATGTAGTGTTGTACCATTGACTTTGCCTATAAAGAATCTGTGCATGGACGTCAGTCAGAACAAGAGAAATAACCACAGACAGATATCAACAGTGTTTATCCACATATATAACGAATGAATAATTCAGATGTATATTAACACAGAGAAGAAGTGAGAACATGTATTGTTTTCTACTGTATATCACATATTAACACTGGTTATATGAGGTGCACTGTACAGTCTAAACTATGTCCTAACACAATGTGACACCTTAGTGTAAAGCGTGCGTGTGTGCGTGCGTGTGTGCGTGCGTGCGTGCGTGCGTGCGTGTGTGTGTGTGCGTGTGTAAGTGCGTGTTTGTGTGTGTGTGCCCTGCACTATGCCATAATGTGAAGTATGGACAGGCACAGTTCCACTGTGAGCCCAGCTGCTGCTGTCACTGCTACATGCACCACACACTCCATCAGAGCCATATGAAATGCTTCTTTGAACTTTGAGGATGTCTGTTTTTAAACATGTTTTTTTATTACTCATATTATGACTATGTGATCCCACTAACCCTGGAGTATTGTGTCTGGAATGCCGCTGTTTGTTTGTACCATGTAATTCAAATGCTCAGAACAGAAAAGTGAAAGGACTGTAAAAGATTTTATTGTATTGGAAATGAGATGTTTTTAATGACTAACCTTTATGAGGCGAGCTGTTGTGGTGTCTGTGGAGTTGTGGGGGAGGGAGGGGTATTTATCTCTTCATATTACGGTGTATGTGATGCAGTGAATCTGTGAGAGGTGTCGGAGCTGTTCGGAGAGTCAGACACAGGGATCATGGAACTGGAACGCTGATGGACATTACTTTGTGTGTGTTTAGTTTCACGTGCACTGACGATGCAGACAGGAGGCAGACCGCGGTTACCACACAGACTGGGCATAAACCCTACAATAACAGAAAGAGAAGTTCATTTAACTGACTAATTAGGTTGTACAGTTTTCTCCCAATCAGAGATGGGTACTCTGATTAGACATTTTACATTTCCTAGAACTTATTTTTTTAATGAGCTCAAAAAACTATAAATCATTTGTAAATGCTTTCTCTTATAGTAATTTTATTCATAGTCATTTCCTGAAATACTCATAATAGTTTTTATTTGAACCACTGCTTTACATCTAAAGTGATGTAGTTAATTTTAAGCTAACTTTTTGAGTCGACACACCTCTGGTATTAATATGTAAGTTTTAATGTCATTAGGTAGAGCTGGTCGTCTGCCACCTGTCTGCTTCAGCTCAGTGCAAGCCCAGGGCCCACTGGGACAGACCCCAATGCACAGAACTGGCCTGCTCCACTTCCAGCCTGCTCCTTTGTTACTTCAGGCACTGAACAGTAGTGTTGAGTAACCACAGCCATTGTCCTGCGGTTGTATTTGGAGAATGTACGTTCTGCTGCATAATATCCGATCAAGAGAAGTGAATGAGGGAAAAAAACACGAAAAAATATATATTGGGTTGTTAAGGAGCCGCAGGCGGCAGAGTGGGCCCTCCGTCCTCCGCTAAGATCATTTTTGTGCTCATTTAAGAGAAAGAGAGAGATATGTGTGTTTTATTTGTACATGGCTTTACAAATATATGCTTTAATAAATTATTGAAAGTTAATCTATTCTTGATTTTTTTTTTGTATATGGTTGTTTGTTTCTGAAACTTTAATTAGTGAAAATTCAACTTTTAAGTGGGGATGTGTAACTGCAATTTCACAAGATTTATTTTAAATATATTTTCAGACTGGTAAAGTTATGGTGTCAAAAAAGTTTTCAGAAGTTAGCCTATGAGTAAGTTTATTGATCCAGCTATTTCTTTATATACTTTATACCATACATAGACCTATCCTTATCTAGCCTGACCAGCCAGACCCACACAATATTAGTTATGTGTCAGAATGTAATGGGGGCTCGCTCGACAGGCTAGTCCTTATGCGCAAAGTTCAATTAATGATTAATTAATTGTACTGGAAGTACAATTGGAAGTACTTTCCAACTTTGATTACTAAAATGAATAAACAAATATGAATGAATTAAATATATATTCAAATCCTAATCCTTCAACAATGATGTAAAGTTCTCATAATTGAATAATTTGAGGCCGGAATATTAATATTTACCATTGGACATACAATATAGTCCACGGACGGTATATATTTGAAGTTATCAGAATCAGGTTATCACCATACAGCAAGTTGGTGGAACTTGTTACGTCACAGAGGAGACAAAAAAAGCACATAACAAACAGAACATAGAAGTACAACAGGTTCGATTTCATTTGACAAATAACGTATAAATGTATTCATTAATAAATGTCTGTAAGTATGTATGTTTATATTTATTTATCGCACACACCACGCCCACATCACTCCCTGCTCTGTTCAGTGCGTGCGTAAAGGGCGTGCGTAAAGGGCGTGCGTAAAGACCTTTGGCAGGAGCCTCGATTAACTCATTTCATATTGAGGAAAGAGGCGGTTGGAGTAAGACGCGGACACGTATTTGCTTTTTTCTGCTCTTGATTCAAAACAACTATTCAACAACTTAATTCTCCGCTAATAATTACACCATGATGAATTGGAGGACTTTACTCCCTGCGCTGCTTTTAATCCTCGGATTGGCTTCAGTGCTTGCACAGTCACAAAGTAAGTGCTTTTACTACTGCCTTGTTGAATGTATTTTAATTAATCACCTTTTAAATATTTGACTTTTCGAGTGAGGCATCTCCAGTTTGTATTGCGTTAGGGGCATGGATCTATAATAATAAGGTTAGGGGGGGACAGCATTTTCAAACGTACACTTAAATTAGTCTTATTTTTCCCGACCCAATTTAAACCGTTGTGTATCTATGCTAACAGATGTTTACTTGACAATATATTATGCGACTGTTTGCTTGATGTTAAGGTAAGTAATAGGGGTTAGATTAAGTTAATTTTTCTGTGATTGTGGGAAAGTTTTTGTGAAAGAAGTTTGGCAGAATTGCGTTAGGGGAAAAAACGACATTATTTTCTTGCCTTTCTGCCATGATAAGAATAAAGGGGGAACTTAATTACCAGTGCTTACTAAAATAATATTACATACAATGACATATTACCGAAATTTATTATAAACGTGGGCTAAAAAGGATGAGGAAGTAGTGTATATAGAGTTGTTTTACTGGTTTCCCAATCACCACACCGAAGTCTGTCATTTCATTTATTTTACAATTTTGGCACATAAACACGCTAACATTACCAATATCTTACTGATGAGGGAATATACGCAATGCTGATGATAATAATAGGACTTGAAGGAGGCTTTGTTTACTATCTCTATGGAAAATTCTCCCTTATGGATTATCATTAGTAACGAGAAACAAATCCTAGCAACAATTCTTCCTATCAAACCTTTTTATTGACTTGTTTAGGTCTCTGAGGGATCAACTTCTACTTAATGTTCCTTTTATATGTTTAATCTATAGATGTTATCAATCTATTCCAAGCCATTTGTTGATTTTTCTTTCAGCATGTGAATCCAAGAATGGAACCAGCTGTGACGAATGCCTTAAAAATGTCTCGGTAAGTCGATTTTAACTTATTTTGTAATGGATTGTTTGTTGTATAAAAGGGAACAGATGGAAGAAAGAGGCCTGTAGCTCCACCTCTGCCTCCCCTCTGCACCTGTTATTCCGGTTTCGTGACTACCTGATCTCTCTTCTCTGTGGGTCGCCTCCTTTTGCGGCCTGGATGCTTGAGGATTCTCCTTTTTCAACAACAATAAGCTGTGAATGTGTTCCCTTTCTGCAGTGTCTGTGGTGCATTTCGACCAAGTCCTGCATCACGTACCCAGTGAGGACCATCCTCCCGCCGCACTCGGTCTGCCCCCTGAACGATGCACGCTGGGGTCTCTGTTGGAGTGAGTATACGGCACTGAACCATCCTGCATGATGGATGGTTCAGTTTAATAAAGCCAAATCCAAGGCCTTAACAGCATTAAAGCCTAAATGTGATTTTCCATTCGATATAATATATTTTCAAGCAATTTGATACAATTCAATACTAAACTACCTAATACACAGCCCCATTATACCAAAATCTCAACATTATGGTATAATTTATTCCAATTGATTGAATAAAGGAATCTCAGTCTCGTGGTTCTGTTTGCTATGTGTGAATCTCTGACTATTACAACATATGGATACATCAAAATGCCAACGCTGAGTAAATATTTGTCAGCTTCATAGCATCTCTTGAAGTCCAGTTTCACTTCTGAGTTACTGTAAATATGTGGTCGTGTGGACCGTCAACTACAGACGCAGAACCCCTATTTTCTAATGATTATAGAAATGGCAGAATTTCCTTACTTGCAATGGAGCATTACATTTTACCCAAAGAACATTAAAAAGTCTTAAGTTGTTGAAGTGTGATGCATTGCTAAGGAGAATATCAACAAGACGTATTATTGAAATATTATTGTTTAACTTAATGCCGCTATCACTTTGACTCTAGAATGACGCTGTGATTGTTATTCCAAAAAAACATTTTTCAAATGTACATAATTGCAAGAAATTCATGAATAACTTCCTGTTTATTCAATGCAATCTAATGCTTACTTAGTCCTGTGTTTGTGTGCACTTTGTAAGTTTGAATATGACAAAGTATGTATTTATGAATTCAACTTTAATAATTCTCATAGATTGCTTTAAATGTATATGCAATTTTCAAATGTTTATTGAAATTTGATAAATACCGGTGCACAGGCAGGAGAAAACGCACCATGGTTGTTTATATTCTAAGCTAATCAAGGCATAAGACGAAAGAAGAGGGCTCAGTTCTGTCCACAGTCTGAGCAAAAAAACAGATCCTCCTCTCCTGCCCCCTGCTGCTGCCTCTGACGGTCCATAATCGAGGATTGGCAAAGCTCTATTCCAATTGTTTGACTTTGTATCAATCAAGGAGATGTGATACATGATTTACGTTTGATGAAGATGTAAAAGAAAACATGTGCATAGCTGTGCATAGTTGACATACATAGAAAATATGTCAGCAACTGCTCTGACAAGTTCCTCACAAACCTCATGACACAGACCGTATCTACATCTACTGCCTCATATTTATATTTGAGCAGTAAAGTAGATTTTTAACTGGGTTTCTGTCATACCTCCTCATGAGTAACACGTCCGTAGTAATGGCAGCACTAAGGTAAAGGCGAGACAATAAAATAAACATTAAAATCACAAATAGTCACTGTGCATTAAAAAGAGTGAAGATATAGTCAGAGTAGAGGCCTGTCTCACGTTTTCAAGAATGTTCTGGGTTTTAGTATTAGTAGTGCACAGAGCTGACGGCTGTTGTGATGTCTGCAGTGAACTTCCAGATCCTGATCATCACCCTCTCTGTGGCGGGAGGAGTCCTGATCATCGCCATCGTCATCTGCATGTTCTGCTGCTGCAAGTGTGAGAACTTTGGGTGAGTCTAACCATCAGTTTTGGATTGTGTAAAGAATTCGAGGTTAAAAAATCATATCGATTAACCTAACAGAAATGATGCAATTAGTGAAGTAGAAACAAAGACAAATGGAAAGAAATTAGGATCTTAAGCTTTAAAACAAGTAACCCATTGACGAATCTGCTTTGAGACTGAACATGCTCCCATAAAGATTGTAAAAACACTTATTTCAACGGTATGAAATGAGTGTTTTTACAATCGTTTTTTTTGTGTTTTTTTGACGGTATGTTTTTATATGTACAGTACAACGTTCCATTGACCAAGAAAAGAAAGTTTTGTTTTTGGTAAAGGTTTGTTTTGGTCAGTGTTTAGCAGAGCTTGATGTTATGAAAACTGCAACTAAAAGTAGATTGATAGTTGACCATGTTTTGCATTTTTCACGTTTTGTTGAATGTAATATAATTTAACTTTGCTCATTGTATACTTATTATCAAAACTATGACTATTTGAGGACATACTTGTAGTTGTTTGACATACACACTTTGAGCACGATTATACTATTTAAACATAAAACAACATTTTGATGTCTAAACAGGACCCCACATTTATTTGTGGTTTGTGTCTGTTATGATGGTGATTTTTTTATATTTGAATAATTTCTTCTGATCAATACCACCGATATACCCACCGACGCCTGTTTATAATCCTTAGTGCAGACACAATTTATCACTTGGCAGTCTGTGGTTTTTGAGTTGCTGTAACGGCACGTTCACACTTACTGGTCGACCGGACTCTGTGTTTTTATTTATTTATTTATTTATTTATACATTAAGAGGCTCGGTGAGAGTGTTCTTCTTCATGAACACTCAGCGTCTGTGATCTCTAGAAAGCCAGAGTTCTAGTTTGTTTTGTTTCTATCACTAGTTTTCCACATGCATGTAAGGGGTATTTTTGGCCTCAGTCACATCTTTAGAAACCTTTTTTAAGACAGAAAAGTAAAAAAAAAAAGTTTTCTAATAGGATGAAGTGACAGCGGGGGTGGTCTGATTTGTTTATAACATTTTACTTTCGCAATACACTGCTGTAGGAGTTTAAGAAAGGAAAAATTACTCTGACAGAATTGTGCAAACACGTTATCGCCTCCTCCAGTCATGTGTTCCTATGAAATATCCATGTGTAATCTCATCACCTGACTCTTTAGTTATTTTTTCTGCGTTTGAGAATAATAATTTTAAAAAATCAGATTGTGCTCCTTGTTGGAATGAATATGTGTATTATCTCAGTGTTTTTACAAGCGAAGAATAGCTGAAACGTGGGCAGCGAAAAACCTGAATGCATGTGGTTTGTGTTACATTCTCCGAGAACAATGCACAAAATCAGATTGCAGTCATTTGTTAAAGTAACTGGAGGCCTTGCTGCTGTTTTGCTTATCAAAAAAGGTTCTGGTTTGATCATTCCATCTCTTGGGCGTCACACAAGAAAATCAAATTGATTAAAATGTACGCTTTATTCTTTTCCAGGTCCAAAAGATTTGAAGCGAAAATGGCCAGACAAGCCAACAAGATGAAGGCGAAGCAGGAGGAGAGGCAAGTGACTGTTTAGTTTTCATGTTGTAGAAAAATAACTTTGACACACAGCTAGATACAAGATGGTTGACCTTGTTTATGTGCCTAATAATATTTGATTTAATCACAAAGAGAATAGCAACAAGGATGGCACGCATGACGCACTGTACATAGTTTTCTTTCAAAGACAAGGCAAAAGTTCACGTCATGGAGCGATCGGCCCAAACCGGTTTAGACTGTGATTATAATGGTGTGTCATGTGTTTGCAGGAGGTCTGAGATGAGAGAGCGGCACGACGAGATCAGGAAGAAATATGGTGAGAAGGCACATTTTAGGAATTCTGGTACATCAGTGTACAAGTTTAAAAGGAATTGTTATCCGTGAGTTTTAGAATGAAGGAGGAAAAGGAACCTTAGCTTTAGTGACTATATCAGGCGTGTCAAAATAAGGCCTAATGCACTGAGTGTTGTTGTGTTGCCCTCTGCCGCTAACATAAAATAGCCATTGAGGTATTTTCAGTGTCAACCGGCCAACTTCTGCTCTACTAGTAGTCAGAAACTTTGGAATCCAATCAACTGTATTGGTATTTACTGATTTGTTCATGATTGTGTCACAATCAACACCAAATAGGCTACATGTCAAATGTGAGTTCCCAAACTCAGACGGACCCCCACAGTCTGGGCCCCTGCTGTTTAATGGAACATAAAGCTGTAATCATTTGAAGAATCAAAACATGTTGCATCAAATGTTCCATGCTTGAGTCATGTATTGAGTAATGCGACCTAATTTATCTTAAAATGGTTTTTCCTATGAATCAAAGAATTGACTTTGATTCATAGGAATGTAATATTTAAGTATTCAATTTCCATCAGAAAATATATTCCTGACCCACAGTTTGGGAACCTTCAGAGGCTTTTTACACAATGACATCATTATTTTGGACTTTCCCACGTTAGACTACGTACCATAGTAATATTTGTGTAAACTGCTGACTTTGCAGAAAGTAAGCCAGAAAAATACCACCTTCAACATTGTGGCATTATTATAGTTCTAATAGTTATTGTTATTGTTTGATATGGTTTCTTTATTTTAATTAATGATAAATGTCTTTTGACACAGTGTAGTAAACTTCCTGTTATCACTGCGTATTGTTAGTTGTGAAGTTTGGGCCTTGGTCAACATTTCTTCTGATGATCAAATCTAAAGAAGGCATTGGAGACGTTGCTAAATCAGAAAACGGAGACTAATGGGCTCTTGGTGGATTAGGAATATGTGAACTGTGGCCGGTGTAGGAATGCGAGCTATGTTGTAATGTGTGTATTTATTTCTGTATTTAACGGTATTGTGACCCTAACCTCGTGGGAACAGGTGGAAATTAACCTTTGGCTATAATCTGGCATGTTTACATTCATTCTTTTAAATGTTTGTTAATGGACATGCACCGTCCCAATCAAATAAATACATTTAATACTGTAGAGAATATATAAAGGATAGGAGCAAATGGTTGGCCTCCCATCCGATTTGATAACCTATTTTCTGAAGTCACAAAATGCCTATGGAAGGTTTTACAATCAGAATAGTTATTTTACAATAGTGAAAGCCCTCATTTCCTTGAAAACCCACAGTTTTGACTTTTTAAAATAAAAAGTGCATCAATAATTTGTTGATGCACTTCTGACATCCTTTTTCTGACTGTGTACTCCTCTTATGCTGAAAACATTTGAAATAAAATAAAACCATGTTATGGCAACGTATCTTCTGAACGCTCGTTTCTTATTGATATAATTTAGCTTGCTTCAATGTTCAAAATGTCCCACTGTACAGTGTATACAGTACATGCAGAATACTTGCAGAGACCTGTGTTGCTAACTGCTGCTCTTGTGCTTTTCTAGGTCTGAGTGGACAGAACCCATACTCAAAGTTTGCCTAAGAAGTCCTGTTCTCTGCAAGATCCATGTAAATAAAAACATTTTAGCAACTTGGAACAAAGCCCTTTGGTCATGATTAGGTTCAGATCATCTTTCAGTGATCTGACGAGATGTGTAGCACGTAGAGCCTTGAGTTTGTAAATAAATGTCTTTAACACATACATTTTACTTCTGTCGGTAGCATAGGCCTACTGCTGCTGTGATTGATTCTTACAATTATTTTTTTCATGTCTTTGTTGTGATGTCGTTTTAGATATTGTGTATTCTGTCACAAATAAATTATTCCTTTTAGGTAATGGGCTGTCTGTTTCTGTACTGATGGCCTTTCGTAGACTTCACCTATACAATACTACACTATACGCTGGTAAATAATCTGTACCACAGTCCTGATACTGTGGTACTGTGTTTTGATTCATACCAGTTTACCTTCCGAACTATAAGATGATAATAAGAATACATTTTATGTATATTGCACTTTACATTTCCAGAAAACTTCAATGTGCTACAGATTAAACTACAATATAACATATGTTTGTTATGTGTACAGTATATGTTTCTTTTGTCCTCACTGAATCTGATAGTATACAGTACCTTGCGAAAGTATTCAGCCCCCTTGAACCTTTCAACATTTTGCCACGCTTCAGGCTTCAAACATAAAGATATAAAATTTATATTTTTTGTCATGAATCAACAAGTGGGACACAATCACGAAGTGGAACGAAATTTATTGGATAATCTAAACTTTTTTAACAAATAAAAAACTGAAAAGTGGGGCGTGCAATATTATTCGGCCCCTTTACTTTCAGTGCAGCAAACTCAGTCCAGAAGTTCAGTGAGGATCTTTGAATGATCCAATGTTGTCCTAAATGACTGATGATGATAAATAGAATGCACCTGTGTGTAATCAAGTCTCCGTATAAATGCACCTGCTCTTTGATAGTCTCAGGGTTCTGTTTAAAGCGCAGAGAGAACCATGAAGACAAAGGAACACACCAGGCAGGTCCGAGATACTGTTGTGGAGAAGTTTAAAGCTTGATTTGGATACAAAAAGATTTCCCAAGCTTTAAACATCTCAAGGAGCACTGTGCAAGCAATTATATTGAAATGGAAGGAGAATCAGACCACTGCAAATCTACCAAGACCCGGCTGTCCCTCCAAACTCTCATCTCAAACAAGGAGAAGACTGATTAGAGATGCAGCCAAGAGGCCCATGATCACTCTGGATGAACTGCAGATAACTACAGCTGAGGTGGGAGAGTCTGTCCATAGGACCACAATCTGTCGTGCACTGCACAAATCTGGCCTTTATGGAAGAGTGGCAAGAAGAAAGCCATTTCTCAAAGATATCCATAAAAAGTCTTGTTTAAAGTTTGCCACAAGCCACCTGGGAGACACACCAAACATGTGGAAGAAGGTGCTCTGGTCAGATGAAACCAAAATCGAACTTTTTGGCCACAATGCAAAACAATATGTTTGGCGTAAAAGCAACACAGCTCATCACCCTGAACACACCATCCCCACTGTCAAACATGGTGGTGGCAGCATCATGGTTTGGGCCTGCTTTTCTTCAGCAGGGACAGGGAAGATGGCTAAAATTGATGGGAAGATGGATGGAGCCAAATACAGGACCATTCTGGAAGAAAACCTGTTGGAGTCTGCAAAAGACCTGAGACTGGGACGGAGATTTATCTTCCAACAGGACAATGATCCAAAACATAAAGCCAAATCTACAATGGAATGGTTCACAAATAGACGTATCCAGGTGTTAGAACGGCCAAGTCAAAGTCCAGACCTGGATCCAATCGAGAATCTGTGGAAAGAGCTGAAGACTGCTGTTCACAAACGCTCTCCATCCAACCTCACTGAGCTCGAGCTGTTTTGCAAGGAAGAATGGGCAAGAATTCCAGTCTCTCGATGTGCAAAACTGATAGAGACATACCCCAAGCGACTTGCAGCTGTAATTGCAGCAAAAGGTGGCGCTACAAAGTATTAGCGCAAGGGGCCGAATAATATTGCACGCCCCACTTTTCAGTTTTTTATTTGTTAAAAAAGTTTAAATTATCCAATAAATTTCGTTCCACTTCACGATTGTGTCCCACTTGTTGATTCTTGACAAAAAATTTAATTTTTGTATCTTTATGTTGGAAGCCTGAAATGTGGCGAAAGGTTCAAGGGGGCCGAATACTTTCGCAAGGCGCTGTATATGTGCAACATTTCTGAGGGACAGTGGGACACACATCTGTCATGAGCCAGGTAACCTCCTGACATTGGTTGCATATGTCAGCTGTCCATAGACCGTTGAAATATGGTCCAGCGGCCCTGATGTGGTCGGTGCCATCTGTGGCACCGGCAGCAAGTCATGCTCACTCCAGCATACTATGTAAAAACAATACACATTAATATATTTTTAGGAATATAGGTCCATCCATCTTCCTGTTAATCCATTTCTGGGTGTCAGGGGTGGCAATCCACCAGCCCCTCACTGATTCTTCTGCAAGTGGTGAGTCCACAGGAGGATGGCCTCAATCCTTTATTGGGGGATTCAGGCAAAGTGGGGTTAATAGTCTTGCCCAAGGACACAATTACAGCAGACATCAGTGGGAGTCGGTGGAGAAGGCCTGATCACCATCAGGCCTTGTGGTTGTGGGTATTGAACCCACAACCTTCAAGCTCTAAGGCCAATGTTCTTCCAACTGAGCCACTCTTTGTTGTCTCATTATTACTCATCTAATCTAGCTTTAAATCCACTGGAGATCAAGGTACATTTGACGTGTAGCCTATAGAAAGTAATAACATTTCAAATGTAGTTTGTTATAGTTCTGAGTCTCGTGAACGAGTATTTACTTCTTATGCGCGCTCTCGTGCGCGTGCACAAATTGGCTGAAGTCACGTGCTTGTGCGTGGGCCAATGGTGTGCAGTCGAAGCGGCCTGAAGCGCGTCCCCGCGGTCAGAGCAGCAGGAGCAGAGAGGAGCACCGAGGAGGACTAAAGGCGGCACAAACACCCTCACAACCCCATCCACCGAGAAATAACTGCACCGCTCCGGCCCAACCATGTCTGAAGAGAAGCCCAAGGTAAGGCACACTGTCCGGGGTAAGAAGCGCGCTGCTGTGGCTCTGCAACCGCTAAAGAGAGGGAGAAAAGGCTCCTGTTGTTTGCACGTTTCTGAAACGGCGCAGTGGATTCTCCGCAAATGAATGGGAAGCCGCAAACCCGTCCTTTATTACCTTGAGCTTCTAATCCGCTCGTATTAAACTCTACACATGAATTACTTGTTATAGTTTGTAAATACAGACACTCCAACCTCGAATGTGACGACATTTGTCTGTTCTAATCTTAGATTGTTAGCGGATTTGTTTTCTTTGTCAGAGCGGATCGTGGTAAGTCCGCAATGTCGCAAATGCCGCAGCGCTAAAATGTGGCGCTAAACGCGACCCACGCAGTAGCCAAACACCCTGTGGCTCTTCTCTCTTCCCAATAAACGGTCTCAGTTGTGGAAGAATGATCTCAAAGCAAAGTGTGTAGTTTTGCCGTTAGCTTTAGCTTAGCCGGCTTGGAGTGTGCGCTCGCGTGGACTCACTAGCATGATGCTAATGCTAACGCTAGCCGCGCCAAGGCTGTGTATGTGGGGCTCAGAGTCCCAGGCTATTGTGCACGGGACTGTTATGGCGCGGGTGTTTGTTTGACACATGCATGCTTTTTAACTGTGTCCTGCTGTTTTTAGGAGGGAGTCAAAACGGAGAACGACCACATTAACCTGAAAGTGGCGGGACAGGATGGTTCTGTGGTCCAGTTCAAAATCAAAAGGCACACACCGCTCAGCAAGCTCATGAAGGCGTACTGTGAAAGACAGGCAAGCACTGCTTTTATAACTTTTTAAATCCATTGGAGTCGTACACTTTTACTCAGTGTTATTGGGAGTAATGTATTCTTTTTGTGTTCGCAGGGTCTTTCAATAAGGCAGATCAGATTCCGATTTGATGGCCAGCCAATAAATGAGACAGACACCCCATCACAGGTCTGATTTGTTTCTGTTCACCCTTCTTCAAATCTAGACCCTATGTAATAACTTTGCTTTTCGTCCATTTCCCCACAGCTGGAGATGGAGGATGAAGACACCATAGATGTGTTCCAGCAGCAGACAGGAGGCCACTGCTAAACCCCTCCGCCCCCTACAGTGACCCTCGGACCCCCTCTGCCTTCACCGTATCCCCTCCTCGTGGCTCCTTTCTTTATTCCTAAATGACCTCAAGTTTGTTGTCTTCGTCATGGCTCTCCGTCAGGTGTGGGGGGATGTCTTCATGTTTATGTACTGTCCCAGCCTGGACTGAACTTTGGTCCACAGTCTGAGTGCAAACCCGGACCGGCTGTGTGAGCTGTGGTGGGAGCGGCGTCGGAGCTGTCGCTTCAACGCAGCCCTTTGGTCTTGTCGTCGGGTCTTTTGTAGGTTCCGCTTGTCCCCCGGCCGGCCATTTTGACACCCATGCAGCTTTTCATTTCATAATTCCTTATTGTATTGCTCTCATGTTAATCTATTTTAACTGTATCAGCATTTTATTGCATTTTAGGGACTTCCTTTTTGCGCATACATATGCGTTATGTTTGCTTGTAACACTCTGCAGCTGTATTCCGATAGCCTTTTTATGGAAAGACACAGCGTAAGAAAATTGTGACATTTAAATATTTTAAGTACATGTTTCTAAATCATAGCTTAAAGAAACCCGTGACCAACTTGCGTCGCTTTCTCCTGTGTTTCGGATATGAACTTTTGATAATTACACTACTGAAAGCTTGTTTGTGTCCTGTGATGGGTGACAAACATGGTTTCATTAGTGAGTTGAAATGTGTTGTCCTGTGTTCAATTCTGTACTTTTGTTTTTACTTGTTTTGTATAGGAAGACAGTGCAGGCCATTTGCTCACCATTTCAACAGGAAGGGAAAGCATAAAGATGTCAAACTAGTATTGTTCCACGGAAAAGGACGTGGTAGGCAGGGAGAGCACGTTGAACAAACCAGCCGCAGGGCCCATTTCTCTGTATTTAGCTTACGGTAATGAATGCTACAAAGCTAAAATTGTCTCACTAAAACTCCAATGTCTTCATCGCATTTGAATTGCCCGTAAACAGATTTTTCATAAACGTTCATCATACATCGAAGTGGGCCCAGGTTTTGTCATGTTATGGTTCTCTACTGATTTGTACATTTATTTGTGGTCTTTTACTACTGTATACAATAAATATAGTTTGGTACTCAGATTTTAGTGGTGAAGTCATTTTTGTAATTCAGGGCTTGTCTGCGGCTTGGTCAGTTCGCTAGATGGCGCTACTGCATCACTTCAGGATATGCAAGTGTTAAAAGTATGTGGTAAACTGAATAATTTGGCAAGGAATTTTGAAGCTGCTGAAAGCTGAATACCCCCAGTTATGTATCAATTGCCTTCTAAAACAGCACACTCCAAAAGCACATGACCTGTTGCACTCCTGGGAATTTTATATATTTTTTTGTCAGACGATCGATCAAATGTAACAAACTCCTGGAACTGTGACAGATCAAAAGGAATAAAACTGATTCTGGCTTAACTCACATGTCTAATACAAAAATTACTGTCAAGGATTTTACATGAGCTCTGCCTGCAGCCTTTTGCTTTACTACACCTACTTAAATCTCATTTCCAGGTAATACTTAGTTTTGAAAGGTTAATGGTTGAAACCCAACAGACACCAGCCATGCCCCCCATTTTTATTTTTACTCTTAATAAATTCCCACATTTAGTAAAACTGAGGGCAAAACTTTCCCCCAGTTTTGCTAAAATCTCTCCTTAGAAACATTGGGGTTTTTCTAATAGATCCATAGGGTTAGGACAACTCTCAGAAACTGTCGATTTGTACGAATGGCTGATGACTTTCCCAGGGTATTAGACAAGTTCACTTAAGTGCGACTTAACAGGGACAAAAGCAAGGGCAAACTTTCTATATTATGACTTAATCGGTGTAAAACACAACTAAAGGCGCTGTTTAAGTTTTCAGAAGGGACATGTGTAGTTTATTTTATCATGAGAAATATGGAAGACAGTCTTTGATCTTCCTTCAGTAGTCTCATTTCACCAATCCTTTCCACACATCTGCACTGGATACTGGAATCTAACACACTGCAGAATAAATAAGATAAGATTTAAAACATATCTATTCTCATTCTAAATGTTTGCTTACACTGACTGGTTTGGTGCAATAATAACTAGACAATTCTTATTTATCAGTTCCCCATCTGTGGCTTTTTAAAGTTACAACTTAGACAAACTATTGATAGCCCTTTGAGTGTCCAAAGCGCTATATAAAAACCAATGCATTATTTATACAAGGGGCATTTCTTGAAAACAATAGCTCACACAAAATACATACTCCAGCATTTGCAGTCCCTCAAACACAGATGCAGGTGCACATTGTGTGAGAAATATAGGGCAAAGTGTACATATTCAAATGAATGCAGACGATACATTACATAAGTCTTTTTATCTTTCATCAGTAAAAATGGGTTTGGATTTGCATGCTCTTCTAAAAGCTGATCTGACATGATGATGAATTACTTTATATTATAGGCCGACTGTAAAACTCAACAGGTTAAGTCCGTTTGTTTGTCTTAAGAACTCTATATTCTAAAGAGGCATGTGTGAATGCTTCTGGAGGAACAAGTTACATTGTTTATATTGCAATAGATTATTTGTGGTTTGGATGTTTGCTATCCCAGTTTGTGTAAAATTCTACCAAAGAACTCACACAATCTATAGATGTTTGCTGCTGTTTCCCAAGGGATGTTTTATCTCTTTTCTATCCACCTCCAAGTTAAGAACTCCTCAATCGTCTAATTTAACTGTTAACGGGCTTTTGTCAAAATGAATGGAACGTTTTTGTTGGATGGTCACTATATAGTTGTTAAAACATAAAGTATACATAGTCTGTATACAATTCTATTCTTAGGCTATAGGATATATCTAGTCACATGATTTAGTTAGTTTTATTTATTTCAAACCAGCAGAACACAATTTCATACTTTTTCATCTTTACACTAATACAAGTTTGAAAAGAGGTTGGATGAACCAGATGTTTATTTGTTCCCAAACCCTGTCACAAATCAACACAATACACCGAATGCAATGCATTTTGTATCAACATACAAAATCATTACAAATGTGTTACCGTGCAGTACATACTGTAATATACCATAGTCCTATTAGGGGGTATTAGACGCACAAAACACCCAAAAACACACACATACTTGAATAATGTTAGACAATAAACCGTAGCTTTAATCAACACTATTCAATTATGTTTGTTTTTTTACCACATTGATGCAACGTTCTTGCTTGAAATGACAAAAAAATGTATTGAGAATTGTCAGATTTTTTTTGAACTGTGTAGAAAACTCTAGGTTCTTCAAGCCAATAGTAAAAAGCAAGAAACTACAACACCCTCTGGCAGTCATGTCACGGAGGCGGATGAAGGCTTGAGTGACGCTGGTTAAAAGCAGGTGCAGGGCAGTCCTCACAGCTCTCTGATAGATCCTTACATACTCTCTTACAGAATGAGCTCTACAGAAGACTGGGCTGCCATTTGTTCATAGTTATGGGTCCTTTTCCGCCCAAATAAACCATGTCTGTGCTTACTTGTATGCAGATCTTGCTTATAGGACTTGGATTTTCAGACAGCAGTGCAGCCGAATGGAGACAGTGTGAAGGTGAGTCCGGATTTTAACTTATACTTCTACTACTTTGCTGCATTCTATTTTGGCATAGACCTGCTGGGAAAGCCCTTAAGCATGCATTCTTTCGCCTCATTCCAACTGCATGAGTGTGATGTCTGCGTAGGAATGGGAGTGCTGCTTCGAGCATTTTTTTGAGTAATATCATTTTTGTGATATGTATAGGGAATTACATAAGGCTTTTGTGTCATGGTAATTCTGTAGTGGCAAAAGTGGCTCCAGAAGAATTGCCAAAAAATACTTAAATTCTGTTGTTAATCTAGAGGATTTATGTTGTTAATCTAGAGGATTTATGTGACTTATATTTTGTTTAAAGATAATTCATTGTTGGACATATAATAGGCAGATCCTTATTGTTATTTTTATTTATTATTATTTGCTCTGCTTGTTCTCTCAAAAAGTTGGTGCACCTAGAAATTGGCAACACACATTTATGACTTCTATAATGTTGCATCTTCCCCTCCCTCTGGGCTGGTCTCGCACTGCAGGTCACCCTTGATGCAAAACCATCAATTCATTGATTACTTTACTGCAGCTCCTCCCAGTCATTATCTATGCATCATCTTCTAAACATGCAAACAATGTGAGTGAGTCTCAACTTCCCTATCATGCTCCATCATCCGACCATTTAAAACCTTACAAAATATCAGTCTAGTCCTTGCGCAGGTCTTGAACCTTTTAATGGAATAATTCAGTTGGCATTAAGCATGTCTTAACCATGCTTTTAATCAGTGGCTTTCTTTCTATAGATACTAAAATGCGAAATAAGTTGGGACACTAATTGTAGTAAAACATAGTCCTACTGTATTTCAGATATGTTCTTGTTTAGTAAACTTTATAACAAGGATGGGCAATGTCTTTCTCCTGCAGGACTTTTGGGGATATCTTCATATTTTGCAGGGCCCATGATATAATGATGAAAATATTTTCTGTGAAAGTTACTCCCGTTATGAAATTACTTATATTTGTAAGAGAAGGCGAGGGAAAGATAGAGCCGAAATGTCTGGTGTTTTCTTTGTGTTGTCTTAAAGTTGGCCATTGTTTTGTTTCAGGCCAGGACTCCCTTGAAAAAGAGGTTTTTAATCTCAATGGGACTTTCCTGGTTAAATAAAGGTTAATAAAAATAATAATAATAATAACCTTTTTACAATATGAAGGTATTTTGAGAAAATTATGATTTCATTGATAATGGGTTGCAACACTCTCTATTGGTTTTGCTTTAATTAAAGCAAGTTATTTTAAAGTTATTACTGGGTAGGGTTTAGGGTCCGCATACAAATGTGACTCAGGTCGCACGTGGCTCACGCTTTGCCCAGGTCTGGTTTATACTGTGACTTTCTGATTGCACGGTGGCAGCAGAACATACTGTATGACATATTAGGCACAGGTCGTTACATAGCAACCACAAAGTAAACAGTGTCTCCTGTACACAATAGTTATGAATGGGTAAGTGGAAATACATATGAGGCAACAAAATATTTCTGTTGTATGAATGAATACATCTTTAAACTGTTCAAAATGTCATGTTTTTGGTGGATGATTGTAGAACCAAGCCCTGACCATGAGTTCTATCCAGGGCTGGACTGGCCATCGGGCGTACCGGGCAATGCCCGAAGGGCCGATGCCCATATTTGGGCCGGTCTGTTTGCCTCATACAAAAAACATGTTTGTGAAAAGTGTAAATCCGTTGAAAAATGTTTGAGGGGAGCGCGCGTGTCCGCGGGGCACCTGCTGTATGTACTCGAACGGGATTCTACCACCTCAGCGGCCGCAGTGTTCCCACATCCAGCGGCTCTGAGCTGGACGCAGGAACCGCTCAGTGGGAGCCGCTCACAACACAACACGGTGAGCGCGTAGCCGCAACGTGACCATATACCCAAGACCATAAACGTGCACAGGACCATGCATGTCTTTTCGTAATTTGTGCACCCAATAAATACACCGCTGCAGAAAACAGTCCGCGTCTCCCCTCCTCTCGAAATTAAAGCTCGGGTACCTAAATTTTCCATTGCATTAAAAGTTCATGTTTGAGCTCAAAAGTAAAATGGTGTGAACAAATTAAACAGATTTAGAGCCAGCCAATGGCTGACAATATGCATTTCAGAATGTTTTACCAATTCTCCTCCCTGTAACAAACAATATTGTCTTTGCCCACCTCCCTCACTCTGAGACATGTTTATTACTCTGTTTAGTCTATAGACTATTGTACTGTATTTTATTGTTGAAACTGGAGAGATCCTGATCCTCACAGTATTTGCTTCCACATACTGTATAAACCAGGGGTCGGCAACCTTTAGTGCCCCTAAAGTGGCTCCTGGAGCCTTTTCAAAAATGTCTGAAAATGGAGTGTGAGGGCTATATTTTATTTCTAGTTTCAATGTGGTTTCTGTAGGAGGAAAAACATTCTTAACGTTTTTCAATGCTGCAAAAACTTGTATGGGTAATATTCAATTTTAACTGTGTGTGCGCATGGATCCCAAAGATAAAGAGAGTCGATAAGACTGGACTAAGAATGAGAATGAACATTTGCTTTCAGTCAATGAGGAAGGACTGCTTCATGTTTGTGATGTAATAAAAAGTTTTGTTGCAACAGGAGGAACAATGAAGCTTTAAACACTGTTCACTGAAACATTCATTCATCATAAAGTCAGAGCACCTATTTTCAGACTTCAAAAACCTTCGCAAAGACGGTGAAAGAAAAGGCCATTAAGGACATTCAGCTCCAGCAAACTTCAGCCTGTGATGGATATGAACAGACAGTGATGCAGGTGAACTCAGAGCCAAAAGCAGATTTATTTACTGTATTTGTACAATTGCAAGAAGGTTAAACTTAAAGCAGAGTTGTCACGTGGTGCGTCATTCTCTCCAGGACACGCTGCAATGAAAATACACATTTGATAATCATGAATGGTTTTTATGTGTTTAGCCTTTACTTTGTCATTTAGATATTAGTCTAATATAGCTAATATAGCTAATGTAGCTAATACAGCTTAAGCCCCTGTTACCTTCATATGAGTCTTATACAACGCTGTTTTTTTTTTGTTTTTTTTTGTCAAATAGGGCTCCTTGAACCTTTTGAGTTGCCTGGGCCGCTAAAAAGGAAAAAATGCCCGGGCCGATTTTTGTCCCAGTCCAGCCCTGGTTCTATCCCATCAAACAATGTCATTTTTTCTGATCCCTGCATGAAAAGAAAGAACTGATGGCTTTTGTGATTTGCTGCCTTGTCTGCAATTTGTTGTGGTGTTGTGCTGATTATGCACTATAATAAAACGGCTGGTGCAAATAAACATGGTGAGTTTCAGTGCACTTTTAGTAAACGTCACTGACTTATTAAAAGTGTCAGTGATAAAAAATGACCATTTTTGTCTGCACTGTGTAGCTCTGTATCCCATAGAATATTTCCCTTGGGGACAATAATGTATCTTAACTTCATAGTGTGCTTATTTTGTCTACGTTAGCTCAGCATATTTCTTGTATTGTTTACTTATAATTTTTATATATGTGACAAACAAAGCTTTTCCTTCTTTTCTCTTGTATGCAGGGCGGGTTCCTCTGGACCTGCTGGCCTTGGTGCTGGAGAGGGACACTTCCACGCTGGTTCCTGGGGTGCACATAGAAACCTCTCAGGGCCAGAGGGGACTTCGCTTCGCCAGCCCACATCGCTCCATGTCCTTCCCCTCCTCTGAGCTCCTCAACTGTGACCTCTTCCCCCACGAGTTCTCGCTGGTCGTCACGCTGTCCATCGCTCACAATGACCCACAGGTGGAACACATACACATACAATATATATCTGTAATGGACTGTATGCACCGTTCTGAAATCTAATAACCCCGGACCCCCTCAAAAAAGAGATGATTCATCTCAAGGGGCCATCATGGGCGGCACGGTGGCTGAGTGGATAGCACTCTCGCCTCTCAGCAAGAAGGTCCTGGGTTCAAATCCCGGTTGGACCAGGGCCTTTCTGAGTGGAGTTTGCATGTTCTCCCCGTGTCTGCGTAGGTTTCCTCCGGGTGCTCCGGTTTCCCCTACCACTAAAAATATGTACAATAGGTCTGGCATGTGCCTCCTGTACTGGCACCCCCACTCCCAAAAAATAACAATTGTAAACCGCTTTGAGACTCCGATGTGCAGTGAAAAGGCGGTATATAAAACAAAGATTACATCCACAATAAATAAATAAAAAATAAGGTTGATAGTGGAGAGGGTTGTCCTTATGTCTCGCTGTTTGACTTTTGGTCCTCCAGTTCCTTTCGTTAACCTAAAACTGCCACAACAAGCTGATCCTCCTACTAATCTAAACCTGAGCATCTTCAGAAGGGCCCTCAGGCACTGGACCGCTTTGTCCGCTCTTCTGATAGGTCAAATGGGTACAATGCAGAAGACACTTATAACAATTAAACCCAGGGTATGCCTCATTTTTTTCAGATCTCTTTCTCCTCTATCTTTTGCAAAAACGTACACATACTGTACATACAACTTATACAAACCTATACACTTATACATGTAAATAACATGTTGGGTGGAGAACTTCTCTTCAATTCCTTCCTGTGTCTATATCTATGTGCCTATGTAGGGCCTCCAGGTACTCCGGTTTCCCCTACCTCTAAAAGGATTTACAATAGCCTCAATAACACACACTCAACCCCCCTCTCTCTGGGGCCAGAGGAAATTCTGCAATCTCAGTGGGACGTTCCTGGTTAGTAAAAGTCAATATATAATAAAAAATACAGAGAAGTGAGTGGTGTTAATGGACACAAAACCACATAAATTTGGTTTCAACATATATCAATATTCAATATGAATTGCCTTTTGGGATCAATAAAGTTTTCTGAATTTGAATATTAAGCTCATAAAGTCCATCACACATACTGTAATAATACTTTTTTATTGTAATTTCTAGCAAAACTATATATTATTGGATCGTTTTTTGCAGAGAAACGACTACATCTTCTCTTTAATGGACACTAACCGATCGGATGGAGCTAAAATCAAGAAACACAAAAGCAACAATTTGGGCAGCTCCGCGCAGAGTAAGAGCATAGACACCAGCGAGAAGCAGGTGTCCTCTGTGGACCACGGCCACATCCTGATGGGACTGAGGTACTCCCGAAAGCGCCTGCACTTCCTCTACAGACCTCCACGCGGAGAGGTCAGGAGGCTGGCCTTTCGGACCAAGGGACTGGCCGACAAGCACTGGCACACGTTTGTACTCGTGGTCAAGAGCAGTTCTGTGAGGCTGACTGTGGACTGCAACCCTCCTCTGGAAGTGTAAGTATTTTTGAGGGACAATGCATTTATACACCCAGAACCACCCAGAAACACATGGGAATATCAGTGGCCGGAGAAAAACTGTGGAATCAAAAAATCACAGCAACAACAATGAATTCATATGATATTCATCATTAGAAAAAATGAGAAAAAATGTATAATTATATGAAAAGCAGATTGAAGGATTGCTGTAGTCCATCTCAAATATTTTTTCTTTGATTTGTACGTGATTAAGAAAGGGGCAAGTAACAAAAGATTTTTGTCTTCGTTCTGCTCCTTTTAATTAGTTTGACAGATAAAAATAATTGAAAGACAAAGTAGATTATTATTATTCATAAATAAAATTCTTATCACATTCTCTGATATTAGACATTTTTGTTTTGTATAAAGGTTTTTTTTGTTTGTCAGAATTTGGCAGACAATTGTGAAGTGAGGCTTGAACAGTATTCATCCCATTTTTTACCTGGGTGCAACCAATGGCCTTTAGAAGTTGCCTGACCTGGATGGATAAATGTGTGTGTGTGTGTGTATGTGTGTGTGTGTGTGTGTGTGTATGTGTGTATACTGTATATAAAGTCTGTAATCTAATTTCATTATAACAACATATGTCCTGTGATGGCCTCAAAGATTTGACAGGAGAAAATTATTCACTAAATGAATGAAGTCCAAGAGCACATTTTTGTTTTACTAGAACGCAACTTTTAATATTCAAATGAAATGTCCACATTGTATGCAGCAGTTAATAGAAGAAAATATGTGAATGTAAATCGCTGTACAATAATGGGTTTGTTTTGTTTTTGGCTGGTTATGGTCTACTCTGCTTTTAGAATCCCTAAAGGTAAAGCAGGTCTGTCAACACAACACAATGGCAGCGTTCCAAAGTGTCTCGCAGCCTCCAGCCAAATCACAGTGACCTGACAGTGAGATGGATAGTGTCAGCGGAAACTCCCTCTGGCTGATGTACACACGGAGCATCCGCAACAAAACACGCCATGAGTGCAGTTCAATATAGATTTTATAATGTGTATGTTATACGGTCCTCTGGGGGGATCTAAAGTCTGTCTTCAATAGTCCCTATGTCAAGTCCTGCAGTTCACTATTTACAAGTCTCCCAATTTTGGGAAATGTCAGTGTTGCAACGCATAGAACATAAACTAGGAATGTAGAAAGCTACCCAAACAGAATACAAACTATTGCACTATTGTAGACCAATTTGAATACAGTGTTCAAATTAATGAATTCTTGTATAGCCCTGAATCGCAACAGCAGTAATCTCACAGGACTTTACAAAACAAATTCACCAATATAAGTGTCAGTTGTAAATACAAAAAGTGTACGTATAAATTATCTCATCATCTAGTTTGAGCTGAGTTCTACACATGCATCAGGAAAGGCTCTAGCGAAAAGTCAGAGTAAGACCAATGTTATCTGCCATCTGGTTGTACCATCATAGCCATACAAGAAATATACTGTATATAGTTATTTTTAGATGCAGTTGTGAGAAAAGCACATACAAGACGTTTTTCACACATCAGCACCATATTTATGTGGTCTCTTTGCCTGATTTCAGAGTTTGATCAGTCCAATTCAATTCAAATTATTATTTTTTGGGCACCTGACAATGACATATTTCCTCTTTTACACTTGGCGACACAGTCCTGGATAAAGCAGGAGGAAATAGACGTGGTGTATTTATAGGTGAATTAGAAAAAAAATGCAGGAACCTGAACATACTACCAACTTTCTATTCTCTTACAACAGCATTCCCTCAGAGCCTTTCCCCTCAGAGCTCAACCTCCAAAGATCCAGGTTCCACATCGGAAGTCGTGGCCGGTGGAAGGGGCTTTTCTCAGTAAGATTCATACATGGATATCACCATCAATATAGCGACCATAACTAATAACCAACCGTGGCGTGCTCTGGGTGTGCAGGGATTGCTGAGACAGTTGGTGCTGGTTCCTGGCTCTGACCCCACCTCCCACATGTGCCCGTCGCCTGAGCCTCAGCTGACCGCTCTGTCGGTGCCCCCCAAGCTGCTGGACCTGCCTGATGTGAGGGCAGAGGCGGGGGGACCAGTGCCGCTGCATGGTGAGTGGTGATGTCCTATCCCTTAAAGCAACTGATTGAAATTGACGCAGTTTGTTTGGCTGTTATTTTTTTTGACTTAATGAAAATAGAACAAAAATATACTTGATATATTGTTTATCACTTTAACTTTAATTTGCAATCACACAAGACTAGATTTTGCCCTTGATGGCTGTTCAGTCTATTTGTAATGGAATACAGTACATGTGCCAGGAATACCTTTGACTTCCTACTACACATTTCTAAAGAATACATTATACATTGTATTTAATCATACAATTGAGACTTCAAAGAGGAGTATGTTATCTGTAAAATAGTGAAAATAGTAGTGCTCATGATTGTGCTTTACTCCTATGATGGAAAAGGCTTTATAAAACAAACCATGTCCTCTAGTGGGTTAGTTAATAGTTTTTTTTTTTTCATATAGCACCTTTCAAAGTCACAAAGCGCTTTGCAGTTTGCAGGGCATTTGTTTCTCACTCCACACAGAGATGGGCGTGAGGTCGCCAGTACAGGAGGCACATGCCAGACCTGTTGTACATGTTTTTAGTGGTAGGGGAAACCAGAGCACCTGGAGGAAACCTACACAGACACGGGGAGAACATGCAAACTCCACTCAGAAAACCACTGTTCCCAACCGCGATTCAAACTCAGGACCTTTTTGTTGAGAAGCGAGAGTGTTATCCACTCAGCCACCATACCACCCTATGACATTATAAAAAAGAATATGCAGGTATTCCCATCCATCAAACAGAATGTGCTACTAAATACTTTAAAGCTGATCCTTTATAATTAGGAGGAAATAATGTTGCTGTGAAAATACCTTGTGAGTCATTTCACTAGATTTATTGCCGTATAATTACAGCAATTACTATTCCATGGAACGCATGAACAAATCTATGTACAGCATTTCCTCTCATCTAGAACTTATATCTTCCATACACAATTATACACAATACGCCGACTGCGATGACATTTCAACATTTCTGACATTTCCTCAGAATCGCGGATCTCGGTCGGCCTGGAGCAGCTCTGTTCAGAACAGACTCAGGGCCAGCTCTGGTTCAACCCCCTGAAGAAGGCCCTGTACCTGTGCGACGGCTCACACTGGGTCACCATGCTGCAGGGTGGGAACAACTCGACCAGAGGCGCAATCTCTCACAGCAATGTCTATTACTTATTATTGATTAGATTCACGATTTATGTTAGTGTAGTTCAAAGTGACTGCAATTTATTTTGACCACTTTGGTTCTGTTCAGTGGACCTTTATTTTTTGTATGATTTGTTTATCTTTCGAACGAGAGCTATTAACTAGTATATTTTCATAAATCTATGGACCAGAGGCTAGTGTTAAAAATACATATACCTAGCATAATAACCTTAAGTGCCTTAAATCTGACCACAACATGCTGTCTTCATGAGTGAGGGTGGTCCTTTCTTTTTCACTTTTCTGTCTGAAAAAGTTGATCTAAAGATGTGACAAAAATATATGTGAAAGAACCAAACTGTTTTAGATCAAGTAACCAATTATATGGATTTTCTGATATAGTTCAAGTCCAGTATTTAATTGTTTGCATAAGGATTTCATAAAATTGGCGATTTTCTAATTACAACCATTCAAATTGCCATCTCAAGCCCATTTTGATTTTGCCACCCTTTTCTGAAGCTTTTTTCCCCCTTTTGTCTCCTCCGGACAGACTCCTTTAAAGTCAAAATGTTTTTCTTATTGCCCATGACTAGACTAAAGTTAGATACACCAGCTTTAATTATTACTTTGAAAATACAGTTGTAAATCTAGACTTTTCTCTTCATGTTCATGTCCAACCCTAACCCACTCACAATGTAGGATAAGTTTTGAAATGATTAAAAATGCCATTAAAAAACCTTTGCCTAAAGTCTACTATATTTACAGATCACCACAGACTGGACTACATCGAGGAACACCAAATCCTCACCACAAGCTCGGAGACCAACGACATAGAGGTATCTCCCCTTTAGAAACCCTGTGACCTCCAGTTGGCCTCTTTCTGCCAATCCACCCTAAATGCCACAGTCTCCAGTAACGTAATGTAATGTAATGTTAGAAAATAACAGGGCTGGGGTCGATGACGTCTGCAAACAATACTATTATCCTGCATTCTAATCACGTCACGCCGCTGTGTCCTGCAGGTGTTCCAGGTGTCTGGGGTGGGCGTGATGGCTGCCCTGGCTCACCGCTCCTCTGCCTCTGGCTCAGCTCTGTATCAGTGGACACCCAGCGGATTCCAACTCTACCAGAATATCAGCACGCACGGAGCCCTGGCCTGCAGACACTTCCGGATAGGCAAGAAGGTAAGAGGAGAGAGGCGGAGAATGGAGACAAGAGAGAGGAAAGAGGACACCCATCATCATCATCATCATCACCGCAGCGATAGTGTCACTATATTAATAATAGTTACACATACATTTTTATAGAAGGCAGGACATCCCAGTGTATTTAAAACTAGGCAAAAAACAAATAGGTTCATCCCTAAAGACAAAAAAGAAATGTGAGTTTTTACATTTGCTGTGGGACGTAGCACTTGCCCTATTGTGGAATGATCCAGTCTGTGCTAAAGTTTCATGTTGAAATACTTATATAATATTTCATGAGTCCTGATTTTAGATTTCATTCATTTGACTCAAAATAAAATACAGTGTTCACATGAGGTGACGGTTATATTTTGTCTGTTGGTTGACAATGTGAGTGCCAAGCAAAGAATATTCCAAGGAAGAATAAAATAGGAATCAGGTGCACTGTATAAGATCTTTAACGTAAAGTCAGTTGACATATGAACAATTATCTTAAAGGTATATGGTATTCGGGCGATACGTGCTCATCAAAAAAGACCAGAGAATTTTGTTCAAAAAGTGGAGAGGGCGGTTCTTTCCAAAAGCATGCCAGAGCTAGCCAACAAAAAATGTGTGACCAAAACAAAAAATGAAGTCCTCTCTCTTGTTGGGGTTAGGGTTAGGTGTGTGAGAATATTACCAGACATGACTTTTGAAGGTATCTTGTATCTTCTTCATGTTTCCGATTGGGTTTCCCAGGCTTTCCTCCAGACTATCTACTTTCCCCATTTTCTTAAATCTTGCATAGTCACTAAACAATCATTTTGGAACTATACTGACAAAGCCAAGCTCAGGATCCGGTGATGTAGAAGGAACTATTTCAACGCTCAAGAATTTATGATAATAATAGAAGTGGTGTATATAGAGCTATGATGTTTTATTTTGTCCTTCAGTCATACCTGGTGGTGTCTAACTTCAAAGAGGGGGTGGATGGTGCGGAAGCAGAGCCAGAGATGGACTTCTCCGTCATTTACAAGTGGAGCAGGAAGAGGAGGAGATTCGTGCACTTACAGACGCTGCAGACGCACTGTGCACGTGACTGGGAGGCCTTCACCATCAACCAGCACTCCTACCTCGCTGTGGCCAATCACAGGACAGGTGTTCATTTTTCATTTGATTTAATTTATAAACTTGTCTTTTCTGGTGCTTGATGTTGGTTTGCCTGGAATGTTGCAGTGTATGTCATCTAAATTTGGAACCACAAAATTATCAAATTATCAAATCCATCAACTTGTTTCTTTGTTCTAAAAGAGATTGGTTCTACTAGGTTTTACATACTATTATTATTATTATATGATCATTATTTACAATATTTTCTTGTTTTAAAAAGATACAAGAAATGTACCTTGGAATGATAAAATAAAGCAACACTTCTTGAAGTAAGTCTAAATGGCCTTGTCTCATCGGCAAATCTGCAGTCAGTATATACTCTATACTAAGGTAGAAACCCTCTCATGTTTTATCGTTTTTTGTAATTATTTGTAATCCCTTTTTGCAGTTCAGAAATATATTTTAGCCCACACTGGACACCCCTCTCTTGTGGCTTGTGTGCTTTTGTGGGCTCTTTTATGTTTTGCCCAGACTAAAGCGTGTGTACACATCATATAAAAGTTGCTTTGTCCCACAGGAAACAACCACACCATCGACAGCCTGATTTACAAGTGGAACAGGTTAGCGAAGGCCTTTGAGGTGCACCAGCGGCTCCCCACATCAGGGGCCTACGACTGGGAGTTCTTCAGCGTGGGGCCGTACCACTTTCTGGTGGTTGCCAACGCCTTTGATGGGGTCACGACGTCTGTGGACTCTGTCATTTACGTGTGGGTCAACGAGGCGTTCCAGGTGTTTCAGACTATCAAGGTGTGTGCGCTGTTGTTGTTAAAATGCCATTTGAACTCTAACTCTAGCATGAAGGAGAAACAAGTATACAATCTCTACTAACTACTAACATAATGAGTACACAAACTCTGACTTTAGCATAATAAAAAAGTATACAGTAACATCTTTAACTTTGGCATAATAAGAAGCCAGTATAAAGTACTGTATATTCTAGTGCAAGCAATATACAGTTGCATGTATACAGGTACAATTTAGCATGAAATACTTACAACAGAGGTACTTTGACAAATATGCATTTTGATTACAGCAACTAATTAGTGTCTGGAATTTTTACTCTTTAAACACATTTTAATGACCAAATAGATACAGTAATATTTCAACTTTTGGCTGAGTTTAAATTTCCCTCCAGTAACACTCCAGCAAATGTATTCAATCTTCCAACTGTAGCATGGTGCGAAAAGATCACAATTGTATGTAGATGGGCTGAAACTAGTCAGTAATTACTACTCCACCAGAGTCATAAAACCTCTTTCCCTGACACGTGGCATGTGTAGACGAGTAAACAATTATTCTATTACAATTATTGAAGCAACAAACAGTCCAGATGAGTAAAAGTCACGTGCTCCCCACTCCCTGCATAACGGCGTGTGGACGTTTGATAGACCACATTATAAACAGTGTTTGATTTACAGCAGGCCTTTGACATATAGTGGATAATGATGATGCTGGCCACATTAAAAGCAAACCTGGTGATACATTGATAGCTCAGTGGAACCATAAGAAGCTGATTCGAGGGGAACTCCAGCAAACAAGAAGCTTCCAAGAGTAGCTTCAGGCTGTGGATAATTTATCTCCCAAAGTAATTGAAGTTAGACTGGCTTTGTTTACACCGTGGACTTATTAAGATGCAATCATGTTTTTCACAGGACAAGTCATAACTAACACAAGTGATGGCAATATGTTTAGTCCAAGATCTGAAGATTCCATTGTGGAAATCAGGGCAACTCACAACGCTTCGGCAGATTGCACGTTCTATCTGTTTTAAATTCCATGTTTTTATTCAGTTTTTGGCCTCTGATGCTCTGTCATAGATTAGAACAACCACCCTCATCAGCCAAGTGTCAAATATGGACTCACAGGGCTCTTTTTACACTTTCTAATCAGATGAAGACACATGAAGCCTGAATACAAATTAACTAAAGTTAAATATATTATCTTTTAAAATCTAAATGCATGAGTCACATCTGTGAACATTCTAAAACCCCTACAGATTAGCATGGGTCAGAAATATTATTGTCATTGTTTATGATCCCGCTCTCAAAAAACAAAGGCTAGAAGTTGTATATTTTACAATAGCTACAGGCTGCATTTCTCAACAGTAAAGACTCGATCAATCAGAGCGGCAAAAATTGAAAAAGATACAATATTGGATTTTTCAATTGTAAATTCAAAGCCCTTCACTTGTCATATCCATTTTATAACTGAAACCAAGAGTATAAGAATGGCAAGGTAAAGACAAAAATACTTTTACTTTTAAACACAGCATTGTAATGTATATTTTGTCTTGTGATTATTGCATTAGGATGGTGCTGATCCAGGAGTATTTTTTGGATCACTCTAAAAATGATCAGTTCTCTGTTATGCTAATATCCTGTTTGTTCCTTTCAATGTATGTATTTGTTTTGCACGAAAAATATCTGCTAAAAACACAATTGTGGGTCCAATTGTTTTTTTGGCAGTTATTTTTGATAATTGTTATTTTTATATAATATATTTATTGTATTTTTTTGCTTTGATATGAAGAGGTACATTTTTATCTTTTATATCACGTTTACCGGGATCAATTCAAATAGGGTATTGCCAGATATGGAAATCCTATTGGGATCTGTATCGGTCACAAAGTAACTAGATCGGTGCAGCCCAGCGATAACTTTCACACATTGGCATACACTGTATAAAAGGCCCCGTGATTGGTGTCAGCAGAAAATCCTCCTGTGGATCAATTATATATATATATATCTGTCATACATGCATAAAACTTATTCTTTGATTTTCCCAGACATATTGTGCCACAGATTGGGAAATGTTCCAGATCGGAGGCAGAGTCTTCCTGGTCGTCGCCAATGGGCACAGACTGGTTGGCAGCGGACACGGGCGCTATGCCATCAACTCCACTATATACGAGCTGGACCTGCACGCACGCATGTTTGTCCGTTTCCAGGACATCACCTCCTACAGGTAAATGGGAAACAGATACTGGGTGTTCCCAAGTTTCCCTTATCATTCATCACGCGTCTCCTGCTTCTGTCTGCAGTGCGGTGGACTGGGAGTTCTTCAGCCTGGGGGAGGAATACTTTTTGGTTGTCGCTAATTCCTTCAACGGAGATTCCTATTCTCTCAACAGCATTCTGTACAGGTGCTGATCGTGTCTGCTTGTAAAATATTCACTCTGTCTTAGTACACGAGAGATATATGACATTTTGTAATGAATGGTATTCTGGACTGTTTGTGTCAATGTAGACTAGATGTAGCTCAACCATTGAGGAACCGACACTAGATATTTGAAGTTTTGACATATTTAAAGTTCTCTTTATGAGGGAGCATATTTAATCTTTCCAACATGGAATGTGATTAGTACCAAAATGCATGAAACTGTTAGAAGTAACTCCCTATGAAAGTAACTTACTGTAATGTATTTTCATTTTAACTCAGTAATCTAATGTAATGTCCTTTAGATGAAACTTGTTTATGACACAAAGGGGTTTCTGTTCCTGAAACATAAAGAGTATTTTCTAACGTCACTCAAAATCTGTCTGACAGCTTAAGTTTAGCCGAAGCAAAAGTAACTCAGAGTTTCAGTTTTCCGTCCAATATATCAATACATATCACAGTTTTAGCGTTTTCAGACACAAAGTTGAAGACAGACAATCAGATCTCAATAAGATAGGGACAATGTATCACAGTTTCACTATTCATGAATATGGACTATTGCATTCCAAAATAACAGCATTCTGTATTTTGTACCATGTGTTTGATTATTACAGATGGCAGGGTTATGAAGGCTTCGTCCCTGTGCACTTTCTACCAACTATTGGATGCAGTGACTGGGAGTTTTTCACCTGGAAAGGAGAGTCTTATTTGATGTACTCCAGTGCCAAAGTGCCTCTGTCCAAGGTTTTTAAGCTCAAGACTTATTAGAGGAAGTATTCCTAATTATAAGTGCAGTTATGATGTCTGAGACTTTAAGTGCAATATTTGAGTGAGTGTGATTGTGAGTGGCGTGAGTGGTGTTTTTGGTCTATTTTTAAGTCCGTCCATAGTATATGTTTTGTTCCAAACTTGTCCTTGATTTATCAGTGCTGAACCGTTCTATGTGTTGGACTGACCAGTGTTCACATGTGAGCACACTCAAAGGATCATATGCAACATGTAGCATACTGTAACTGTACAAATAAATCAAATATGAAAACCATGTGATTGTTTATTACTGCTTACTAATGGACCATTATTATTACTGATCAGGTTGTCAGTATAAAGGATCGACGTTAAATGAACCCGTCACTTTATATGCATTTCATGTAGTCCGTCTTGAAATACTCTTTTATTGATCATATCCGTGGCTAAGTTTAAAAAATAAAAATCTAACAGAAATAACACGAGACGAGCGTTTCAACGGAGGAACTACAGTTACCACAATGCAACACTGCATCCTCTGCAGAAACCAACATGGCGGCCCGCTGTTCACCGACTGCATTTTTATTTACGTTTACTGCGGTGTCGTTCCTTAGCTTTCTAAAGAGACACGGGACACAAGTGTGCCTCTAAAGCCTTATTTAAAGTCTGTTATCATCTGTTCCCGCAGAGGTCAGTCCCTGACAGGCCCGGGGTCAGCCTCACTCTCACGGGGCGCACTTGGTTTCGCTGAGCTGTCACTGTTCAGTTCGGAGTGTGTCTTTGTCTTCCATAAACTATCCCACAGCGCTATGTTCAACCCCATCAAGTCTGCCTACTTCAGAGTCAGTCCTGCCATTGTTAACAGAGAGCTCGGAAAGACCAAGATGAGATAGCAAGAGGCGCACACACATTATCAGAGGCTGTCAAGACACGAAACACGCCATGTTTGGCAATCTGTTTGTGGAGGACGAGGAGGCGTCTTCTTCCACTTCCTCCAAGGGCAGAGTTCTAAAGGGGCCTGAGGAGCCCCCTCCACCCCGAGGGAGAAGCAATCTGTGTGGCATCAAGAACCAGGGAGGCACCTGCTACCTCAACTCTCTGCTGCAGACCCTGCTGTTCACCCCCGAGTTCAGAGGTGAAAGAGCGACCGCAGACCACATTGCTCTCACTATTACTCCTGTTTAACAAACTGTTTGTTTTCCAGAGAAGCTGTTCAGTTTGGGCTCAGAGGAGCTGGGATGTCTGGAAGACAAGGACTCACCTGGAGCCAAAGAAAGTCTAATATGTATAAAACATGTGACGTGTATGATGAGTGTGATGATAACAGATCATTTGTCCCTGTACAGGTGCGACTCATCCCCCTGCAGCTGCAGAGACTGTTTGTTCGCCTGCTGCTGCTGGACCAGCACAGTGCCTCCACAGCCGAGCTCACCGACAGCTTCGGCTGGAACACCACCGAGGTCTGCCACTTGTACATCTGAATCATGTTACACTCTGTACTATGAGTGTGAGGGAAACTGGCACTGGATCATTAAAAACCGCCAGTATATGATTTGGTTGAGAAAATGCCATTGTAACATAAACATGATCATTTTAAGGTGGAAGTGTGAATACTGAAAGGATTGTCTTTGCAGGGAACAAACCAGCATGATGTGCAGGAACTCAACAGGATTCTGTTCAGTGCTCTGGAACACTCTCTGGTGGGAACCACAGGAAGTTCCTTTATCAACAGCTTATATCACGGCACCATTGTCAACAGCATTGTGTGCAAGGAGTGTGGCAATGTGAGCCAGAGACAGGTGCGTCCAGGCGAAAGTTTGATCAGTGAATGTTGAGCAGAGGCTAAAGTCCTGGGCTCAACTTGTTGGTTTGTATTTTAGGAGGACTTTCTAGACCTGACGGCGTGTGTATGTGGAGTGTCTAGTCTGGAAGAGGCTTTATGGAACATGTTTGTGGAAGAAGAGTTATTTGAGGGAAATAATTTGTATCGTTGTGCTGAGTGTAACAAGCTGGTCACCGCCGCCAAGGTCAGTAAACATGGATGTGTACTGTGTTTGTGTAAGTCCTCTTGATGCACATTTGTTTTTCACCATTTGTCTAGTCTGCAAAGATGAGGAAGCTCCCTCCTTTCATGACCATGTCTCTGCTGCGATTCAGTTTTGATTTTGCCAAATGTGAGCGGTACAAAGAGACAGGCCGCTACAGCTTTCCCCTCAACATAAACCTGCGTGCCTTCTGTGAACAGGTCTGAATCCTCGCCTCCTCTCTCTATCCTTTGTTTGACTGTCATTATAGTTATAAACATGTTCTTTACAGGCCGAGGGAGATGACTCTGATTACTCGTACGAGCTTTTCTCAGTCATCATTCATAAGGGCGGTTGCTATGGCGGCCATTACCACGTTTACATTAAGGATATTGATCAACTTGGCTGCTGGGAGCCTCCAGTGAGTGATGTACATTCAAAGATATTACACTAAAAAAGTCACTGTAATTAAATGTGTAACCGTGACCAGGAAGAAGAGTCTAAACCCAAGGCAAAGAAGAAAACGAGTGAGGAGAAAGCGTGTGAGTCGAAGCCACAGGAAGAGGATCCACTGTCTATTCTCACTGCCATCATCAGCCAGGTATAATGCTTTAACCTCTTACATAAATGGTTATTCTATTCTGGCTAAACACCATTTGATTTTTTTTTTTTTTCAATTCAACAGGAACCTTCCAAGACTGTTCTCGTGGACCAACTAGGCCAAAAGCTGATGAATAACTTTGGTTTCTCATGGAATAAAAAGTTTAAAAAGCAATGTGGAGCTATTGGAAAGGTACATTCAATATTATGACTTGGCTACGCATTTAGAAAGAACCTTTTTGTTCCCTTTTCTTTAGTTCCTGCAATCTCATGGGGAGGTCTTCATGCTGGTGTCTAACGGATCTAAAGTCACTCTGAAGGCCAACTCCACAGAGCCCATTGTTCCAGAGCAGACTAATGATGCACAAGGGGAAGGGGACCAGGATACGGAGGTACAACAGTTTTTCAAAAGTGCTTTTTCCACCAACCCTTCTTTGCCCTACTCTACTCGGCTCTGCTCTACCTGGTTGCGTTTCCATTATCCATCCAGTTCCATACCAACAAGTTTCCATGGAAAATTTGTTATAACCATGGCTTCTCTGTCAGTCGGAACAGGTACTAAAAAAATACCTACTAAAAATGACTAAAGTACCTGCTACCGGTTAAACAAGGGTGGTGGAAACACTCTAAATCAGAATTGAGCAGAGTACACTAGGACCAAGTAGGACTGGTGGAAACGAGTCTAAATATACAATCAAGTAATAGAATCTTCTAGTCTTGTGCTCTGATAATGAATTGTTAGTAACCATCTAGACATGAATTGGCTGAAATGTCACGTTTTTTGAAGCTACCAGCAGCTTGCATGTTGTATTTTTATCCAGCCTTTTATCCAGCATGTATATATCTTTTTATATACTTTTTCAGGAAGTCTCAGGAATGTTGTCAATTTGTATTCTTACCAGTGTGTTTATAAGTTGATTATGATTATTTGACACAAATTGAGAGATTCATTTTATACAACTACTTGCATTTCAAACTTTTGTATGCTCTTCACAAACTGCCTCTCAGTGACTTTACAGCAACAACTGTTCTACAAGCAAAAGGAAACCACATCCTGGGTTCCTGACAAACGTCATGTTCACAGGGAAGCCGCTGGTTCGACCTGAATGACTCCACAGTGACCTCCATCAGAGAGCGGGACATAGAGAAGCAGTTCCAGGGCAAAGAGAGCGCCTACATGCTGTTCTACAGGAAAACCCAGCTGCGGCGGCCCCCACAAGGTAAACCAACGATTTTTTTAGAAGACCAAAAAAAGAACTTGTTGTTCTTAGCTCCATCCTTGCTAACATCAAGAACGCCTAGCACAATAACATCCCCCAACCCTTCTTCAAATGGTCATTTTTCAAACTTGTTAGGCTATGAATCTTCAGACTGCCTTCTGCTTGATGTCTGCCTTTTCAAATGATTGCCCCCAAATTTAACATGGAACATTCCTTAAGACATGTTACGGTAATGTGAAATATTACAAAATATTAGAAATGTTCTTGCTGAATGTTTTTGTTAATCCTCATATTTTTTGACCTGACTGATAATTCCACATTAGAAAACATGAAAAGTAAATGTATGTAGTAAATAAATATTCTCAAGATCAATATTTATTTTCTCAAGTTGTTATTTCTTCTTATTTTAGCACTGAACAATCCTCAATATAAAGTTCCTCCCCAACTCATCAAACTGGCTCAGGAGGAGAACCTCAAACTGCAGCTGAGCCGGTGAGCATATTTAATCTTTTCAACCCTAACCTCAGATAATCAACTTTTTGAATATTTTTTGTAATCGCTGTTGCAGTGAGGAGTTTGAAGCCACTAATAACACTATAGAACTGCACCTGCACTTGGCTCCATTGTATAAACTAGAAAATGGTGCCCTTCAGCCAGTCTGCAAAGAATCAGAGTCCACCAGCCTCAGCTTCGACCGCAGGAAGACTGTGGGAGACCTGCGCCTGGCCATTTATCAGGTGAGTTGCACAGGCCAGCGATCAAATCAGGATGTAGTCTTTTATATGTTTTTAATTGCATGTTTAAAATAGATGCAAGACCCGTGGGAGGGAGACATGGCTCTGACTGTAGCCAAGAGTCTTCCAGCTGGACTCCACTTGTACAATACTCTAACAGGTAAAAACTAGTCTTCACTCAAAAAAGCAAATGTTCTTCCTACTTGCACCTATATATCTGTTGTAAATAGTTAGTGCAGATAAAGCTTTTTCCAACGGCTTCACTCGGCTTGTTAAATTTTTATTATGCAAAGTATTGTCCTTCAAGTGACCCACATGTATGCAACAAGCTATAAAACAGTTGTTTTGCTACTAAACTTTCTAAATACCTGCATTATTTTGACACGCCAGCTTGTGTTGCTTAGTGTGTAAGGAAGGGACATCTCATTTTGCTTGTAGAGTAGTTGTAAGTAGCTGGACATTAGTCACATTTAGAGGCAGTTTGTGAAGGTTTTTGGTCAAAATTCCCATGTGTTTTTTGCGAATAAATCTGCATAATGCTTTTTTATTGGAGTTTATTGGTGAACTGTTTGGGGTGGGTTCAAATGTTGAATTCAACACAACAATTTCGGACTAAACCTTAACAAAACTGTAATTATGAGCTGGAGCTGATCTGGTTCCAATCAAGGCTAGTTTTGAGGTCGTAGAGTTCTCATGAAAGTGTCAACGATGAGCTGGATGTGTCTTTAAATCAGATCTGTTATAAACAAATGTGTTATAATGTTACAAATGTGTTGACTAAACAAGGATGATCATATCAAAACATGAAAAACAGACTCACTGAAGTTTACTGAGAGTTGGGACAGTTGTCTTTTGATAAAGAAGACAGGGAGAAAAAGAGACAGGCTTTATATGTGTCCATTCCTGGTCAAATCAGTCTTTTGCTCTCTGCTCAAGCTTAAACTTATTATTTCCTAAATAGAGTTAGACTTTGCAATTTTGTTATGCATACAACAAGTAAAATAAATTATATATAGTTCATATTCAAAATAATCACAAGCATTATACAACAGACAATGCATATAATGGAAAAACATTAATTTGTTATCAATGGTGTAGAGGCCTGTGTTCGATATAGTGAGTTTTTACTCTGGAATTATCTCAGTCCAAAACGTGTATTGAGTGTTAATTCTGCTAAAAGTGGAGTCATGATGCCCAGTGGTCATGAACTTTCAAAACATCCAACCCTTGTGGCATAGAAGATGAGCAGCCCTGGATCAGAGGAAAGATGAATGTGATGTTTATTTACAGATGACGCAGTTTCATTGTACAGCGCAGGCGTCACAAACAACACAGATCTGTTTGTCTGGAACGGCACAGAGGTGAGGAGTCTTCACCATGACTGTTTCATTGACTTAAGCCATATTCACCTGATCCTGCCTCTGTCAGGTGTGCGGCAGTCCCGTCCTGACCGGGGCCGAGTGGGAGCCCGTGCTGCTCACCGTAGTCCGGCCTTCTCTGGATCACGACATGGACGAACCCAAAGATCAGGACCCCACCAAGGGCGAGGCACCAGGGCTGAGGAAGGAGGCCAGGGGGTTTGCAGGTGGCTCCACACTGGGTGAAGTGAAGCAGGCCCTGGGAGAGCCCGAGGAGAGCCTGCTGTGTCAGGAGGCCCGTGGGTCGGTGGAGCCCGGAGCAGGGGAAGGCGGAGGGGCCAGCGGCTGGAGGGTGTTCCCCCCAGACGATATGCTGCGTACCCTGAAGGAGCTGTCTCTAAAGGACGGGGACGCTGTGTTGGTGCTAGAGCCACAGTCCTTTGATAGCAGGTAAGACTGTGTATTCATCTGCCCATCTCTGTAGAAAGTTTTGTCTAACAGAAAAAGCCCTTCGTTCTCAGTTCAAGCTTGCAAGATGTCATTTGTTCTAATTTGTTTTTCTGCTACGTTTTGTCAAACACAATCTTTGGATGTAAAAAACACCTTTTGATAATGAAATTACAAGCAATTACTACAAGTTAGCACTTGGTTGTACAGTTTTATTTAAGACATTTGTATTTGCTATTTCTCAGATAACCATTGCAGAAAATGTAGATGAGACTGGATTTACCTTTTACCATTAGAAAACCCAACTGACAAAACTAAATAACTACCTTCTTGGCGCTCTTGTGTTTCCCTCAATTTTCTGTGATTCTTGTATTTCTAAGTTTGTTTCAGAGCTTTTAACACAAGGAAAGCCAGATTTGTGTAGTTGGCAGCAAGATCATTTGCTGTTTGTATTGTTATATGGTTTATTGCAGACAATGGGATTTGCTGATTTGCTGGGCGGCACGGTGGCTGAGTGGATAGCACTCTCGCCTCTCAGCAAGAAGGTCCTGGGTTCGAATCCAGGTTGGACCAGGGCCTTTCTGAGTGGAGTTTGCATGTTGTCCCTGTGTCTGCGTAGGTTTCCTCCGGGTACTCCGGTTTCCCCTACCACTAAAAATATGTACAATAGGTCTGGCATGCGCCTCCTGTACTGGTGACCCCGCTCCCATCTCTGTGTGGAGTGCGAGACAAATGCCCAAAAATAACAATTGTAAACCGCTTTGTGACTCTGGTCTGTGAAAGGCGGTATATAAATAAAGATTACTTACTTACTAATTGCAGACACTAAAAATCTTTTTAATCATGCAGCCACATTTGTACGTAATGTATTTAACTCGTCTGTGGTATGCAGCGTTTTCACTTTGGATGGAGATGTGGTGACCGTGACCACGCCGTCTGACTGCCGGTGGCTTCAGGTGGAGCATCAGCCCAACATTCGGCACGGACAAAGAGAGGAAGAGCCGAGCAAAGTCAAAGTGCTCGCGACAGGAAATACTGTGAGTGGCGTGTTTCAGTTTTTAACCATGTAACAACTTCGTTCCCTCGTTCAAAAACCATCTGGACATGAATTTAGCAAGTTAGGTTTAACTTTATGTTGTAAAACAATTAAAATCACTAGCTTGTTGTTTCAGGGCTCTTCTGCACATGCTCAGCCCCTCCCCTCACAGAGCAATCCATGTTAAGTCTGGCAGATTTATGATGTCATATTCGCTCCAGACATTTTTCACAGCCATTTTAGACTTGTGAATCATCAGAGGTGTTGCTGATGATGGGATTCTTTCAAGTTCATCTCATTGTCACGTTCAGAGCCCAACAATATTATAAATTAATGTTAAACATTTACTTTTGTTTTGTGCTGCTTTGTTCCAGCTGTTGTTGGAGGTGAAACAGAGGGCCATGGAGAGAATACAGGAGCTGGAGCAGAGGCCACTTGAAGGCAAGCTATTTCTCATAAGTATAATTATGAGGCTACTTGTTCTACACGACACACAATTTAAAATTTGCCAGATAATTATTTTAGCATGAAATATAGGGTACTTTGATGGACCACCGTTTGAAGCTTTGACATATCAAACTGTAAAGCACTTTGTGTTGCATCTTTTGTATGAAAAGCGCTTTATAAATAAAATTTGATTTGAAAAAGCTCCTTCCCACATGAGGCTGCTCCTGTGGACCTTCTGTAGTTCTTCAGTTTTTGAAATCCGAGAACGATCTGAATCCATGCTTCCACTTTATAAAAGTATTAGAATATTTTATTATTTATACTTGGTATTGAGAATGAGGAGTTGACGTCACGGCACAGAGTCCCCCCTCCCCATCCCCCCTTTGCCGACATATTGGCTGCGCACCGGTGGCGGCAGTACAGTTTGTTTACGTGTGTTGTGAACGCGGTAGTAGCGGAGGTTCTTGCTATTCCGCACTGTTTTATCATGCCTGGAAATAACTGCTGCGTTAAAAACTGCTCCAATACCTCCCATGATGGATATGGAAAACCTAGTAACAACGGGATACAGTTTTTTAGGTTACCGAAATGGAAAAAGCATCAAGGGGAGCAATTCTCTGACCTGAGAAGGAGACGTCGGATTGCTTGGTTGGCTGCAATTAGAAGAAAGGACCTTACTTTCGATCACACACCCCTGTCGACGAGAGTGTGTTCTCTGCATTTTCACTCTGGTACGTTCTCTAAAAATGTATTTATGTAGTTGTCTCTTAAAGCTAGGAAGTGTAGGTTAGCATATGTTATTATGGTTTCTGTAGTGCCTTTGTCTCTGTGTCTTTGTTACCCTCTCAGGCTGTTTCTTACTTAGCACGTGTTCTGCGAGGTCTTTGCCAGTGTAAAGCATAGATTACATAGATTGTACACATAATCTAATTATTCTGTTGTACATAAACCTTCATATGACATTATGAGGTGACCTAAAAAGTACTTGAGATGCTGTTCATGACATAGTTGCCAGTTTAAAGCATTGATTACATAGATTGTGCAAATTATTATATTAATTATATGTTGTTATTATTCTCGTGTAGGTAAACCAGCATATGAGATGTTGGAGAACCACCCTGACTGGACACCATCCCTGTTGTTAGGCCACAATGATGTACAAAAAACAGATGAAGCGAGATATCAGCGGCAAGTAAGGCGCAGGTCCCTGCCACTGGAGCGGCAGCCACCTCCAGCCCAACACCAGCCGCAGGCGCCGCCGCCTCCAGCCCTAGACCAGCTGCAGCCGCCACCAGCCCTAGACCAGCTGCAGCCGCCACCAGCCCTAGACCAGCCGCAGGCGCCGCCGCCACCAGCCCTACACCAGCCGCAGGCGCCGCCGCCACCAGCCCTAGACCAGCCGCAGGCGCCGCCGCCACCAGCCCTAGACCAGCCGCAGGCGCCGCCGCCGCCAGCCCTAGACCAGCCGCAGGCGCCGCCGCCGCCAGCCCTAGACCAGCCGCCAGCTGACCCGGACATGGAATGTGGACTCTGCACATCTAGACGAGATGTTATCAACAATCTTCTTGAAGAAAACAGACAGCTGAAGCGTGAGCTTGATACGTACCGGATGAATGAGAACTTTCTGAGTGGTGATGATAACACAGTGAAGTATTACACGGGGCTTCCAAACTTTGCATTGTTCCAGACACTTCTACTCTACCTAACTCCAGATCTGCCTCAAGGTAGAATGAAGAAGCTCTCACCCTTCCAGCTTGTCCTATTGACTTTAATGCGCCTCAGACTGGACCTTCCAATACACCACCTCAGCCATCTGTTTAGAGTACATAGGACAACAGTCGCCGATGCCTTTCACCATACCCTTGGTGTGATGTACGCACAGCTGTGTCCATTGGTGCACTGGCCAAGTAGGGAATGCTTATTGACCAGTATGCCACACCAGTTTGTGGAGTCATTTGGGAACAATGTGGCTGCCATTGTGGACTGCTTCGAGGTGTTCATCGAGAAACCTTCCAATGTACTAGCAAGGGCACAGACTTTTTCTCAATACAAACACGCATACACTATGAAATACCTAATCGTGATCACGCCCCAGGGTGTAATTTCCTTCATATCGAACGGGTGGGGTGGGCGCACAAGCGACAAGCATATAACCGAGCAAAGTGGTTTCCTGAACAAGCTGTTACCAGGTGACATTGTGCTGGCAGATAGAGGCTTTAATATAAGAGAACATGTGGGCATGATGTGTGCTGAAGTGAAAATACCTACATTCACCAGGGGTCGTGCTCAGCTTGAGGCGAAAGATGTGGAGGAGACTAGGGCCATTGCACATCTCAGAATTCACGTGGAGAGGGTGATCGGTGTTGTGCGCAACAAATTCAAATTCTTACACTCAACTGTACCTGTGCACATGCTTGTCAAATGTGAGGGTGAAAACCTAATGCCTTTGGATAAGATTGTCATTGTTTGCTGTGCCTTAACGAACATGTGCAAAAGTGTTGTTTGAGTACCTTATTCTCTACTGTATCTTTTATTTTTAAATAAATGCATGAAACAACTTGATATGGTTTACCAATATTTATTGAGAAATGAATATTTTTTTTGTTACAAACGTGTGCAGTCAAAGTACTGTTTCCAGCATGTAAACATGCCCAACATAGGTAAAAATGATAATAAGAGTCATACTTTTCTTAGTGCAAAGGGACACAAAACACTGCAAAACAACGTGTGCATTCAAAGTACTGTTTCCAGCATGTAAACATGCACAGCAATAGGCAAAAATGATCATAAGAGTCATACTTTTCTTAGTGCAAAGGGACACAAAACACTGCAAAACAACGTGTGCATTCAAAGTACTGTTTCCAGCATGTAAACATGCACAACATAATAAAATAAATTATAACATAAATAATAATAACAAATAAGACTGTTATTAGTGCAAATGTACAAAAAAACACTGCAAAGGCACACAGCACTAACAATAATACAATTTTAAGAAATAGGAAAAACCTATTCTGCACAACAAGGGCAAAACCATGGCGTGTCACCAGAGGGTTTATTAACAAGCCCCACACAACTGAAGTGAAACCACTGGACTGGGCAGTTCTGGTTGTCACAGGCTTATCTCTAAGCATTGTTTTACTGTCTTCCTTTCCCTTGTTGTATCAGTAGATCCGTCTCTGTCTCGCCGAAAACGTAAATGCGTATAATTTAAAGTGCTCTGGAATATGAGGAGCGCGTGAAATTCTGGGGGCGTGCCCCCACTGCGCAGCCAATATGTCCGACAGGCTCAGAGCCCCCCCCAAATCACCCCAACTCGGCACGTGACTCCTCATTCTCAATACTCAGCCCACCCCGGCCCTAACCCATCACCAAAAACCCCTCCACCTCCCTGCCCCCCTCGTTCAACACCCAAAAGCCACCCACCTCTCCATCCTCCTCCCCCGCCTTCCCCTTCCCCTCTTTTCTCTAAACACTAGGATGCACAGGGTCTCTGCTTCGCAGCCACTGGCAGTCTAGTTAGAGGAGAGACCCGGCTGGGGCCCTGTCATGAAGCCACCTTTGCCATTCCCTTAGTGATAACACAAAGAATACATTACAGAAAAACATCTGAAGTTAAACAGTCTAATCTGGAAAATCTAATTCTTGTTCCGTGTAAGAATCAGCCGACCGCAACCGCTGATACTGAAACTTTGAAACTTGCTACGCTTAATGTCAGATCTCTTTGTAACAAGTCTTTTTTAATCAATAATTTTATTTGTTCTCATAATCTTGATCTTATGTTCATGGCTGAAACTTGGCTTGACCAAAATTCAGGAAATGCAGTTTTAATAGAAGCATCACCACCAAATTTCAAGTTTGAATCTGAAATACAGGAAAACAAAAAAGGAGGAGGCTTAGCTGCCATTTTTAGAGACCACTGTCTCCCATAAAATGTCTCTTGGGAAGTTTTCGTCACTTGAATATGTGTCTTTTAAAATACAACAAAAACAATCTCCTCCAATACTCTTCATTGTCCTTTACAAGCCACCGCAGTCATGTCACAGTTTTATTGATAATTTTACAGAGTTGCTTTCAGTTGTATGCACAGATTTTGATAGTTTGGTTATTACAGGTGATTTTAATATTCATGTGGATAATGTTGATGACAGAAATGCAAATGAGCTGAGTTCTGTACTTGAATCCTTTGATCTCACTCAGCACGTAAGTGGCCCCACCCACAGCAGAGGGCACACTCTAGATCTGTTAGTTACAAAGGGGGTGAATATTTCAAAAGTAAACGTGGTCAATGTTGCTCTTTCGGATCATTTCTGTGTATTTTTTGACATGTGTTTCACTAACAAACCACCAGTGGACTCTGCAACTGTTTGTAGAAGGCGCATAAATGAATATACGAGTGAACTATTTATGGGAATGATAAACTTTGAGAATGCATCGTATTCTACTGTAGATGAACTGTTTAACTCTGTCACCTCTAGTGTTTTGAATGTTCTGGATACCGTTGAACCTGTGAAGGTTAAAATAGTGAAAAATAAGCAGAAGGCGCCGTGGGCTAAAGCAGACTCGGTCAGGGCACAAAAGAGAAAGTGCCGGAGGGCCGAGCGGAAGTGGCGCAAGTCCAACCTCCAGGTTGATTACGAGATCTTCAAAGATAAGTTGTGCGAGTTTAACCGGGTGCTACGTAGTACGAGAGAAAGGTATTTTTCTGAAATGATTGAAGGCTGCAGCAACAATCTGCGTGTTCTGTTCTCAACAGTTAATAGATTAACAAACCCCCCTGTTCAAATGCCATTAGAGCTTACTTCCAAACGTAAATGCAATGAGTTTGCTAATTTTTTCAATGACAAGGTTCAAGGCATCAAAAACGCCATTGTCTCCAATCCACAGATAACCATTCAACAGCCAGAAAGGCTCTCTGAGCTAACTCACTTTGCACCTGTAAATGTAAACTATCCAAGAGATAATCTCCAGTTTGAGCTCCTCCACATGCAGCCTGGATGTACTACCCACTAGATTTCTGAAGTCTGTTCTGAGCTGTCTGTTACCTTCACTCACACAGATAGTAAACATGTCCCTTCATTCTGGAATATTCCCAAAGGCCCTGAAAACTGCAGTCATCAGGCCCCTGCTAAAAAAGAGCAGTCTGGATGCCACTGTACTTAACAACTATCGTCCCATCTCAAATCTGCCATTTATGGGGAAAGTCCTTGAGAAAGTTGTCTACCTACAGCTTACTAGATTTCTTATCAACAACTCATTTGATATGTTTCAGTCCGGCTTTAGACCCCACCACAGCACTGAGACTGCTCTCGTTAAGGTTACAAATGATATCCGGCTGAACACTGACGCAGGCAAAGTCTCAATCTTAATCTTGTTAGATCTAAGTGCTGCCTTTGACACTGTCGACCATGAGATCCTCTTACAGAGATTAGAGGACTGGGTTGGAGTCGCTGGCACCGCCCTAAGTTGGTTTAGGTCTTACCTTGAGGACAGGAAGTACTTTGTGGAGATTGGAAACTGTGTCTCAGATCATATGGCCCTGACCTGTGGAGTACCACAGGGGTCGATCCTGGGACCTCTTCTGTTTAATCTCTACATGCTGCCGTTAGGTACGCAGAAACAAAGTTTCCTATCATAACAATGCAGACGACACTCAGATCTATGTCTCACTGACTGCAGGAGAACATGGACCAGTGGACTCACTCCTTCACTGTATCCAACAGATCAGTGAGTGGATGCAAAACAACTTCCTTCAGCTAAACGCAGAACAAACTGAAATGATTGTCTTTGGTCCCCAGAAACAAAGAGAGAGCGTCATCTGTCACCTACAGTCTCTCTCCCTAAAACCTTCAAACAAGGTCAGAAATCTAGGGGTAATACTGGACTCAGACTTAAATTTTAATAGCCACATCAAATCAGTAACATCAGCAGCTTTTTACCATCTAAAAAACATTGCCAGGATCAAAAACATAGTGTCTAAAGCAGACCTGGAGATTCTTATCCATGCATTTGTCTCCAGTAGGTTAGACTACTGCAATGGCCTGCTCACAGGTCTGTCCAAACAGGCTGTAAAACAGCTGCAGTACATTCAAAATGCAGCAGCTCGAGTCCTGACTAGAACCAGGAAGTACGACCACATTAGTCCAGTTCTCAGGTCTCTGCACTGGCTTCCTGTGGCTCAGAGAATAGACTTTAAAACAGCTCTGCTTGTGTACAAGTCTCTCCATGGCCTCGCACCAAAATATATTAGTGACATGTTAGTCCCATATGAACCAGCCCGGACTCTGAGGAGCACAGGGACTGGACTCCTGTTAGTGCCCAGATTCAGAACTAAACATGGGGAGGCTGCTTTTCAGATTCATGCTGCTAAAATCTGGAACAGTCTTCCTGAAGATGTGAGACAGGCCTCCTCTCTGACAATGTTTAAAACCAGGTTAAAGACAGTTCTGTTTAACTGTGCATACAACTGAGGGATTTTATATTTTTATATTTCTTTTTAATGTTCTGTGATTATTTATGATTTTAATGCTCTCTTGTTTTGTTCAGCACTTTGAGTTGCCTTGTGTATGAATTGTGCTATATAAATAAACTTGCCTTGCCTTACTTTCAAGCGACTATTGTGCTGTTAATAGTATGTTAAAAGTGCAAAGTTCTTTTCAGTAATCCAACAATCCCACTTTTCTCCGTGCCTGGTTATACACCCACTAACATAATACCAACATAAAGGGGCAGGCGCAAACTAGTGCTGCAATTTTCAATAGTTATTAAGAGCAATGTTGATATTTCAGTCTGTACGTTTGTCCTGATAGTGTTATAATTTATGTATTGTTTTAAATACCTAACACATGAAATAAAATCCAAAGTAATTTCCGCACGTGTTCAAATATGACCAAATCAAAGCTCCTAATGTCTGCGTGTGTCACTGGGCAGGTGCAGAGTACTGCCTCAGACACGTGGACAGCGCGGGGAAACTCCTGCCTCCAGGTACTGTATGCTGGCTCTGTAACATGTGGTACTTCCCCTGTCCTCAGAAGTCTGGTTTACGACACCTGTTGTTTCCTTCTGCAGTGTGCGAGGAGCTGAGCGTTCGGGAGGCAGGCGTGCGGCTCATGACCACGCTGACGCTGAGCCTGGGACGAGCCCCCGAGGCGTCACAGGTGCCTTTGATTTACGGCTTCAGCAGCGAGCCTTTGTAGTCGCAGCTGCAGCAGGACAGACCGACCGCGTTTATGCTGAGAGAAAGTACTTCTATTTCAGCATCCGTGGAAGAAGTGATTCATTTAGTCGCATACAAAAGTCAACCTAAGTAAAAGTGTCAAGTAAATTGTTTTAGATTTTGAGATTTTAAATGGCATATCGCTCTGAAGGTCTTTTCGCTCCTTTCATTATCAGTGTTTGGGGTTTTTACAAATCTCATTCATAAAGTTGAGTAATGTCCTTATATTTTCAGAGGCATGAGCTGAGGCGGGGTTATGTCCGCTGATCTCCCCTTCACAATTGGGCTTTTTCAAAAACTCATATTAATATATGTTGTTATTAGCATCATCCACTCTAATATCAGGAAGTTCTGTCAAAATATGACAAACGCATCCACCTGCTCCTTTTGTCTAAATGCGCCTTTACTAAATTGCTTCCCTGAAAATTCCTCACAATATGGGTAGAAAGCAGAAAGTAATAGGAGGTGTGGAAAAGACCTGGGCATAAGAAGTCTTCTTCTAGGACCTTTTGCTCCCCCTGCGGTGGGCCCAGGATATACCTATAGCACATAGCCAGAGCGCAGAGAGCGTAGATTCCCGCCGAGTGTATTAGACTGCAAAAGTGTTTTTATGAATTATTGTCTGTGCTGTTCGAGACCAGTTTTTGCGTAATTGCGACTACACACCCTGTCATCAGGCTTAATAAAACTTAGCAACAAAGAAATTTGGGCTGTTCTTCCAAGACACCCTGCAACGGGTCAATATAGACAGCAACCTCTGGTGTTTTACAAAAGGCGTTCTTATTCTCATGATCTTACGTTTCCATATATTCTCTACTGATTTCACACTTTAAAACATCAAATGCCAAGAAAATATTCAAGTGAAGGGCCAATTTGAACACAAAACATTTTTGTGTTAGATTAGCTGAAAAATTCCTATTGTAAAATATAGCAATTTTAGTTTGATAAAACTCTGTTCCAAATCTTAGAGCAGTAATCCCACTGTGAATGTGATTTTAAAAAAACACACACAATAAAACCAATATTTCTGACACAATTCTATATGTGTGACGGGTGCAAAACATTTAACACGTTTATAAAGTTTCTTTTTTTTCTTTTTTTTTAAGACTTCATTTTACTTAGATGGTTGTAAATTGTGTCATATCTGTTCTGTGAAAGGCGATTACTTACTTACATTATATTTTAGATAATATGCAAGGCTTGTTAGTAATCTCATTTAATCTTGAACTCATTTCGCCGCTTCCCCATTTTTATTCTGACCCCAGTTTGAGAACCACTACCATTTCAGTCAATAATGTAGTGTAGTAGAAAGAGGTAATGGTACTTTTTGTCTTTACAGCTTTTCCTGAGTTTCTCTGTGGGAGTGGCGCCCTCTGCTGGTTTAGAAAGGGACATCATTGTGGAGAAGACTTGTACTGTCAGAGAGGTGCGTACTCCACTGGTCATACAACAGTGATGCATTCCTATAAAAGTGTATAATAATTTCTTTTAGAGGTCTCAAGGTTTTGTCTAATGACACAATGACAATATTGTTTTGTGTATGTATGTATGTATATGTGTATATATATATATATATATATATATATATATATATATATATTATATATTAGTCAATATACACTCCAATTTCTATCGGTGTAACGTACAACTGTTACTTCAACAACAAATTCTTACATTTAAATAAAGTATTAAATGTTACAACAGGGGTGTCAAAAAGTTTTAGGTAAGGGGGCCACTTTTGTTAACCAGGCATGTCCAGGGGCCGACGACCCAGATCCTTAAACTATTTTGATGGTTTGGGGTTGTTCTTGACTTTAAAATGTGAATGATGTGTTCATATATATTCACACCTCGGCTTAGTGCCATATATGGAACTTTGTGAAACAATCAAAAACCAATGTATACAAATACCCGTTAAGACCTGGATTACAAAGGGCCTGGGTTTTACAATGATTATATTGGTGAAGCTGAAGTTGGCTGCATGACACTGTGAAAGTACTACAATGGAGTTGTATCAGCGGCAGAGGGCTACATTAAATGTTGCTCCTCGTGTATTTACTGTGTGTGTTTTTATGAAGTCAGTCTTAAACATTTGTGTCTTTTATAGTGTCTGAAACAAATGCTGGATGAAGTCGGCCTTGAAGGTAAACACTGTGTGACACATTACTCTGTTCTAATAAATACTTTGTTGGGACAGAACCTAGAGTCAGTTGGTATGTTCTATTGGAGTTCTACCATGTCAAACTTTAATGAAGAATCCAATGATAATTTACTTTGACTCATTAGGTCCAACCATACACTGCAAAAAATGATCAAATTTGAGGTAATAATTGAATCGAGTGGTTTTCATATTGATTTGAGTACATTCCATTCTGAGAGTCTTAAAACAAGATTTTCCAATGGGACAAAGCCATTTAGTCTTATTTCAAGAACTGTTGCTTTATTTTTTTCATTCCACGGGAGACATTTCTTGTATCTTTTTAAAACAAGATCATTTTGCTTGTCCCATTGGCAAATATTGCAGTCAAAATGTTCTCAAATTAATATACATTTTGCCAAATTTGAGAAATTGTATTTATTTTTCCACACTTTTTTGCAGTGTAGAAATATTGTCTGATATATTCTGATAATAATCTCATTGGGATTCAGCTTCAGACGACTGTGGGCAACATGTATATAGTAAATTAATTCAAAGCTGCCTTTCCTTTGGTGTCGTAGGCAGCGGCTGGCACCTGAGACAGCTCGATTGGTGTGAAGAGGTCGGAGAAGCACTGATGGATGAGGTATGGCTGTAAACGGTCCCAACACATTTACTAAGAACTATTTACATGTAAAGGATGAGATTACTATTTGTTTGAATGTACTTTTCACTGTTGAAATAAACCCTAAACTATTTATATTCACGAGTTTTGTGTTATATCAGTTTTTCAACTTGTGTTTGTGGTTCACATTTTGGTCTCCATCTTTCTGAAATCTATGGACGACACTTCGTAAGCCTGTTGTGTTGCTGAACTATGCCTCTTTTCCAGGATACACCACTGTCTGATCTCAAGATAAGTAATGGAGAAACACTAATTATTGCAGAAGGACAACTGCCTCCAAAGGTACAGTTTGACACGTGGACGTCCATCCATCCATCCATTTCTACCCTTTAATCCATTTCTGGGTCAGGGGGGTGGCAGTCAGAGATGCCACCCAAGTCTCATAGCACCAGCCCCTCACTGACCCTCTGCAGGTGGTGAGTCCACAGGAGGACGGCTGCTCTCTGAGTGTGAGCATAGCCTTGATCTTTCAGTGGGGGCTTTGGGCAAAGTGGAGTTAAGTGTCTTGCCCAAGGACACAACGACAGCAGTCATCAGTGGGAGTTGGTGGAGAAGGTGCAGAGGTGGGAATTGAACCCACGACCTTCTGGCCTTAAGGCCAATGCTCTACCAACTGAGCTACTGTCGCCCCGACACGTGGACGTAAACGTGTATAAATAAATGTGTAAATAATGTTCTTCACAAATAACAAAGAACCTGTACTGTGTTCTCTCCCAGGGCTTCCTGAAACTGTTTGTTTGGTTGTTGGTGAGCGACAGCAGACCGTCTGTGGATAATGGCTTCATGGAGGACTCTGTGCGAGCCGTGAACGGAGCAGAGGACGTCCCTGTGTGCGGCTGTGAGCATGCGAGGCTCAGGGCCGTGGGACAAGTGGAGATATCTGATGAAGCCACGCTGGATGAGCTCAAGACCCAGGTGAAGACTTTAATCGGACATGATTGGCTAGACTACACGTTTCACCGAATGTAAGATTAAGAGGTCCTTTTTTCGTCCCACAGTGGGGAAATTTCAGTGTTGCTTCACAAGTTAAAGAACAGTAGGAATAGGGAGCACACATCACATGATAAGTGAATATTTAGTGTACCACAACTAAAATACTGCACCCTCAAGTGCAATAAATACATACTTGTCTGTAAACATCTGTAGATAATTCAGTATTACACTCTAGTGCAACAATATTAGAGCAATAAGTCATTAGTTCTGAGGTTTCAAATGTTCACAATGATGTAACTACTGCACATGTTAGCAGCATGAGCAAGTGAACAGTGGACACATGTGGTCCAATATTGCACATTCTAACATTATTTAGAATTATTGCACAGATGCATGATATGTGAGGTCAGGACAGCAGTGTTCACTAGTCCTCAATGGACGTTTAGACATTTTTGTTGACCCGGAACTACAGTGGGAAAGGCTGATATAAATCAACATATTCAAATGCATTTTTTACAGGGACAACTTTTTATAGGAAACGGCAAACCTTGATTTTCGTCTCTCTTGGGACAATTTTTTTATTTGATAACAGAATAACTTGTATAAGTTGTGTGTAGTTTTTTTTTTTATCCTTCGTGACCTGACCCATTTGTAAACGACAAGCTATGAAAAGGTTTCTGTCTAATTTCTGTCTAAATTCTACCGCACAGTGGGTGAGGAAATGGTGCCCCTGGGTTTTGGTTCAAATGCACAGTAGCCGTGAGATTTAAGATTTGACTCAAATAAAAGTTTCTAACCTGGTCCTCTGACGGCAGGTTCTCACGCTGCCTGCTCTGTCCGACCTGTGTGTGCCCACCTCAGCCTTCCTCAGACTGTGGCAGCTGGAGGAGAGGAGGCTGGCTCGGCTGCTCAGGGGACCACAGACCATGCTCAGGTACTTTTATCAAGTCTATGCAATCAGAAGTGTGCTCTTCACTAAAAAATATTGTGATTATAGTGTCTGCTGCTAGTTCTGTATAATGTGTGTGCTCCCCTTTCCAACCTGTAGGATTCACTGTTTACTTTCATTGCACATGAATGTTTTGCTCCATTGCAGGAAACTGAAGCTTACCAGTGAAACTAATGTCTGCATTCAACAACTGTTTAAAGAGGAAGACCTCGGGTAAGAAGTGATTATTCAGAATCTAATAACAATGTGATATGACATGCTTGTGTTCTTGTCTGTAGAGCCAAAGATGTGCTCCTGAAAGTGAAGGTGGCTGTTCCTGGGGAGGCTCGGTATTACCCCTCAGAGGAGCTGCTGTGGGACGCCTCCAAGGACCCGTCTGCCCGCTCTCTGCGCTCCTGCGTGGCTGCACACTACGGCCTGTCCCCAGACTCACTGCTGCTGGCCAAGTTTCAGCCCGAGAAACACGCCTGGGAGGAGATCTCTTCATGGGTCAGTAGGTTGCACTGTGCTGGAATTATAGGCGAATAGAGAAGATGTATCAGTGTGACATTTCATTTCATTACTTCTTATGTTTCTTTTTAGTGTTTTGTTCTTTATATTGAATGTGTCTAATAATATAGTGACCACATAAGACAGATGTAAGATTGTCCTTCATCGGCTCATGGGGAGAGGAGTTCATGAGATTTAGTTTGTTTCTTTTTATAAGTACTAATAAAGATATAAAATTCATGTTGGTTGAATAAATGACAATGCTGATATATTTATTGAAGACTTTTATCATTGTCTATGAAACACTGTTATACTGGTGTAGCTGTTATCTGAACTTAGAAGCATGACTAATCACAATTTATGAATTAACTTGGAGGCATGGCTAACCATAACCCTATGGTTGTGGAACCTGGTTTCCCAAACATGGGTGTGCAGACTTGAGGGCCAAGATTGATGTAAATTAGACGGGAAGTGCACATATATCATTACTAGTGTCAGCAGCACGCTATCATGAACAGGGCGTTGCTATGGCTGCGACAGTATAATCTACAGTTGTGCTCTTTGTTTTAGAATCAGCAAATGTCCAAAAAGAAGAAGAAGAAGCGGACTGAATCTTTACTGGGAGCTCCTTTCCAACTGAGGGACGGAGACACGATCGGCATCAAGGTGTGATACAGTTCTACATCTGCGGAAGACTTTCACCGCTGATCTTAATGTGAACTCGTGATCGTTAAAACTGCCTCCTTTTCTAGAATCTTCTGATCGATGGCAACAGGGACTTTTGCACCTCTGAGGACAGGCTGGGTCAGCAGAGGCTACGAGAGCAAGTAGAGCTGGGTAAAGGGTGAGTCTACCTTCCTTCTTTTCAAGTATTTTAAACATGTGATAGATGTATACACTTCTTATACCCACTTTAATAAAAAAACAGTGGCTTGATGCTCCATGCACTTTTTGAAAATGAATTCTATTTAAAACTACAAAGTCCTTTCGTTGACTTAGTTGAAATCCCTTTTCTCGTTTAGGGGTTTAAGTTGCAAATCTTTTCTTTCTCCAATTCTATGACATGATGGTTTTTGTATTTCAGAGACCAAGCTGATGGCTTCTGCTCAACTGAACAAAAGAAGAAACAAGCCAAATCCAGAAAGCCAGAAGTGGGACTATCAATCAGCGTTGGGGAGTTCAGATAGCATTCTGCCTCAAAATTTTAGACAAATCAAATCAATGAGGGAGGAGCTGTACAATGTTTCTGTTTGTAATAATTCAAAACTATATTGTACTTATGGCCATGAACATATTTATACATAACAATTTCTACCAAACACTGTGACTGAGTTTTATCAATATCATGTTTATTTTTTATTTGTAGATCTCTGGTGACTAGATTATTTTTACATTTATCAAGCGGGGACATGTTTTACTGCTGCCATGATCAAAAGCTGATGTTGTGAGGATGGCCATAAGTAATGTTGAGTTAAAGGGAGAGAATGGCCTTAAGTAGAACAGTCTGAGAGCAGCTCTGTCCTCACTACCTCGCGCTCTCCCTTCATCCAGGCTGCTGTACAAAGCTCCGGGTTCATTTATTTATTGTTTCTATCAATTCAAATTGGATGGTTCTTGGAAAGAACTAATAATGTTTGGCTTAGTCTTAGACTGGACTTCTTCTTGCTGGTGTGTGCAAGGGAGGAAATTGTGTTTATGTTGCTTGAGGGAGGTGGACTTTTTGTTTACAAGTGGCAGATTAAGTTAATGTTTTATCTGGCATTGTAAGTGCCAAGAATTTTCAGTTTGAAACTGTAAAAACAATTAAATTTAAAATGTTGCCAAGCAATTAATCCTTTTGCTCAGTTTCCAAACTGTAAAAATGTACACACACATATATATACCTATACAAAGTTTATCAAGTTAAATAAATTGAATAACTGCATGATTGTGATTTCTGATTGTGATTTGAGTGACATTCAGTAAAGCTTGTTAGTGTTCAAACAGAAAATCCTTTATACCAGTGACGTGTTATGAGTATGTCAGACAAAGGCAGAGGTTATTCACTTTCTGAACTTGACTCAGCTGTTTGTTGCAGTACCCGGTGTGACCAGGAGGTTGTGCCAAAGTCCTGAGGCCAGAGCGTGCTCTGTGCGTCAACATGGCGGCTCTAGGGGGCGGGGACTATGAGCAAAACATTACCTAAGGCCGCCTTTTCGCGCTCTGATTGGCTGAATGTTTCTGCTGTCAATAATGTTGCGTTGTGATTGGACATTGCGCCCGCCACTCCTCTCATGGACAGACGACATACCATGAGCCATATCTGCGTTTGGAAACAGAAAGTATCCTGCATTTAATTTACATTAGAAACGAAACACCGATTATTTTCTTTATATTATTAATCTGGATGAAATCTGTGCGGTGAGTGGGCGCTGACCTCACACACGGAGCTTGGCGTTACGGTGGCAGAGGTGATATGTTTTGGGGAGAGGCCTCAGTGCCGACATAAGACAACACCTGTACATTCTCCCTCCTGATTCCATGTCCGGGTGAGCTCACTGCCCTTACCTGCTGGGGAGAGGTCCTGCTGGCCTCAGTACTGTCTCTGCATGTGCTCTTATTGAACTGCTAATAGTGTGACTCTAATGTAACGCTCCTTCTCTAGCTGGAGATGTTGAGTAAACACAAGGGCTGGATGCGATGCGCTTCATCGCAAAAGAGGTATGATAAACTCTGTTTTTTATACTGAATCTAATTGCACATTAACATTCAGTCGGCTAATATATATCATTTTCATTCATGTTTACTACTTTGCTCGAGGCCTATATAGCAAATTACATTTCATAGCAAAGAGAATAAGAGAATTAATGTAATAGCACATATTTAATTGAATAAGCTTTTTTGTTTCTTGTATTCATTCAATTTGTAAAACATTTATCTGGATACATGTATGTACTGTTTGGCTACCACTACTGGGAGGATATTTTTTAGCAGTTCACTATTACTACAACTATTACAAATGATTCATAGTCATGTGTCTGGAAGCCACATACTTCTCTTCAGCGAAGAGAAATATAGTCTTCCCTGATGTTTAAGTCAGTTGTGGGTTACTGTTTTTGTTTTGTGAGTCAATGCATAGCATCTGACTTCGAATTTATTATGTATACAGCGTGCTGAAATTGAAAGTCTATGTCAAGTAAAACAATATCACATCAAGTGCCACTTCAATCCATGTTGTATTGATGAAGGTTGTGTGCCTCTGTCCTAGTGTGTAACACAGCTGTGGTGGGTCTCATGAGGCTGGACCATGGCACATTTTGACACAGAGTACCAGCGCCTGGAGGCGTCATACAGTGACTCTCCCGGAGAGGAGAACCTGCTCATGCATGTGCCTGAAGGAGTCAAATGTACACAATTATGCACTCAATCATAGTTGGATTGTGTTTGTTGTTCTTAAATTACCGTGTCATCTTATTCACAGCCCAATGGCACCACATCGAGAATCTGGACCTGTTTTTCCAGAGAATATCCTTCATAAGTGTTTTCATCGCTGCATTTGATGAATCCCTTCCTTTATTTCTCATCTGCTGATATTTCTGCACTAGTTTAAACTGAGTTGAGTTCCTTAGTGGGAAACTTACAGTATTGCACCATGCTGTAAAGTATAGATAGAAAGTTCTCTAAAAAATGATAAAATTGTTCTATTTTTATTTGCCTTAACTTTTGCACGTTTATAAACTCCACCAGAAAAATGGTTTCACTTGTATGCTGCTGGGAGAGCTTTTTGAGCTCATGTAAGTACCAAACAACTCCAACCCCAACACACTAGGTCTTGAAAAATGGATTACTTATTACTTACTTAATTATTTGGAATATAATGTATTAAGTTTCCTCTGAGAGCTTGAATTCTCTCTCTTCAGTCAGTTGCTGTTTGTGGTGGGATTTACCTTGTTTCTTGCCAACTGTGTGGACTATGACATTCTCTTTGCCAACAAGTTTGTAAATCACACCAATTCTTCTAAAGTGACGCTGCCTGATGCTTTTATCCCAGTGGATGTCTGCACCGCACGGTAAGAATCAAACAAATGAGTGTGCAGCTGTTTATCATAACAAGTTTTCATTGTTTTTTCAGAATAAGGGACAATGCATTTGTGATGTTTGTTCTTCTAATCTCTGGAGTATTCTGGTTGCATCGTATGGTGAAATTTTTTTATAATGTATGCTGCTACTGGGAGATTCGGTCTTTTTATAGAAACGCCCTCAAAATGAGCATGGTAAGACTATACATTGTATAAATGTACATTAATAAAATGTGGATTGTCATTTTTGTATTTATTTTTTGCAGTCAGAACTTCCTTATGCAACGTGGCAAGAGGTCCAAGCTCGAATAGTTGAGATTCAAAAGGAACATCAGATCTGCATTCACAAGAAAGAATTATCGGAGCTGGATGTGTACCACCGTATTTTACGCTTCAAAAATTATATGGTGTGTATGAAAATAAAGTGGAAGAAAGGCCTCAGCAATAGATGTTTGTTTGTTACTTGTTGTTCTGCCTGTTTTCAGGTAGCAATGGTGAACAAGTCACTTCTTCCAGTAAAATTTCCTCTTCCAGTCCTCGGGGAGTATGTGTTCTACACCAGAGGACTCAAGTACAACTTTGAGCTCATATTCTTTTGGGGACCAGGTTTGTACCACAATATTCATGTAAACAGTTCAAATTAGCAAATAAATGAAAAAGATCAAATTATATTTATTAGGTAAAGCGTCCGACTAAACTTGACTGTAGTTGTGGGGCTGTAAAAGCTTTTGTGATTTGCCAAGAATAACTTTTATCACTTAGAATAAAGCTACTCATTGTTAGGTTGTTTCATTATAAATAGTTATTTTAATGTACAGGTTTTTCCTGAATTTCTATAAAGAATAGACAAAAGGATGGAGCCCTGAAATTATTTGGAGAGCTAGAGGACTACTAAATAAGAAGGAGGAATCTTTGTCTAAAGCTAGGTTGCTGTCATGAGCTCATGTAGCATTTATGCTATCATTCAACACAATACATGAGATACAATATCTCTTATACCTTTCTGCTTAGTGTCAGAAAGTAGAGGACCTGGCGGTGGATTTCAGGCTACAACAATGCTACTTTGTTGCCTAAAGGACTACATTATAATTGTTGTATTTAAACAAATAATGAATATTAATTAATGTAATAGTGTGAAAACGGTCCCTGTCCTTCACAACATGAGAGTTTCTCCTTGCTTCCAGAGTAATAATAATTGCTTACTCCTAATTGATACTACATTAGGTTCTCTGTTTGAGAATGAGTGGAGCCTGAAGCCTGAGTACAAGAGAGGAGTAAACAGACATGACCTAGCCAACAAGCTAGCATCTCGCATCCTGTGGATTGGCATCGCTAATCTATTCCTCTGCCCTGTCATCCTGGTGTGGCAGATCCTCTATGCTTTCTTCAGCTACGCAGAGGTAAGCACACATGGACACACTCTTCTTTTGTAATGTGAGGAGGTGATGGGAGTCCTGTGTTTCTGTGTTCAGGTGATCAAACGGGAGCCCGGATCTCTGGGGGCCCGCTGCTGGTCTCTGTACGGACGATGTTATCTGAGACACTTCAATGAGCTAGACCATGAGCTCATGTCCCGCCTCAGTAAAGGCTACAAGGTCAGACCTGCGCTTTGGGATTACATTTTTTTCACAGCAAGCCAGTTAGTATACATTAATACCTTTATCAATCAAGCCTTTTGCACTCTATTAGTTCAGAGAGGCCTCACAAACATCTATCTGTGATTGAGCTTTGAGATTCCCAAATTGACTGCAACAGTGTAACTTTGTTATTTGTCATTACCAGAATGACAGTAATAAGCTGTTAATATCTACCATACACCAACTGTGTAGCCTTTGTATGCACCAATTAAACAATACGTGTCTTATTCCCTTGGTCTGTGTCAGGCTGCTTCCAAATACATGAACTGTTTCCTGTCACCATTATTGACGGTTCTGGCTAAAAACGTGGCGTTCTTCGCTGGATCTATGCTGGCCGTGCTCATTGCCTTCACCATCTATGACGAGGATGTTCTGGCGGTGGAGCACGTCCTCTCCTCCATCACGCTGCTGGGGGTGTGCATCACCATCTGCAGGTGATTGGACATCCCTGAGTTTGTCAGTTCATCAACATCAGCAGCAAAGACCACGATCACGACGCCCATGTTGTGTCTCTGCAGGTCGTTCATTCCTGATGAGCACATGGTGTTCTGTCCGGAGCAGTTGCTGAGGGTGATTCTGGCTCACATTCATTACATGCCGGACCACTGGCAGGGCAACGCACACCGCTCGGAGACGCGCAACCAGTTCTCACAGCTCTTCCAGTATAAAGCGGTAAGGGGCACAATTAACTGTAATCAAATTGTAATCGCAATCTCTGCAGAGACAGCAATTATTTAATTCCCTTTAAAAACTACTTAATTCTAGTGTTGAGTCATTTTCTTTTTACAATATACAGTGGGGCAAAAAAGTATTTAGTCAGCCAGCGATTGTGCATGTTCTCCCACTTAAAATAATGACAGAGGTCTGTAATCTTAGGTACACTTCAACTGTGAGAGACATAATGTGAAAAAAAATCCAGGAATTCACATTGTAGGATTTTTTTAAGAATTTATTTGTAAATTATGGTGGAAAAAAAGTATTTGGTCACTTCAAACAAGTAAGATCTCTGGCTCTCACAGACCTGTAACTTCTTCTTTAAGAAGCTCTTCTGTCGTCCACTTGTTACCTGTATTAATGGCACCTGTTTGAACTCGTTATCTGTATTAAAGATAGCCCAAATGTAACCCAAAACGATATTTCAACCACTGATAATCTCCCTCGATTTGGGGCTCCACGCAAGATCTCATCCCGTGGGGTCAAAATGATCATGAGAACGGTGATCAAAAATCCCAGAACCACACGGGGGGACCTGGTGAATGACCTGCAGAGAGCTGGGACCAAAGTAACAAAGGTTACCATCAGTAACACACTACGACGACAGGGAATCAAATCCTGCAGTGCCAGACGTGTCCCCCTGCTGAAGCCAGTGCATGTCCAGGCCCGTCTGAAGTTTGCCAGAGAGCACATGGATGATACAGCAGAGGATTGGGAGAATGTCATGTGGTCAGATGAAACCAAAGTACACTGTTTGGTATAAACTCAACTCGTCGTGTTTGGAGGAAGAAGAATACTGAGTTGCATCTCAAGAACACCATACCTACTGTGAAGCATGGGGGTGGAAACGTCATGCTTTGGGGCTGTTTTTCTGCTAAGGGGACAGGACGACTGATCCGTGTTAAGGAAAAAATGAATAGGCCCATGTATCGTGAGATTTTGAGCCAAAACCTCCTTCCATTGAGTAAAATTTCTGTTATTGACCAAATACTTATTTTCCACCATAATTTACAAATAAATTCTTTAAAAATCCTAAAATGTAAATTCCTGGATTTTTTTTCCACATTCTGTCTCTCACAGTTGAAGTGTACCTATGATGAAAATTACAGACCACTGTCATTATTTTAAGTGGGAGAACTTGCACAATTGGTGGCTGACTAAATACTTTTTTGCCCCACTGTAACAATGTCAAAGTAACTCTTGACGTTATGAAAATATCACTTGTGTTTTGTATACAATGAAGTTAGAGAAGATGAACGTGCATTGCTAGTCTGGCTAGCTCTTGTCAGCCCATTGTCACATTTGTAAAAAGTTGTAGAAAACGCTTGTTAACACTAGGACCGCCGCGCTCTAAACATACCTTGCACCGCCCCCTGCGGTCAGTTGACTACTTACTTACTACTACTACTACTAAATATGCTAAGTAATTGTAATTCTAGCCGAAATAAAAGGCTAAGACAACACATTGTGCGTGTACTGATCCATCAAAATTACGATGACTTTTCAGGCTAGATTTATTTTGTAACTTTGCAAACACCTAAAACGTTGGTCACTATGTTAAATTTGACTCCGCAACGATATGTAAATTCAAACAATATAAATGATAGTTTAGAAAAGCACGGGACGATAACGTCTTCGCGCTGCTACATGCGTCTACTTCTTACGTCAACTCCAGACTGTTTTCTCTTTCCAGCCAAAATCACCGTGGGAAATATTATCTTGTTAATAATAATACTATTCGTATTGACACAAGATCATCAGCTAGGCTACCATCGTCAATGTAAAATCTTCAATTTTACAATTTGTATTTATTTGAGACAAGCAGTGCTCTTTATGATCAGAACAAAATTATAATCATTGCCTTGCAGTGCGCGCTGTGCAGAATAACACACAGTGTTATCTGGATGAAATAAGAATGATATCCTTATTGATATGATGAGGGCCGCTTCTGCCACAGGCGCTCTCCTCCTGCAGTGTCCGCGGGTGACGAGAGGCCTCACAGCGCTCTATCTGCACTCTGCCTTGATAGTTCATCTAATTGATCTATTTTATTGCGATATTGTATTCTGCTTTATTGCCTTCTTCTATGTATAAATATAATAATGTAATTGATGATGAATGAAAAGGCAGAATGGAGCAACAGCGCGCACACAGACACCTGCGGCTGGCATTACGCGGGTCATGTGCGTTATTGCTTCTGGACTTGTTACAACACTGCTGTCCGTGCCGTGAATGCACTATGGGTTTACGTTCAGATTTATAATATTATAGGTGTTCTCCCTGCTGTCACTTTCCACCTCAAAATGTGACATCTCACCTCCGTCAGACTGTTCTCATTCAATGTCTTGAAGCACTGTCAGGGCTTCATACCGTGCACTTGCAGCTCTATTCATTTTGTACTCCTCTCAATTCAAAACTCTTTCTCTCTCCCAAATAATAAGAAAAAAGTCCCTTTAGAGTCTAATGACAACATATTGATACATTTTTATAAGGCGTGAAAAACCCCCGGGAAAGGTTACTATGACAACAGTCGCCCCTGCGCCATGTATCCCTATGGGGCAGCAGAAAGGGCTGTGGTTTAGAAAAGTTAAAATGCGTGTAAATCTTGTTTTCTTCACTTTTTCCAAAACCAAAACACACCAAAATATAAACAAGTACCCAGTAAAAGTCATAAATATTTAACTTCTGGTGTTTTGTTTTGAATAATTACCATATTAAAGTGAGTGATGGTCAGATGACAGCTAGGGGCGCTCCTAGTGTTAACGGCTTGTGGTAAATGAGGAATGACTGAGGAAGTGAGGAACAACTTGGACTGCTATTATTGTTAAAATATACAATCAGATATTGACGGCGTAAAAAATTTTGACAATAGTGAAATTCCTGTTACATTCATAATAAAGTGTAGTACTGGGCTTGATATTCATCCTTGCACTCTCATGAGCTTTCCCCCTCTGTTTCACATTCAGGTGCTGATCCTGGAGGAGCTGCTCAGTCCAGTAGTGACTCCCATCATCCTGATCTTCTGCCTGAGGAGGAAGTCCCTGGAGATCATCGACTTCTTCAGAAACTTCACGGTGGAGGTTGTGGGAGTGGGGGACACCTGCTCCTTTGCTCAGATGGACATTCGACAGCACGGACATCCTGCGGTAAAGATGAAGATTAGGAGATCCTTAATTTGTCCCACAGTGGGGAAATGTCAGTGTTGCATCACAAGTTATAGAACAGTAGGAAAGATGAGCACACAGCACAAGTTAAGTGAACAATAGTTATACTAATAAAAATAAAACAAAATCTCTAACTCTAGCATTTATAACAAGTATAAAAACTCAATCTTGAAAGTAATAAAAATAAGTGTAAAAGTTTTACATTTGGCAATAAGAGGCCAGTTTAAAGTACTGTGTATTCTAGTGCAAGCAAAGTGTAGTTATATGTGTAGCTAGTGGAAGTAAAATGTTCTTTTCATTTTTTATATAGGTATGTTGTGATTTCTGAGTTTCCTAAAACTATCATCTTAGCATGGGTTAAACAAAATATAATGCTTGTTTTTTTTTTTTTCAGACAAGGTAAAACATCTCATTTTTGTTCATTTAAGATTTCTCATTGTTTATAGGAAGCAGCTGTTGAATTTATTATTTTAAAAGTAATTAACAAAGCCGATAGACGAATCACGATATTATTTAATGACAAGACGTTTAAACGCGAGGTTAAAGGCGCTATACCCGTTTCTGCAATGTTTGAATGTTTAGCACTGCCCACCAACTCGCTCACAGGCTTCTCATTTCCCCTACGCTCTCATCCCACGGAGCCACCTAGTTTTATTTGGGTCGGCACTAGATCATATACAGGAATCGGGACGAAACCGGAAGTAACAATCCTACTTTCAAATTAGTTTTAGACTAATAAGTCCTTCGGTGGTGACTGGTTAAGTTTTAGGCGTCTGAGTAAGATTAGGGTTAAGTCTGGGTTGGAGTTATTTTATGGGAATGGCTGGTTAAGTTTAGGCATGAATAGGTAGTTTTTTATATTTACTTCCGCCCCGATTCCGTATATGATCCTCCATGATATGATCTAGTGCCGACCGTTTTATTTGCGATCTGATACGTATGCTAACATTAGCATTAGCGCAACCACTTGTAAGCTGTACAACAATCACTTATGAAATGGCACTAAAGCAACGCACTGCTAACACAATATATAAGTAAAAGAATACCGCTAGTTTCGCATCAGAATTTTTTTTTTTTTTTAGAATTATATTTGAATTTTGAAGTCGAAGCCCTGGTGTTGAGCAGCGCTGTAGAGGCTAGAGGACGCAGGCTTGTCGCTTCTTGTTCTGTGAGTGGAGGAGAATGAGCTTCCCGCTAAGACTCTACTCAGCACTTTTCACGGCCTGAAATACTCAGTTGAATCATACTCAGTTGAATCAATGACCTCAAGTTTTCAATTAAATTATGTATTATGATACAACTTGCATGTAGTAAAAAGCATTTTTATGAACTACCTTAAAAAAAAAATTGGATATAGCTTCTTTAAATCCTATGGGCTCTATGTAGATCCATGCTCTATGCACGCACCACTTCCGCGTTTTAGCTAAAGCCCCACTTCACTTCCTGTTGGCGGGAAACAGCTTGAGTTTCACTGGAGTTCAGCAGTGGTTTACACGAGTTTCCCAAATAATGCTCAAACGGGAATTAAACTGTGAGGATACTGGGCATTTTGGGACACAGCAGTGCTCTTTGATTGTGCTGTCATTGTGTTTCTATAAAGTTTAAAAGTCGCTCTTAGTGGCCACAGTCAAAGCTCTACCTCAGAGGGAAAGCACAGCGGCACTTTTGGGTCAGTCTCACAGCTGAATGTATCAATCTAATTACTAAAAAACGTCACTAAAACTCACCTAAATGCCATAGGATAGCATAGGCAGGAAGTGAACGGGCTGTGCTTTGTTAACAAGAAATAACGTCACGCCTCCCCGTGCATATAGCCCATACATGTGTGTACCATCCCTACTAGTACTCAACAATGGAGTCAAACCAATAAGTCCATGAACTTTGTCCTGTGCATTTCTCGGTACTTCCTTTTAGGGCTGGGCAATAAATCTAGGCAATTAATCGGCTTTTGAAAAAAACAAATTTGTGAAAAAAATGTAAGGATATTGTGAGAGTTACAGCAGTACATGAATTACACTTGCAATATCAGCACAATCTCTACATGACTTTTTAAAATACATATTTGGGGAAACAAATTCAAAATAGTTTTGAAACTTGAATATTAAGTGGAAAGATCAAAACATATTTTTCAGGGCAAAGTCTGTCTTCGGTGACTTTAATGAAAAATCTATTTAAAATTGTCCAAAGCAGGAAATACACTCGAGATTTTACTTTTTTTCCATATTGCCAAGCCCTACTTCCTTATTTTGTGCTGCTCTGCTGTTACATAAACACACTGGAAAGCAGGAATGTGTGCTAGGTCATTAGCTCTGGGGATCTGTCTCTGCACCCCAGGGGGAGCTTTAACAAAATTTAAATACAATTTGGCTGCATCGTTATATTGAACAGAGTTTACAGATTTTGAAAAAAATAGCGGCTTATAATCCAGACTGTACTCTATTGACATTTTTGAATTTAGTTTGAAGGAGACTTCTCTCTCATTCAACATATTAAATTAAACATAAGAAATTGACCGTTTCTCTCCCTCTTAGTGGATGTCTGAAGGGAAGACCGAGGCATCCATCTACCAGCAGGCGGAGGACGGGAAGACAGAGCTCTCTCTAATGCACTTTGCCATCACCAACCCGCACTGGCAGCCCCCACAAGAGACCACCCACTTCCTCAGCCAGCTCAAAGAACGGGTCCACAGAGAAGTGGCTGCGGGAGACACACACCACTACTCACTGTCCGAGTCTGAGGTAAGAACATTTGTTTAAAAAAATCTGATCTAAAGATGTTGCAAGGTCCAAACATTTCAAGCATGTAAACACTAGTGATAGAACGATAGAGCGATATAATAAAATCCTGCCCAAAACAGTTCTAATTTTTATTTTCTTTCAATAGTCTATACTAGTTCAGATGTCTCTCGGACTCTAGGTGTGTCAAACCGGTCCTCAAAGAGCCGGAGTAGCTGCAGGTTTTAGTTCAGCCTGACAAGAGCACCCGAGACTCCACCCATTTCCTCAAGAGAGTCCAGTATTGACCTGAAGACTTGATGAAATGAGCGGGGTCTAGAGTGCTCCTGCTTGGTTGGAATGAAGACCTGCAGCCACATTGGCACTTGTGCTCTAGGCCAATTAAAGACCTTATGACGGGTTTGATTTATTTAGAAATACAGTTTTAATACCATTTTATATTATAAGATAACTACTAAAGGTTTCAAAATCAGTTGTTGTTTTTTTTGTCTGATCCCCCCAAATCGAAATAACCCCGTAGCAACGCCCTTAGAAACGAAAAAACTTCACAGCCCTTGGTGACGTCAGAACGGGTACGTTTCAACGCTGTAAGTTGTTTACAATTTGGTATTCGTTCTTTTTTCGCGGATATTCAAGACGACAAGGCCGTGTACAGCGAGTATGAAATGACTACTAGAATGTAGCATTTTGTAGTCACTGAGATAGTCCAGTGGTTGTGTGGATGGACTGTCAATCCAGATGCTGGGGTTCAAATCCCACCTCGGACACTTTTTCACACTCAAAACGGCAATTTATGTGTAGTGAGCAATTGTCACCTGTAGAGTGCAGTATTGTGTTGGGCATCCGTGGAGAGAAGAGAGAAAAGGCAGTCCTGTGGCATAGATCCAAGCCCCGGCGATCCAAGATGGCGCCCTATTCAAATGAATGGTTGTGCTCAGTGGCGCTTTGTGACGGCATGGGGGCTGAAAGATTAGCGGAAGTTGCCTGAAACTCGCAAAGATCTATGGGAAACTCGCCTGTATTTGGGCATCGTCTGGTCCTCCCGGTTCTGCGCAGTGGATGATCTCCCATAATGCGTTGCGCCAAACACGCGTGTGTGGGTCTCGCACCGGGTCTCACGCACGTGCACAGAGGGGCGCGGCCGCGCTCTGACCAATCAGAGCAGTTCATCAGAGCGGGAGTTAGAGCGAGAGCCAGAGGAGCAGAGTTTGTGGCACTAAAGTGTGGATTTAAACAAAACCGAAGGATTTAAGAAGAAAAAAAGTTCAGGATGACAAGGGACACTAAAATTCCCACAAAATCCGATCTTTATTAAAGCTGTAGGTTCTCTGTCAGCTGAGGTCGAGCTGTTTTAATATGCATTGAGTTCTATGGGGAAAATTTCTGGGTAGCCCACGTGAATTTAGTCTGGTTCAGTCTGCAGTACCGCGAGAATCCCCTGAGCACATGGGTTATTCAGCTACAAGCTAGTAATACCCTATCCAGTTAATATAATACATCCATGCATAGATCCATGGTTTTCAATGCATGGGCGTAACCCGCTATGACGTCACACACAGGTTAGAGCATAGACAACTTAAATTCATGAAAAACACGTTCTTTTCATAAAATATAGGATTTTTTTTGCCGGAATCTCTTTCAAATTGACATTGTCATGCAATTTTGATATCCACTATTTTTTTTTTTTTTAAACCCGTCATAAGGTCTTTAAGTACATTCGTTGACAATAAAGGACATTGGTCATGCTCCCCCCTATGAACCAATGGCTCCTATGTGTTTGTTATTATTGCATTTCCTTTGTTCAATCTGTTGATTTCCTGATTTGTTATTGGTGAATCTTTGAGACATTTAAAAACATTTGTTTTACCTTCAGGCTAAATTGACATTTACTTCCAATTATTATATATAGATTTGGTGATTCTACTCAAATCAACTTTCAACAACTTCAAACAATATTACCTGTATAAATGACACCTGACATTCAACACAAGAGTAAGATGTATTTATTTGACAACATGAGTTTCTTATTTAGTTCGTCTTCCCTGCAGCCCAGGAGCCTGATTGCGAACCTCCTGACCGGACCATCCACACTAGGCTCAGTTCACTTCGCCCGGGACGCGTCTCTTGCAAACCACGCAGCTGCCGGCCTCAACGACAGCGCCTCTGCTCTGCGCTCGCTGTCCCCGGTCAGCGGCAGTCTGAGTGCTGTCCACAAAGGCCACGCTTCATCTGTGAGCAAGGCCATGGCAGGCTCTGGGTACCACCGATACTTCCTTTACCCTTGATCACGTCATAGTTAAATGTGTTTACATTTTCAATATGACGTGATCGATATTTCTAAATTGAGCATTGTTTTCCAGAACTGATGCCCGCACAGTGAGCTCTGGCAGCAGCGCATGGGAGGGACAGCTCACTAGTTTGGTCTTATCCGAATATGCCTCGACAGAGATGAGTCTTCATGCTCTTTACATCCATGAGGTAAACTGCATCACTTAAAGATACAATATTACAGTTTACAGAATCAACATTAGAAATTATGTTCTTTTTCAGTAAAGTCTATATATTTATTTAAACTGCAATTTTATGACGGGCTATGAATGTTTTCCTATTCATGGTAGTTCTACCTAAAGTAGACCTGAAAAAGTTCAAACCTTGTTCGTAATATTAGTAATAGTGCTTAGTGCTTGTATTGCGCTCTTCATGACACCAAAAGACACTTCACTTGGCATTATTCATTCACACCATACACTATGGCAGTAAACTACTATTGTAACCACCATTGCCCTAGGGCAGACTAACGTAAGCAAGGCTGCCAATCAGTGCCATCTGTTATAATTTGCATATTCCAATTGTCTGATTGTTTCTCCTAGTTTCACAAGCAGCAGTCCCGTGGAGAGCTGCCCCGTCACACATGGCACAGACAGGACAGTGATGAGAGCAGCGAAAGTATCCCAGACGAGGTGAGGAGTGAGCCCCCGCCACGCTCCAGGACACTCCCCCGATCTTACACCTTCCCCACGGCCGCCCCAAGCCCCAGCGAGATCCCCAAGTCTGCTTCTGATACCAGCACCAACACCACAGGCCAGGAAGGGACAAAGTCTGCTGCTGACAGGCGACCAGGTAAAATACTACTATAGTCACCGCTGGCTCAAACTGACGGCAACCTGGGTGCACTGTAGTGCAGTGTGGGTGCCAGTCTGTCCGTACAATAAAATGTCACTAGGGGGCCTCACACATGTGCGTTTGTAAAGGGCCAATGATAGTTGTTACATTTTTTGCATCAGTTTGCAAAAATAAATATTCATTTTACTTTCTGTGACCTGTCCTGTTCATTTGTGTTTTGATGTCATAATGACTTTGATGGAGGGTATTATAGAACTCTGGATTATGTTTTATTAGTCAATGTTTTATTTCAACCTATTGTTACAAACTGCTACTCAAGTGTTCCAACCAAATCACTGGGACTAACGTAACCTGTCATTTGGTACATTTATTCCAAGAAATTAGTTAGCAGCTAACAATGATATATTGTTTTTATTGAATTCCCAACTATGTATGTGATGTTGCTGACAATGACTGTCACACTAATACAAATGCATTTTCCAGATATTTTAGGTGGAGGGTCAAAGTTTGTTAGGACTGCGCGTGTTCCCATGGGAGGATGGGCAGACAACAATGCGGCTGCTCCCAGGTACCCAGAGCCCCTCCCAGAGGAGAGCTCAGATGATGACTTGCCCCCTCACATACATAAGGTTTGTCCAAAAACAAATAAAACAGTCTTGACAGTACTGACTGCATTTGGAAACAACATTTTCTCTTTGTTTTAGGTGACGTAACCTCGGCTCTGGTCAGCTTTGGGGACTGTTTACATTTGTGATGACTTCTCATGTTCTGCTTTCTTTTGAACTCGCAATCATGTAAATATAGATTATATTGTGTCATATTGGACCATACTATGTTTATGGGCAACATCCACTGTAAATTTCTCATGCCTGGCATAATTTAATGTATTCCTGATACATAATGAAATAAATAGAATTTGTATTCCACAGTCATTGTAATACCTTTTAAGAGGAATGTTGATTTAAGTAAGTTCGTATTTTACATTTTTTTTGTCAGGTTATAAAGCTATTATATTTGTCTAAAAGAGCACAATTGCATGTTTATTATCATCATACATAATGAAAAAATATAAATTCCAGAGTGATTTGCGTCATCCTTACACAAATATTTTTGCACTTTACAGATGATATTATATGGTTCATGTATCTGTACATTTACGCTTTATTTGTCAACACAAAGAAGTGCCATGGATGAAATAATGATTGTTGTAAGCTGTTTTATTTTGTTATTAGTAAAAGCTATTTCCACCACTGCTGGACTGCTGGTCTCGACAGTTTTTGTATTAAATGTAAGGTAATGTTGATGCTTGGCTCTGTCAGGACTACCTTTTCTGGAGGTACCTACCTGTAAAACATTTAGGCAGCAATGTATTATCCTGTTTACTGTTGAAGTGTATCAACTTGAACAAAAACAAGAATAACTGAGACATGTTCTGCTGGCACTGTCTAAAGAGGCATAGGTGATACTGGAAGTATTTTTGTGCTCTATAATACACTTTATATTTATCATGCTAAAGACACTGAACAGGTAGTTTTCATTTCCATAGAAACCAAAACAGAATTTCATCACGGATCTGGGTCCCTTAACCTTTCATTTTTTTCTTTTCTAATTTTTAGTTAACGTGAATTTACAATGTTAAAACCAAAGAAACAACCAAAATGAATGAAATAATAAGATTTAACTTAGATTTAACTTTACTCAAGCCGTAAAGTATTCACGTGTCTTCTGATTGGTCGTGAAAGCGGAAGCTCAGTATTGGATTTTGATTCTATTGGCTCCATTATTCAAGGAGCGAGGATAAGGGCGGGACTAAGGAGACTTGGCGGCCATACTCAACACAGCTATGTTGACAGTTGACCATAAGCAACACACACATTTGCGAATAACTCATGCGATAAAGACATGCATTTGGTGCCTTTTTGAGAAGCAGGCACGCATATAATTCCTCTGCAGTGGAGCCATGGATGAAAATGAACGCCAACGGAAACTAGAAGCAGGAAGAGCTAAGGTGTGTAGGTTAGCTCATACTACCCACGCTACTGGGGTTAGCACTTAAGCTAACTCTTTTGTGATCCTCCACGGCTGTTTACGCCTATGTTTACGTTTGCACAGACGACTCTTTGGGTTTGATTTAATGCTGTTCAGACAACAGCAACATCCGAATGCTTCATGCCGCATTTTTGGAGGCGTAGCTCTTGGAACTGTTGCTGCAGAGTTTGGGACGTCAGTAGTGTTAATAGGATAAATGCCACACTCAAAGCTTTCGTTTCAGAATACTGTGAGAACTGTCATTATTCTCCTTTTGCTATTAGATTTGACTAGAAAATGTGTATTCATTAGTATTATATGTCATCGTTTTAGTGCCTCTAGATCAGTGGTCACTTAAACAGTAGTTTAGGTCTCCTACTCCTTCAAAGTATAGGATTTGATTAACGCTAAAGTTGGACATCACACGGTTAAATTCTAATTGTTTTCATTGCATGTTCATAATTGAAAACGCATGCTGTAAATACCTAAAATCCTGAAGTAATATATGGAAAAAGCTGGCTTGTAATTAGTTTCCATTCATAGTAGTGCCTAGATCTCATATTTGTTTAGGAAGGGTAGCCCCCTCTGTGGGAAAAATATTGGATGCAACTGATTTTTGAAAAACCTCATTCAATGTCTCTAACTTGATACAGCAAACTATTTTTTTCACTTCTCCTATTTTTGTGGTATAACGTGCACATTTATTTGTACCATTTTTTTCAAAATCAAAGTTGCGTTCAGGGCAGTGCAGGTGCTACATATAAACTTCTCAGATTCATTGTGAGAATTTATAAAAGTTACCCGGATTTATCAGAGCTTTTTGTAATAGAATATTTCTATTACCTCTGGATATCAGCTCCGCTGAATATCAAGATTAGGGATATTTAAAATGTGTTCACTTTTGACTGACGTATTGCTCCTAATATTCCTGGTGCACAGAAACCATCCAAGTCTTCTCAGTCGGTGAGTATATGTGCTAGTAGTGTCGCATTTGGGTTTGACAGACACCTAATGTTACATTCATGGAACAATCACATGATTTCGCTGCAACAATTATACCTCTGTGATTCTCATGTGTCTTTAAGAACCCCTTCTTTTTAACTTGCCTGCAACTGTGTCATGCTGATAGACCATCAGGTGGTGCAATAAGCTCACATGCTCACATTACATTACAGTTGGTGGCGGTTGGTGTTACCATGGTAATGCTTCTCAATGATAGCGTGCGTTTGGTTCATAAAAGCTCTTTGCAATGTGATATTGTAAGCACTGATTAACCTTGTTAATTTGACGTTTACGTTGATAAAGAACCACAGTTGCATGTAAGTTGACCAGTGTGGGCTCTGTCCAGCTGCTTGGCTGTGCTCAGGAGTGAGGCTGCAACCCCGGGCTGAACACAGCTTATCCGCTGTAGCTGTCTGCCTTATGATGTGAGCATGGGACCCTCAGGAACAATGGGGCATGACTGGAAAATAGTTTTATTCTCATTACCTCTGAGCAGAAATTGCTAACTAAACTTAAAAAATTCACCAACATTTTTGGGCCGTTTCACAAGAATTTAGGTTCTTGAAAAGCTCTTGTTACATTTATATTCATCTTCATTTAATGTCCTTGCAGTCACTCACTGAAATTCAAACATTTGAATTAGAATTGCAACATCTTTATTTAAGTATATTTTAATATCAGTGTTTTTCATCAAAAACACAAAGAACACTTCCCTTTCTTGTAATTATTCCTCTGTCCCAGTCAAAACATCTTTTTCAAAAAAGTAGACCAGTAAAGGATCGGTTGGCCATTGTTGAAACTAACCATTTTGGAGCAAATTTTGCCCTTACGTTGATTTGACCGTTCCCTGATGTTGTGGTGTCCGGTGCTCACAATCCCCTCCTCTCTGTGAATAAATCTCCCCATCTCCACCCTTTCCCTCCTGAGTTTACAACCATGCAGCGCTCAATCTGGACTCCTTACTGTGTCTGTCAGTTGAAAAAGAGTAACTACAGCCTGGAGGGGCTGAGCCATGACTAGCAGCTGGACACATGGACACTGGGCACATGGGCAGGCTCACAGAAGGAGACGGGCTGGATGTGACAATTCTTTTCTGGAACAGTGCTGCAGCTCTTTCTGCCCCCTGTAATCTGGCATAAGCTGCTTAAGGAGGGGACAGCGTGGGCTCTTTGACCGGGATTCCTATCAAATCGATACAGCAGGATTTTGTTCTTTTGGAAGGAGTACTTTGGAGGTTTTCTCTTTCATTAGGACCTTTTTCCAATTTGTGGTTTTATGCGACGAAAGTTTCAGGTGGAATCAGTTAATTTATTTTGCTTCATCTGGGATTATAAACAATAATTTGCAAAGATCCGACTTTTTTAAAGATTTTTTTTAGAATACTGATTCCAAATGTAGCTATTTTTAATTTTTTAATTTCTCTGTGCAGAATTTGTATTTTAGCAGGACCTAAGGCTGCCAATAGGAAAGGCCAATCATTTTCATTGAGTTAATTTTTATATCTTTTACCTGGGATTTATTTAAGTGGATTTTGAAATTTACTATTGGCATCTCAATTTACGCCTGTGGATTTATAATCTAATTTTTCACTTCACTTCTCTTGGATGTCATTCCTTTATCCTTTCCTCCTCTGACATTTCAAACTAAACCATGCTGTTGGTGTGGTGGTGCTCTGTGGTCCTGACCTATGTATCCGTGTACCTGTCCCTGTCTTTCTTGCGCAGCTTGCTAGCTTCCGACAGAAGCGGGCAAAGGGCGGCGGTACGGGGCCGGCGAAAAAGGCGTCGAAGGGGCAGAGCACGAATGTCCCGCCGCAGAATGACTGCACAACGCAAGACGGTCACATAGACGCCGCTCCTCCATCGGCCAATGGGAAAGAGCCAAACACCAAACACCACGAGGTAGGCAGCAATAGTCTGGAACACGGGCATTGGGAGAAGCGTGAAGCGTTGTTTTTTACAGATTGCTGAATTCATGACTAATTGGTTAAATTCACGTGATTTAGTACAACGCCATAGTATAGAACGCCTGTTATTTATTGGTTGCATTCATGTAAGTTCACTACATTCCAAAGAGCCTAGAGTTAAATTGTGAATAAAAAAAGTGTGGTGGAGGATAGCTGAAAATGTTTTCCTGGTAACGGTGGCAACTCAAATTAGCCTTCTATCCTTCTACCAAAAAAATACATACATACACATTGGCCAGTAAAAAGTTCTTTCAGACCTTAGAATAATATGGCGGGCATGTAGATAATAAAATATGATCTGCAAAAATATTTGTAATTATGACAGTACAGTTCTTTTTCAGCATTCAGTTGAGTGGTATTGGCACCTGTATTTTCTATGTATTATTCTCCTGATCTAATAGTAGTAAAAATATCACTATGAATAATTTTGTTTTATAATTGATTTTCCCACAACACGAGTTTATGAATGAGACCATTGTCAATTTGCTTAAATGCAAAGGAGAATACTCATTTTTGCAGCCATTCAAATTCAAAGATTTGTTTTTTTCTGTACTTGTCTAATTTACTTATGTCACATTATGCAAACAAGTGGTCTGTCCCCCCAGTCTGCAAACATACACATGGAGAAATGGGTCACTAAACATCAGTGCCTGTAGGGCTGTTGTCATGACAACCTGGATCGGATTAACTGTGGCAATGTTTACTCCACTTTTTGAAGGGAAGGTTTGGAACAAGGGGGAAACGCTCTTAAGTAGGTTCATGCATTAAAGCTGGGGTACATAACTTTTTCTTGACTAATACAATGCCTTACAGAAAGTAACATCAGACCACAACATGCTCAACATGATTTAAATCATTTTATCGCTTTTGCATACTTCATTTACTATTTGACTCTTGGCTGAGTGCTGAGCAAAAGGGCATTTTTTGAATTGTTTTTATGTGTCAGTGTTTAGATTTTTCTGTTTCCAGGTTTAGTTATTTTATTGGCAATTTATTAATATTCTTCATCATTAAGGTTGACAAACAGCCCAAACAGATTAAAGTCAAGCAAAAGAATGAAGTAGACTCGTCGCCATCCCCGGACCGCAGTCCTATGTCTGTGGAGGGCCTGAAAGATGAGGACCTGGCAACGCTCACAAGCAAAGACCAGCTCAAGGTGGGTTGCCGAAGCATATTTTCATTCATCCCGATAGAAGAACACATTGGACACTGGTAGAGAGCGACACATGTTAGAAGCCGCAGCTGTATTTAGGGCGGTGAGTCTGCTGCTTACAGACAGCCTTAAGGCCCAGTTTGTCATCTTTCTGCATGTGCGCCCAAATGCTCTAATTGAATATGAAGCATGCATACATTGCTTTGTACTCGTCTAGGTTTAATTACACTGTGTTTTTGCAGATGGAGGCCAATCAGATGAACATGATGCCAATGTTCACGTTCTCTTGAACTTTATTCACGTGTCATTAATCCTAATGTAGTCATAGCATCATCAGATGTCAGTCATGAGTGACTGATTCAAACTTGTACCTCATAATGCATTATACCATCTAGCATTTATTGAACGATAAGGTGATACAAAGATAAAGTCAGATCCAGGTCTAAGGTTTGACCAAAGCAGGCTCTAGCAGACGCACATGATGCAGTATTCTTCTTCTGCTTCTTCTACCGCTCTACTTAAGGATTAATCATTCCCATTTCCCTCCTCCACATTCTCTAGTCTCTACGCATGTAACTGTGTATTGTGTTTCAGCTCCTGCAGCAGGCTGTGGAGAAGCGAGATGAAATCATTTCCAAACTCACAACCAACCTGCAGGAGGCGCTGTCCAGCAGAGACCAGGTTCAGCTGGAGGCCCAGACTTTGGCAGGACAGATCCAAGCGCTCCGGCAGCAGCTTCAACAAGTACGTACAAAAGTCCTTCAAAACAATCGACTACGGAGTCTTCAAAGTATTGGAAGCTGAAGATGATGGCTGAAATTCATCACAGGCCCTTACTATTTTTGATAAAAAATTTCAAATGCATTGTCGTGATAAAGCAATTAAATCATTAATTCACTTTTGATCGTCTTCTGATGTGATGCAGCTGTTTTTGTTGTATTTGGTCTAGTTTAATTTTTTTTTTAATCTGAAATGGTTATTTGTCAGTTACAATTATCTAAATTATTTTATATTTCAGACCAGTATGGAGTTCTCTCGCATAAAAACTCTTCATGGGCCGTCTTCAGATTCAGACTCCAGTCATAAAGACACAGCTACAGAATTTAAAAACGAAGGATCCAACACGGACAGCGACGAGGAGACCACCACCGCTGTGAATAAACTCAAGCTGGAGCTGGAAAACGAGAGGGCGAGGAGCCAGAGCATTTTTTCCCAACTCGAAAAAGAGCAAAGTGCCGTTTTGTTACTGGAGGAGGAGAAGAAGACGTGGGAGGAGGAACTACAGCGCCATCTCGTGCAACTCCAGGACCTGCAGTCACAATGCCTGGAAACGCAGCAGTACAAGAAGGACAAGGAGAAGCTCAACGCCGAAGTCCTGGAGCTGAAGGAGATGCTTCGAGGCCAAGACGACCCAGAGAGGTTTGCCCTGGAGGCGACCAATTCTGCACTCCTGGTCCACAGCCTGCAGGAGGAGCTGGAGAGCGTCAAGCAGCAGCTGGAGGACAGGGAGAAGGAGCTGAGGTTCAGGGAGGAGGAGGTGATGGGGCTGAAGGCGTCCAAGAACAGACAGAACCAGGAAAGGGCTGGCATCGTGTCTGTGGAGGTGGAAAGCGGGGACAGGAGGTTTGTGGATGACCATCTGAACGGGCTGCAGACGGAGGATGTACTGATGGAGCGGTACCTGTGCTCAGAGCCTCCTGCCCATGAGGACTTCCAGCAGTGCAGCCAGCTCTCTGGAGACTGCAGGTTGTTTTTTACAATCACTGTATTATCTCCAATGTGTAAATACATTTCAAGTGTATCATTGAATTGTTTTGCCATTTGTTACATAGTTTTACTTTACTGGTGTTCCTACATAATGAATTGAAATTCTCCCTCTCTTTTTCTTGCATTTACTCTTACAGTGGTGTTTATTCTATTTTGATACTTAGAGATATACTAGAAATGCCATACCTATTTCAATACTAAAGTGAGGTTTTAAATTAGCTCATTTTAAAAGGAGTTATTCCTTTTAAAATGCATTTGTTTTACGTAAATAATCATTTTGTTTTCTTTTGGTACCACAATGTTTTACACCATCTCTAATCCAAACTAAAATTAAGGTACAATTGCATCCTGTTAATGTTTCTTTGCAGGCATCATTAATAAAACATCTAGTTTTTAGAATTGCTTTTTTAATCTCTTTGACCTGTGTATTTTCATGTTGGTTCTTTGCTCTTTTCAGCTTTGAATTAAACAGTGAAGTCCTGGGAGATCACCCCTTGTTGTCCATCTCTGCTCGCCTTGAAGAAGTCCGTGAGGACGTCCCTGACTCCTTCAGCCTGTCAGAGCCTGGCCTGCCCTCCGCTGACGCCCCTCATCCCCTTTTCCAGTGGCTCGACGTCTCCCAGAATGACCAGCTGGACCTGAGTCAGACCTCTGCTGTCTCCGGAGACGCGCCCCTGGAGAAGGAGCTCTTGTACCAGCAGTGTAGCGAGCTGCAGGAGGAGCTGCAGCAGAAGGAGCGAGAGTTGGAGGTGCTCCGGGAGGACGTCTACAAGGGCACCGAGGAACTCGAGGAAGCCAGGAGCAGGTCAGATGTCAATCAGCCATGTATTTGTTACCATGGGGTCATTTAGACGGAGCAGCAGTAGTTTAAAATCCCACCATACATCAATTTGTCACAAACATGGTTGTAATACTTAACTACAGGGCAGCGCAAAGAATCGCTATCATTCAAAATCATTACATTTTTTTGGCAGAAATGATCAAAGACAGTAACTATTAAGATTTCATTTCCAAATCACAAATGTATCTTGTCTGGCTATCTCTGTGTTTAGAGCTCTAAAAACGGCTTAGAACATTTATTCATTTGTCTTCAACCCCTTAGTAGAATGCCAAGAGTTCACAAACTCTTGGCATTCTTTTGATGAGCTTCAAGAGGACCTGAAATGGTCTGAGTTCCCACAAATGCTTAGCACTTGTTGGCCCTTTCGCCTTCACTTTGTGGTCCAGCCCCAAAACCATCTGGATTGGGTTCAGGTCTGGTGACTGGAGGCGGGTCATCTGGCCCAGCACCCCACCATTCTCGTTATTGGACAAATAGCCCTTACACAGCCTGGGTGTGAATTGACAGTCAATAGTCATGAAAAGAAAGGACACTCATTGAATGAGAAAGCGTGTCCAAACTTTTGGTCTGTACTGTAAATACAATTACTACATATACAAGTGTAATACATAAGGTGCAAAAGTATTTAAGTCCAAGTTTTTGCTTTTACCTCTTCAGATGGGCTCAAGTGACAGAAGAGCTGAGGGAGGCCCTGCTGGAGCTTGAGGAAGAAAAGGAGAAGAGGATTCAGGTGGAGGAACAAATGCAACAGAAAAGAGAAGAACAAGATGAGCTTCAGAACAAAGACGGTGCCTTAGAGGAGTGTGCCCAGTCTGAACCAGTGGACCTGCTCATGTTTTCCCCACAGCAAAGTGGAGAGAAGGCACACTCAGAGGAACAGCAGCAAACACTTAAGGTACTCATATAATATATTATATAAGAAATCTTGTATCACATTGAAATATAACAGGATAGGATTAAAGGATTATTTATTAAACTAAAACTTTAGTTTGTTCCAAAAGAAATTCTTTCTTTAAAATTAAAACATGAACAAATCAGACCTCAGCATGCTCTCTTTATCTTATTAAAGAAATGCCCAAAGCATTCATGATTAGTGACTCACAGGGCTCACAAGTTTGCAAAAGAGAAAAAGTAACTGAAAAAATGCAGACTGGGGTTCTTTTTCACATGTATTCATGTGGTTATGCTGCAAATAGCAAACAAACTGAATCCAAATATACATAAGGAACACAAATATTGTAGGTAAGTCAATTTACCATAATGTCTGCTTGTACACCAGCTTCTAATTACATTGCATTCCTAATATGTCTAAAGACTGGATGATAAACATCAGCAGACCATATTATCCTGATATGAATTGTTTTTCTTTCCTCCAAGGACCTCATTGATAACCAGAAATCAAATCTTGAAGAAACAAAAAAGGAACTTCAAATGGCCTCAGAGCTAGTGCACCAAAGGGCTCTTGAGCTGGAGAACGCTCTAAAAGATCTCCAAAGCTCCCAGACAGAGCTGCTAAACCTTCAGGCCAAAAGGGACGACCTGCTGATGGAACTGGATCAGGCCCGGGCCAGTTTGGACCGAGCCGAGAAGGAAAGGCATGACTTGGAATCCCAGATGGTCTGCTTGAACCAAAATATGGCCAACTTGGAGGAGACCCAGACCAAAGTCACGGAGGAGAGAGAGGAACTCCGGAGGAAAGGGGAGGAGATGGGTGAACGCATCAACACAATGGAGCAAGTTCTGGAAGAGGAGTTGGAACAGTTTGAAAACCTTCTGAAGTCTAAAGATGCAGAGGTCAGGCCAACAAAACAAAAACATTAAACCATATTCCATTTGTTTTGTACTATGTAACACCATTTTATGATTATTTTTGTGCACATTGTTTCAGATGGCTGAGGAAAGAGAGAAATGGGAGGAGGAGAGGCAGGAGAAGGAGAAGGAAATTTCAGACGTAAAAAGTCTTCTGGAAGATCATCGGAGCAGGGCTGAGGAGGAACTGAACCAGCTGAGGGCGGAGCACAACCAGGCAGTGGAGGAGGCTGTGGAGATGGTTAAGAAATCTTACCAACAGGAGATTTTGGAGCTGAAAAAGAAACATCAGCAAGAGGTATGGTTCCAATCTTGTGTTTGGGAAACCGTTATAATTTTTTACTTTTCTGGTGAATATTTGAGCTTTTAAACATGATTGGTTTCCCTTTATATTTATATGCAAGAAGACTTTACTTTAAGGCGCACCTGTATAAAAGCCGCACCACCTAATTAAAAAATACACAAAAAATGTCCACATATACGTCCCACTTGTATAAACGCTGCAGGTTTTTGTTTTGTAATGTAGCAGGTAGATGTTTTAACTGGACACAACATGATTTAATGACTTAATAGCTTGACCATTAGCTTCCATGCCTGTGCTCATTCATCATTCTTTTTCAACAATAAATGAGTGTCCTTAAGCTATGTAAATTTGGGTTTAGATTCTTTGAAACACTGATAAATTAGCAGATATTTGCACGGACAGAAAAATATGGCCTCTATCATCATTTTTGTGTAGAGTGACTTTCTCTAAAAAGGCAGACCACAATCTAATTTACAGTATTCAAAAACGAAATCAGTTTTGTCCAGTAAAGCAATACATTATAATATAAATACCACAACTACACAGTGTCGTCCTTAATTAAAAATATTTTTGATGCATTTTCTACCCAGACTTCCGGCTTGGAGGTTCAGTTTGACAACCGCCTCGTGGAGCTGCAGTTCACGTTAGAAGAGGAGCAGAAGAGGCAGATCAACCTCATCAAACAGGTACAACAGCTGATATATGAGTCATCTCCATGTGTGTGCTTGAAATCACATGGCCTTGTTTTGGCACCACCAGGTCACAGAGCGCGAGCACGAGAGGATGATGGCGGAGCTGAGCGCCAGACACGCTGAAGAACTGGAACAGATGAAGACCGAGCTGAGCCTGGAGCTGAGGGAGAGCATGGAGGCTGCGCACCAGGCTGAGATGAACCAAGCTCAGGTAGGCTTGAGGACTACAGTTTAAGACATGAGAGATCTTTGATCAATGTAGATTGGGGACATTTCAGTTTTGCATCACTGGTTACAGAACAGTAGGAATGAGGAACACACAACAAAATTTAAATGAGGAATGACTACACACTAATATAAGACAAAATAAAGTCTCCTAGCTTTAGCATAATAAGGAAGCAAATCTAAAATTTCCAACTTAAGCATAATGATGAAGCAAGCATAAAATCTGACTTTAGTGTAAGCGGTAAGTATATTATTTATAAATACTATAAAGATGGGAAGCTATTGGCTCTAATAGACTATACAGTTACCCATTGTGATTTTGTGTGACTGTGGTTTTGTTTAGAGTTCAAACTGGTCCTGGTTCATCCCTGAATGTTTCATTTAATGGGAAATGATAGGGATACAATACAATACAATACAATTTATTCTTGTATAGCCCTAGGTCACAACAGAAGTCATCTCAGAGGACTTAACAAAACCATTGAAATCACCAACACAGGTCAGAGAATCAACAGTTAAAACACATGAAGAATATAAAGCACACACAGCAGAAAATGTCCATACATGTTGTAGAATGCTAAAGTGTCCTGATCATCACCAATCCTTTCTGTTGGACACTAACTGTCCAACAAGACCCTCCTGCATCGACAAGGAACAACTCTTAAAAAACCCAGTGGGAAAAAGTGAGAAACCTTGGGGAGAACTAGGGAAACCCACAGGGAGGGAGACCCATTTGAGAAAGGCTAATGATCTTGGACCTAAGCTAGCTACAGAACTTGGACCAGTGGCTGCTGAACGTGGACAGGTCCGGTGCAGGACTGAAGCACTCCCAGGCGGGTCGGGCGGGGCAGTCCGCAGGTGTGATGCAGGTGTGCAGGGATTCAACTTTATTTTGGTCCTTTGCATTCCCAAGAGTATAAAAGTTACATTGTATCTATTGCTGGCCAAAAATGATTAGCAGGCCAAAAATCCAGACTGTAGATTTTTGCGTCATTTCTCCTTGGCCCTTGTGCACTTTCTAAGATTCTAGGAAAAAAAATCAATGCACAGGTTTTACATAACCACCATAAAGTACTGGCCTCTGGTTACACTAAACTCGGGTCCACAAACAGTGGCTTCATGAAGACTTTTGGGTTTTCTTTGGAAGTCCTCAAGAGTGTGACCATGCCCCAAATATTGTAATATTTGTTTCAGGCCCAAAAGATGCTGGAGATGGAAGCCTTGCGCCTCAACCTAATCAACAGCCACCACACCCAGTTGGAGCCGTCTCAGGACACAGCGGTGGGAACGATCCAGGCCTCCATGAAAGAGACGTTCACCCAGGAGAGGGCTCTGATCCAGGCCAAACATCAGATGGAAGTGGACCAGATCAGACGGCACCATCAAGAGGAGCAGGAGAGGACGCAGCAGCTGCACCAAAGTGACATGGGTCGGTGTTGATTTCCTTTTATTTTTTATAGTAAATTTTAATTTCCATGCAACTTTATCACATGTCATATCAGATCACCACACTTTCTATATCCCATATCCTTTTTTTTATGCAGATAAGTTGAAGCGACTGCTAGATGAAGATCTCTCAAAGGAGAAAACATATTTTGAGCAGCAGGCTACTCAGGAGAAGCAGGTAAGACGTTTTGACACCTGTGGATCATTTGTAATTACTGAAAAAGTTTTGCATCTTTCTAGGATATAATGATTATATTCTGCAATTCTTTCTTAGCCTCTGATGTCCCAGTTGGAGGAAGCTCATACTGCTCACTCCAATCTCCAGGCAATATTATTAGAGAAGTTGAACAAGACCAAAGCAGACCTCGACAGCGCCTTGGCCTCTCTGGACCAGATGAATGAAGATTATACCAAAGTCCAGGCCTCTTTGACCCAGCTCCGACTTGAGCTCAAAGAGTCTGAGGCTAAACTGGATGATTACCAGACATCCAGCGAAGAACAGAGCCGGAAATTGACCGAGCGACTTCAACAAGCCTTGTGTGAAAGAGATGCTGCTACATGTAAGCGTTAGAATGTTATATTATTTGTGTTTATTCTGTAGTAACTCTGTGTTATTGATGTGTTTAGGTTCCCTGGAAGAGTTGCTCTCCAGTCATAAAGCTGCTCTCCAAGACAAGGAACAGCAAGTGCTCCTCCTACAGGTCAAGGAGGAGGAACTGCAACAACAGGTAAAACTGCACCATTAGCATGATACTCATTTCAAACTACATTTTCTTGATGACAATTTCTATCCTAGGTTTTGAATTTGCAAAAAGAAAAGAGCTTTTTGAAACAAAACTCGCAGGAAGAAGTGGATCAACTGTGGACTCAGCTGGAGAGCATGAGAACAAACCGCCAGGAGTTGGGAGGTGAGTGAAATTTAAAATACCTTCATGCTTCCCTGAACTTTTACGAGACGCAAAAGCTTCAGGTTTGGGCAAGTTAATTGACCTTTTTAAATAAAAAAATTAATACAAAATGAAGGCCACTTTGAAGAACATTTTATGGAAACAAAGTTGAAAATTACAGGAAGTACAAATTCCTCAATACCACTGTGTTTTCTATTTGCTGAACAAATATTTGGTCAGACGAGTAATTAAACTCTTAAAAAAAACAATTATACTGGACACACTTTGGCCCTTGTTGCATAATTAGGCCTCTGCTTAGGGGTTTTAGTAAAAACATGTATGGAATAAAGATAATACTAAATTGCCAATAAAAATGTTTGTACTAATATGCAGCTAAATGGGCTTGTATTTCAGAGCTAAAGGAACAGCTGCGTGCCCGCTCTTCCCAAGTTGAGGACATAGAACGCTTAAAGGTGGATTTTAATGAGCAAAAGCTTGAAATCAAACAGCAGAATGAGGCTGAGCTGGAGAGTCTCAGGAGGTAAGCATAAGCTCTATTTAAAAGCTTTCACTTGTGACCACTATTGACACATGTGCCCAATATATATTTTTTAGATATTTTGAGAAGCGGTTGCAAGCAGCTGAGGAGGGCTATCGAGAGGAGATCGCACTGCTCCAGCTGAGGATGGTGGAGGGAGCACTGGAGGAGTCTGTGCTGAAGACTGTGCATTACAGGTACGCAGCTGCTCAGCACTGAACGAGAGGATTTCATTTGAAATGAAGTAGTCCAATTATTATGCAATTGTTTTTAGTGAATATTCAAAATGTCTCAATGAAGAAGAAAAGGAAATTGATGATAAACAAGAGGTAGGCTTTACCCAAAGGAGCATTGGATTTACAAAAAGGGGATTCTGGGTAATTATCTTGTCTGTTTTGTATGAACTGCCAACAGCTGGAGGAGAAGCACACAGAGGAGATGGATGATCTCAGATCTTCTCTGTCAGAGTCCTTCAAAGAGGAAATACGACAGGTCTTGGTCATTTACAGTGTTTTCCTCTTTATATAAAGTCAAGCTTGTTTTTTCACAACTATTTTCCTCTTCCAAAACAGGTGCGCTCAGACCTCACTGATCAGTACTATAGTGAACTTGAGGAGATGAAGTCCCGTCATGCCTTAGAAATGGAGCAAGTCAAAGCAAAACTCTCCGAAAGCCATCTAAGAGGTACAAGATTTAATAAACTTGTTTTATTATTCTATAAGCTTTTATGAAAGAATTTTTAATTTCATGTATTTCTTCAGCGCTCACCAGGATCCAATTGGATGCTGCAAGGCAGATAGAGGTACTTTCTTATTCTGACAAGATTCAGAAACATTTATAAACCATAATTATTATTGTTATTAACATTATTAATGTGTGTTGTCTAATCTCTAGGTGGAGGTTGAACAGAGGCTGTGGTTTTCCACAGAGGAGCAGAGGAACAACTCAAATATCATCTATGCTCTGGAGAACAGACTGTCTGCCCTGAGTAACCAGCACAAGGCTGAGGTCCAGAGCACACTGAAGGTAAAGCCTAGTTTATACTCGCGCGGAGCTTACGGAGGTGACGTGACGTCACTTGCGCAACGCGTTGGTCACCGCAAGGCCCTTACGTCGCCTGCCGCGCAGCATCGAAATTTTCTAACTACGTAAGGGTCGCCGCAAGGAATCTCCGCTGTGATTGGTCCGTGTGTGTGTATTGGAAGGAAGCATGAAGCGGCTGCAGCAGGGACATGGACGAGGCACTATGGAGCAGAGAGCTTTGTGCTTCGAAGGAAAAGCAGTTTGGGCTCAGAGCCTGATATACAGGAGACAGTGGACTATCTAACATATATATAACTTATAAACTGTGCAGTCGTTTGTTTTGCACTGTTCCTGTCTTGTTTGAATTGTAGCTGCGTTTGTTGCTTTCCTCCTGCACTCGTAAATCGTTCATGTTTGTCTCAGATATTTACCACTATTATTGTTTTGCTGTTTGTGCTGAAAACTATTTAATAATAACTATGTTTCCAACAAGAACTGTGTCTTTATTCACAGCATCACAGTTGAAATGACTTCTAAAATAATGAATCCATAAAACTCTCACATAAACCTACAGTAGAAACACGTGTAATGAGCTCAAACAGCTTTGTTTGCTATTGTTGTTCTGAAGAGGACAAAGTAGCAGCGTAAATGGGACCGCTCCTGTGTGATCGCCCTCATGTGGTTTGTGGTGGGATTACAACATTCTCCTCAAAACTCGTAAGGGGAACGCGCCAGTATAACATCAATTGTGCTTACGTAGGTCCACCGCAACCGCTAACGTAAGCCACGCCGCGCAAGTATACACTAGGTTTAAGGCTGCTGCACTTTTTACGGACTGTGAAATTTGTATTCACCTCATCAAGAAGCTCTCTGCTATTGTATCTATCACATTCACTCCATGATGGATGTTGAGCTGATTAAAACCATTTGGAAAAAAATCAGTCAAGAATAGTTGTACAGGTTGTGGGATAGATTACTTATACATGCATAAATCACTCAACATACAGCCTCCTAGCTAAATGAGAATGGTAAAAAAATAAGATTGTTCATGATTCATAATTACATTTTTACAGAGCTGGACAAAACTGTCTGCACTGCTTTGTAAATTAAATACAACTATGAATGGTTGGGTGTAATGAATTGCAAATTGAGAGTCCTTCATTGTGAATTGATCCCTAAAACATCTCCTTTGACACCATTTTCCCCACTGCAGTTGAAAGAGGACTTTGCTGCTGAGCTGGTGCACCTGGAGGATGCCCTGCAGAAGGAGAGGGCTGAGATGCAGGAGCGGCTAACCACTCTGAAAGAAGAGCTCCAACAACAGCAGCAGTCTGAGCTACGTGCGCTGAGGGAAGAGTTTGAGAAAGAGAAGGCCCACCTTGAGAGAACTCTTCAAGAAGAAAACAACAAGCTGAGGTCTCTACAAGCGGCGCTGGAGTGTGATAACGGTGAGAAATTGAAGACATTCCTCACAGATTAATTCAGCAGCAGTTCCTCATTCTAACATTCTAATGCCACACTGTGTCTCAGGTCCACCACTCCTGAAAGTGCAGCAGCGACTGGAGACTCAGTTTGAAAATGAGCTGCAAAAGGCACAGGGAAGCATGGAAGAGGAGGTCAAAGTCAGAATACAACAAGCTCAAGAAAGGTAAGTGGAGGAGGCCCACTTTTGTTTGATACATTGTTTGTATTAAATGTATTCAAGAACTTTATGGATGATTGATCCGTATGCGCGAGGTTAGTTCCTGATTTGGACAACTTTGAAGTTTTCCTTAACGCCCCTGACCCAAAGACAGTAACTCAAAATGAGTATCGGAATTTAGCTCCTCTCCCACACTTTGTTGGGAAATATTTGAATAGGTTGATGAAAAAAAGTTGGACAATATGGATTAGTGTTGTGGTTGCTACGAGACCATTATGTCAGCTGTATAGCCAGCCTTGTCAGTAATGTACATGTCTTTTTGTTTCCTTTTGTATTTTTATTCACAGGTTTCAAGAAGAAAAGGCTGAATTAGAGCGCAATTTATCCCAGAAATATGAATTATGTTTGAGCGAGGTAAAGGAAAAGCATAAATCTGAACTGGCTGAGGAGAAGACCCGAGCACTGACCAAACACTCGCAAGAGATGGACTCCCTCACGGCCAAGTACACGGGGCAGCTGGACGCGCTCAGTACCAGTCACAGAGAGCAGCTGGCAGCCATGGCCTCCGAGCTGCAGAGCAAGCACAACGCAGAGCTTGTTGCCTTGGAAGCGGCCCTCCATTCACAGCGGAAGATAGACCTGGCCAGCTTAGAGGCAGCCTTCCAGGAAACCAGCCAGGCCCAGCTCGAGGCTCAGCTGGCCCAACTGGAGAGCAGGCACCAGGAGGAGAAGGACGAGCTGGAGAGAAGAATGCTGGGAAATATGGACACTCTGGAGGCCACGTATCTCAAAGAAGTGCAAGTACGTGAAAATGTCTTTAGTTGGCTAGTGGAAAAGCTTCATGCTGAGAGATACTGTTATAAATGGGGTCATGAAAGTCTGTAGGTCATAAGGCTTTACTGTAGTGTAGTGTATGTGATTTCATATATAGGGTGTGTTTTTTGGATATACAATTGAAGTGAGTCAAACGAATAATGGTAGCAATCTGTTCATAAACTTATTGCTATTTTAAATGTAAAGTAAAGAGTAGTGGTTATGTACCTGGGGTAGTAGAAACTGTGTGAAGGCATCAAATGCAGAAGAACAATTAAATGACAAAATTGTGAAGTAAAAAAGTAGCAAGACTTTCATACACTGTACTTCCATACACCAGTGCTTTTAGAGACAGATGAGCCACGTTTTGGCCGTGGGCTTTCGTAATTCCATTATGAAAAGCCATCTTTTTATTGTTGGTGCCATGAACAAAAATTACACTTTTCCCTCTCACACTCATATTGCCATATTTTTCCCAGACTCTACGGGATGAAATGATGCACCTGGAGGAGAGGCACTGTGGAGAACTGATGGGGCAGAAACATGAACACGAGCAGATGTTGAAGCGGACCCTGACAGAGCAGCAGAGTCTCCGGGAGCAGCTGAGCCAGCAGCTCTCAGACCGCATCAGTGCCATGGCTGCGGAGCTCACTCAGGCTCACAAGGTAACAACAAAACCAGCATGACGTAAAAAATACTGTTTTGAAAGATTCATCTTGCCTTCTTAGTAGAAATTAAAGGATTTGGTTCTTCTATACCAGACAATAGCTGGTTAGCGATTACTACCAAAGTAATAACATCGCTAGTGGGTATCTGTCTGCCAAGGTAATTGCATCTCTGACCTACTATTGTCTGGTATAGAAGAACCAAATCCTTGTGTAAAAAAAGATTTGCCCTATTGACAAAGTATTGAAAGTTGAAATTAACCTTTCCAGTTTTTCTTATACAGCCCACGAAATGTATTGAAAGACAAACAATTTATAGGCTAGTTTTCAATGTATGTCTTACAATCATAGTTCAGAGATGTGATGTGACTAAAATGATTCAAAACCACCACATTATTCTTTCTGTAACGCTACTGTATTTTAAAGTTTACAGAAGTGTACAGCAAGACACAACCAAAGTAAAATATTACCTCTGTCTTCACTTTTTTCACTGTCTTTGTAGGTGGAACTTTCTTGCCAAAAAGAAGCCTTGGATAATGAACATTGTCAAGCCCTGGAAGCACTTAAGCAACAAGTCAGTTTGTACTTGTTTTTGAATAATTTGTCTAGACTGTAAATGATTGTCATGACTAAACATGTCTCCCATGAATAGGTTTTGGAGCTTGAGCAACAACACAGCGCTGCTCTCCAAGAACTTACAAGCACATACGCTGCTGAGGTCAAACAGCTCACGGAACCACACCAGGTCCAGCTTCAGGTCTGCTGCCATATTTTTGCTTCTTGTAATGTACCCAGAAACCTACAGGAGCTTGTTCCTCTTAAACCTAAAACCAGTCCGAATGAATAGTCAACTTAAGTGCCAAGAGCTTTTTTAACTAACAGAATAGCCACTAAAATTAACGCACAATTTACATGATACCATTTCTTCTGTTTACCATCCCATTTGAAAAGGATTACACAGCCATTGTTTATCCCTTTAGGGGTTTTCTGTCCACCAGACACATATATACACATTTTAATAAGGGAACAGCGAGCATCTGGCTGTCCGGCGGGGTATTAAACAAATCCCTGACATGTGTCCACTGCAGGAGCTAAAGAATATCTCGGCTCGAGAGCTGGAAGCATGTCGCCGCGAGCTGGAGGAGTCGTCGTCCCGGCAACGGCAACACTTCACCGAGGAAGTGGAGCTTCTGAAAGCCCAATCAGAAGAAAGGCTCCAGGACCGACTCCGTCAGATAAAGGTAAATATGCCTTTTTTAACCACACTTAAAAAATAAAAAATACATTTGCTTATTTGAGTGATTATGTAATGCTGGGTGGATTATGAGTTTCTGAGGACGGGTGAGGGGCATTGCTCTCTCTAAGCCCCAGCTGCGCCACTTCATGTGTAGAATTCTTTTTTGTGTTTTCAAACCCAATTTGAACATAATCCTGTCCTCTAAAGTCCTCTGCCATTCTGTCATCTATGTCTTGAAGATGGGAAAAGAAAATTGACTTCTTATATTTGACTGTTTTTATTCCTGATCCCTTTGTTTCTGGAAGACTGAGTTTGAAGAGCAGAAGGAGGCGGAGCTTGAGGAGTTGAGGCGGAGTCACACTTCAGAGCAGGAGGAGAGGGAGGCGAGTTACACCAGCAAAATGAGCCAGCTGACCGCACAGTTACAGCAGCTGGATGCTGTGGTGGCCCAGGTACACATGACCTAGACATGTTTATATATTGTTTGTGTGCAGTGTGCAGTATGATTATCTATACATCTTTATTTTGATTAGAGAACACCGTTCAAACACATGAAATGCAATGATAAAATCATATAAAGTCATAAGTAGAATTAAACTGCCATAATGTTCACTTGTCCTAACCTTTTAAAACCTCTTTACACCTGCTCATGGTTGATTACTGCAGGCAGATGAGGATTCACATGTATGGGTTTTAAAAGTTTCTTATATTTTCAACTTAACTGTCTAGTTTTTGGAATGACAGATAAATGGGTGGCATAGATGGTAGGTGAAACAGACATTTTCTGGTTATTGGCAGAATGACTTTCTATTCTACATTTGAGGATTCAAATAAATCCAACATTAGTGAACTTTTAAATTGTTATAATAATTCCCACATTATTTTCTTCAAAAGTACATTTGGTAGTATGTCCCTGTTACACACGCAAATAATTAATGCAAACATTGCAAATACGTTTTTGGCATAACGGCTTTATTTTTTGTGTGTGACACATTTAATAATGATTGCTCTAAATAACTTGGGCAGATTTACCTTTTTAGATCATATTTGTTTGTTGTTTTCACAACAAATCCTGCTGCCTCTCTGCTTAGTTTGGATTAATGCTTGAGAAGTGGGAGTGACCTGTTGTCATGGCTGCACCATTGTTTAGTTGAAGCAGGTGTCTTAAGGAGAGGTGTTTGATGGGGCAGGGCAAAGAGGAGAGGGAAAAAGGGAGGGAAATGATCAACTGGAACCGAGCATTGCTTTTCTGTGGTGTGCAATGCCAAGGTCACATGCTGGTTGTGTAAGCTACAACAAAGACTAAGACTGCACCTCTTTGGTTTGTAAATATTTGAACTATCTTTTTTTTCCAGCTCCGAGAAGAGGTTGGCTGTCTGCAGGGAGAACTGGAGGGTAAGCGCTCTGAGATGGAGACGCTAGACTCTCTGCTCCAGCGCAGAGAGAGGGAGAGCCAAGAGGGGGGGAACCTGCTCAAAATGCTCACCGACGACCTTCAGGCTGCTAAACGGGAAAAGTAAGTCCTGTGTCATTGTTACGTTCATGAATATAGACTTAAATACATTTGAATGCGTCTTTTCCTATAGGATTACTCTACTTTCCTGTAATGAGAAGCTGAGGAGGGTGTTTGTGGAGATGGTGCGGAGTACAATTGCGACAGAGGAGTTGATTGGTCAAAAAGTCAGTGCACACGATACGACCTCCGCACAAGTAAAACGGAGGAGTTCTGTAACAAACAAAGATGCACATACAGGTAGGTTACACAACAGCGCAATATGAACTTCATTCACAAATTAAATAACACGCTGCATTTTGTAACCTGTGTATAGAGGTCTAAACAATTATCTCTTTACAAATGCATTTTTTCTTCTTCTAATGATCAGAAAATTACATCAAGTAAATAAACATCAATCTTTCAGATAATCACCTTCCTGATCAACAATGTGCATACGTTGTGTTTTCCAGTATATGACTTGTCTTCAGAGGACTTGGAGCTGACTCACACTCTCTGTGAGAGCCTGTTGGTGTCAGATTCAAACCTCACTCTGGAGGGAGAGGAGGCCGCGCTCTCTGCAAGTGGAAGACTTCACCGTGCAGTGAGCACACTGCTGGACCTGCTCAACCAGGCCAACACACAGGTACCCTCATCATCAATCATCTTTTGCAGATCATGATTGAGAGCTTTAGTAAAAAAGTCACCTTTTTTAAAATCTTAAAATAGGTCAGATTTGGAATATTTGAGTTTATTTGACCGTTGTGGGTGGGGGAGGGGTGTGTTTTGCATTTTATTATTAGTATAGAAGAATACATCATTTACATGGAGATCTGCAATAAAAAATATATATGGGTGGAAAATCTGGGCTGAAAGAGAAATGGCTTCTTGCCTACATTTCGAATGTGTGATAAATGGAATTGAAGCTGATGTTGAGTTCTGGATAATAAAAGACTCAATTATGCTTAAATCACTAAATTGAAGTGTGGATAAAGGAGAAGGAAAAAAAATATATAAACATATAAAAGTGGTTTACCCTGTCCCTTTTTGTCTGCGTGTATGGAGAATTTATTTAGACTAAGCATTAAGTTCTAAACCAGACTGGCCATAACCATAAAACTAATGGGTGTCGTAAACCATTAGTGTATACCGTCTTCTCTTCATTGATGCAACATGAGGCAGGAAGCGTTCTACATCTGTCTGTTTAATGTGCGGCATGTTCCTGACATTGGTGGCCGTAATATTTGTGCGCCGTATTACTCACCCCCTGAATAAAATGTTCTATTTTTAGCTGGAAGAGACCCATAATGTGCATCTGTCCCTGGAGCAGAAGTTCACTCGTGGCAGGGATGACTCTGCGCAGTTGGTCGAGCAGCACAAGCTCCTGATAGAGCAGCTAAATGAGGAGGCCAAGCAGAAGAGCCAGCTCCAGCTCGAGCTGCACAAAGCCGAGGGTAAGCTTTTCCCCCATCTCTACACAAAAATAGACGCGCTGTGGCCGTTTCAACACTCTTATTGTGATTTTTCCACGCTTTTAGGACTCGTGCAAGGTTTTGTGGCAGAGAAGGCAATCCTGGAAGAGTCTTTGCAGCAAAAGGAAGCTCAGGAGGAGAGGCTGGCTGAGGAGCTGGAGGACCTGAAGCTCAAACTACATCAAACTCAAAACCTCGCCAAGGAACTGGAGATGCTCCGGTGCAAGAACCAGGAGCTCAGCGAGGAGCATGCTGCCCTGCTACGACAGAAGGAGCACCTGTCTGCTGACCTGGGCGACAGGGAAAAGGGTAAATGCACAAATGTCGTCCTTTCAATGTGGGAACGTGGATGCTGTCGTTTGTGACCATGTGTTTATGTAATGTATGTGCTCAGATGCGTCGAGTCTCCAGACTTTTGTCTCAAATTAGATCAAGTCACAGGTTTGTGGGTCAGCGTGAAGTGTTGTGTTGAAGGGGGGAGGAGGGGAGGAGAGGGGAGGAGAGGAGGTGTGCTGTGGCTGAGTGTGGCTTTATTACAGTTATAAACATTGGAGAAAATAACATGTACTGGTACTTTCTTACTGTCCTAAGAAGTCATTGTTGGAGCATTAAAATAGATATACTTCACAAAACCACTAGATTACCGGTATTGGTAATATTTATATTATATATATAGATAATATTATCTGGTTTTAAAAATACTAATGTCAAAACATGTTACAATTCAATATTTGCTTTATTTAACTCCTTATGAGCATTGCATTGTTGTTCATAGTGGAAATCGGACAGAATTACATGATGTGCAAACCAAAACTTTAAATCTAAAGTTGTTTATGAACATATCTATGCAGTTTTTCTACTTTTGCCTTTTATTTTGGATATTGCTGGTTTTGCTGTGTTATTGGTTTCTGAAAGAATCTAATATTTGAAATTCAGAAACTAAAACTCTTGAATTGTTCTGAACAGCTTTACTGACAGAAGTGGAGCATTTGGCACAAGACAGAGCGGACTTGCAGCGCCAAGCCGAAAAGGACCACAGCTCACTATCACAGCGAATCCGTGCCCTGGAGAGAGAGCTGGAGGATCAGGAGACGAGGGGCCTGGAGACGGAGCAGCACAACAAGGCCCTTACGGACGACCTGCACCAGAGGGTCCAAGCACTGGAGAAGCAGCTCAAGCACAACCGCCACTTCATAGAGGTGAGGGCAGCAGAAAATAGTCACGTAAAGCAGAGCATAATTGTTTTTTAAATATTTTTTTTATTTACTTCTTTTAGGAGCAAGCTGTGGAGCGGGAGCATGAAAGAGACGAGTTCCAACAAGAAATAAAAAAACTGGAAGATCAGCTCAAGCAAACTACTTGCACCGACAATAAAGGGCTCAAGGTAAGATCATAAAATAGACTGCTTTGGTTGGTCTTGTTAAACTGTTAAATGAACAATACCAAAACGATAGGGTTTTGTTTCCTAATCACTGACTTTTATTTTCCTGTCTTGAACGGATTGCTGTAGTTTGAAGACATGGTTTTTGAGGTATGGCGTTTAACTGTAGTATTCCATCTGCTCATTCATGTGACTGGTGCATGCAGTGTTCATCTCTCATCCCTAATTATCATCATACTTTTGCCTGTTGCTCATGCATACATATTCTTGCTTGTAGTAGTTGATTATCATTATCATTGGCTGCAAATCCAGCTTGGCTTGTTGGTTCAAGATTTCCGAATGCCATCATGAAGTATTTGGGGTTTTAAATTATTGTTTTCTGGTGTTTTTGCAGGTGGAAAATCTCCAAGCTATGATCAAAGACAAAACTGAAGATCATGCCACACTGCTTTCAACTAACCAACAATTCCAGCGCGACCTTGCAGAGCGCAATGAAGAGATTGACAAACTGGCAGGTAGAATCAGAGAGCTGGAGCAAGCCCTGCTCAACAGTGCCGAGACCAGCAGAACTGCCAACCAACTAGAACAGGAGCTGCACAAGGCGATGCTGAGGGAACAAGAGCTCACACAAGTATGATCATGAAGCACAAACTCTTTAATATAATCAGACATTGATGTGATGTTGCATGACTCTCTGTGCCTTTGACAGGATAAACAGGCCCTGGAGCAGCAGCAACTGTCTCACAGACTCCAGATATCTGCACTGCAATCCAAACTGGATGAGACCAAACACTGTCACCAAAAGAACAGCCACGACCCCACACAGGAGCTGAGGGAGGCACTGGACACGGCTCAGCAGAACCTCCACTGCAAGGAGCAAGAGGTCTGGAACGGCACAGCCTTCATCTTTCATTGACAGTATTATGTCGTAGAGTAGATGAGTGTGCTATTTTAATCCTAATATAATTTGATACAATGCAAGGTGGAAGAGCTGCTTGGTCAACTGGAGACTGTGCAAAGTGCCCTGGGAATCAAAGAAGTGGAGCTGAAGCACCTCACTCTACAACTGGAGTCGATCACTACTCGGAACACTGCTCACGTCACTGAACTCCAAGAGCAGATTGCAGTTCTCCAGGTATTTTTAAAAGAACACATCAAACCCTTTTAAAACAGCCTATACTTGAGAAAGTATTATTTATCAATGGACTTTATATTGTTGAAAGTTTGAAATGTCTCGTACTTTCTAGGATATTGTGTCTACCCTCACAATACTTGAAGAACAGAGGGAAGAAGAACCCGAGGTCGTAGGGACAGAGGACACGTTTCCTACAGCTCTGCTCCTGGAGAAGAACTTGGAGATCGATCAACTTCATAACGAGATCCAAAGACTGGAGCAGGAGCAGGAGCAAAGTTCAGAAAGCAAGGTAACTTACTACTGCACACTAAAGAACATGGAATCAATTTGTTCTTCTGACTGTTAATCAAGATGTCAGGCACTGTCGACTTTAATATTTTCATTATTTTTGTCATTGTCATATTTATTGAAATATAAAACATTTATTTTTAATTGTGTTATTTAATTTACCAAAATGTATACATCTTTTCTCAAATTCAACAAAATTCAAAACCTTGATTAAATATTCAAGACTAAACATGACTGAATGTGGAACGAGTGGAGACTTGATCAAAGTTAAATTTTCCACCTCAGCGCCCTAAACTTTACTATAAACAAACTCCAAAGACACATCTGTACATGTTTAAGTATTCAGACCATACAATATAATGTGTTCAGTATTTTATGTTTAACTAAAACTATGGATGTTGTCAACAAGATTAACAGGACTTCTGCATGGTCTAAAGCTGACTTTACTAATTCGATTTAAGTGCCAAACTAATACAAATGTTTACAATTAGACTTTGGAGACTGAACAACTGCGCTCTCAAGTTGACGACCTGCGTTCTCAAGTGGAACACCTCCAGTCCGAAGCCCTCCGAATCCGTCACGACAAGCAAGAAGAAGCAGAGCGCCTTCACGAGATCATCAGCACCCTGCAGGCCGAGCTGAATACTCTGGGCCCCAACCTCCACGAGGTCAGCGACTCCCAGGACGGCGACAGCATCAACCCCTCTCCTGCCCCCAGCCCCGAGCCGCCGCGCCTCACTCTCAACGAACCGGAGAGAGTCAGGCCCAACAATCTCAAGCAAGAGCTGGGAGTGAGCTACCCCGCCTCGACACGCTCCCTACGTTCCCGTCTCAAAGCTCTGCAAAGCCAGCTGGAGATCGTAGGGGCCGAGAAGGAGGGACTGGAGAGACTATTGCACACTCAGGAGCAGGAGTACAGGGGCCACGGAGAGGAGATGGCCAAGAGGCTAAAGGCACAGGTAGAAAAGGCAGAAGAACTCCAGAATCTGCTGAACGGCAAAATCAACGACTTGGAGCGGCTTCAAATCCAAATGGACGAACGGGAAGAAAGGTTAAAATCTGTAGAGGTTGAAATAAACAGTTATAAATCGCAAGCCCACAATGTAAACGACCTCCAAGGTGAAATCCAGCAGTTCCGTTCAATAGTCAAGGAACTCCAAAGCAAACAAGTGGCAAGATCAGAGGAGATTGAGGCCCTAAAAGCAAAAGAGCAGAGATTGGAATCCGAAATGGGAGATTTAAGAGAAAGAGGGGTCGTAGCGGAGAGGAAGCTCCAAGAGACACTGGTTGAGCTGGTGCGCACGGAGGCTCTGGTTGCCGAGGAGAGGAGCAAGGTGACATCGCTGGAGGCCGCGGTGGAAGAACGAGCTGCGGAACAAAAGGGGATGAGGGGAAGGGAGGTGGAGCTGCTGCAGGAGATCAAAAGGCTCAAACAGGAAGTAGAAGAAATGAGAAGGCGTGTCCAAGAGCTGATGGGGGACCTGAGGCAGAAGGAACAGGATCAGGAGGTGGAGCAGAAGGATGTCCTGGTGAGCAGTTTGAATTATTATCATCATCATTAGTAAAACATGACCATAGTAACTTTATTGTTGGCTTTTTGTGATTTTAGTTGATCAGCCAAACTAGTATTTGTTTATATCTGAAGAAAGGGTTTCAGGGTATCTGCACAGTCTGAAGAATGAAGAAGTATTAATAGTTGATTTAAGAGGTTAGCTTCAATATGAAATGAATGTGGTGATCTTTTTTTAATTTAGGATTAACTGTTGTAAACTCATTTACAAAAAGGTCCCAGATTAGTAATGACTATCTGTTACGGATGTCACAGTATTCGATTATAGTGTTATGATTTATTGCAGAAGGCATCATGAGTTGGCATTCACAATTATTGATTCTTTGTCACATAACTTTCCGTGATTTTTCCCTTTTTCTACATTTTCATTCTTTTTGGGAGTAAAAATATAATGCAGACTGCCTGGTTACATTCTTTTGTATGTTTTTGTGGTTCTCATAAATATACTTTGTGACCAAATTACTGATCAAGTTTTTAAGTGAAGTGATATTTTCCTCATTTGTCATTTAAATATTTGTTCTATTCCATGTTTCTGCTGGCTTCAGAATAAGCCATCTTTATGATCAATCAGGAATGGGATTGTTACCTTCAGGTCATTGGTATTTAAAGTAGAAGGAAAATACCCGAAATTAGGGTTTAAAAGTATCTAAATAACCCAGGGCTGGTCAAGTTAGGAGAAATCAGAAAAATGACAAAATTCAGCTAAAAAAATGTTATCAACTGTGGCTGATCAATTTGACCTGAGGATAGCACAAGGGTTAAACTGGTAACATTTCCTCGAAGGCCCCAGTCTTGAGGGGGCTGGCTCACATCTGGATGTAGTTAACAGTTGCACCACGTCATCACTGCTGCCTTTTTAAACTGCACACTTTACAAAGGAAGTTGTTTGAAAATGAGGAAGGAGCGCGTGGGGGAGCACTTTTAGCCCGTCTCTCTGCTGAGAGTCGAGTTTGTTTTTCCTGAGAGGCAGCACAGAGTTGGCAGAAGATGTGTTTTGTAATACCGCTTGCATAGGTCACTACCATTTACATGCTTTTGTTGTGCAACTCAGACAAAACTTGTGAACAGAGAGCAGTATACTTTCTTTAATACATTGACTTGTTTCTAAGTTTTTGCTGATGTACTTGCGTTCTGATGTCTTCCAGAGTCATGCTGAGCAGACTTTGTTCAAGGCAGATGCTGTGTTGAAGGAGAAGGAGGTGGAGCATCGGGCACTGTCCAACGAGCTAAACGCTGTCAAACGGGACCTCCAAGAATCCACAGAAACAGCCGAAAAACTCCAAAAAGAGGCACATGTGAGTGTAGTGTGAAAGCTTTGTTGGTTTTGTGTGGTTAGAGCTGAACGGAATTCTGTTTTTGTCAGGCTAAGGAGAAGGCTGTAGCTGATTTGGAGTTCCATAATCGACAGCTTAAGGCACAGCTTCAGAAGCAACAGGAGGATCTGGTGGCACAGGAAGAAGAACTCGTCCACCATCGCAAAGGAATCCAAACACTGAGACTGCGCTATCAGCATGACCAGTCCTCACAGCAGCAAACACACAAGGGTAGGGAGCACATCTATAATGACCAGTGGGACCACTATGATTGCCTCATTGCTTATAATTGGATAGATTTGGAGATTTAAAGTTGGACTACCTAACTTGTTTTGTTTCATAAATACATTTTGTTTGTGTCAACAGAAAGGGTCTTGTTTAAGTATATTTTATGTGAAAAGATTAGACCACAACATACTGTCATGTCCAATAAGATGTGACAAAGGCCAAACTCACTATGAAAACTAGTGAGTTTGTAGCAATGAACTGTTTATTTTTTTTATTTTATGTATTTTTTACTAAATGTATGTGGCAGAAAATTATTATTTGTATTATTGCGGCCATCAGCTTTGTTTTAGAGGTTTTTTTTAGCCAAATATTTGTGCTGGAGTAACAGTTTGGGTAAAATATTTGTCTAAAATGTAAAAATGACTCAAAACAATTTAAATTTTGTGGTTTTGATGTGTTATTTGTCTAGATTCTTCCCATACTCCGTTTGAGGATGTGATCTCGTCCTCTCACGACGATGTGTCCCTGAGCTCTCCGGAGGTTCTGCGGAGGCTGGAGTGTTCGTTAGACAGGTTCCCCGAGCGCCTGCACACCTCCGGCCTGGAGTCTCGTCTGTCTGAGCTCAGTGTTCTCAACAACACCTCTGGCCTGGACCTGCCCCCGGTCAAACCCTCCCCTAGAGTCCTCATGGAGCCAGCCCACTCCAGAACAATCACCCCTGAGCCGGTGTCCCGCAGCAGTCACTCTCCAGTCTCAGGCTCCAACTATTCCACCATGGAGTCACTGGACACGGACAAGGTACTACACCTGTCAATATACAATACTTTTTTTTTTTACAACTCTGTGCCTTCAATTAGACCACACCAATTGAAGGCACACAGTAGAGGGCGGCACAGTGCTGAGTGGATAGCACTCTGTAGCACAAATTTAAAGGGAATATACATGATGTAAGTATGTAATATGGCATGGACAAATAAAAAATAAATAACTCTCGCTTCTCGGCAAGAAGGTCCTGGGTTTGAATCCCAGTCGGAACAGAGCCTTTCTGAGTGGAGTTTGCATGTTCTCCCTGTGTCTGCCTAGCTTTTCTCCGGGTACTCCGGTTTCCTTGCACAATAGGTAATATCCTCCACCTCTGGCAGTCCTGACCAAGCCGAGAATCAACATCTGGATGGGTCCCCGGGCGCCGTACTATGGCAACTCCTGATAGACGCCCTAGTGGATGATTTGCCCTCCGGGGATAAATAAAGTGCACCTTTACCTTTAGTTTTGTATCCAATTGTAGCAGAATGCCATTTCCCCTCTGTACCACTTGAAATGAGTCTTGGCAAATTCTAATGATAGATTTATCAGGTTCATCCATACTCAAGTGTTAAGTATACTCAAACTCCCAAATATAAATCATTAATGCCTTCTGAGGGGATAATGTCCAGCCAACCTGCCACCAGGGACTGTATTTAAAATGTGCATGTCCAGCTTCAGTCCTTAATGTCCTTCATCAATATGTACTGTGTCTTTTCTTCATTGTGTAATCCATGCATTACTTTAACATACTATGGAAATGAGAGAGTCACTAACCGTCACGTTTACGCTTTGTTCCATTTCAGGTGCAAGAGTTAGAAGAACTAGACCTCACCACACCGTCCTCTCCCATCGGCTCCACCTCTTCACTGTCGGCTCCAGAATGGGCCAGCGATGGATATGGAAGCAGTGAGTATCCCACATCCAGAATTGTTTTCAAATGAGTACCTGCCATTGTGACTTTAAACCGTGAATTCTCTGTGATCTCAAACCTTGAAAGTACTCCCTGTATCCACAGACGTGAGCTCAGATCTGGGGGCCCGTCTCCGAGCAGAGCTGGAGCAGACAGAGCGTCTGGATGCTCAGTTTGTGGAGTATCTCCGCTGCAGAGGCATCAACCCCACAGCGAACACCGACAGTGCAGCCGGCAGCATGAGCTTCAGCGAAGAGCTGCTCTCCCCAGAACTTCAGGTCACACTCTCTTAAACCTTTACGTGTGTGTAGTCTGTCACTCGTTCAGACGCATGCACGTCTCAGCAGAATTCAGCTTATATAAAACATTATAACTACATATTTTCTTTATACTTTAATCCCTTCTTGATATTATTCTGTATACTTGAACTTGTTTTGTTTTGGTAGAATCCCCATTTGCCGCCCATTGACTCCTAGGATTTTACCCCTCCTCCCCTTTATAATTGTGCAATTGACAAATATTTAGCTCAAATTCATATTGTCAAGTGTAAGAACACAGATGTTCATTAGTTTAGTTTTTATAGTTTGTTATAAACTAATGACAAACCAGCTCTCTTCTCACCTGTAGTAGTGAGTACTCATTGTGCATCTGTAATTGAGTGACATTATGTAAGTTGAATGTCCTATGTCAGTTGTTGGAACTACCCAATCTTAAATAGTTTTCTCACAGTAAACCTCTTCTGTCCTGCAGGCGCTGTTGAGGAAGGTGTACCAGGAGAGCTGCAGAATTCTTACTCTGTCTCAGCGCCACAACTCTTCTCACGCCACAGGTTCTGACATGACGGCCCCACAGCGCTCTCTGGACGGCTCCTCTCTCCACCAGGAGGACCCCAACCCTCCTATGAGCTGGCAGCAGGAGAAAAGGGCACTTCAAGAGACTGTGATCGCACTGAGAGAGCTGCTGTGTCGTATGGCTCAAAGACATAATGTGAGGAAGATACAATCGTTGGTCTTTCATAGCACCGTGATAGTTTTTGTGTCTAATGAGCAGTTTTGTTTGCACAGGCCGATGGCAGCGGCCAGCTCCAGGATGCACACATGGAGCTGCAGTTAAGAGCTGAGCTGGAGGAGAGGCAGAAGGAAGTGCACCGTGCCCACAACATCCAGCAGGACCAAAAGAACAAGATTGAGACACTGAGGTATCCACCATGGCCAACTGTGTATTTGCTGTTAAATTCAAAACAAATGAGCATGACTGATGATTCCCATTGATAATGAAGACGTTTGGCATTATCCAAAACGATTTCATGTCTTGCGTGGTGAGATGATGAATAACTACTGTTCTTTTATTAGAACAAACATTGAAGATGGAGAGGATGCCTTACGGAGGGAACGGAGCAAAGTCCAAATGCTTCAGCAGGAGCTGGAGCAGGAGCGTACACGCAGTCTCCGCAAGGACATCGAGGATGGAGACAGACGCGAGGTCAGTGAAGGAGGCTCACCATGACGACGCTAATGTAGAGAGTGTAAACTATGTCCTTTTGAAACGATCTGTGCTTTTTCTGTCTAACAGGCTGATTATGTATCATCGGAGCTGCAGAGGTCCGAGCTCGTGGCTCTGCGAGGTCAGCTCGAGCAGGAGTCCGTGGCCTGCAGTAACCTTAGACGTGAACTTCAAATAGAACAGTCGCGCAGCGTGTTACTGGAGAAGCACCTGGTGGACCTCCAGCGAGATCTGGAAGAGACTCAGAAACTGCAAGACTCTTCCACTCGAGAAAAAAGCCAACTGGAACATCTCCTCAACCAAACCAAATCCCGTTTGGACGATAGTTGCAGCGAGCTGGCAGACGCACACAGGAAACTGGAAGAGGAAAAACAACGCTCCTCAAAACAACTGCAGGAACTCGAGCTCAGACACCAAACTGATGCTGCTCGCGACGGAAAGTTCATATCCGACTTGCGCGCTCAACTGGCCCACGAGAGAAGGCGGAGCGAGGAGCTGGCGTCTGAGGCGGACCGGCTCAGAGCAGACCTGCTGCAGAGCCGGAGGAGGTGGGAGGACGAGGACAAGGCACTCAGAGACGAGGTACATACGGCGCGGGAAGCAGCCGCTCGACAAAAGGTGGCTTTGGACACACTGACGGAGCTGAAGCAAGACGCGTGCAGAGAGCTGGAGGAGAGGAGGAGCCTGGCCAAGCATCAAGACACAGAGATTACAGAGCTGAAGGAGAAACTGCAGATAATGAAGAACAAGGAGAGGGAGAGGGAGGAACAGTGGGAGAGGGAGAGGAGGAGAGGCCAGCAGGAGCAGGCGCAGAGGGACAAACGACAGCAGAACACCTACTGTAAACTGGTATGGCTTGATTTCATAGACATAAAATACTGTTTTGGTTGGATTTTAGTACACACATCAACACACCATGAACACATAGAGAAGTTGAGAAATTTAAGCTAGTTTATGAATCAGTTTTTCTCATAGTCTTTTTACCTTTACCAATCTGCCGAGGGTAGATTGATCCTTACTATAGAGAAAGCTCTGCTCTGTGACTTTGAAAACTCTTGTTAAACTTATGTTAAAACTTAATCCCACTAGTCAGATTCAAACAAATATAAATTATCTTCAGAGCATAATTTTTATTTTTTTCGTACTGGTTATTTTAGCGTGAGCTGGAGGAGTTGAGGCAGCAGGACCAGCAGCGGCTACAGGAGTTGCAGCGCACTTTGGCCGAGCTGGAGAGGGATGAGCGGGAGCTGGCCAGGCAGAGGCTGGCTGAGCTCCGCACTGGCCACAGTGTTAGCTCAAAGTTACCCGACAAAGTCAATCACAAGCAGCAGGTATGTGGCCATTGGATCATGAGTACAATTCATATGTTCAGTCTTGGTTATTCTGTTGTCCAATGAGATGGATTTTTGTGAGTTTGAAATGTTGGTGGGGCCAATAAATGTTAGTTGGACTGAAACTACTAACAGCTGATGGATGCTCACTAGACTCAAAGACTAAGGCCCCGTCCCAATTCTGAGGGCCCTTCAGGTGTAAGTGCCCTCACCAGAAAAGTGCTGTCCCATAGGGGAGTGCACTCAAAGGATATTCTCCTTAAGAATTGGGACACCCCTGGATCTAGAGGGATCTAGAGGACAATATGCAAATGACGCAGCAGAGGTGTTCCACGTCACACACATTATCAATGTGTCTGATTTCACCACAGATAAGATCTGACAGATATAACTTTGTCTAACAAAGTCTTTATTAAAATGAGACGTTTTTAATTCTATTTCATATATGAAGATTTGCTATAATTAGGCACAGAACTGCTGCACATCAGGCACGCATAGACAGACGCACGCACACATGTGCACACAGACAGACCTATGTACAAACACACAGAGGCAGACACATGTACATATGCGCACAGAGACAGACGGGTACAGCCGCGGTCCCGCGGATCACAAAGCAAATTGTCAAAGCGATGCTCTGAACTACACCATGGATCTATAATAACATCTCTGAAGCCTCAGTGAACTCCTCACGCTGCGGCCGCTTCGGGAGCGAACGTCACCACACACGGCACCAACACATGCATTAAAAACTCTGAATGACTCGCACACGCCTCAGAGCTTCCTCATGTTCAGCACAAACTTGCGACCGGGTGTTTCATGTTGTTTCCTTTCATTGTGGCTTTGCCCGACAGCTCCTTTACCAACAACTATCGTAATGCATCATGGGATCACCCTCACTCGCAAGTGAGCTCCAGACCTCACTTGCGCTCAAGGGTGGTTTTTAGGGGTGTGAAGGCCCTCTCCTCTTCTCCCTAAGTTTTGGGACACCCTCCAAACCCCGCGGGCACCCGCAAAATCTAGGGCAAGGGTGCTTTTTAAGGGCAAGGGTGAGAATTGGGACGGGGCCTAAATCGCTTGGCAAGAGACTTTTATGACAGAGAGCAATAAAATTGTATCACTGCCAAAAAATAAACTATTTATTATTGATTATTTCAATTGCATTTCAATTACAATTTAATTTTGTATAGAAGCTTTGTCAAAAATTGTTGCCACAATCTTTTAAAGCCCAACTGCACGGTGCTTCCCCCATTCATGTCAATGTTGTAAATGTCCTTATTCTAGGAGTTATCGGTTCCATCTTCAGCTCTCATGGAGAAGCTCTCTATAGAGAACCGTCATCTAAAGGAGCAGCTCTCGGCGCAGAGTCACGACGCTGCGTCCCTCAAACAGAAGATCAGCTCTTTGAGTCAGCAGCTGCGACGCACAGAGAAGGAGCTCCACCAGATCTCATCTGAAACTGAGAACAGACCTGCCCACGAGCCCCTCACTCACCCCAAGGTCAGAAGGACGACAATTCTGTTCTTTGAGTGATGGTGGATATCTTCCTATGGTGTGTAGCAGATTTCCATTTGCCCTCAGACATTTCAAACAGAAACAAAACAATCTTTGAAGTAGTAGTGGACTGGGGGGCCGAAACTATTAAAGTAGTTTTCTTAGTTAAAAGTTAGAGGTGGTATTTTACATTTTACAGGCTTGTAATTGAAGACAGATTTATTTCTTGTATTTAACTCTTTCTAATAACATGTTGGGTTCAAGTTTCAGAATAGAGAGAAAGAATCCTGCACACAGTCTTACTTTATTTTAAGTGCAAAAAGGAGGAACGCTTCACGAATTTGCGTGTCTCAGGATGACACGCAAATTCGTGAAGCGTTCCTCATTTTTGCACTTTTTCTCTCTCACATTAGGCTGTACAGGCCTCTCCTCCGACGCACCCGATCTGTAGGTATTGATGTGCGAATCCTTACTCCAGTTCAATTTTCAGAATATAATAAATTATAGATTTATTTTGTATTTCTTGAACATAAGCTTTAGAATTGGGTATAACAAGGCATGGTAGACATATTGGCATTACCATCAATGCTGCAGGTCAATCATAATCAAAAATTGGTTCAGGAACCACTGAAAATGACTCCTTTTGTGTGTACTATGTATTAGCCAGGGAAATGCAAAACCATTGAACGACCATATGGAAGAATCCATCTTTCCCAGTGTCTTTTTGTATGAATTAAATGTCCAAAATCTTTTTATTCCTGCACCCCTTCATCATCCCCATGAAATATCCAATATGAAAAGTAAATTCAATTGTAGACTATAACATTATTTCCTATGTACTCATTCTTCCAGTTGCAGCGGCTGTACGAGCGCTACCTCCGGGCAGAGAGCTTCCGGAAGGCGCTGGTGTATCAGAAACGATACCTGCTGCTGCTCATCGGGGGCTTTCAGCATTGTGAACAGGCCACGTTGTGTCTTATAGCCACTATGGGAGCGCGGCCCTCGTCCCATCTCTCTCTCCCTCTGCGTGGGAAGACCCGCTTCAGAACGGCGGTTCGAGTGGTCATTGCTATCTCCAGGTCAGAATGATCTATCCTTGTTGGTCATATGTTATTATACCCAGGAAATTCCGATTTTTTTATCCCCTGGATCTATAACTGCAATCGTTAAAATACTACTTTAAATAGATGCAAAATACTCCTTTTAAATAGATGCAAAATAAACATTACAGATTCAGACCAGCAACTCTAACAAAATGGATGTCTGGGCAGTTATCACAGTTCCTGTCACCTTTACTATATTAAAAATGTCAAAATGTAGTATATATATATAAAGTACATCTTATTTGCACTCACAATGTATGGTAACCTCATTTCTTCCCCAGGATGAAGTTTTTGACTAGAAAATGGCAGAAAGCTATTCGGACCATATCCCTCTCTGGCTCCGTCCATGGTCCTAGTTCAGGTGAGTGTTGGTTACATGGTACGCTTCTTATCTGAAGACCTGTGATCATTCCCTTTTTGGTCTCTCAGGTTCTAAAGCGGAAGTCTTAAGACCTCAACGGTCAAATTCTGAATCTGCTTCATCTAGAGAAATTGTGACTCCCTTTGTTCCGTCCAGAAAACAGTCTTTCAGGCTTCACACAAGGTTTGCACATTTTTCTCTGATGTTTGAAATAAGTGACTTTCAGCCTAATAATATGTTGAAACCTTTCAGGTCACAGTCCAGTTCTACGCTGGCTTCAGTGCAGACTGGGGCCGCATCATTGGACCAAGAGAGATCTTTGACTGAATATATCCAACATTTGGAGAAAGTCCAGCACCGTTTGGCAGGAGTCAGGCAAGGTGGGTTTACCAGACATGATGGAGATAGTTAGATTAATTGGTGTAATCCAAGATGTTTTTTTCCTCTGTGAAGTATCCCATTGTCACAATGTAAGGCGCGTCCTGAACAACATCTGGGGTCAATCCTTAGGATGATCACTTTTTAAAATGTAGCTAGCTACTTTATTAAACAGAGAAAATTATGATTTTGCCAGGAGAGATTGAACTGCATGAGGCAAACAATGAGTAAGTGTTTTCAATGGGATGATTTGCCTTGTTTCTTTTAGTAAATGCAGATTAGACAATAAAAATAAAATAAAACATTTTTTACAATTCCTATTTTTCAAATTAGCCGAGGAATCCCTTTTTAATTTTCCTTGTCGTGATAAAGATTCTCAAATATTAGGTCAATTCATTCACAATAGCTGCACATATTACTCCTTATTTTCTCTTTACTATGGAACAACTTCAAATGTGATAACTAACTCTAAGCCCTCGTCCTCAGGTTCACCGGTTCACCAGCCGGACCCAAAGAAGTCCTCTCGCTAAACCATGAATGTCTTCTGTCTGCACATTTATTACGTCCATGCCTTAAGCTGAAGTACTGTATATTGAAGATGTTTTATAAGCACATAATTTATTTTTAAATACTGTGTTTTTTTTATACTAAACTTCGGTATTGTCTCCAAATAAATATTGGTAAAATTTGCCATTTGCCATTTTTATAACTTATTCAATTGTTTTTATACTACAGAAACCTCATATGCACTAATCTTCACTGGACAGTCTGTCATGTCTTCCGAATGAAGGAGAGTTATTACATTTGTTTTTGTTGTAATAAATCTGTGTATAATGAATATGGACGGTAATCTTGTGATTTCTTAACTTATACCATAGTAAGTATTTAATCTTTATTTAAATAGCGCTTCTTACAGGCCAGTTTTATTGTATTAATTTTTTTTGGCCTTTTGCCTCACTGCAGAGCACGCCAAGATGGGAGGAGGCACATGCCAGACTTAAACAGTACATGTTTTTAAGATAATAATTTACGCCAATATTTTTTTTTGAATAACCAAACATACTTTTATCATGTTGCTATGGAATATTTGCATTACAGCTTTATAATGTTTATACAATGGGATAGATATTACTGTATACTTCAACATAAAATCCAGACCGTGTAAAGCAAGTGTGTTACATTGATCTAATCAAACGCATTATATTTGTATGTGTATTTTATTCATGTATCAATATATTTGAGGTGACAAACTGTATTTGCTGCCTTTTATGTATATTGTGTGTAACATTACAACGCTATATTTACTTCAAAAAGTCTCTTGCATAACCTTAAGAGCTAGAAAATAAATCTCGGGGTACGTTTGTTTTACATATATCCTTAAAACAACGTTGGTACATTGGCTCATGTCAGGCCACCTTATCTCCCGCCCATCTCTCTTCCCCTGTACAGTAAAACAAGCGCGTCTCAACACATGACGCAGTCTGGAGGCTACGCTAGCGCTAGCACTAGGCTAATTATTTGCCAACACACTATAGCATTGTACGAGTCGCAGCTTGAGTTCCTCTGTGTTTCTGTCGTCCTGGCCCGCAGAGACCCGCGTCACCCCGTCTTCTGGGTTTTGTCTGGGATGTATGGATGGATAGTTGACGGCATATCGTCGCTGTTTGAGCCCCTCGCCGGACAGAAGTTGACCGAGAGCCCCGCGGAGGAAAGCAGCGTGCGCGGGGAAACTCAGCGGCTGGAGAACAGCGGCAGAGCGGCTAAACGGAGCTACCACAGGTTTGTTCAGTCCACTGTCGAATACCCTGAGATACAAGCAATGGTTCACAGAATCATCCGTGAGAAGTCGTGAACAACATCTTAGAGATCATGGTTTCATCTTCCAGTCAAATCTAGTCGTTAGTCAGTGGTCACACGTTTTATAAAATTACCTTAATTTAGGTTAGTTATCTAAAACTTTACACGTTTTATGTGTCAGACGGTGAGTTTAATGTCCATTTTATTCAATTTGTTTGTTTGCTTAATAATTCCTGGTCTAGAGGACTGACGTTGGTCCTTTTTAATTGACAATGGCCCAGTTTGTTTATATTATTGCTCTTCTAGACTTAAAGCACCACCTTATCTGATTTCTGGCTTTTTGACTCCTGAGCTCCTAGTTTTAGTAATCAGTGACGCCTTACTTAAGAAGTACATATTTATAACCTGTTTTCAGAATCAATTATGGTTGTATTCCTTGAGTATTTTGAGGAATAAATGATTCCTCTATCACTAGTAAGTTTATAAGAATAATATGAGTAATCATGTGCTTTTCCCTTCAGCATCAACATACATGAAAGTATTTACAAAAGTGAGGTGGAGGTCAAACGACGGAAGCGAGGTACCTTGGCCTTTTTGAATGCGTATGGTGGTATCCTATGTACATGTTTACATACTTAAACATATTCTGAATGATTTTCTTTTCCAGATGTAGTCTTGAGCTTTGTCAAGAAGACTGTCACTGGAGTAGCAGGTCTCCTCAGACTGCGTAGGCCAGTGAAGAACTACCACCAGCACTCTGAGTGTGAAGACCCACAGGTTGGCATTAATACTTTAGAGGCGCTTGTCACTGATAACGATAAATGGAAGACTTATTGTGAGGATAAACTTGTTTTGCACATTGGCAGGTAATCTGTTGCTAATTTATGTAAACTTCTATTGAGAATGAGGGATCACGTGATAATTTGGGCGGGGTCTAATCCGGTCGGCCATGTTGATAGGATCCTCCATCGGTTGCCAGGGGCAACGCCACTAACGCTAACGCTCCAGAGGTCTTTAAATTGAGCACGTTTATTAGTTCGGCAGTAGATACATCTACGAATACAACACTAGCAAGACAGTTAATGGAGAAAGTGAAGGCGAAAGGAAATGGACCGTACAGGGAAAAGCTTCTACCCACGGCAAAACGTTATTTGGAGAAGCTCTCAGACATACAACAGGTAGACCCATACGAGCTTCCTGCAGCGGAGTGGCAAAAAGACCTAGACTTTTTGCCTCCGTGCACGTACATGGATATAGTCAATTACCTTGTTTTCGGTGTTAGTTATTACACAATGCAGGAGTTTAGAAGTCACAAGTCACTGGAGAGTTACGAGGCTTTCTGCTGTGGTTGGGTGCAGGACTTGGCCATCTACAAGCCTCCAGGCGGTGAAAACACCGTTGTACTTGCAAAGGTAACATAAAGACATTTTAGGACGTACCCAAGTGAAAATGCAGAGAACACTCTCATCGACTGGGGGGTGAGATCGAAAGTAAGGTCCTTTCTTCTTATTGCAGCCAACCAAGCCATCCGGCGTCTCTTCGTCAGGTCAGACACCTGCGCTCCCTGATGTTGTATCCATTTTGGTGGCCTAAAAAATTGTAAACCGTTGTTCCTACGTTTTCCTTTCTTATTGTGTGAGGTACTGGAGCAGTTTTTCACACAGCAATGAGCTCCAGGCATGGTAAAACAGAAATAGCGATGACCTCCTTTGCTACCGAGTTAACAACAACTGTTTGCCGCTGGGTGGGATCCTACCAACATGGCGGAGACGGGGAGGGGCTCTGTGCTATGACGTCAACTCCTCACTCTCAATTGTTAGACGTTATGGACTTGACTATTTCCATGTAGATTACGTTTTCACCAAAAATACTGGTCAGTCCATATGATCCTCCTATTTGGTTTCATAGCACCATCTTGTATGATTATATCTGCCCTTATCCACTGTTGGATTGTCCAGCTTTTCTGACCTGAGCTGTGTCCTTGCAGCTCTTCACTCCGATGGGGATAGATGAGCTCCACACCTGCATTACAAAGTCTGACTGGATAATGGGTTGGAGGCCTCTATTTTGGGCTCATGGTACTCTTGTCTTTTCTTTCTGTGTTCTCATTGTTGGTTTTGATCAACAGATAAACCAGGTGCAAAGATTCTCTTTAAAACCACCTCGCCTCCTCTGATGAGGAAGATTAGGCAAGTAGACTACACTACACATGTTTTCTTAATTCTTCCGAACCAGATAGGTCTCGGTCTGAAAAAGCTACACAATTTTTAATCATGATAAACTAACTTGGTCTTTTTGGTTTAGTGGCGGTGGTCTGTCTGATAAAAGAAGTTCACTACAGCTGCTGCCGTCCAGGTCTGCTCTGGGGCTGGGGGCCAATAACACAGAGCCTGTGAGCTCCAACTACGCACACAGCCGCTGCTACAAGCCCAGCCTCACTGTGGAGGAGGTAACTAGTCTCAGCAGGACCTGTCTTGCCGCACAACACAATTGTCTATCAATCAATATCTTTGACCTTATATCTTTCCAGACGATTAGACAAAACGACAAAGAACACTACAGACGTTTGCTGGAGATGGTGTCAGAGAAGTATAGCAGGAATCAACCACTACCTTTTAATCAATCAAAGCCAAAAGAGTAGGTTTTGTTTTGTTGCATATTCCACACAAATAATGAAATAATATAAACAAATGCAAAACTATCCTCCAGGGAATTATCAAAAACTGAACATGCAAACACCCAAAAGGCCTTTGCACCCAGGAAGACTGCACTAACTGGTGGGTCACTCCACATTATTATCCATGTGTTTTCTGTTTCTGGGTGAATTGCTCTTTTTATCAACGGCTCCCTCCATTTGGACTGATTTTAATCTGTGTTTTACAGCAGGCACTAGTGTATTCACATGGAGGAACCAAACTCCTAAGGGCAGGTGAGAACTTATTTGCATCTTATTTGCATTATTTGCTATGTTGCAAATGTAACGGTTTACATGGAGTGTTACTGTTATTTTTTGACATACAATGACAACAAATCACAATTTTGCCATTTTAAAATAATCAATTAATAATGATCTATTTTACAGATGGTGTGCTGCCACTTTCACTCATTCATTCACTGGACCCCTTCATGATACACAGCATGGAAGGGCGACTAAGGTAACAACATAATGTTGACAACCTGGCATTGAGGCGGTTTTTAAAATTAAAATTAAACTTTCAGCAGAAGCAGACTCCTGAAGTGGATCTGTCGGCTGAAGTGGCCACGCGCTTACACCTGGGGGACACAGTTCCCACTGCGGTCATCCCCCCAGAGCCCCCTTTCAGCAACAACGTACATGTGAGATTTACAGATGAAGAGCTGCCCCGCCTTAACAAGGTGGGGTAAAAACGAATGAATCCTCCTGTTAAAACGTAAAATCACAACAGCTTTGTTTTTCTGAAATTCAAACATTGGATTTGTATCTTCAATAATCAAGAAAAAGATGATCAAATTGTGAACTTGAGGCACTCTTTTGTTTTCCTTGACAGGAAATGGCAGCAGAGATTAGTGCTGCTTTGTCTCAGAGGGATCCCAATCTGGTGTTGAGTGCAGCTTTCAAATTGCGCATCACTCAAAGAGACTTTGCCACGCTGCAAGAAGGAAGTTGGCTCAATGATGAAGTCAGTCTATGCTTCTCATTATATAATCTAAGATGTCTACTCGCACTGAATCCTGACACACACCTCTGTTTCGTAGGTGATAAACTTCTACCTTTCCCTGATTATGGACCGGAGCTCTGGAGGGGGGCCCAGGGTCTACTCCTTCAGCACCTTCTTCTTCCCTAAACTGCAGAGCGGAGGACACTCTGCAGTGAAGCGCTGGACTAAAGCTGTGGACCTGTTCCTCTGTGACCTCATCCTGGTCCCTCTGCACCTGGGAGTCCACTGGGCAATGGCTGTAAGTTCTACTATGAATCAGAAGAAAGCGTAGTTTGTTCTGTTCTTTTGTAGATTGTTAGACCTGGGGCTCCACTATATTGGAAAATACTGCAATATGGAATTGTAGTCAACTGTGAGAACGCTTATTAGGGCTGTGGCACGAAACCAAGATTGATAATGGGCCAAACTTTAGATGTAAATCAACAAGACATGCATATTTATTGAGAATTTGATCCAAAGCTATTGTTTGTTAGTGTTCATATTTTTTAACAATTATGGAAATGATGGCATCAATAGTGAAATCAAAGGTTGTTGGAAAGAATCATTGTTGGTCCATTCTTGGTCCATTCTTGTTCTGTAGATAACATAATGTAAAAGCTTTTGTTCCTTTTTTTCTTGGTGCTAGCAGAGTATTGCATCAGAACTTCGGATTCCATATAAACAATGTATCTTTAAAGGACAACTCACCCTCATCCACTTTTTTTTGCTGATAAATGGTATAAATGAGTGTCCAATAGTGTTGTCTACATATCCTGGTCATAATCTTGTCACTTTGGTGCAAATTAGTTGAAAGTTAAACTTTCTGCCTAAAACTGTCTGTGAGGCGCCATCTGCTGGCGACCTGTATTACTACATTTGAATTTTGAATCTGGCGCCAACACTGGCACAGAAGTTGGACCTGACGTCTGGAAGTTGGACCTGATGTCAGCAGCCCCCCGCCCAGAGCAATGTAAACGGCCCAGTCTCGTTCACGCCCCCTTTAGTCCTCCAGGCTACGCCCATTTAGAGGAAGATTTGAACAGGAAATGTGAGTAACGTAAGCTCCGAGGAGCGGGGGTGAGAACCACTTTAAGTTGACATTTGTAATGATTGTTTTTGGTTCTATTACATTTATTGAACAATTTGACATGAGCTGTTTGAGCCAAAAGAGCGTATTGGTACCATCCAATTATCGCCATCTGTTTTCCATATATAGTGCAACCCCAGTTTAGACAAATTATTTATTTTACTCATGTTGGTGTTTGATTGGATTTCTCTCCTTCTCTGCAGGTAATTGACCTCAAGTTAAAGACTGTGAAAACCTACGACTCGATGGGACAGCGGCACGACGACATCAGCAGACTCTTACTGTACGCATATATTAGAATCGTCACTCGTCCAATTTTTTGTGTTCTCTTTGACTTAATTCCGTTTTCCCCTCAGACTCTACATTCAGGAGGAGCACAAAGTGAAGAAGGACGGGGAGCTGGACCTCAGTAAATGGTCTGCCTGTAGCATGAGGTCTAGTGTATGTATCACTGACACTTTTCACCATTGAGTTGTTTTTGCTTTCTTTCTGATCGACATCTTGATAAATGCTTTTGTAGGAGATCCCTCAGCAGAAGAACGGCAGCGACTGCGGCGTCTTTGCTTGTAAATACGCAGACTATATTTCAAGGGAGCGGCCTCTGACTTTCAAACAGGTATTACCTCAATATGACTTACTAAATCACCTTTTTGTACCGCCATAACTTCAACATATTTTCTGATGTGATTGTATCGCAGTGCCACATGCCGGTGTTCCGAAAGCTGATGATTTGGGAGATCCTCAATCAGAAGCTGCTGTAGAAGTTGACGAGCGCAATATTGAATGAATGTCTAACAAACACGGGCCAAAAATGTGGACTTTTTACAGGCTGTGGAAGCGAGTCTTAATTATTTTGTGGATGTTTCTCCTCAAATGTAGATGGTGTGATTCATTTTTTCTTATCTCTAAGTTTTAATTGGAGAAAAGACTTGGGGACTTGCTTGTGTTACATGCTTGGGTACTACTACTGACACAATGGTCTCAAGTGCCTTCCGTCCTGAGCGAGTGTTTTTTTTTTTTTAAGGTGAAACGCAGATTGACTGACATTTATCAGCTTAAGCCCCATTGTAAGATTGTAATTTATTATTTATAGAATGACTGAATAACACTGGGAGTGTAAATAACTGTTTGCTAGAAGGGGCTCTGAAGTATTGTTAGATGCTGTATTTAAATTTACTGTTTTGTAAACCTTTTATGTGATCTAACCTGCTCCCTGGCTTTGCTGCCTATGATTGTAATAAAGAAATTCTCAGTAATCTTGTATTTCTTTATGTAGAGGTAGGCCTTACCTTACACTGGTGTATAGAAACTGAAAACCAACATTAGATTGCATTGCATTGATGGTTAATAGTCATTTACTGATGCAAATATTGCAATGTTTTTTTTTTGTAATTTAACAAATTGTGTACCAAACAAAATGAACCATGTAATAATGAAATCCTTCTCATTTTTTGTAGTGATACTATCACTTCAGAGACGTCTCTCAGTCAAAACAAGTATACTTAGACATAAACATCCCAGAAATCGCTTTGCTACTTTTGTGCATATTAATAACACATTGAGAAAAAGCAATGTGTTGCTGTACTATTGTTTATTATTAACGAAAACGCAGGATTATTATTTACTTTTACAGCCAATCGGATTAGTCCTATCCCAAAACACTTCCGCCTTGTGCTCTGACCAGCCTTTCCACGGTTCGGGCCGGTGTGAGCTCGACCAGCCCGGGTTTGGACCTCGGATTGCCGGCTTAAATATCTCCAAAGGTGCTTATGGTGTCTATAAACTCCATACACACTGCATTAGACGCCCTGACACAAGATCCAGGCTTCGGAATAAGTTTATTTCGTCAAGAGTGAAAAGAAAACGAGCATTCTGTTAGCATCAGAAGCTAGTTAATGCTAACGTGTGTGTCAGGGCTTTGAATGGGATGACAGACGCGCACATGGAGACGCTTCCAGATAACTATTGTCATAAATGATGCGCTGTTTGTTAGTTTGAGCCTTTGCATTGATTGCGAACTTGACTGTTTGTTGTCATGTTTGCAGATGCCTCCTAAGAAACAAGAAGCACCTAAAGCCCCCCCTTTAATCGGGCGCTTCGGGACCTCTCTGAAGATCGGGATTGTTGGCTTACCTAATGTGGGGTGAGTGCGTTTGTGGAGTTGTAGCTTGTTGTTTTTATTGTGTGTTTTGTGCAGCTGTTTCAGTGCTTGTCTCCAGGACTTTAAAGTAATCGCATATACTCGTGTAATTGTAGATGTTTTGGAATAATTGTCGTTTTCTAAGCTATTAATAGATTGCGTTCATGTGACATCACAACATTCCTAAAACCTATTGATTAAAATTGGGTCTACCTTTAGAGTTTTATTGAGTTTCTCTAATCCATTTCTGATGGTACATGTCCATTATGATCCAATAATTTTGTCAAATAAGGTGTCCAGATGTGTTAAAATGCATATGCAGTAAGTGTCTATCTACTTAAATTCCATCTGCTTGTCACTAGGATTTTTCTTGTTTATAGAAAACATTCTTTATAAATGCTTTTGCTTTTGTCAAAAGTTAATTTGAAAGACTGTGCTGAGAAAGGTTCTCGCGTTGTTTGGACCTTTGTCAGTTTTTCACCTTGGGGAAACGGGTCCATGTCAAAATACAAGAGTCAAAACACAGCCCTGTGCATCAAACTACTTTTTTTATGGAATATAACAAGCGTATCGTAGTTTTACCTCTGCTGTCTTATTGATGCTACATTTGGTTGGAATTTTCTGCGACATAAAGGTTGAAAGGCGGACAAAATGCTGACCCACCAGTCCGTGTTGCGGATGTGAGGATTTTTGAGCAGTTCATATTTGGTAACATGTGTTTTTTCTTTTATTTCAGAAAATCCACCTTCTTCAATGTCCTGACCAAGAGCCAGGCGTCTGCTGAGAATTTCCCTTTCTGCACAATCGATCCCAACGAGAGCAGAGTCCCAGTCCCGGACGAACGCTTTGACTTCCTCTGCCAGTACCATAAACCTGTCAGGTACATGACGGCATCATAGTCTGCTTCTTAAATCTATTTCTATTCATATGAAGTTAACCCAAACATGTGTGTGTGCAGTAAAGTGCCTGCATTCCTGAACGTGGTGGACATCGCAGGGCTGGTGAAGGGGGCCCATGCGGGACAGGGTTTGGGGAACGCCTTCCTCTCCCACATCAGCGCCTGTGATGCCATCTTCCACATGACGCGTAAGTTGTTTAAGCACGTCTGTGATATGGTCTTCCTTCTCATTGCAGCGAATGCAATTATATGATGTCACTTTGAGTTTCAAGAACATATTTTCCACATTTTAGATAATGGACATTTGTGGTTGATTTATTAGTGCCATTCAAACTGTCTCTTCAGCTCTTTTCTGTGGCCCGTGAAGTATCATCCCTACTTGGAAGACAGAAAATATTTCAAATACTTATAATAATTATTCCTATCAGGGGTTTTTTTTCAGTATGAGATGGGTCCAGGCCATATTCACGCGTTTACTGGAGATTATGTTTAGTCTCAATGGTGCAGTCTACTCTAGCCGTGTTTTCTGGCATAATCCTAGAATTAAATTAAATTGTAAATTGGAGGTAGTTGTGTTCAGGTTTAATGCGAGTTCACTAGTTTGGCTGAGCGGTGTTGTTTAGGCCTTCTTTTGGTAATTTAATTGCATCTCGTGTTTCGGTGGAACTCTTAAGTGAAAATGTCAAATGATGACAATGGCTGCGATTGTTGTAGCTATGATTTTCAACTTGTTCGTAAAGCCTTCAGTGTAGCGTCTCTATTGTTGTTTACTTGCATAGGTGACATTTCTGTTTGTAGTTGCAGTGCTTATAGTTATAAACATCTCTACGGTGGATTTGGAATATTGCAGTTGAGATTGTACTTTAAATTGGCTTATTCTTTGTAATGTTATATATGTATTCTATTCTGTATTTTTAATGTTGCGTGTGATGTTTTCAATCTATTGAAAGACACTGAAATAAAACTATTACTGCCTCGCTCTTCAATCGTCTGAAACTCAGGTTGTTCTTGTCGTCGTAGGTGCATTCGACGATGAAGACATTATCCACGTGGAGGGGAACGTGGACCCAGTCAGGGACATGGAGATCATCCACGAGGAGCTCCGGCTCAAGGACGAGGAGACGATCGCTCCCATCATCGACAAGCTGGAGAAGACCGCCGTGCGAGGAGGAGACAAGAAACTCAAGCCTGAATATGTACGTTTCCATCTCTGCCCCAGGTGTAACAGAGCTCCTGTCTTATCACAGTGTGCTTGTGGTTTAGGACATCATGATAAAGGTCAAGAATTGGGTCGTGGAGGAGAAGAAGCCCGTCCGGTTTTACCCCGACTGGAACGACAAAGAAGTAAGTCTTATGTGTTAACTGCACATTCAGAGGTCCCTTTGTAGAGGCAGGTTTCAATGCAGCTCTTTACATTTGCCTGTAGTCTCGGACTTTCATTGTGGGAAATATTTTGCAAATGTTTGTTATCCAATTGCCTGGTCGTACCACACCATAGTCCAAATGACATTTCGTACTAAGGTCTGGATTTGCTCCATTGAGCTCCGTGGACAGGTGGGAGGGGTTAACTCCTTTTGCAGATTGAAACGATTGGATCCGAGTTTACCGTGACGTATGTAATGCGCCCGAGTCTGTTGTTAGCATTTAGCCTAGCCATCTCCTTTGCCGCTAACGGACCCCGTGGGGAGTAGCGCCACAATTTTTTCCAGCGATTACATTTGCTAAATATTACCCTTGCTCAGGCTTCAATTTCTTGATAGAACCAGATCGGATTACTTTACTATCGTATTTTTCGCCATTACCAAACTACAACCTGCCTGTTCGACGCGAACTCTTGACATCACCTACAACTAACTACAACACCTGCCTTCCGCGCTCTCTGAATGGTCGGAAGAAATTCAACCGATTGTAATCGCTAACACAGGGACCAGACCCAGACGTTACATGCAGGGAAATGATGATTGAACGGAGTGTACGGATTAGGGATGTAAATCGGCGACCGTTTAACCGGTGGTTGACCGTCACAGCGTTAACCGGTCAAAGCTGTCGGTTAAAAAAGAGAAAAAGGGGAGAGGGGAGGTCTCTTAATAACGCTATTTTAAGCCCTATTTGCACGGTGTGACGAGCGGATCTGTATCTAGCTGTATGCGCCCATGTATTATAAACTCCGGGACGACTCTCACGCCGCACGAGACACATATGCACACGCACGCACTTTCCCCCTCTCCATACGTAACATCCACACGCATCATCTCTCCCCTCTGTTACCGTCAAAGTTGCACACTGGCGCGGGTCAGAACTACATTGGAGCTTACATTTACACACACACACACATACATACACACACACTTACACACACACATACCGGTCTGTCGCGCTCCTCTGTGTCACGGAGCCCAAAGGATTCGCGCAAATACGCGGCTCCAGTCAAACCACATGGAACATGTTTGTGTTTATGGTCCTCGGGATCAGCTCCACACACATCACTTGTATTTAAACTTTTGTGAAGACCTGTGAGACGCGGCTCGTCACTCGCTGCTCTGACCATGTGAACGAGCCGTCGTTTGCTGCTAGAAAGTTTTGGTATTAACCCGCAGCACAGCAGAATGGGAAGATTAAAAAAGCAGTTCTCTGTGCGCAAAGGTGCCGGAGCTGTTGCGGGTTTGGGCGCCGCTGTCTCGGCTCTGATCCAGTAGAACGCAGAGCTGCACTTATGAAAACCATTTTCAAAAGACAAATGAATTAAGTTATGTAATAAAATCCAACCCAGTACTTGTTTTGAGAGCGAGGGGGTACCATCTGTAGTTTTCATATTCACTTTTTGAATTATTTTCTGTTCACTCCTCAGCTCAGCCTCAGTCAAATAATGACTTACCAATGCAAACAAGACGGCATGTCGTGATCTGATTTGTTCACATTTAAACCTTTACCCAGTTATTATGTTACTATTACATATTATACACCGGGATTATACACTGGTCCGAATCCTGTGCCACCTTTCTGGGTAGAGTTTGCATGTTTCCTCCAGGTGCTCCAGTTCATCCCACTGCCCAAATCTTGTCAAGAATCAACATCTGGAGTTGATTCACTGCAAGATGCCCTAGTGCCCTTTCAGGGTTAAATGCAGAACACAATATTTACGGGAAAAATAAAGAATACCTCAACCTTAATGTGCTGAAACATTGTAACGTGCGATTCAGTTATAATATGGTTATTGCAAAGACGATGAGTTACGTCCGCTGATGTTTAGTATTGACAAAATAATAATATGAATGTAACTCATAAGTTTCCTGTTTGATTCCATTAAAATGATTCCTCTAGCTGTAATCTTCGAACAGATGGGTAGAATATGTATCCGTATATTGCCCATGGTAGAATAATAACTTAAGTGTTCTTCTCGTACATGGAGTTCTACATGATTCTGTCACGATTTGTTCACAGATTGAGGTATTGAATAAATACCTGTTCCTCACATCCAAGCCCATGATCTACTTGGTCAATTTGTCAGAAAAGGACTACATCAGAAAGAAGAACAAATGGTGTGTACCGAGCGTCTTGTCAATTCCTCCCCTCGTGCCCCAGTACACTCTGACCCCCGACTGTCCGCAGGTTGGCTAAAATCAAAGAGTGGGTAGACGCCCATGACCCTGGAGCTATGGTCATCCCTGTGAGCGGAGCCCTGGAGTTCAAATTGCAAGACATGGAGGAGGACGAGAGGAACAAGTACTGCGAGGAACAGAAGACGCAGAGGTGAGACCGAGGAGCAGGGCAGCTCTTCAAAAAGGGTTTCCTCCGCTGATTTGGGAGATGGTGATGTCACCATCTGTCCAATTGAAATGATGAAGGTCAAAATAAATACAAAGAAGGCATTCTGGAATCATAGACAATTTGTCTTGACACTGGATTAGCTTTGGAAAATAGGCAATTGGCAATACTGGCTGTGTATTATTGCAGAAAATATACCTCTGTTTGTTTGATGATGGCATTTGATTTTTTCTTTACCGTTTCTAAAAGGTAGAGCATTTTGACTTAACGTGATGATAGTTTTGTTTAAATACAACTTATGTCTCCTTTAAATTACCCAATAACCCATTAACCTACTGCCGAAGCCTTAGTTCATGTCCAGGGTTACCAGCAGAGGGTGACAGATATGAGTTTCCAACCAAGTTCATCCATATTGAGAGGAAATATGTTGAGAAATACTAATACGCTTCAATACCCCCTTTTCCTTTTTTTTTATTTTGATTATGCTTCAATACCTCTAATAAAGTGACCCTTTTCCAATTCTAGCGTCCTGACTAAAATAATAAAGACTGGTTATGCAGCTCTCCAGCTCGAGTACTTTTTCACAGCGGGGCCAGATGAGGTGCGAGCATGGACCATCAGGGTAAGATGTTCGATTGCTTATAATAAATCTACTGTGTCATTTATGATGTATATTTAATGTGTGTATATCTATATATGACTGGTTGTACAGAAAGGAACTAAGGCCCCTCAAGCAGCTGGGAAAATCCACACAGACTTTGAGAAAGGCTTCATCATGGCTGAAGTGATGAAGTATGTAGATTTTAAAGAGGAGGGCAGTGAAAACGCAGCTAAGGTATGCCGATCCCGTCCTCTTTACAGATTAAAAACGAATATTCAATTCATGTTTTGGGTGTTTTTTTGTCAGTCTGCCGGGAAATACAGGCAACAGGGAAGGAACTACATTGTGGAGGATGGGGACATTATCTTTTTCAAATTCAACACGCCCAACGCACCCAAGAAGAAATGATGGGCAGGCACGTTCATCGAAGCAACAAAACTACGACAGCCATTGCTTTTATGCTTTTTCAACTTCAAACCAACAGATTGAGTCCAGCACACTGCCCCCCCCCCCCCCCCCCCCCCCACACATTCCAGCCTGCAACTCATTTTCCATTCTACCCAAAGTGACAAAGTTAACATACACAATGACTTTGTTGTGAACGCAACATATGTGCCATTGCAAAATAAAGTCACATTATGTCGGCAGAATGTTCGGATTGATGTGTGCAGTGACCGTTGAGCCTTTTCAATTAGGCTTCCATGTTTTACTCTTTTCCATTTGTAAATGCTATGATTTTCCATTTTTAAGTTTGGCCAACTGTGCTCACGGTAAAGGGTCCAGAATGTCACATCCTGTTATGAGTCAATAAAAGAAGTTAAATCACTAGTCGTTCCTTATGCTTTGATACTTATGTTAAAAGTTCCAGTATATAAAGGTTGAACATCAGTTGTGCTTTTACAATAACTTAACGCGTTGTTTATGATAAGTTTATTTTGCAAATATTGTTGATACGATACTTAGGAGTTGTACGTAAAAAATAGCTCTGCATTCCATTTTCAACAACAAACAGGAAGAACACGTCCTACAAGCTTGAGGGACAAACGAGTCAACCAATGAGGCGGCAGCAGCCACAGTGCCAGCCAATCAGAGCGGGGGAGAAGGGCGGGACGTCCTGTAATGTGATGCAAATGCGACGGTCAAGCTTGTTAGTCCCACCTTTTTGTGTTTCCCGCACCGTCAATCAAAATAGAAAAAATCGACCCGAATTCACCGATCAACACTAGCCCGCCTTTGATCAAATAATCATGTTTGGAGTTTGATATATCCGACCATGCGGATGTGTGTGGCCTGTGCACTATGAGGTCTCCCTGAAGAGTTGGCGCACACAGCAGCCGCAGATCGGTGAGTTTGAGCAGCTACAGTGGAGTGAAGCACTCTTTATCTGCACCGGACTCCTGCTAACTGCTAGCATTAGCTATGGTGAGCTAGCAGGCTAGTCCGAGAGCTGACAAAGTAAACAGTGTCCTGCAGAGCTGCACTGGACTGCGCTGTTGGGATGCTCTGCGGGCTTTTGAAGGCCGGAGACCACGCTTCTAGAGTTGAGCAGAGTTTGGCCCTCTCCCTGTAGCCCCAGAGCAGCTCAGCCTCTGAAACAAGGAGAAATGGCGTCCGCGGACGTGGACAGCAGTCAGAGCGAGTTTCTACAGGCCGCTGGCGCCGCGGACACGCAGGTAACACACGATCCGTGTGAACTTTGTCAATATGAGCATTAGTCTGAGTTCGAGAGCATCAAGATCACACGTTTAAACGTTTTGATGGCGTGGGGGTGAAGCCGTACACTTCCTGTGTTCCCCTCAATAACGGCCACCCACTTGAGCCGTGGAAAACCCGCCCATAGTGGGTAGGACACTAGTCACTGGGGTCGGCTCACTGGTACAACCGGGACGGTGATGTGAGGTCATCTGCTGTGTGCCATAAGCACCGAATACCGACTGTACCAATGTGCGGAGTTACTGCCTCCCCTCCCCCACCCGCCTGCTCTGATCACCGCCGTGTGCCCCAGGAAACTGCACTTTACTGTCCTTTGTAGTCTACAACTTGTACTTTTCACTTCTACAGTTCACTACACTTCATCAATGCCAGCTTCTACCACTAACCCGTGTGTCCCATGTAACATATGTAATATATGTAACATGATGTGATGAGTTTGAGGCCAGAGTTGTTGCAGACTCTCATGTTGAATGCTCTCTGTTGTAGACCACAGACATGTCCGCGCTGCAGCTGACGAGCACCGACAGGTGGGAGGTGCTGACTCCTGTGTCCTCCGGGAAAGAAGACCAGGGGCTCGTCCACATTCCAAACTCCGGGATTGTCACGTCAAACGGCCAATATGTGCTTCCCATTGGAAGTCTTCCCAACCAGCCCATCTATGTCACCGCGTCTGGGACTGAGGCCACAGCGAATGGGGTGTCAGGAATCCAGTATCAGGTAAAAAAAAAAATCAAGTGGGCCAACACTTCACATTAATTTAAAAGAACAGTGGTAAGCTTTGTGTTGCCTTGCACAATTTTGAAAGGCAACCCAAAGTGCTATTGAAACAATCACACAAGGCATTACAATCAACTAATCACAGTACATTAAAAAGAAAGATAAAAAGTCTTAACGCTTGTTGCATTAAAGATACTTTACTAATGAAATTGCATTTGTGTCCTTTTAGGTCATCCCACAAATCCAAAATGCAGATGGAACACTTGCTACATTCTCAACCCAAGGACTGTCTGATGGCACAGGGCAGATCCAGCTCCTTCAGGACGGCAGCCAGGGCACCATCAGCATCAGCGGGGCCACCACCTCCACCACAGACCTCCTGACTCAGGCGGGACAGGTGCAGTCCATCCAAGGAGTCTCTCTGACAGGGGCGTCTGCTTACGGTGGCTCTATGGGGTTGCCCAGCAACATCACTTTTGTCCCAATCAACAGTGTGGACCTGGAGTCGTTGGGCATCACTGGGGCTCAGACGGTACCCATAGCCACTGGGGTAACCCCTGAGGGTCAGCTCATCATGAGTGGGCAGACACTAGAGACTGGACACGACAAACAGAGCAATGACAACAGCAATGACCCCTCCATCTACGTGCCAACCTCCACCGCCTCCTCGCTGCCTGAGACCATCGATGGCACTGGGGTCCTCACACAGGCCACAGCAGTGTCTGCTGGAGTCTCAGACCCTTCCACCACAGGGAACTACAACTCTCATAACCAGCTGCAGCAGATCCAGGTAGGGATTATACCCCATTTAGCAGTTTGAACGTTAAAAATGAAATGTGTAGGACATCATTACTATGAACTGTAGTGATAGTGTTTTGATGTGGGGTTTGTTGTTCTTCTCACTGCACTGTGTGTTGCAGGTGCAGTCTTCCAGTGCCAATACTCTGTCCCAGCCCATCCTGCAGCTGTCAGATGGGACGTCTCAGGGACAGGAACTGGCTGATGCTGGACAGAACCTCCAGGGAGTGCAGCTGGTCAACCCTGGGACCTTCCTGATCCAGGCACAGACTGTCACAGCCACAGGTCAGATCCAGTGGCAGACTTTCCAGGTGAGCTTTTCCATCAGACACACTTTACATTTAATTGCACGCTCCAAAGTCTGACAGTGTTGTCCTCCTCCAGGTGCAGGGCGTCCAGTCTCTGCAGGGTCTGCAGCTGCCTCAGGGCCAGGCTCAGCAGCTCACTCTAGCCCCGGTACAGACGTTGCCTCTGGGACAGGGCGGTCAAGTCAGCCTCCCCAACCTCCAGACTGTCACGGTCAACTCTGCGGGACAGGCAGGAGTGCTCTACTCCCAGGACGGGGACGACAGCCCAGCAGGAACAGGTATTAGCATTTCCACTAACTCCACAACAGTTGTTGTCAAGTCACTTTCAGTATTAAGCACAATGTCTCGGTTTAGGAATCGTTATCAAAGAGGAGCCAGACTCAGAGGACTGGCAGCTGAGCGGAGACTCCACTCTGAACGCTAGTGACCTGAGCAACCTTCGTGTGCCCATAGGTGACGAGGACATGGACATGCCCGGGGAGGGCAAGAGGCTGAGGAGGGTGGCCTGCACCTGTCCCAACTGTAAGGACTCCGCAGGGAGGTGGGTACAGGCTCATGATTCTCACACGCTCACATTCACACATGGAGAGAGCGATGTAAAGCTGTTGTACTTTCTGATAGGGGCTCGGGCGTTGGGAAGAAGAAGCAGCACATCTGCCACATCCCAGGCTGTGGAAAAGTCTACGGCAAAACATCTCACCTGAGGGCCCACCTGCGCTGGCACAGCGGGGAGCGACCTTTCGTCTGCAACTGGATGTTTTGTGGAAAGAGATTCACCCGGAGTGACGAGTTGCAGAGACACCGGAGGACTCACACAGGTCTGGACACACTCCTGGTCTACTGTACATTTACAATCTTCACTGTGTGTGTGTGTAAACTGACCTATGTGGACCTCTGCTGCAGGAGAGAAGAAGTTTGTGTGCCCCGAGTGCTCAAAGCGGTTCATGCGCAGCGACCACCTGGCCAAGCACATAAAGACTCACCAGAATAAGAAGGGCGTGGTGGCCTCGTCGCCGCCTTCGGACACGCTGATCGCCGCGGATGGGACCACCCTCATCCTGCAGGCTCATGACCTGGTCGGGGGGCAGGACATCCCTCTGCAGCTGGTCACCGTGGCACCAGGAGAGGTCATGGAGTGATCCTGGACTTTCTACAGGGACCCTTTCCTCCTTCTTGTAACTTGTTTTTTTTTTTACATATGAATATATACGTAAATATATATGACAAATATATATATTTTAAGTAAGAGGTATCATGAAATTGTTTTTTGCAGTCTTTTTATAGGCGGGCAAAAAAAAAAGTACCACATTGTTGCTATGTACACATGTGAATCAGTCTCTGCGTTAACACAGACTAACCCTCAACACAATGAAATGCCTTATTTTGTATCATACTGTGTGTAATGCTGGAGGCGCATGTGTGTAAAGCTTTGCAGAACATGTAACTTCTGAGCAGAGAAGTGGATCTCGCTAAAACTTCAATCTTTGACAAAGCCCACTGCGTCAGTCACTGGTTTTTCCACCCCCACAGAAGATGATGCAACAACGTGCTTCTCCCAAGTCACTTCTGTTTATTCCATTGTATATTTTTAAATTTCATTTCATTTTATTTTGAGTGTTTTCAAATTAAGGCCATGTATAACTGAAGGATTACCAGCGCTGTTGCCATGTGGAAGCAGGAAATCAAGGTTATTTTTATCAAACATTCCAGTTGGACACCAGATGGAAATCGGTTGGTAATTCTGGACTCTCAGCGAAAAGGAAACAATCACGCCATTGTCTGTTTTTTGTTTGTTTTCATGTCAAGTATTTACCCCCCTGTGTCTGTAGAATTTATTTACATGTATTCTCTTTTCACCATGTTTATAGAAGCCATTACCTAGTTATCCCATTTGTTTGTATCATTTTTTTTAAAGAATTGCTGTAAAAAGAAATGAATGTTACCTTTTGTAAAACCCTTTTTCAAATGGCTCACAATAAAATTGTAAAATCTATGCCAATACATCTTTTTCACTAAACCTCTAAGCCTTGCTTGCATCATAAACGTAACGTTTGCCGAAGGAAAACACAAGGATTGTGTGAGATCAGTTCATATACAAAATACAGTGGACTGCTTTATTTGGGAATGCGTCAAAGATGACCAGTTTGCATTAAAAACATTGATTTTGCGGTCTAAAAACTGACTTATGGGAGATGGCTTTCATGAGGAGCACACATTTATATTTGTACATAAATAGTCAAAATTAGCGGGGTCTCATCTCCACACTACAGCATTTACTCTGAGAGAAAACTATCAAGGTGCGAAGTATCAAATCCTAATCATTTATTTTGGTCCTTGTGTTAGAACAAATAAAACTGCACTTCTTACGAGACATTTGCTTAATTAAAAAAAAATGAACAATGAAAACCTATTCCCTTTGTCCAGAGCACATCCAGAACCACAACATGATCAGTGCAAATCGTACACAGGTTAAAGCAAAAAAAAAAAACATCCCAGACACCTTCCATACTCTCAGATCACTCACACACAGCACCTACTCACACACAACATGATGAGGCTGCAACAGTGCCCCCGTGTGGCAGCCGCTGTCAGTACAAACGCAGTCCAGTGGAAGTCTCACAGCTCTACGTGGGAATCTGAGACACACATACAACATTTAAGTGAGACCAACATTTCACTGCATGTCCTGATGCACATTTTGGATAATCAAAACTAGTGCTATGAATTCTGAGCACAATAACAGATCATTTGTCCCACAGTGGGGAAATGTCAGTGTTGCTAAAATTACAGAACAGTAAGAATGAGGAGCACAAGATAAGTACAGCCCAACTCTAGACTTCAAAAAATATAATAAAACTACCAAACTGTGCTATACAAATACATTTGCCTTAAACGCTTTCTCTTTGGCTAGTTAAAGAAGCTAATTGTCCTCTATTTGTAAACAGGCTTTTTCAGATTAGGTGGTTCAAGTAAAAACCAAAGGGCAGAAATGTCATTAAATGTATAGTAAAAAATTATATAGAAAATATTGAGTTCATGGTTTGATTAAAAGCATTCTTAGAAATGAATTGAGTTGTTTTTACAATCATTTGACAACAAAAAACCTATTCTCAAATGTAAAGATTTGTTGATGCTTTTGATAATATTTCCCACCAATATGAAAGTTAAGACCAATTACTGTTCACAGCTCTATCCCCAGTACATTGGATCCTTAAAGGGTTCGACTGCTGAAAATGTGAACAACATAAAGCTGGATCTCGCTCCAGACAAATCAAATATTCTTCATAAATGTATTCTCCTGGAGCTTTATTATAGGTCCTTCAATCTAATTTTTAGTGATATGCTCCTCGTCTGTGAAAGGGGAAATGTTAAAAAACCCAACAGTTGATCCTTCTCCAGTCTTTTAGAAACATGTCTGGAACTGGTGCAGCTTAAATACAGAGTAAAGGGTTAGGGTTAGTACCTGTGCTCGTGCTGTGCTCTGGCGGCGTCCTCTCCTGTCGTCTGCTTTGGAACCGTTTGATTTCCTGGTCGTAGTCGCTCCACTCCGCCACGATCCTCACAGCCGCCTGCAGCTTGGGCTCCTTCGTCATTGGGTTGTTACACTGCACAAAGAGAAGGACTTTTATCACAGGGACAATGCAGTCGCACATCTTCTGTAGGAAATTGCCATGTTGACTATGGCCAAAGAATTAGATATTGATAATCGATGAATAGTATAATACATACATATACATAATGCTACTTTATTTCACATTAGCCAGGTTTATATTCACTAAAGATGGCCCTGGAATGTGCACGTTTGTATTATTAAATAGAAAATACATGGATATGCTATCTAGTGGTAGATGTGAGACATTACATTCTGCTTTGTGAACTGAAGATCCACATTTTGTAAAACAAACACTAAAGATCATGATAGGATTCCCTGACGATTGGTCAAGTGTCAGTTTTGAATAAATGTTAAATATTTTAGTGGATGAATCAGTGCACTGTGATGAGTAACCCAGACCTGCTTTTCCCTCCAGACTCATGGACAGAGCATAACCCCATCGCGCACATGTTTTTGTCTTAAAATACTGACGTTTTTGAACAACAGAGGTCTCACTCTTACCAGGTCTATCGTCTTGGCACTTTTCTTGGAGTGGTTGTCACACCACGTCTCACACCAGAGCCACTCCTGAGGCAGAGACTTGATGGGCACCTGGTGGATCATGTTGTTGGGTAGGTCCTGACAATCAACACATTTACATTTAGTGAGAATAGATCGGGTACTGATCCTGATTGATGTGTGTGCAGAAGCCAAGCCAGACCTGGTCCAGGTTTGACAAGCTGTTGGGGTCCTGGCTCAGACCCTGGTACTGCCCTCTGAGACGGTCTCCAGCTGCAATTTTACGGAACTTCTTCAAGTCCACCACATAAAGGGCACTGGGGAAGACATGGAAAATATAAAAGGACATTTCTTTTCATAGTCACAGTGAGCGCAGTGGGAAGCTGCTATACCTGATGTGATACTTGCGTCCTGCTAAGTGGCTGGCCCAGTACCCAGACTTCCAAAAGCGATATCCATCCATCTCCCTCCGGCTCTCACAGAATGGAGTGTACCCATAGGGGGCGCCCTCCAGATCAAAGTCCCGCAGCTCTTTCAGGTCTGTCCTCACGATCTGACGACAAAAGGAACAAATGAAGCAGAGTCCCAATGTGTAGCTCCAGTGTCGCATGTCGAGGCGCCGACCTGATCCGCGTCCACAAACAGGATCTTGTCCACAGCCAGCGGGAAGAGCACGTCCAGGAAGAGGATCTTGTAGCCCCAGATGATGCGCTGCTTCTCGCTCTGTTGGTGCAGCCAGCGCGGCCATTTGTACTGCACCAGCTCGTACTGAAAGCCGTACTCTTCGGCCATGTGAGGGATGAACTCCTGGAGGAACGCAACAGTCAGACGGTTAGTGGGAAACGTCTCCTTTGTTTGAGGACAAGAGTGAAGCCCCTGAAAGTGCGCCCCACACTATCTAATGTATTATGTAAATTATGACAACTTATGTGGACTGTAGTGTCAAATGTATGTATCCATTTTATGGTTAGTCATTTCATACAACAATGTTTGTCTGAGATACAAGTCTGAGGTATGTTTCATGTTTTTGTATTGTTTAAAAAATGTGTATAGTTTAAATTGTGTGTAGCTATAATCTGGTGCAGAACATATCAGTCTTTGTACTGTAGAAGTGAAAACCCTGGAGAAATGTCACCTTAAATTCAGTCTTCAACATGAAATGTGTAAATGAGAAGTGAAAAAAAAAGGCCAACAGCTCTTCAGTCAATATTAGAAAAAGTAAACAGCAGCAAAAGTAAACGTTCCTGAGGCAACGCCCTCGAGTGACAAACTAGAGAGAGAGATCCCACCTTAAAAGCTGGCGATAGATAATTCTTGAGAAACCAGAACTTGACTGGAGTTTTGGTGTGTTTCAAAACCGACAGCATCATGATCCTGCAAAACCATTTTTATCACATGTATTATTGCACTTTTTACCCAAAAATAAAACACTTTCTAATGGCCTTACCGCAGAAACCTCTCGTACAGATGTCCCGAGGCCAAGGAGAAGATGTTGATCACGTCGTCCTTCTCTGGCTTCTGCTCCTCGGCCTTTCCCGCTCCGGTGAAGCCTCTGCAACAACCACACGCGATCGTCAGTTTAGTCACCTACATCTGATCGTCCTTTCTCAATCTAAGGTTTAGGGACGCTCAAATGTCACAGTTTGATTCATTTGCTAACGTGTCGCACTATCCACTAGCTATACGACATTCAAAAGCACTGGTTTACAAATACAACCATGTACCATTATCAAAAATACACATTAGTTTTCAATTTTTTGTCTAGAATTCCAGGCGATATAACAAGAAGTAGAAGTTCTGCTATGATACTTTTAGAAGCCGTTGCAAAGACAAAAGTTATACATTACAAGTCTATGTCAAGAGTAGAGTTATTTATATTTGGATTGTAACAAGTGTCTATATTTCTTGGCCGGAAGCATTTCTTTTGTATTGGCATGTGACATCACCTGGTGATGGACGTCCAGAAGCCGGCGTCGCCCTCCTCCTGGACTCCGTCACTCAGCAGCTCCTCGTGTAACTTGTCCGGTTTCTTTTGCACCTGTTCAACGTAGAGTTTTACAATGAAGTACATTTACAACTAGAAAATAGTACAAGAAGATAATGAGGTGAAAAATAATAGATTCTTATTTGAATTACAAGACTTCTATATTGATAAATGTTTTGTTATTTGATTATGTTTCCAGGCAGTTTTCACACTAATAACTACACCATGCACCATTAGAGTTGGCTTCATCAAATACAATGCTTTAAGTCTTTGAAGTCCTTGCAGCTGCTACGTTTCTACTCCACGTTTACCAGATGATGCACTAACCTTTACTTTGATAATTCTACTTTTGAAGTTGTTGAGGACAACCACAATGTCGTCAGAGTCCGCAGGGGAGTCTGTGCCGTCGTGGCTGAAATACCAAGAATACAATCCATCGTGATGTTCATACTGCACATTTACTGATAAACAATAGTGGGTAAGTTTAGAACCTGTAGATCTTGTAAATCTCATCTGAGCGGCCCTTCCTCAGCTTCAGGATGTAAGCACCAGGGTTTGCCTTCAGCTGGAAGTATCCCTGCAGAGAAAACACGGCAACAGTGACATTAGAGATGGGTTTCACACTCATTGTTCTTTACATTGAAATCCCCATGAGCCTAGCGTTTCAAAGTTGTTCCTTCTTTGTAAATCAAGACCAATCAGGTGCCTTCTATGCCCAAATGTGTTTTTGTTCACTGAAACAGACCATCCTCGCTCCTGATTCGCTCTTTTGTTCCTCTAAGAGAATTTGGCCCCAGATTAGCACCCATTGAGATGATTAGATCTAAACAGTTTCTTTCTGGATAAGCCACACGCTATGGGGGATGTGTGGACTACGGTGTTTCAAGGTCAAGGATGAACACAAAGAAATATGCATACATAGATTCTGTTGCTACAATGTCATTTTGTTATATGAACTTCAGATCATTTGTCATGAAGTGGAGTACAGGTTGTGACTTTGTGCTCGGCGTTGGCCTCACCAGGTTGGCCATGACGATGGTGTCCACGATGACCGGCTCGGAGGCTGTTCCCAGAGTGAACTGCAGACCTCGTGGGGGCTGCCCAGAACTCACGTCAAAGCAGTGGCCCTCCAGCAACAGGTGCTCCAACTCGTACTCCGCTGCCACCACAGAGTCCACCTAAGAGTAGGACAAATGCACGGTAGAGAGATACTTTCCCACGTGTCAACCAAAATAATAGCCCCACTCACAAACAAAGTTCCAAGGGAGACATTTCGGGTATATTTTTAAAACATCATCATTTTTCTTGTCCCATTGACCAATCTTGTTTTAAGGCAGTCAATGTAATGTATATTTGTCATCACTTTTTGCAGTGTATGAGTCACTATGTACAGTACCGCAATCATTTCATATTCAACCAATTCTATGCATTCACTCGTCCCACCTCCTCCAGATAGATGTTGTCCAAGTCGTGTCTGGTGTTCACAGCCTCCACCATCCAGCTCTCTGGGGTGTTCAGGTTCAGTGTGAACAGAGGGGACTGGGGCATGTCCCTGAACCGGGCCATGGGTCCAGGAGAGAAGCTCCCATCCGCCTGGAACGTCACCTCTGGCTCCAGCACGTAGCGGTAGAAACTAAAGAGAGAAAAGGAGAGGCAAGGGAGATATTCAAATGGGCCAAAGTTTCATGATTCTGTTGTAATGTAATTATAAACTGTATACACTGATCACAATTATTTTGTATAGTAATGGATCCCTATTTCGATGCCAAGCTAATCTGAAAATATGTTTCAGTTACTTGATGAATGATGACTTCAGTATAGGCTTTGAGAGGCTTCTACGTAAAGTTCTATGTAAAGAACTACATATACAAGTGTTAAACATGAATACTTAAAGCAGTGGTTCTCAAACTTTTCACACCAAGTACCCCCTCAGAAAATACTTGCCTCTCTAAGTACCACCACAAATGACCAACACCACACAGTAGCGTAGTAAGCCGAAGTATTCATCAATAACAAGGCAGAGGTTTCATTCCTAAAGAAGTATATTTAATGTAATATTTTAAACAGTTTCAACAGTAAGACTGCGCTTAAATATAGGAAAAAAAAATGTTTTAAATGTTTCATTCATTGCGAACTGCAAAGCCTCACTGTGAGCTATATTCTGGAGTGGGATCTTTGTCCACAGAAGGTTTGGACTCTGGTGCACTTTAGTTTCTAAGGCTTGCTCTGCTGCCCTCTTACATCTGTCGTTTACTCACAGAGACATGTTCTCATGGTTTGGATCGAATGATCGTTTGTTGCTCTCTGTTCCTTTTGCACAGAACTGGGAAAAAAAACTGCTCCTTCTACATGGAACGTGTTGCAAAAAGACTAGAAATGATCTGATCTTATTTCCTTGAATGCTTTTAGATCCAGATTGAGACATCTTCAGTGAAATGTAACTGTTTTTATAATCCGTAATTTTATGAAATTGTGTGTTACTGTTGTATAATCTGTATGTGACTATTTTATCATCTGTATGTGACTGTTTTATCATCTGTAATTTTATGTAATTTTTGTACACGAAAAAGAGGTTCTCATTGACTGCCAGCCATTTTTTGATGACTTCACTGATTTTTAAGACTCACAGAATATTGTGTGCTATGAAAAATATGAAACCAGAGTCTGAAAGACAGGACTGTCTACTTTCAGCAGCAAAAAGAAGTTTGTTCTTAGTTTGTTTCGTTCTCCTGTGATCTCCAGTCGAACAGAGGAGAGTGTACCTAGCACCAGTAAGCACCAGTCTTAGACAAAAAAATTAGAAAATTAGGTTTTTGTGAAAACAGACGAACTGCAGAAAAGTGATTGTAAAACTATTTAGTTTAACTGTAGCATCTCCTCCAACATGTCCAGGATCTTAAATGTTAGAAAACAGCAACACGTTTTGACAAAGTGTTTTTAATGTAAAATAATAAGTTTTATGGCACACACACATCCACAAAGTGTTGCTCAAAAATTTCAAAATGTACTCATCCAAAAAATGTCAGAATGTACATATTGAAAGTAGAGCCCATGACAAACTATGCCAGATAGAATGGCCAGTATTCATCCATTAGGTGGCACTATTTTTATGTCAATAAGAGTAAATCAAAGAATAACAAAATTACAATGATAAACACTATACATGACAATAAATCAAAGTGAATACTTATACTTATAGTATAAGTGCAACAGAATACTGCTGTGTGTCTTTGTGTGTTTGGGCGTGCATGTATGTGCGTTTATGCACGCGTTTGTGTGTTTTTGTGTGGTTACATCTACAGAGCGTCTGTTTAGTCCGGCGTGCGCTGTGACCATATCTGGACTTTGCTGCTGGCTCCTGGTGTGGACTCAGTGATAATTTTAGCAATAGTCCACTTTTCTGTGGCTTTTTTGAGGTGCTCCACTGGTCTGCTGTCCTGACCCTCCACATGGTCTGCTGCTAGGACCCTCCACATGGTCTCTGTCAGCTCTGGAGACACATTTACTGCTCAAACTGCCTCCAAATGTAGCCTGACCCTGACTATATTAATCCATGTCTGCTTCACCTCTGTCTCTCCTGCTCAGAGTGCTCAGAGTGATCTTTGACCAAACCAGGGAGTTCTGCTGCCACCTGCTGGCTTAATAAAATACTGTCTACAGCCAAACCCCAGACTGTATGATACAGGGGACACAGACTGACAGGAAAAGATTGAAAAACAATGTTGTCCTCAAATGACATCCATGGCTGTCAATGAGTTAATCTCAATGGGACTTTCCTGGTAAAATAAAAAAAAAAAAAAAAAAAAAAATTTTTTTTTTTTTTTCACAGATTATTTGGCGTACCCCTAGAGGGCGCCCGCGTACCACTAGGGGTACGCGTACCCCAGTTTGAGAAACCCTGACTTAAAGCATTTGTTTGCAGTATGGTTCCAAGATAACATGGACTAACAGCAAAATAGTCAAATAGGAAGAATAGGCTGCCTTTTGTCTTTTTAAATAGACTAAAAGGAACTAGATTTGTGATGCTAGCATGTGTGCACCTTCATTTGAGTACATATTTTCACTCTGAACCCGTCCATCTCCATGTAGAATATTTTTAAGTGGAGTTTTAACTTTCTATTTCCATTCAATCAACAGACACACCACCTTCATAGAGTTACATGGTGTTGTAAGTAAGTAATCTTTATCCATATAGTGCTTCAAAGACCAAGGTCACACAAAGCGCTACCCAGTGTGCTACCGTGCCAGCCGTGTTGCTTTAATTATAAATATGCCAACTTTGTTATAGAAAAATGTGTAGTCCAATTATCACACATTACTTCTAGGTTTCAGATTTCTGCTCTATAAAACATTCAGTGTTTTCCCAGACTAATGAGGAACTATGGCAACATCCCCATTTCTCCTCCTTCAGCAAATGGATGGTGCTGGTTACTCACCTCTTCAGCGGCATGTCGGACAGTTTGGATTGGCAGTTCATGAACACTCTGAGGTTGACATTTACCAGCCGCTTCAGAACCTGGAGACAGCGAAGGCACACGTGTTAGGACACACTGAGACAGTCTGCGGTCACACTGATGTCATGTCTTGAAGCTGCGAGGGTTTGACCTTACCAAGAGGAACGGGGCAAGTTTCTGTGCGTCTCTCGTGACAGGGTCTACCACCGCCACAACGTCGAAATACACCTCGCCTTCCTTCGGTCGGATCTTCACAGCACTGTTAGGAATATTCACATCAGTGTAAATTCTTTTTAAACTCTACCACAATGTTTAACCAAAGTTGTGTCTGTGTGTGTGCCGCTGTGCTACCCAGACTGTACTGCATGAAATTCCGCCAGAAAATCTCCAGATCCAGCTCAGATTATTCTCTGTGTGTGCCGTTTCTAAAGGACCTCTGTCATATGTGAAGCTCGGACCACTTTGTGAAGAGGAGATTGGCCACGGCCCGTGATAGAAGCCAAGCTGCTAAATGTTCCTTTAAAATGTCTGCATCCACACACTGATCTGGATCACCACTTCACTTCAAATCACTGGCCATTTAGGTTTTCCGGAAATGTTGTTCAAACCCTTTCAAAAATTAGAAAGATTGAGCAATACAGTTATGGTGCCAAACTACCTCTGGAGTTATGCGATCATTCACAGGCGTCATGGATAAAGAATATTTTTTTATACAGCAAAGTGTTCATGAAGTCATGTAGAAATGACTCTCTGCAGTGTTAACTTTACCTGTAGCGATCATCAGCAAAGCCATACTCCACCCTAGCCTCTCCTTTAGGCTGAGACGAGAGCAGTGCGTCCACTTTCATCACCAAGTCACTGGCCCTGGTCACAAAACACACCGTTTGAACTCCAGTCAAGACAATCAAACCCATGTGAATATCTGCACTGTCGTCTGTATCTTGTCTGTCTTATTTTATTTGTTCGTATGTCTACACACCTACACATGTCTATTGTATGTCTATATTTTCACATAAAAAAAAAAAGACCATCTACCCTCACATATTCACACTCGTACCTGTCCTCCTCGATTCCAAACTGCTGCACTTTGCTCTTGATCCTCTCCCCGGACGTCTTCAGGATGATGCTCTCCAGAAGCAGGAAGTCGTCCTGGTTAAACACCTCCTCTTCCTCGAGGGGACCAATGATCTTAAGCAGGAGGAAGCACATAATTCTTTTTAGAGTTTGTAAATTTCACACATGTATGGTTTATACATTTACCATTAGTAGCTTTCAGCAGAACTGCTCTAGGCACAAACCAAATCATTCCAAACACTTGAAAATGTGCAATAATCTCCAAAATGAAAAAACACAACTGCATTTCCATCCCCAGATGATTGTTCTTATTCTTTACCATGAATGGTCACATATGTCAAATACACACAGTATATACCGTGTCTGTGGCTGAACTCTGATGCCTCATATTGTTTACATTTATTGTTCATTACATTTATGTCTATTGCTTAAATTGCTAAACAAACTCACTCGTCCGTTGCTGATAACTGCTCTCTGTCCCCTCTTCAGCTTGAGCACGTCTCTACAGAAGGCAGCGTGGGAAAGCAGGAAGTCAAACTTAGAATCTTCATAGGAGCTTTTAAACGTCGTCATATCCATCCCCTGCAAAACATTTACATCAGCAAGAAACCACAAAACACTGTATTTACATAATGAACTGAAAGGTTTTACCCCAACGGCAAAATCTCCAATGTCCGCCCCCCTTTCCAGAGCGGCGGCGGTCTCCTCTTTGGCCAGTTTGGTGATGAAGTTCTTGGCGTTGTTGGCGGATTGGGTTTGCATGGCGGCCCAGATGGCTCTGGCCACGCGGCTCGTCTCGGAGGACACGGCGGCAGACGGGTTGTTGATCATTCCCAGGCGGACGTTGTTGCTGGATTTCTATTTAGTGGAAATAAAACATTTTAATAGATTATTGTATAATCGTAATGAAGTCTCAGTGATATAAATGTTCCTTCTACCATGTGTCTGATGGCGTCGTAGAGCAGCTTGCGGCCTGATGGGGTGTCAAAGTCAGCCACCACCCAATAGGTCACAGCACGGATGAAGCCATCGTCTGGAGAGGAAAAGGAAAAAGTAGAAATGTCACCAATTTAAATATGTTTATTTATAGAGGAATATTTTATCATGCATATAATTCCAAGAATATTTCTCCATGCATTTGCAAGAATCTGACGATGTATGCAACTGTATTAAACATGCACAATGGGGAATGTGATCCATACACTGAAATGGACCAATTGGCTCTGGGGTGAAGTCCTCTTCTAGACCTCGTTTAGTCTGAGTCCAATGTAGGTCAAGGTGCTGGTGTGTTTGCCCCCATCTCCATTTGTCTCCCTCTCACTTCTACTTATTAAAGCTGCAAGAGTATGCTGTATTTCTATTAAAACATTGAATGCCTTTCGTTTGAACAGTAAAACTATTGGAAGGTTGAAGGGTGTGCAGTGATGCGGTCGCTGTATCGGACTGTTGTGGTGAAGACGGAGCTAAGTCGAAAGGTAAAGCTCCCAATTAACCGGTGGATCTGCGTTCCCACCCTCACCTCTGATTACGAGCTTTGGGTAGTGACCAAAAGGACAAGTTTGCAGATACAAGGAGGAGAACCATGGGAAGACCCAGGACAGGGTCTCTCCGCTGGCCTGGGAACACCTGGATGAGCTGGAGGAAGTGAGTGTGGATAAGGAAGTCTGGGCGTCTCATACTGCTGCCCCCACAGCCCGGTAACGAATACAGCAGAAGAAAATGGTTTGGAAAGTATGAAAAGTATTAATGTATGCAAAACGTGAAATAACTTCATAGCACTGATGTCATTGTCCCATTTAGAAATAAATTAGAAGGCCAATAACATTTATGCTATTTCATGAAGATCGTAGTTTATTATCCGAGGCTGAAGGACCTAATGCTCATTTCCAGCTGCGGTAGTCCTGACCAAGCCGAGCATCAACATCTGGAGATGGGTCCTCAGGCGCTGTACTACGGCAACCACTGCCCTAGTGGCATCAGGATGGGTCAAATGCAGAGGATGAATTGCCCTACGGGGATAAATAAAGTGCACCTTTACCTTCACTCGAGAGTCACCGGGATTGGTCTCTACACAATGCTCAGTACTTATCATGCAAAACCTTTAGAGACCACATCAGGCACGTTTCAAACATCACCAGCCTTTTTCAACATTTTTCAACAATGAAACAACATGACTGCAGAAATCTACTGCTTCCTTGCTTGTTATTCGTTTCACAAAGATCCGTGCAGTTTTGAGTGAGAATTGCTTTTGAATATGTATGTCTACCAAGAGTTGCGAAAACGTAATAAAAAAATAAAAGCAATAACACCACAAGGTTTGAACAGAAGGGAAAGTTGGGAAGATAAAAAAACATTACCATGTCTATTGGTAGAGGAAAGCCCTGAGGTGTGGACGACAAGCACAAAAGGAGAGAGAGTGTGCAGGTGAGAAGTATTTAGAAAGGAAAAAATATTAAAAATATCCTTAATACTGCTCCATACCTTTCTTCGTCATGTAGTTCATGCTGTTTGCGACGGCCGCGTTCTTCTCCTTCACTTCCAGAGTGCTAAAGCGAGCATAATCGTCAATGAAATAGTTGTCTGCAAAATACAAAATCAGAGGCATTATAAGGAGAAGTATTCGCAGCAGTCGTGTTGGGAGGGAGGGGTGGACGTACTGGTGTCGGACAGGTCCAGGTAGGACCGACTGGTGGACAGCACTCGGGGGTTGATGCGCGGGACCACGTTGGGCTGGTTCATGATGTAGTCGACGACATCGTGGTCGGTGGCCAGCTCGCCCTGAGGAGAAAGGAATGTAGCGTCAGTGGGTTTTTTAATGCAGCAGATTACACAACAGCATAAACCGACTGCCTTCTTCTGTGTCTTCTCACATGGAATGCATGACAAGATCACTCACATAAATACAAAAGAGTTGCATAATGCAGATTTCTGGCACATTCAAAAGGATACGTAAAAAAAGCAGTCTGAGACAGAGATCCTTATGGTTTATGGGAGGCAACAAATTTAAGGTATTCGTTTTTTGTAATTATCTAAGTTTAAAAGGCAGAAAAAATGCATTCAGGTTGTTAGTAATAGAAACATCATTTTCATATTGCTTCCATTGTTTTTTAGACATTACACATTAATATTACAGTTCTGAGAAAAGGTTGTAAAAAATTTGACTCAACTAATTTGGACGCAGTACTTTTGGTTTGCCTCCAAACCAAACAAAAAAACCAAACAAAAAGGATCATTTGGAAACAATGAACCAGGTGAGCATGTTTGTGCCGATTTGTGGCAGATGTTCCCATTAGCGTGGGTGAAGTACGTTTTGGAAGAAGAAACAGTGGTGTAACATTCAACCATTGGCTATTTTAAATAAAAATGTACTGCAGTTGTTTCAGACTTGCGATATCACATGTGATGATAATAATGTACTTATTCAAAGGTTCTCTCGTGACACACACCAGATACACGGCCCTCTGGTAGAAGGTGGTGGTCTCCAGGATCTTCTGCATGGTGACGGTCTCGAGCTCGTCTGGATCCAGCTGCTCTCGCTGGAAGGGGATCCCATTGTAGAGGACCACAGGCAGGGGCCCCACTCCTGTCTGAGCGTAGTAGGCCTTTGCCTCCTGACAAGGAGAATAGAAACACAGAGGGACATGACCAGGATAGCTGGACTTTTTAACTTAAGCCACAGATTGTACTGTTGTTAGAGTTGCCTTGTGATCATAAAAATATCACTAAAAATTGGGGGCCAGGAGGTGATTTCAATCCTAACCTCCAAGCTCCAGTCTAAAAACCTTGATAATACCTGCACTACAGTAGTACAGTTTATTTGTGCACACCTTCCTGTTGGCATCGTAACTGGAGTCTGATCCGAGCACGCTGCTGATCTCCACATAAGGAAACCTCTTCTCCAGGACTTTAACCACATCTGCAACAGTCAGCTGTTCCCCTGGAGCCACGCGGTTGTACATCTGCGGAGGATAAACCCACAAAATGTTCAAAACGGCTCAATAAAAAGAAGCTATTGAATGAACAGTATTTGTATGTCATTTGCATGTACAGACCGACATAACGGCCTCAAAGGCGCTCTGGCTGTTGACCTCGTCACACATGTAGTTGTAAGCGCGCACCAGCGCCACTCCAGGGTCCTGCATACCGTCCACGTCATCCTCATCGGACACCACAAACACCAGGCCAATCCTGGAACACCATTAGAGTTTCAAAAATCTTTAGACTGAAATTTACATCCCTTGTGGAATCTTGATTATGATAATGATACACTACTTTCAGAATCTGGGCATTGGCAATATTGTTTATTCTCATCATACATGATTGATGATACACAATTTATCCCACAAGGGGAAATTCAGGTGATCAACATTCTGTAGTTTTTTTTCCTAGATTATATTTTGGGATTCAGATAAGTGCTGTTAACATTATTACTGTCCTGAACTATTTCACTGAATGATTGTACTTAGTCTAAAGTCCCCTTCTGCTCCTACCGTAGTGGAATGTTGTTAGAGTAGAACATCTCTGCTACATTGAGGAGGTCTGCAGAGTGGTCCTGGGCTGGGTCCAGAATGATGACCTGCACACAGACACAAGGTAATAAAATCTCACTCGGCCACATTTGGGTCAGACCGAGTGTGCGCTCACCAGGTTGTGGAAGTTCTTGCGGATCTGTCGGATCACTCCGGGGAAAGTGGGCCTCAGTAACTCCTGTACGTTGTACGGCCACGAGCTGTAGCGGTGGTCAGTCTCCAAGTTGTTGATCCACTGGAGACATTGATATATGTAAAATTGTTTTCAAATAAAACATTGAAAAAATAATGAAAAAACAACTTTATGACATTTAAAGGGGATTTATCTGCCTACAAACTTAAAAAATAATTGTACAAATAATGTGTTTAAATAACATCTCTCTGCTCTCTCCTCCCCCCCTCTCTGGTCTCTCTCTCTCCCTCTCTGGTCTCTCTCTCTCCCTCTCTCTGGTCTCTCTCTCTCCCTCTCTCTGGTCTCTCTCTCTCCCTCCCTCTCTGGTCTCTCTCTCTCCCTCTCTGGTCTCTCTCTCTCCCTCTCTGGTCTCTCTCTCTCCCTCTCTGGTCTCTCTCTCTCCCTCTCTGGTCTCTCTCTCTCCCTCTCTGGTCTCTCTCTCTCCCTCTCTGGTCTCTCTCTCTCCCTCTCTGGTCTCTCTCTCTCCCTCTCTGGTCTCTCTCTCCCTCTCTGGTCTCTCTCTCTCCCTCTCTGGTCTCTCTCTCTCCCTCTCTGGTCTCTCTCTCTCTCCCTCTCTGGTCTCTCTCTCTCCCTCTCTCTGGTCTCTCTCTCCCTCTCTCTGGTCTCTCTCTCCCTCTCTCTGGTCTCTCCCTCTCTCTGGTCTCTCTCTCCCTCTCTGGTCTCTCTCCCCCTCTCTGGTCTCTCTCCCTCTCTGGTCTCTCTCTCTCTCTCTCTGGTCTCTCTCTCCCTCTCTGGTCTCTCTCTCCCTCTCTGGTCTCTCTCTCCCTCTCTGGTCTCTCTCTCCCTCTCTGGTCTCTCTCTCCCTCTCTGGTCTCTCTCTCCCTCTCTGGTCTCTCTCTCCCTCTCTGGTCTCTCTCTGGTCAGAGATCCACTATGAGTCATTGATATAAGTAAATAAAATAAAATAAAAATAAATGTAAAGGGGATTTCTCTGCAAACAAACTTAATTGTTCAAATAATATGTTAAAATAACGTGTGTACAAGCAACGCTTTAGGGACCAAGTGAGTGTAACAGCCAAATTAGAAGCAGAAAATAGAAAAAGAATAATTCTTAATCAAAAAAATAAATTTGAAAAAGTGCGATGAGCCTGCACCGGTTTGTTTTCATTGTTGCATTTAAAAGTCCTATAAGTGAGGGAGTGACTGAGGCTCACGCTGATGGCAGGATGGCGGATGTCCACAGCGTAGTCGGCCTCAGACGGCTGCACGTTGAGCTTGAGGATGTCGTGGATGTAGGGGGTCTCGATGAGCAGAGAGCGCAGCCCCTCCATCACACGGGCCTCACTGCGGAGCACGTCCAGCACACTGCACAGAACACCGACGGGTTTTTTAAAAAAAAAATAGTGGATATCAAAATTGCATGACAATGTCAATTTGAAAGAGATTCCGGCAAAAAAAAACCTATATTTTATAAAAAAGAACGTGTTTTTCATCAGATCAGATTCATTTGCCATTTGCAGTAAAACCACATTGGAAAACTGTGCAAGACTACCCCGGTGTGCACCAACGACACACACCAGAGCTCTTGCAACGGCAATTTAAGTTGTCTATGCTCTAACCTGTGTGTGACGTCATAGCGGGTTACGCCCATGCATTGAAAACCATGGATCTATGCCACTGGACTGCCTTTTCTCTCTTCTCTCCACTGATGCCCAACACAATACTGCACTCTACAGGTGACAATTGCTCACTACACATACATTGCCGTTTTGAGTGTGAAAAAATGTCCGAGGTGGGATTTGAACCCAAGTATCTGGATTGACAGTCCATCGACACAACCACTGGACTATCTCAGTGACAACAAAATGACACATTCTAGTGTCATTTTGTTGTTAGTTATTTCATACTCGCTGTACACGGCCTTGTCGTCTTGAATATCCGCGAAAAAAGAACTAATACCAAATTGTAAACAACTTACAGCGTTGAAACGTATCCGTTCTGACGTCACCAAGGGCTGTGAAGTTTTTTCGTTTCTAAGGGCGTTGCTATGGGGTTATTTCGATTTGGGGGGATCAGACAAAAAAAACAACAACTGATTTTGAAACCTTTAGTAGTTCTCTTCTAATATAAAATGGTATTAAAACTGTATTTCTAAATAAATCAAACCCGTCATAAGGTCTTTAACTATCAGAAGTAAAAATTCTAAAGGACCTTTTGTTGTGCCAATTCAGACCTATTTGCATTGTGCTTTAGTAAACTGTCTACTCCAGTCCATGATTGTAACTTGAATAAAAGTGAAGTAAATGTAGTTAGAAAAATAAGAAAATCCTCTAGGGGCGACAGTAGCTCGGTTAGTAGAGCGTTGGCCTTTGAGCCAGAGGGTCGTGGGTTTGAGCCCAACTTTCACCATCGACTCTTACTGTCTGCTGTCGTTGTGTCCTTGGCAAGACACTTGACCTCTGGGAACACCAGGTGCCACAGTGGGGCGGCTGCGGCTGTAAAGTGCCAAACTGCCTGTAACCCAGGTGAAGAAACCATATATATATTTGTGTAATGTGCAAGTATAAAATAAGTTAAATGTATTTTCACTGCGCGCTGCGTGCATAATATACGTCATCACGTCCATCAGTCACATGACCGTCAGTAGCCATATTGACAGACTGTGTGGTTGCCGGTAGAAGCGGGTTGGGAAAGAAGCTGCAGGAGCCTCCGTTGCTCCGTCGGCTGTGAGGGAAGCGTGTGTGTGTGTGTTTCACATTGGAGAACTGGCCAGGAGGTTCTGGATGGCGAGCTTAGTCCCAACCAGAGTTGAGCTCCAAGAGAGGAACTCAGTCCAGTCAGACAACTGCATCCTCCTGCTCCGGTCGGGCTCCTGTAGCCGCCCTTTTTCCCTTTTGATTTGTCCTCGTGTTTGAAGTGAGGGGCTCACTTCATATTGACTCACATTCACCCGTTAAAACTCACTCTTTGGAATATCCGAGCCCAACCAAACAACCACTCACTGAACGAGCACTTGGATTATATTTTGTTTTGTGCGCTTCGCGTACTCTGACATTTGTGCAACCGTTGAAGTGGACAATTCCGGAAGCCAAACAGAACTCATTGTCTATATATGTAAATTTGTTGTATGTCATTGTTTGTCGTTTGTCATAGTCTCTTTAAATTCAATACATGTGGTGGTGCCATCTGCAAAATTCAAGTGTTTCATTGTGTCTCTCTCCACTCTTAGAGGCGAACTGGGACTTCTGATTTTTAGCCCAGAACTCGATAGTGTGTGTGTCAAATTATTACCTGACCTGTAATAGTTTAGCGTAGCCACATGCTACATGCCGTTGTGTCCTTCGGCAAGACACTTCACCCCCATCACCTACAATGAGTCTAGATCTCTGTCTAACGACCTGAAATGGGTTAAAAACACTAACCGGGTCGTTAAGAAAGCTCGTCAGCGTCTCTACTTTCTGCGTAAACTTAGAGAATTTACCACTAACTCTAAGATTCTGCTTAACTTTTATCGCAGCACCATTCAGAGTTTACTTGTTGGTTCTGTGTCTGTGTGGTTTGGAAACATCACAGATAAAGAAAAGAGATCTTTAAACAAGGTGCTCCGCTCTGCGAAGAGGACCGTGGGCTGTGAGCTTCCTGTTCTGGAGGTTCTTTATAAATCCAGACTTTTAAACAAAGCTCTTAGGATTGTCAATGACTCTTCTGGCCACCCTGGGAAAGCCATGTTCCAGCTTCTTCCCTCTGGCAGAAGATATCGCTCTCTGAGATGCAGGACATCTCGTTACACTAACAGTTTTTATCCACAAGCTGTTATCAGTGTGAACAGAGCACTTTAATGATTTGCACTTGTTTTGAAACTATTTTAGTCGATCGATTTCACAGTGACATTTGTTTACTGTTTTATTTGTTTTATTTTTGTCTTTTAATGTTGTTTTATGTCTGTATTTGTCTGTGCACACTGGTGACTTTTGCTAATGTATTACTATGTGGTGTTTTTACTGCAAATGGCAAATAAACTGAATCTGATTCTGGTGTGTGTGTGAATAGTTGGTGGTGGTCGGAGGGGCCGATGGCACATACTGGTTGCCTCGCTTCTGTCAGTGTGCCCCAGGGCAGCTGTGGCTACAGTGGTAGTTTATCACCACCGTGTATGGAGTGAAAGAATAATGACATGTGAAGCGTCTTTGAGTGTCCAAAAAAGCGCTATATAAAACCGATGCATTATTATTATTATTATTATTATTATTATTATTATTATTATCATCAATACTTTAAAAATACCTTTTTATAAATAAAAAGGCAAAGACATTAATTGTGAATTATTTATATTTTTCAATTTCGTCTCTCGTAATTTGGGAGGGAACATGTTGCTCCAACCTCACTTCTTTAACAATAAAAACAATGGGTCTTCTGCACAACCAATAATATTATTTTTTACACATTTTCTTTAGGGTCCTTATTTAATGGAGTCCTTCCTCCAATTGGCCCCACTGTGGCACCTGGTGTTTCCATCACAGTACTTAACAGGCCCTGCCCTGCTTAGCTCCAGCATCTTCATAGAAATAATGGACTTTTTTTTCAATTTTTTAATTACATTGTTATTTTTATTATGAAAGTTAGGTATATCCAATCTAACTTTATTGGTTACAATAATAATGAATTGCTCTTATAAAATGGTACAAACAAAGTGGCAGCTGTGTGTGAAGTGTCTTGCCCAAGGACAGGAATAATCATACCTGAACATGTCCTGTGCTTCCAGATCGATGTGGAGGCCGTTGATAAACAGCGCAGAGTCTCCGGGCTGCAGTCCTAGTGTTCCTTTGAAAAACTGCAGAAAAACCACAGTGAGCAGCATGTTTACAGAGCCCAGGGCAGCTTTAGGCAGAAATGATACATTGTACAACCATAGAGACATGACAAGCATCATTTAATGAACAAAACATGCATTATTTGTGCTCATCTTTCCTCTTAAAACAAGATTGAGAATTTAAGTACAAATATATATACTGTATATATACATCCATTTTCTTCCCCTTAATCCATTTCTGGGAGGTGGCAGTCAGAGCTGCACCAGTTCACAGAGCACCAGCCCCTCACTGATCCTCCTGCAGGTGGTGTCCACAGGGGGATGGCTGCTCTATTGATAAGAGCATGATCTTTCAGCAGGGGCTTCAGGCAAAGTGGGGTTAAGTGTCTTACCCAAGGACGCAACAACAGCAGACGTCAGTTGAAGTCTGTGGAACTGAGTCTGTGGGCTCGAACTGATGACCTTCAGGCTCAAAGGCCAGGGCTCTACCAACTGAGCCACTGCAGTGAAATATGTATATTTACATTTAATTAAAAAGTATTTTACTTTAAGTTGTTTGTGCGAAATGCTGCTCCCTTGGGTTTAACTGAGGTATTATTTGCAAACTCCGTAATTGCTGTGACCAGTTTGGCCTTGTTCTATAGCATTGCAGTCTGCACGGAAAAAGCATGGAAACACAATTAAAGGAATTCTTATCCTTAAGGCATTTATCATTCATACAATTGTTTATTAAAACATTGTAAACTAGAAAATGCAATTGCAAAGAAGCATCTTGAAATGTTGTTAACGTCTTTCCACCATCACATCTATGCACACTTTAGCTCAATCAGTCTAATGTAATTATCAAGTTACACTTATGCATTACATGAATTTCTTGAATATCTAAAAAGGACACCAGGAAGAGTATCTATGATTTGCTTGAGACTAATGGGGACCCTAAATAAATAAATGTTACGTGGAAAATAAATAAAACAAAAACAAACAAAAAACATGATATAAAGTTGGCTGAATACAAAGTTATGTCTTTGTTAGTGCCAATATAATAATAACTACTGTGTAATATGTCTTACATTTAGCATGTATCAGCAGGTTTGGCTAGACATTATTGGTATCGGCAACAATGACTGGATGGGACACAACACTCCCAATTAGTGGTAGAAGTTGTAAATTACATTCTGCTTTTATAACAACATGACAGCTTTATTTAAAGTTCTTACACTCTTGCCAAAAAATCACATGTATTTATGTAAAAAGAAAGCGTTGGGAGGAGGAAAAGCACTCAAAAGTCATTGTAGGGAAGTCAACTCTCATTACAGCTAGACAAAGACATCAGATTAATCATATTCCAGACACAGCAATTACTAAACTTGTGCGCAGCGAGAGGGGAGAAGGGGAGTGAGAACGTGTCCAAACGCCTTCAATCAATAATCGTTTTGCACAGCGGGACTCTGCGTGTTTGCCAATGAGCCGCTGATTCGGTAATTAGGATGTTTTCTACGTACGCCACCCCCCGCCCTTCCTCGATGCCGGAGTGGAGGAAATGGGAAACAGCTGGAGGAGAAGCTGAGGTGACAGAGGCCAAGACCAATGAAAAAACAATTATGCACTCAGTCGGTTTGTTTTAGGCTGAGCTGCTGGGGCCCTGCTGCAGTTGCTGGTAGTATTACGATCATGAGAGCTCCTTGTGCAAACATTTGAGTAACATTTAAATGTGCTTTGACCTTTTCAAACCCCATACATCCATCTGTCCTTTAGACATTTACAGTACTAGTCGATTCAGAACAAATAAAATAAAAAATTGTTTAACACTATCACAGTATTTAAAAAAAAAATCACAGAATTTGTTAATTTGTAGTAAAGGTATAGTTCTTCAACTGGTATTCTTTATTCCATTTAGGATTAATTATTTTTTACATTAACAGTGTAATATCTAACTATTGAAAAACAGGTACTGTGGCCTTGTCAACGGCCAATCTCATCAGATCTCAGATGCTAAGCAGGGTGGGACCTGGTTAGTACTGCAATGAGAGAATGCCAACGTAACCTTTTTCATATTGCTATTAGGTGGGGGCCACTTCCGGATTGCAGAATTTCCCGCAAACAAATCAAAAGACTCACAAATCACAGGCCGCAGGGACGGGCTTGTGGATCTAAAAGAGCATGCCTTTAAAATGATGTGGATATGTCCCCAACAGATTATTCTGTGTATTTGTTTTGGACCAATACTAACAGCTAAGCCAAAAACAATAGTTTGATTATTGAAGTAATTAACTAATTTAGCAATAAGTTGAAACATGTTACAGCTCTACTGAGTCTCCAAAAATAGTTTCAAGCACATATAAAAAGGAGATGTTTGTATCAATGTGAAATGTGTGCAAATAATTTTGTCTAACACAGTACTTCACTGTCAATCATTCTGCTCAGCACAGATCACACTTTTGCCTCAGTGGATTGCAGAGTCTGAAAGCAGCTTACAAAAATTGAAGAGCAGCAAAAGACAGTAGCGGCTATGGGGGTTGCTGAGAAGATGTGGAAAACAGTTGAGGGCCAAAATAAAACTAGAGTGGTCCTGTGGAAAACCCTTTTTTTCAGTGAGGTAGGACTTCTGGGAAAGTCGTCCCGATTACCTTACAGTCTTTTAGTTCTTAGCTGCACTGGAGTGTGCTGGTTTGCAATATGGGCCTACACCTTTTTGAGATAAATCCTTTGAATCAACTAACCGGCCTTCTAAACACAGAACACTCTTGAGGATTTAGTTCCACAATTTGAAAGGTGAAAGAGAGATATTTTTATGTGCTCAAGAAAAAGTCGAAACCTTCCATAGAGAAACTTGACCACAGAAGTCACACACACACACTGGCCCTGAAGAACATTTGCAGTTTATGAAAAAGACTGTAAAGTGCTAAACTGTTGTTTTGTCCAGAAGCAAGACACTTCAAGGACATTGCCCAGCACGAGTCTGGTGTGTGAGTGAATGATTAGTGGCGGTCGGAGGTGGATTAATTTGGAGTCAAACAGACGGAGGCTGAGCTAATAGTTCCTGTGAACAGGGTCACTGAATTTTACTATGAAACAGAATGAACCGATGAGTGGCAGCGGTGGTGTGGGCAAAGTTCTGAGGCTACACGCAGCAATAAAGAACATATTATCAGTCAACCAATGAAGGAATGTGGAGTGTTTTTGAAGTCATTGTAAACCTGTTAGGACCAGTCTTTTACTAGCACTCATTCGCAGCCACACAGTAACCTAAAGCACATGTTATTTTACTAGACTCCAAAAAGAGAGGTACAGAGTGGTACAACACAATATATGCATAACTTTGATTAGGACTGGACGGATTTAACATTAATCTAATTCCATTGTAAAACTATTCAAATTAAGATACTGTAGATTTGTAAAGGAGTGGAAAACCAGTCTTTTTTCTAAAATGTGCTAAAGTTCTCTGGAGATTTTCTAGTCTGTAGTCGCCATGTGTTACAAGCGCACTGGATAAGAAACAGGCAAGCCAATATAATGATCAGCTAAGACAATAAAAATGTGGCACAAAGTAGGACTTGATTCATATAATGCTACAATATAAAAAAGTAAAAGCAACATGTGGCAAATGAGAAAAAGCATGCGTTCTTTTTGCTTTTATACAGATGCAAAAATGTAAAAATTGTTCCTGATCGTCCGACTATTGTAGTGAGTTTGGTACAAATAGTAAATAATTAGGTCTGTATAAAAATGTTGTAGAACACTTACTCATAAAAATACAAGGAAATCCTACCTTCTGGTTCTCTCCTATTTCTTTCCGTAACTCGTCGCTTACAACAGTTTTAGTGATGGATCTGGGGATAGCAGAAGATCAGTTAGAACACCAGATTGGTTCCATTCAGTTTATAACAACAGTGTTCTAATACCGGGCTTTGGTGGGGAAGTTCTGACTCAGGACCTTCATCACGTTTAGGGCTTCGGCGGCCGGAGCAGCCAGGATCCGAGCAGCAGTCTGGAAACTCAAGTCTAGGAAGGAGGGAAAGAGAGGAAACAGAAAAATATTGACTTATTCTTTATCTCAACATCTTTCTATCAATACAAGTTTGCATAAAATGTACTTAAATATTTATATATACAAAGTTCAGTATCCAAAACATTGTCCTGACATAGACTGAAATTCTACCACTGCAGTGTCCTCGGATCCTTTTTTTTGGCAGAACTGTATCCAACCATTTTCCCATTTGTTACAACAGCAAGTACAGTACAGTAGGAGTGTACCAGTAGTAGTGAAGATGGAGATTGACGACAAAAAGTAAAATGCAGAAAACAGAAATCACATGTATAACACTCTTGAAGATGTTAGAGTGATTCTTGATACAATCAGCGCATTTCAAATCTTAATAATCTATATAAAACAATGTTGTAAAAGAAACAAGTCCTGTATTCATTCCTACCAGATTGATCAGAGCCTACAAGGCCTAACTTTACTACAGATCAAGATGGCAAACAGTAAAACACTTCATCCTTCAAATCAGAAAATGCTTAACTATTATTAAATAAATGCCCAAAGAGAAAATCTACAACGAAAGTAAAGAGTGGGTGTGTTGTGTTGGTGGTGGTCAGAGAAGCCAGAGGGGAGTAATGGCATTCACTGACTCAAACTTGCATGAATCAGTAAGTAATCAGTAAACAACCATAACATGGTCAAAAGCGATGAAAACTCTTGGATTCATGAGAATATGAGGAAAAAAAGTTATTCGAATTTCTGTTCCCCCAAACTGAGCTCAAATTCCGAGTGAGATAAAAACTCATGCCGCTTGTCCGCAGTTCTTTTTTAAATTAAACTTAATTATCTTTTCAGCCACTTACACCGTTAGTGCCACATGATGGGTGAGGATAATTGACACAGCTCTATTTTGAGAATGACAGTAAAAGCACCTACAAATTGTGTATACTACGTCCCCTTTAATATTGGAACAGGCAAGGAAGAAAAAAAACAAAACACGTCACCGACTGTGCTTAAACATTGACTTAGGTGCCGTAAGCTAAAGCAGATATGAGCTGGTGGTGCATCATTGCCGTTGTGTGGTTTAACAGCTGCAGTGCTCGGAGCCAGCTGAGCCTGTCAGTCTGCTGTTATAGCCTGTGTGATGAGTGCCCTCTGGAGGGGCCCCTCTATCTGTAAACACAGCAGCTAATGAGCCCCACGGGTCCCTCATAAAGGCAGGCAGCCTCCTCATCCCAGAAACAGCCACAAGTTTCACTCCCGAAACACGCACAGAAATCTACAGTCGCCATAAAGACTTTTTAACATAAGCGTTAGAGATGCACCTGTACTGGTATGTAATGGACATAAACCCTCATGGAGAGATATTTATCATAGCTAAACAGTGGATACAGGGGGGTCTAAGGACAGCGGGGCATTTGGGGACCCTTATTAGACATTTATGGACAGTGGTCATCCCGCTCCTTATGGACCAATTTAACAGTCCACGCTTCAAATACCTAAACCTGACCTAAAAGTGATACATGTAACAATATATTTGAAGACAAATTATTCCTCCAATGTAAACATAATAAAGTGATTACATCGTGTAATTATGTTATTATTAAATGTTATTACCTGGATTGATGATGCTGTCCAATTACGTTCATAGATCTTTTTGTCTCTTATTGATTCGATGAGGTAACCGGGTTTCACAGAGGCGCCAATTATACTTTGATTACAGCAGACAATGTCCTCATCGCTTCAGAACATCATTACAACTACATGCATCAGGATGTTAACATTGATTTCCTATAGATTTCCTCAGCAGGTCTGCAATTATTTCACGTATTGTCCAAGATGGATTTTTCTATAGGTGCGTGTAAAGGTGTTATGTGGAAGCAGACTCACCTTGCATTTGCCAGACTTTGAGTGGTGCCATTTCATTAGTGCTTTCGATCAGATGCTTCCTCAATTCCTTCAGTTGCTCTTTCAGCTCAGGGTAAAGGGTCCTGGAACGAATCAAAACCATTTCAGACACTTTTCAGCTTAAGTTTAACAACATAGTGAAAACCAACTAACTAGTTCATTAATCATTCATCAGTCCCACAGAAAATCTTGTAAAAGTAAGTCAACAAATAAGACCACATATTAGAGATGTGACAGAGGCCAAATAACGCATGCATGTGAAAACTAGTAGCAGACCTAATTTTTGAAAGTTAGGCATCCCTAACGCGGTCAGAATTTAGCTTTAAATTCCATTTTAATTCCATTTGTCTCTAACAGCCAACAAATAAAACGTACAAACATTGACAAGAGGCTGTTATGAGAGGGCATTTGTAGTTGGAGTCATACTGTTGTGTCAGCTAGTGTGGAATGTACACCATAAAATGAGCCTCAACCTTCACAAACTATCGCCAAACTAATTTATAGGATCTTGCCAAAGCACACAACAGTACTGTCATCTCGAAAATTTGAGCTTATGCTTTCTACACATTGCAAAAAAGGGTACAAGAAAAATGGTTTACGTGAAATGTATTAGATCATGTTTTGTGGGTGGAAAAAAAATTGCAGGCATAGCATAGCTCATATTTACAGGAAAGATTAATTTTGCGTCATTAATATTTGTAGAGAGGCGATAAGGTGGGCGGAGGAGGGTAAAGACTGCCAAATGGTACAATTCCAGGCAGAAGTCTCCTCATATTTTATCAGTCTCTGACACAGCATTGCTCACTTGAGTTTGCCAAAGAGGAATCCTTGGACCTCATCCACAGGATCGTTCTCCCCGATCACCGTCGAGTTTACCTCACCGCCTGAAAGCAGAGTCCATAGGCTGAATGCTCACAGAATGGTATGTGTGTGTATGTATATGTGCGTGTGAGTGTGGGTGTATGTATATGTGCGTGTGTGAGATTTCATAACACTTTGAAGCAACTTGTTGTTAAAGTTAAACTCATCATTCTATCAATGTGCAGAAGCCTGTACTTTTCCACTACTTGTTTTGACTATCTCTGTTGGCACTGTGGCAGCTGCTGATTGGAGGTCTCTGTTTCTCCTGAGTAAATAACCAGTTAATGTCTTTAACATCCTTGCTCGTGTTGCTCGTGCTCTACCATCAACAATAAAACATGTCTTCTGTCTGAATTAAAGACGCGATTACAGACTTTGTCATCTTCTTCACATGTGCATATGTGTGTAGGTGTATGCGTGTATGTGTGAGTATGGGTGTATGTATGTGTATACTGTATGTGTGTGTGCCCTTACCCTGGACTTGCGTGTCGTCCTTTGCTTTGTACTCCTGGCTCTTGATGGCCAGTTCGACGCCGTATCCCGACAGGTGCACTTGCTTGGAGCTGGGTTCCTGGGGAAGCAGATGTGTTAAAAAGTATGATGTGAAGAAGGATATAAAGGGAATAACAGCGAGATAAGTTAAATATTTTTGTCATGATTAAATTATGGTTATAATTATTAGTTACAATAAGTGATAACCAGAATTTGTCTGTCTGTGAGACCATGCTCCGTCTACGAGTTATGGGGGAATATGGACGAAAAACAAACAATACTACTTAAAAATCTCAACAATGGGAATTTAATTGAAAACTGGGAAAAAAAATATTATATTTTAATTACAACCTTTATAACTTTTTTTCCCCCCAGTCTTCATTTTGGATGCAAATAGGATTCAGCAACAACCTTTCTGTGCGCAGAGCCGGCTGTATTCTAAGCACACATTGCTTCTGCAGTTGTTTGGAGATTCTGTTTTAACTCCAGACTACAATGAAAGCCCAGTGTGCGCAACAACCTGACCGCTGCCCAGGACTGCTGTCTAACAGATGGTGTGAATATTTTTACATAATCACGAGCTAAACATTGGACTAGAAATCGGGAGGAAAGTAGGAAACAGATATGTTAACTCACAGAATGTGTGTTCTGAGGTGTAAATAAACGGAAGAGCTAAATTTAACAGTTTGAGGGGAGTAAGTTGGGCTGCTATGTGCGAAAGGAAATTTATTGGGATCGTGTGTGTTTTTACATATTTAATTTTTGTCTATTCTCATTCCTAATCTATTTTATTTATCATGGCGGTGGAAGCTTGTGCAAAACTCTGATACATGCATTTCACCCAAGTGTTGGGGTTAATTTCTTATATATCCGTCTATAATCAGAAACAATATCATCCAAGGAGGGTGGTTGACTACAGGAGGAAGTTTTGATTATATCCACATTCACACCTCTAGACCCCTCAAGCAAGCAGTACTTCGGCCCAGTCGTCGGTACTTTGTGATCATGGCCCTGGCTTGGCCGTTGGATTTCAGCCATTATTTTATCACTATATTTTATCAATATCATAGAGTACTAGTACACTTTGAATTTTACCAATACACTACTACTTGCTGTGTGTTAGCCAGGACCTTCCAGCTGTTCCTAAGTATTCATTTACCGGTTTCAAATGTTAAAAAAGCGTAACAGTATGTCTATGTAACTATCATTGTAAACTGAGTCAGGATTGATTCAGTAAAGCACAATTGCAGGGGAAAGTCTGTTCCCGTTATAAAGAATAATAACTGAAACATGCACAAAACAATAACTCACTAGAATCACAAGGACCTTAAAAGACATGACAAATGTTACGTATAATAATTGTTTGAATTGCTATTTGCGCCACACTTTCCAAACTCGTGGAGAGGAATGCCGTGCAACAAAAGGTTAGTTGCCATAAGGAATTAGACGCAATAAAAATGTACAAACTAAAAACAAATGGGAATCAATGCAGATGAAACACAGAGTTAGGTAATAACGGGAGAACAGCGGTAGTAATCTCAAGAGTCCATTTTACACAGTACGTCCCCTTTAATATTGTTAAAAAGGGCTTGTGATTGTTTATATGTGAAAAGCATAATTGTGTACAAAAACCGTGCTCAGAAGTTCACTTTTAGTTCAGACATCTTTTACTTTGATACATTTGAAAACATAAATATTCATCATCCAAAAGAAAAAGATTTGTAACTTACGTGCACGTAATGCCGGAGAACATATGCCGCTTGTTCTTTATGCACTTTAGACACTGCAGTTTGATGGAGCTCTCTGAATGTTTCTGTCCCAAACTGCGCGTACAGGATGAGCACCGGGGCGTCCGGGCTGGAGCCGGGATATTTGTGATCGCCTTTGAAAAGGTATGGTCTGGGTCTAAAGCACAAAACAACAATAATATATTATTCAAATTAAAGCAGTAACTTTTCTCTTTGATAATAGTCATATCTTAGCTGGGACAGTGTTTGGTTACATCTATATAGATTATGTAAATGATTTAGAAGGCCATTTTTAAGTTTCCTGTTTGGTAAATTTATTTGTCTACTTGCTAGTCTTGGACCAACTCAAATAATGATTGAGAACATTATAAAACTCAATATTGAGCAAAGGTTAAAAGAAAAACTTTTCAAGCTATTTTGAAAACGATTCAGTGTTTTAAAAAAAGTTAAATTAGCACACCCCAATATACATCCATCACTTGCAAGCTCTTTTTGTAGTAAACATTGTATCGCAAAAATGATGGGACAAGGCACAGGTCATTGGATTTGAAAACAACAAACAAAAAGGCTGCAGTGCACAAGGAAGCCATTGAAATCAGAAAGCGAGGCAGCATCAACCGAGACAAGGGAGCCTTCCTCCTGTCGCGCACATGGCACACCCCCCTCCCAGAGACCACTGGGCGAGAGGGGTCAGTCTGAGCCACCTGTCTGGTCAATCAAGCTGACCACGCCTACTCAGGAAGTAACATCAGCTGATAAATGACACATCAGCGAGGTGGATGACAGTTCTGAAGATGGTTCACTGCTCCGTAGCCGAAACCAAACCTTTTAAGAAAACCACAAAAACATTGTATTGCGATACCTTTCAGAAGCAGAATTCAGCAAAGCTTCTAATTGATCAGAATTGCAGGTCTTTACTCCATGGACGCTGAAAAATGCTGAACAGCCGGTAGGAGGCCCATCAATGGAGGCTATCTGGAAAAACATCAACAGAACTATTTTTAGGACATCTGCCAACATAATAATACATAATACATTTTTTACCCCTTGCACAATATGTAGGATAGTGTCACAAAGGACAAGCCACGTAATGCATCATTTGTATTTCATCCCTACAGCTGTAGCGGATGAACACTGCAGACAACGTTATCAGACCACAAGTGTCATGTGATGCATGTAGCCGTGTTGGTGCTGCTGCAAACCGGTTTCACAGGAGTGATGTGACATATTTGACATCATATTATTATCATCTCAATAGAATCACAAGTGCACAACAAATGTTACGTATAATAATTGCTTGTTTGAATTTCTACTTGGGCCACATCTTCTAAACTCGTGGAGAAGGACGTAGTCCTACGGAAGGTTGTACATTGATAATCAACAAGTGGGAAATAATTGAAAAAAAATGTTTGGCAATAAAAATGTACCAACTAAAAATAGTTGAAAGTTGAAAACACCACCTACTAAAGGGCTAAAATATGACAAACATAACACATTAGACAGCATTAACAAATAACCTTTTTTACCTGTTGAAATGAATGTATGGTTGCAGAGTACTCTCTCAGGGACAAGGCAAACTTCAGCATGTTGAGTTGGACCGAGCTCAGCAGGGCACTGGCTTTCTTCATGATCAGTTCATAGTAGGCCTGATCCGTGCCTAAGCAGAAACAGGAAAATGGGGGCATATGTTCAGCATTTATTGTTAATCCTGTTAAAGCTTGTAAAGCAGAAAGGATGCTGCAGCCGTTGTTTATCACGGGGAAAACAAACATGAATAAGGGAACGCGCCGGGCGGCTCTGGTCTGGTCTCGTTAGTGCTTACACAAGACTCTGACCAAAAGCCTGACACTGCAAGCACTGCCAGGGGCAGCACACACATCATTAATTCTGCTGAATTCATGATGAAAAGTGGGTTTTAGTTTAGCTCAGTCCTACCATCATGCTCGCCCTCGATGTTCTCATTAGCCTCCACAAAGTCCCAGAACTTCTCCTGGCTCTCCTCTGCCATGAACTCACTGAAGACAAACATAAATATAAATACAATGCAATATTCTGTTCCATTGTAAGGACAGAATTTATTTATTCCAACTTTAGTCAGACAGAATACAATGCCGAAGTGAAGGCCTAAAGAGACAAACAGATCAGGCCTGGTGCTTCAACCAGCAAGAGTGGTAATGTCAGTCAATCTTTATAAACTAGTACTATTCATTACTGAGGTGCCATATCAAGTCTTCTAAAAGTTTTTGAAAGGTTTACTGTGCTGCAGCTGTGTTTGCAACATTCACTGTGTATTTTTTTTTTTTAACTCTGAAATGGGACAAGGAACAATATATTGCATTCTAGGATTGATCTGGGTCACATGGGTTTCACTCTGGGTTTTTATAAGGTATGGAACAGTGTCTCTTGGTTGAGGTCTAATCGGAGTGATTTTATTGCACACAAAAAATGCACTTATAATAACTTATAAGGCTTTCTTGTTAGCAGACTTGTTAGCAATTAGAAATCTCAACTCTTTTGAAACAACATCTGTAAATCAATATAGCAAAGAAAGTAGTGAACACAAGTCTGTGATAACCACAGCATGGAGATTGGCAAATCATGTTAGCAATTTTGAATCTAATCCATCATCTACAATAACTGGGGAAGCACCAATAACTAAGGATAGATCAGCAGCCATTGTACAGTCTGACGGCAGCAGGAAGTAAATGTGTATGTGTTTTGGCGACAAAATAGTGTTGTTGTAATCGCACCACACTGTGACAGCGAGGGTCTAAACAGAAGGTAGATATCCCCCGTAGGCAACACATCCCTTCGGCCCTGGACCCACAATTCTCCCCTGCGCTCCTTTACCACGGTCCAGGGGCTTACATGAAAGGTGTTACATGAAAGGTGTTACATGAAAGGCGTAACACAAGCAAGTAGAGTAGAACGCTAAAGTATGCGACTTCTAGGTAGAGATGTGTGCAAAATTTCACGTCACAACAAAGACGTAATGTAACGCCCAATATCACGTCCCCACCACACATCGACCCCCCCTCATCTGTACTCCATACAACAGTGTTGTGTAGGTGCCGTGGTCACACCGCGGTACCTAAAGCCTGGATCTAATCGCGTTCTTAAACAGGGCTTTAGGGACCTACTGAAAACCTGCTGAGAAGAGTGGGATATCATGTCTCATTAAACCGTGTGAACAGGAAGTTCTTACTAAAATGTCTTATTTTCAAAACCTAATACTATTGAACATTTCAACTTTTACTTCTCCAAAAGTCAAATATCTCTAACATTTTGTGAATAGACATACTCATGGCCATGAACATACTCGTGTACCTGGCTTCAAGCAGCAGCGGTGTCTCTCTCCATTTGGTAGTCAGTGTGGTTGTGACCCCTTTTGAGTCCACACTTCCAGATGCCCCACAGAGCAGGGACAGCAGCAGGACGAAAGCAAGCCACATTTTCGGAGAGAATACTGTCAAAATATAAAAAGGTAAACAACACTTGATTCAAAATGTAAATAAATACTAGAAACGCTGATACAACATTGTTACATGGCCAATTCAGTATATATTTTTGATTAAATATTCTATCTTGACTCTGAACAGAGCACAGTAGAATTTGGAATTTCACAGCACGGCTTGAACAGGAACATCCAATAGAAAGTTTCAGCGTGTCTCTTTCGTCCAATCAGCGCGTTGTTTGGACAGGTCATACATTTGCTATTACTGTCTTACCTGTCACAAGCGCTTTGGACACACATTTTTATGATCTTGATGGTTCTGACACTCTTTTCAGCTGTGCACATGAGGTGTCACTGCCTTATTTCTTTCAAATGAGTCTAAGTAGCACACAGGCTTGTTACAGCGCGCATTCACATGATGTTTGGACTGCAGCTATGCTAACCAGGCTAAGGAGTGTATGTTGTTCAGAATGAAATGATTATATTCATGACATTTAAAGGCTACATTTCCGCCTGTGTGCAGTGGATGTCATGATCCCTTCATCTACAAGGGAAAGCGCAATTTAGTTGAGTCAGACAATAGAAAATAAAAGGTAAACTCACCGGCTCCTGTTCTTCCTGCTTCACAGTGAGCACAGGGTCCTCACAGGCTGAGTGCGCCTGTGGAGATTGCCTGAACACAATTATGAAAGTGTATTGAAGGAAGTAAATAAAGAATAGAAAGAAGGAGGAAACGGTCTATGGATATTAATGAATATTATACGAATAAAGACAGTTTGTGAAATATGATTCATATTGATTTATTTGATTACAATATTTTGTATTTATTTATTTAATATTTATGCATGTATTAGTATTTTTCACATCCAACTTGTATATGCTATGGTCAATACTTCCAGGTTGCTTACAAGATATATCTATTTGGGAAGCATATAAACACGGTTCCAGGTGATGTACATTTTGTGATCAGCTTTATGAAACAAATCTAAGTTACTCTATAGCAGGTGTCTCCAACCTTTTTCCCCCAGAGAGCTACTTTTATACAAAAGAAGAGGCAGAGAGCTACTCCTTTTCACAGTCGTAGTAAAGAAATCAGTGTAATAATTAAGACAAAACATGGAAAACACATGTAAAATATACCACAATACTGTATAACCCTCTATAACCTGTAAGGACTCAAAATGTATTCATTCAAGATCATTTGTTGAATTCTAAATCCTTTGGCAAGCTACCTAAAAGGGGCTGGCGAGCTACTGGTAGTTCACGATCCACAAGTTGGAGACCCCTGGCATAGAGCTACACCTATATGGGGTACAGTCAGTATTTATCATCACATTTTTGCAATAATTAGAAATACAATCTAAAATGTTCAGTATATTATTTGATTTGCTAATTTATAGATCTTTTGGCGAGCTACCTGGAAGGGGGTGGTGGCTCCCGAGCTACAGGTTGGAGACCACTGCTCTATAGAAACAGCAGTTCTATGTAGACCCTTTATAGAGCTTCGCTAGTGGCTTTTCACTAAAGGCTCAGCCTGAGAGGATCTTAGATCCGTGCTCCAATCACAACCCAGCACCCTCTATAAATATTTGCAAACCGGGCCTGTTCCCCCAATAATATAATACATCCATAGTTCCCCTCTTTCGAACTCCGCCTTGGCAAGAGCAGGTCTGACAGGACCAGAGGTAAAGGGGCTCTGCATTAACTTGTAGACATACAGTTATAAGGTAACTTAGATTGGCAGGGGTTATTGACACAGATGTTCTGCGTTGTTGCCCATTCATCTTGACCTCAATCAGCTCTTCCTCAGCCGCTCACCAGAACCGGGTCACAAAGCCACTCACAAAAGAAAGCCAGCTCATCACTACCATGATGCGTCCCTCGGGCCTCACGTGCACGTGCCATTGTGCACTCTCAGTACGCGCTTCCCGTCCGGACGCGCACAGATATGCCTCACTGAGTGCCTCCCTTTTTTCACCTTTTCCCTTATTTTTCCAAAACATTTAGAAACAAACAATCATATTTATTATTTTGCTTTTTATTTATTTTTTATTATGTGCTCCTGTACGATTTAGTCCTTAGACACACGTTTGCAGACTTAGCCCTAACAGCAGAAGCCCGGACAGACAGACCTAAAGATGGAGCGCAGAGTCCTCCTCTCCGGCGGAAAACACTGCTCTGTGTCCCACTGTTGTGAAGAGTACACTTTGACGTTGTTTTCTTGAACTTGTTTTTTCCTGGTGATGAAACTTCCATCAAATTCCGACATACTGAGTTGCGGTGTTACACTGAGCCTTTGACTGTACTCAGACTCACAGATTTTGGATGCCAGTTTCCAAATCTGTTTGCAACATTCCTTAACTCGGCCTTCCTCCAGAGGTTGCTGTTGGATGAAAAGCCATGTTTCAATGTTCTCCAGGAAGGACCTAATATGATGACGAACTTTCTTCCTGTAGCAGGATTGTAATCCAAAGGGTATTAGGTTGTCAGTGAAGGCTTGTGTTAACTCTTTAGTCAGCTTTAGGGATAGTCCCCTCCTCAAGTCCTGAGACACACGTTTGTATAAGTCTGTGTCTGTGTCTTCTTGAATTAACTCCTCCAGAAGAGGAGAGGCAATCTCCATCAGCCGCTCTAGGGAAACACTGATCATTTTGTCTTTACACAATTTAGACAATGCCATCCATAGTGACACTTTAGCTTGGCAGAGGAGTAAGAGAGTCATGATTTTATGTGTGGTAGCTCTTTGCAATGCCTTCTTTTTACGGAACTTGTCAACCAAGATGCACACAATGAAGCGGGATGCATTCTCAAAGTCTTGGCGCAGGGTCCTCGTCACCTCCACTTGCCCCTCTTTTGGAGCCTCCACATTTCGTCCTGCCACCTCCAGGTAGTGTTTAACCTTTGCAGCGGCATCTACCAGACTGTAGAACTGGCATGGTTTGATCCGAGGACTGTTGGGTTGAGCTGAAATGTTCGCATCTTTCTCTGCTGGGCCATAGACATTTGTTTCTGGAAGTTTTGCCTGAGTTTTATAGAGCTCTCGCATCCCTCTCTCTCGACCTGCTGCATACAACTCATTGAGATGCTTTATAATGGGCTCATCTAGCATCTTCTTAAGGTCAAACTCAGATGAGTCCTTAAGAGGACTGTCCCACTCTGGACTATGGTTCATCCCTGGACTTTTGTACTCCCTGGTCTGTGAGTTGTTCTTTGCTCTGTACATTGCACTGCTGTAGACAGTGTGTTGGTAATTGAAAATCTTAATCTGTTTGTGCACTTAGTCAAGAGAACATTCTATGATGACATACAGGGTTTCCAAGGAGACAAGTTTCCATGGAAACCAAAGTTACCCTAAAATGAGGCCCCATGGTGTATACTGTTTGACACAGTGTCATTAATATTTTTCAATGATTATTCAAGACAAAGCTTTGGAGAACTAAAGAGAAGGCATAAGTGGATACAGGGGTGGGTTTGGAGTAGTTATGACTGAAGTTGTCCGACCATAAAATTGTTGTTGTAATTTATACAAAACCTTTTAGGCTGTAAACAGTTCTGAATATCATGTTATTATGTCAAATAAAAACTAAATATCCAACTTGACGTCATCCATAATGCACAGATCAGTTTGTGGCTCTAATGTGTAACAATCTGGTACTAGTTATCTATTAAAGACAAATACAATTTGTTGTTTAAAACAGATGTGCTCAATTGGGACACAGTCCTATTCTATTCATTCTACGTTATTGTCTTCTTTTTCATATTATTTGTGTCCGGGAGTAATTAATCACAAAGTCAGAAGTAATTTAGAAACTCACTCTGATGGCCACTTTGATGGTTTTCTCAGATTTGCAACTTAGGTTTGAAAAGGGGGGGTTGCTCTCGCCTCAGATGAGACACATTGCTTAGTCCCAGATTATAGACGTGGCATGTGATGTGTGCGCTACATGGTGACTTTATGACACTTCCATGATCCAGAACTTATATTTACTAAACGCTTTATCCACACTGTATTGCCAAATACACAATGATGACATGGATGATGCTGAAAAAATGTCACATGCAATATTTATTTGAAAGTAAATCTAAATAAAACTGTGTTTGTTTCATGGACGCACTGATAGGACTTGCAAACTGGACCATCATCTGATGTGATTGTTGACGAGTATGTAGTGAAACCTGTTCTGGTTGGATTTGACCCAGCCTTCAATCCATCTGACAAAAGATGAGAAAATACGGACCCTAAAAAGAACTCACTGTTCCATTCAAACCAATGACAAACTGCTATTTTTACTTTCCACACTCATCTGCGTAAACGAGCACAGACGGCGTCAGCGGCGTGATGGAGTTTTGATTTAACATAACATCATAAAAGCCACATTAATTATCCTGTTGACTTTGACCTTCCAAATACACACGGTTTCCCCCATGTGTAATGCACTTGATAGCATGTCACTATTTTCAGCACTTATGCACCAATATGGCCTCCCCACACACCCACACACACACACTGTACATCTGCTACCATCTGACATACATTGATGAATTATGGGACCAAGTTTTCATCTCCTCTTGGGTCATATTTGAGATATTAACCCAGGCGGACTCCCTCTCCCCGCCCTGTCACAGTGTCAGCCATTTTGGAGGGCGAAATGCCTCAGTGGGGGACCAAATCGACCTCAATTAAACTCACATTAATATTAATACATTTTTCAGCGTTTCACGTGAGTTGCCGCGAATTAAACGTGCCCCCCGGGTGTATAATGGGGGTCATTGGGGGTCTGGTGTGGAGCTAATTGACTACATTACCCAGGGTGCATTGGGGCGGTTCAGGAACATATAGGTTTAAATACATCTTGAGAAGAAGGGGAAAATGGTGGTTACTTTGGCCTGTTTAAGTTAGTTCAAGTGACTCAACCTATTATTTATGACCGCAGCGTTCCCAGAAGTGTTGGACGAACACATTAAAGGCCCCGTCATAGGAAAATGTTACCTTTAAGTTAACTTTAGCATAATTTGTCGCACCTGCCTCAAGTATTTGTTTACTATAACCTAAAGTTAAAGCTGAGGAAAAAAAGGGTTGTTAAAGTAACCTTCTGTGAACAATTCAGAACACAACATGCTGTCTTCATATTAGCAGAAAACATATTATATTGTTGTATACCTGAGAGAAAGAGCCTTGAGTGTCACTATTTGATGCTTTTGGCTGAGAGCTGATTTGCTGAGTGAGGGTGGTCCTTTGTGAAGAGTGAAGAAGAAAGAAGGATGTGACAGAGGTAGAAAAGAAAAAAAAATGCATCCAAACTATTGATAGAACTGTTTTGACAGCTATAGGAAGAAGGAATTTAATACATAGTTCTATTTTTGTTGTTTCAAAGTTAGGAACTCCAGCTTTAACTCCAGGGGATCATGTATGGGGCACAATGGGCATCTTATCAGGCACATCGTTATATTTGGTTTATTCATAGTAGCAGAATAATCGGTCTACTAGCTTGAAGTTAACAGAGAGAAAGCCCATCCACAGCCCATTTGATGCCAAAGTCCTTGGAATAAAAAAAACATGGAAAATTGTGTCTTTCCAGGTGTGTGTTTGAAGTGGGAACAATGTTGTAACATAATTAAACGCGGATTCTTTTTTTGTTTTTTGCTTAAGCTGTGTCCCTTAAATGTATAGGGATTGGGAATGGCACCAAAACAAGAAGAACATGCAAACTTCAATCAACTCCTTGCCTGTGAAATAAGGGATCTTCATCTTGTGAGGCTCTTGTGATTCGCAAATCTTCAAAACGTCCGAATCCACTCCATAAAAAGCAATTTAAACTTGTGTCATAAGTGCGTTAGATGTACTTTTTGGTCTGACACACACAGAACTATTTCCATAAAGGATTCGAACTATGATTTACAGGCAATCACATAACACCCAGTGGCATTTTTGCATCGGCATTAGGCCATTTTCATTCTCTCATCAAAGCCTTTCACAGTTTATTTCCCAACAAAACAGCCCAACAAAATAACATTTCTGTAGAGATTTGTCTTTTGTGCGGGAGATGATTAAGGTCTAATGTCTCTCCTGGCAGCGGCTCGTCCCCACACAAAAGGCTGACTCCATTGTGGGCCCGGCCAATAAGGGCGTCCCTCCAGGAATGCATTTGTTTGGCTCTGTTGGAACTTATCTGCCCAATTCTGCGCTGGAAATAAGCAGTATTAAAGCCACGGCGTGTTTGTGTTTGTATGAAAGAGCGGAATCCATTGTGACCTCTTCATAAAGGACTGCAGATGGAAGTGTAAAAGCCTGGATTCTGGCCTGGGAGTGTTGTTGGGGGCTTGAAATGGCCGGGACTGTCTGGGCACGGAGGCAGAATACTGTCAATAATATGCAAAATAAGTTAATTAAGGCTTAATGCTGGGCTACCTACTCTTAAATGCTAACTTTTTGTAAAAAGGCTCATAAAGCATTTCGCTTTTTACGTTGGACTAGAGCAGAGAAAATGGTCCGAACCAAGCGGCTACTCCACCTCTGCTGCTGTGACCCTTCCTGCTCCACCCTCCGCTACTCCACCCTGCTCCTGTTTTGTTTGTGTGGATGGATTTGTTTCTGCTGCTACTGGACACCTGAATTTCTCCTATGTGGATCAATAAAGTATCTATCTAGATGTTGATCTATCTAGGCATTGAGGTACTGAGAACTGGTGGGAACTTCTGATGGGGGTCATTTAAGTGGTTGTAGTTGTACACCTACTTCCACTTAAATGATAAAATGAGACAGTGGCTCAGTTGCTAGAGCATTAGTCTTTGGGCTTGAAGGTTGTGGGTTCCTACTTCAAGACTCTGCTGTTGTTGTGTCCTTGGGCAAGACACTTAACTCCACGTTTCCTGAAGCCCCTGCTGAAAGATCAAGGCTCCTGTGGACTCACTGCCTGCAGGAGGATCAGTGAGGGGCTGGTGCTGTGTGTACTGGTGCAGCTCTGACCCAGAAATTGATTAAGGGGAAGAAAATGGATGGATGGAAAGTTGTACACCTTGCATACAGTATTAAAGGAACAATATGTAAAAATCTGGCCAAAAGTGGTACTGCAATCACAGTCAATATTTTGTAGTCCTCTCCCACTCTCCCTGACTCAGGTTGCCAGATTCACACCAAATCCAGCAGCAAACACAGGGAATTATTTTATCAGTTGTTTGTCCGTCTCCATTCACATTGCCATGACAGCCGTGCTAATGCTGAATGAATGTTTTGATTCATGTTTTATTATTATTATTATTTGGACATTTGAGATAAAAAACAAAAACAAAATAAAAGCAATGTAATTATACATAGTTTATGCAAATTAAATAAGCAATTGATGTCCAAAATAGGAGTGGGAAGAATGGATGTTGGAACGTATTTCTTCAGCGTATCAACATCAGGGTTTGCTCAAGAGGATATCACCTTTCAATTTTATTTATTCCCTATTTTTTAGACAAACATGTAAAAGTCCCACATCAAAAAGAGACTAACATTATTTTAATTGAGGTACATGTGGTCTTAAATGATTATTTTTACAATTAAGCTATAATCTGCAAAAAAACGTCTTGACCTTCATCTTTTCCCGTTTTTAGAGTAATCTGTCATAGAATGTGATAACATGCAATAAATACAAAAAGACATAGCCCGGTATCGAACCCGGGTTCCTGCATCGTAAGCGCGCAGCTCAGTCCACTAGACCACCGGTTCTCACGAACAGAGACACCGTGAAGAACGGACTCAAACTAGAAAATTCTGCATCACACGTGAACTTTTATCAGCTGTCTCAATTGTTCAAAGGCATCCCGATATAAATCCTCGTTTTAGTCTTTGTTCTGTCATTAATGATTTGAGAGTCATAACAAGACCTTTTTTAGTTCTGCGCCACATGTTATTTTACCACTGAGATTAATGAGCCGCACGGAGTTCTGGCAACCCGATCACGGACTTACATGACACTTCCTGATTGGCGAAACGGCGGAGGGTAGGACATCAAAATCAAAACAATAACAACTTTTATGGGTCGTAAAACTAATTTTGATAATCAAATATCTCGGCTGAACTACTGTTATCAGTTAAAGATGAATTCGAAAAGAGTATGATTTAATAACGCCTTTTGAAATATTCGGGTCCTTTAATGATGACTTGACATGCAAATATTACATATTGCTCCTTTAAAGCATAAATAACACATTGGTTAAAGACAAGAAGATGTAGGAACA